AAAAGGCCTGGGACAGATTTGCCCACTCCGATGACAACGACCTCCTGAATCAGTGGGCTTTGCTTTATCGATCCCTCAATGGGCAGGGGCAGCACCTTCTCCCCATTGACGAGGGTAAGTCGATCATCTAATCTGGTCATGTACTTCCATCGGTCAGGAATGGTAGGGTGCGGCGTGAAGACGTCGCGGGAATGGTACGACCCTGGGGGCTCATCCGAATTCGACGCCGTCAGTGCTGGATGACCAGCGAGGTACACACACTCATACAGATCTGCACTGATGGGCTTCATCCAAATGAAGGGGCGGAGGTTCTCGAAAAACTTAACATAATTCCAGAAAGGATCGCCTGCTGGGCGGGAGAGGGACTCTGCTACTAGGCCTGCCTCCGTTCTATAAGTGGATTAGGGGACTGCATCAGCCTGATGGGTCTCAAACACTACTTACAGACCAAACGAACCACCAAAGTGGACTCTCTCTGCCACGAGGCGATCGCCTAGTTCATCAGGGCATGGTGCGCCACCATACGTCACTAGTTTACACCGTCTCAGAGCATCCAAGCCCTTTGGACTATCAACTAGAAGTTGGAGAAGATAAGGAACACCCTGGACGGAGTCAGGTTTAGCGGCCTCCAGCGCCGAAGTGACCGATGATGCTGTTAGGGGGAGCGACGCATCCCACATATACGCTGTTTTCCTCATGTACATTGCCTGAAGGGCAGTCGACAGACCGTGTAGGTGATACCACGGTAGGGAGTTAAAGGATGTTAGCCCCGGACCCCGCATTGGATGGGTCATGATGGCTTTATGACTGAGATAAAGAGGTTTTGGCAGACCAGTGGACCCAGAGGAGTGCAGGATCAAAGCGATCTTTTGTTTTTGGACTTCTGGATTCCGGGTTCGGTGGAGGACCAAGACATCAGTCTCCTGGGGGGCATTCAGAGACGGTCTTTGAATGATTGGACGGCATGCGATCAACTTCAGACGGAGAATCTCGGCCAACGTGGCACGGATGCTTGGTGTTTGCCCATAGAGGATCGTGTCACAGCCGACCATGTCCAGGAGTGATACGCACGCCGCAGCTGACAGTCGTGGAGAGACCATCATGACCGTGTATCCTAACCTGCTAAGCGCGAAGAAAGTAACCACCATGTTGAGATCCGACAGTGTGAACAGAGCGACCACAGCTCCATCATTGCGAGGCTGCTATTGTATGAGCTGTGGTTATACTCTGGTGAGAGATATGTGGATGGCTTACTGGTTTGAAACCACAATCCATTAATGTGGACACAGTTTGGTCGATCATGCAGTCCAGGTCTTGCCCCGTGAAGTATTCATACGAAGTGGTATCATCGTTGGATGGCTTGGGATAGGCTAGGATAGGAAGCTGGACAGGATCTGCCGCCCTTAAGCGGATGAGGTCGTCTAGGACATGAAGACGACCAAAGCGTGCGATCAATTGCTCTGAGTCTGTGATCTTTGGAGGAGCATTGTTTGATGACTCGTCATACTGAGGGATACCCATGGTGAGACATGAACGAGGGAGAAGTCAACCACCTTGTGCTTGAGACGGGGAAATTGAGGAAGAAGTGGGAGCAAGCGAGTCGTATTTAAAGGAGACGCTTTAGCAGTTGAAGATCCACACGCTCGACAGAATGACGAAGAATAAAAGTCACCTGTGTCCGGTTCTCGTGACTTTCCGATCATTGGTTTCCGCATAAGGCAACGGACATCTTTCTCACTTGCCATGGATCTTTCCCTCAGCTCTCCACTCATTCACCGAATGGCACTGTGGGGGTGTAGCGGTGAAACTCTCCCTATCTGGATTGAGCTGAGGATGACATTCGTACCATTGGTGAATTAAGGTCGAATGGGGGGGGGGGGGGGGGGGGGGGGGCTTGAGTCCTGCCGACAAGATACTTCCGCTTGTCTGCAAAGATGAATAGCGCACCCCAAAGGCTAAAGTTCACGGACGGGACCCATTTTGAATCTTGAATCGTGGAGCGATCGTCATCGATAAGCTCCCGAGTTCCTGCTCCCCCGGCCAATCCTGACACATGGTGGCTGACGTCGAGATTGCAGGGTAATTTGTCAATCACGCTGTAGTCCCTGCACGAGACAGCGCCAGGATCATGATCTCATGAGACCCAGTGCATCGGGCTAGGAAGACACTATGCCGAGGCATAGTAATTACCGTTCAATGGATGCAGCCAAAATAATCACTAGTACTGGGTACATGCTTCACCAATGCAACCCAGGGAACCGGCACCTGGCTCCGGCTACCTGGCTTCTTCACAACGAAAACACACTTGAATGTCGATCAAGTTCTTTCAAAACATCACGATGAGGACTTTTGCTCGCATCGATCATAATCAGACCTGTTGTCCATCTGTCTCCAAAAGGCTTTGTGGGCTGAGACATAAAATTCCTTCCGACGACAGATGGCCGAAACCGAGCCCGGCAGAGTCTGGGCCCACCACTGGTGCAAAGAGGTACTTTTGTACTGCGATACGGTGTGATTAAGTTGGGGAGTTTCTTGATTTTGTCCAATTTACTTTTATGATCTGTTTCTCACTACCTCGCTTTCTCGTGGGATTCGGATAAATTGGCTGCTGAGCAACGAACGGGCCTTTAATCAATGACTTAGCAAGGGAAGGGATGAAACATCCGAGTTCCCACCACAAACGCCATACCGATCCGGAAAGACCTCGAGTGAATTCGATAGTTTCAAGCAGCGGCCTCTTGTGGTGTCTTGGGCGACCACTCGATGAGCTGAAAAAAAAAATCCCTCATAAAAGTACTTCTGCTGCAATACCGGGACCGATACTCTTGAACGCTACTCATGGAAGGAGGAAAGACCTACTGGCCCACAAGTGAATTTTGGGGTCGGATCTTTTCCCTGTTGCCTTTCCCTATTTTCTCCTTTGCCCTTCCTGGCCTTTTTTCCGTTAAAAAGCTATGAAGGATCGCACTACGACTCACTTTGGACACTGTTTGTCGAGGGTCTCGGACGAATAACCATTGCAGGATCAATGTCAATGCAGCTGTCCGTGTTGATTGGGCCAGTCTTAGTTCTTCGTGCGGAACGCCACCAGCCTTGAACCAGTGGGTCGGGTCGACCAGTCGATCTGTGACGATTTGACTTGTCCAGCATCCTATCGACTCTCTGGAGCACTCCCACCACCATACAAGCGATGATCGAACACCTTCCACACACAGGCGCATATATCTCATGCAATCTTACGTATTGTGACTCGGGTCGACCTCGGCGCACATCATGTTCATCCTCTAATTTCTTCCACTTTTGACGATGCCATTCTCTTCTTGGTCCCATACCACGCGGATAACCCTGTTTGTATCCGCCGGAAATATTTTTCTAAAATTCCTTATTTTTCTGATTTTATTGTTTCCTCACCTTTCTTGTCTATTCTTTTTCTTTGGCCCCTTATTCTCATATCACAGCCGCTCATGGATATCCACAGGACTGCATGCCTAGTGTGCCACAATGCTAGGGTCGCATTAGGACGGCCCGAGAAAAGCAATATGCAACTTCGGTCGCGCAATCTATCCACTGAGATCCCTGTTCGACTCTCAAGTCAATCAATATCTTCGGACATGGTCGATTAGCCCGTGCCAGCTGCCCCACAGAGCTGAGGACTGGTACCTCATCACGCATAAAATTAAATGCTGGTGGTTCCAGGGTGGCAATCCTTGCGATGCCCATCTCGTTTTCCAGAACAGTGCACCGCCCCTTATTCCGCCAAACGCAGAGGCACACCATGCAAGAGGTCATATCGTGCTAACGCACGCACAACTCAGGCTAAAGAGAGCTCGAGACCGGGGTATGTGTAGTATGTATACACCACTGATCATCGGGTCCAATGTCTTATTTTCATTTTACTTTGCAAATTGATCGCGATTGGATCTCGAGTGTGATCAGGTTCATGGCTGATGGATGGTGCAATCGGGCCGCGATCGACTACAAACTGCGCATGACCTCTACGTATTGTCTTGACATCCCTGTCGGAGGTGGGGAATGCTTGTGGATACGAATTGGAAGATGGGCGCGCCACGGGTGGTGCCAACAGTTACAACAGCTTCGCACCATGGTTCCATGGTCGGGGCAGGAACTTGTTCAAATGACCTATGGTCTAGTCTCTGGATTGACGCTGCAATGATCACGATCACGATTCGCCGATTCGGAGAGTTACCTACGCGAATAGACCAGGTGAATGAGGATTCCATGGAAGACAGAAGCCGTGGTGGTGGCGTCAACATTCCCCCAAGTGGCCGTAGCTAGATCGCTGATTCGAGAAAATTTTCAGCAGCCATCGGGAAGGATGCATGACGACGGCCTCTACTGGAAGTCGTAGATAGTTGATAGGGTAGAGTAGAAGCATTCCGCTGGTACCGATAGTGCGCGTGCTAAGTCACATCCGCCGCAACAACTAGTTTGAAAACTGGTAAGGGTGATATCCCTAGAAGGGCTTCTATCACAAATGTCAACCACAGTCATTGTGCAGACGATTGCTCCATTGCTCCACGTCTGAGATGAATAAATCTCCGTGGCGTAGGGACCCCGAAGGTGAGCATGACACAGGATCATGGTGGGCCTATCATCAGGATGACTCGCAAGCACCCTCATTCTTTCATTATCATCGGACAATAAGAATTTATGCTCTGCATGGCGTTCAATTATTACAAGATTGGACTCATCGAGTGGACTCGACCAACTCCAGGGCCCCAAATACGACCAAGCCCTAACTGCGGCCGGAGCTCTTACTGGGCCCAGCTTGCCGTTTGCAGATGGCAATTATTGCCTGGAGAATTGATCAGCTACGCCCCTACTTTACTATCCTACGCTAGCCTCGTATCAAGATCACCCGTGTGGCTCAGAGCTTTCCACATGGATTAGTGATTCATATAACCCATGGACTCCCATCTCGCGACCGTTTTAATTCCGGCCATTTTTCATATATGCATTCCAATCCCAACCGGACGAACATGGAGCCGCAACTGCAGACGCCGCCCTTATTGTCTCTGGTGGAGGAGATCAAGGATGCTGCATTAGAGGAATGCAGCTCGTCTCGCTCCGCAACGTCGCATTACCGCTTCCTGGGATTGATTGATCAGTTGAAGTATATGGTTGAGACGCCGACCGAGACAGTGCTGCGGCTGATCTACCAGGTATAGCCAATTCCTATTGTCACTGAACTTAACCCAAATAGCAAGTAGCCTGTTAGTCAATTGGCTGATGCGTTTACTAGCCCCCGCAAAATGCAGCTCTTCGTACTGTCATCGACCTTAACATCTTCCCCTTATTGCTGGAACACCCCACCAAAGGGCTATCAGCTACACAGCTATCAGAGTATACTGGCGTCGAGAGGGCACTAATCAGTATGGATACGATGCAATATAACTTTGGGGTTCAGTTGCTAATATGTATAGTCCGCTTAATGCGAGTCATGGCAGCGCTGGGTCTGTGTGCCAGCGTCGAACCAGAGGTGTACCTCCCCACAGACAAAACAATAGCAATGACGCAACCAATTGGACGGGATGGCGTTCCATGCATGTAATGAGCCTTGAACATCACCTATACTCCTGCGCTTTACGCTGACATGGACACGTAGATATGACCTGACCGTTCCGACCCTCGCTAGACTTCCAGAGTACTTCCGCGAGCACCACTACCTCATGCCGAAGGAGTACTCCCGATCCCCAATGCGATGGGCCGTGGGACAAAGTCAATTCGAATGGCTTGCTCAACGGAAGCACCACCAGGCACTGTTCAACTCATACATGTCCAGTCGACGACAGGGCAAACCTTCGTGGTTCGACGTGTATCCGGTTGAAAGACTTACGCACGGCGCCCTGGAGCACGATGACGCCGTATTCCTAGTCGACGTAGGAGGGAACCAAGGACACGATCTGATTCGCTTCCGGGAGAGGTTCCCGGATGTTACTGGCCGGTTAGTGCTTCAGGACCTACCGAAAGTGGTCGCCTCCGCGCCCGCAGGGGAAGAGATCGAGGCCATGGCGTATAGCTTCCTGGACCCGCAGCCGGTAAAAGGTACCTTGCCTGCCCAGGGCCAAACCATTGTAATCTATCACAAAGCTAATATGAAGTAAAACAGGCGCCAGAGCTTATTACTTCCGTGCCATCTTCCACGACTGGCCGGATTACATCTGTCACAAGATTCTGATCAATACCATCTCGGCCATGAACGCCGAATATTCGCGCATCATCATTGCAGACTTTGTCCTTCCGGATACAGGTGCAGCACTGCTGCAAGCGTCGATCGATATCCAGATGATGAGTATTGGGTCTGGGATGGAGCGGTCAGAACGTCAATGGAGGGAGCTATTGGGGGGTGCTGGGCTGGAGATAACCGGCATTTGGAGTGGGAGTCCTGGGATGGAGAGTGTAATTGAGGCTGTGCCGATACGGGCTACTTCGTGATTATACTTTGGCATCAGTGTCGATTAGGTTGTTATTTTCTCTTGTTGATATTTGACAGTTTTACTTTATAAGCTGGTTGTCGTCGAGCGGCCATGCTGAGTACGAATCGTGCATCAATATTGAAGCTTCCCAAAGACCGATAGAGCTATAGATGAGTAGTCCGCCAGCTATCACTCCAAACCAAGCTTCAGCTACAACAAGAATTCGGAGAATGAGTTGCCTACAGACCTCAATCAATGACTAACACACCCGTTTTCCATCCCCCTTACATCTCTTCCCCTCCCCAACAATGCCATCATCAACACGAACTAGCAAAATCGACACATCACATCAACCCTCCAACACGAACAAAACGCTTTTACACTTCCAATTCTTCCACTTCCAAAGACTCAGACGCAAAAGTAAAGTTACCCCTTGAATAAACCAAGATTGACACACATCGCATTGCATCAATTTAGTTCCAAAAACCGCAGATCCATCGGCATATACACCCACATCCACACCCACACTCCAGCTGCGATAACGCACGGACATAGCTACCAACCTTGGCAAGGGGTGGGGAGTGGCCCACGCTCAATCCGAAACAAGGGATTTGCGCTGTCATATTGGCGTTTCTCTCGTTCTGGTTGGAGATGTCTCACCGCTGGTATATGGTTTATTGGTCTAGTGATGTGGGGAACATGAGATGTCATATTCTGCAGTTGCATGAAACGGGAGATAAAGCGTTAGAGGTATATTTAGGCATTTAACGGCTGTGCTGGGTGGCTCTTGGGGTTGGGTCGAGACTGTTGGTTTGGGGTGGAGTCGTGGATATTACTGGGTTTGTGGTTGATATATCACCCTATGAGGTGAGGCGTAGTTGGTGGTGGATGTTAGTACTTTCGGATTTTGGATTGTAATGGTCCGGAGTGTATTTGGGAGATTTATGGGCTGACTTCTAGGGGATGTTTTATCTGGTTTCAGGATTGTTCTCACTGGTCCCAGGAAGCTATCTGTCGACTTCTTTACAAATCTTTGATTCTATTCTGCCTTTGTACTAAGGTTTACTGGAACTGCTACCTTCAGTACATCATGCCAATTTCTAACAATCATATAGCATACTATCGAAGAACACAGGACCTTCTGGATCTCACAATCTGTGTATAGCTGAATTAAATGACGGGCAATGAAACAATGTAAGCACGTTAAAATCTGCTGTGAAACCAAGGCCCATTAGCCTATATTCAAAGCCATAGCGACAATATGTACCAAACCTCCACAATTTCACTCGGTGTAACGAAAGTGCTCCTGCCTTGTAGGGATCAATAAATGTCTCGATATGTTAGTTGAGATGATATTGAACAGCGGTGTGTGTGTGTGTGTGTGTGTGTACCAGGCAATATTAGGAATTGATAACCTTCTCCCCGTCCTGGAAAGGAAAGACTTATGTCTATGTCATTTTTTATGAACAAAGGAGGATAGTCGAGTCGAGATGACGCTTCTCCTGCTGCAAGCCTAGTTGCTATGGACATCTTGATTCCGGGGTAATACCAGTTGGTGAATTGGTCTTGAGTTTGATTTTACTTTATTGAAGGGGGTATTTTATGTTAGTATTGAACTGATAACGATTCAATTAGAATTCCATTGTACTCTCTTTTCACCTGGTGAATACGCGATGATATTTATATTTACCAGTCGCTATTCGCATGCCCTCTGAGCAGAAGGTTGAGTAATAAATGAATTAGACCCGGCTATAACTCTGACAAAGAGAAAGCTTCCAGCCATCAAAAGCACCTTTGACCAGAGTATGTGAATCTGTATAGTTTCATACCCCTTTGTGCACTACCGCCATACTCAATCTATCCATTCACAGCCGTATTACCTACTCAAAGGCTTGGTGACTGAGATATTCCTAGTAAATAGACTCGCTAGAAGGAGAATTAGCACCTACCACGTGTCCAAATAGCAGCGGCACACTTTTGTTGTAGTTTCAGGTCCTCATTGTTAAAACGATAAAGAGACTGTGCCACGTTCCCTGTACCTCGAGGCATGCTTCCAGGCAGTATTGTACTGCTGGCTGCAGGGGTTTTTTGTTCACGTCGGAGCCCTGAGGAATGATTATGTTTAATATTTTTATATCGTTATAATAGTTGGCTGTATGTGGCATCATTTAGTGCCAATATATCATTGGGGAATGTCATCTCTATGGCTTTTCAAGCTGGAAGCATCTATAATATCATAGTATCTATGTGCCCCAGGTAGCAATCATAATCCAACAGGCTTAGGGGACAAACAGAATGTTACGTTTGAAGGCCTTCACGGAAGAAAGGAGCCCCGTTGGACAGCATATATCTTAGTCCTTGTATCGCTGACTATCCGCACATCTTGATACTGATAGTGATACTTGATGACGGTATCCAGCAGCATGGATGATAAGCAGAATCTTCAAGTATCATAAAAACATTGTGACAAGCAGATGCCAATTGAGTGCCCCGATTAAATCCTGTATGGTCTATTTATCAATATCTGGGAGGATACTTCCGTGCCATTGTCCATGACAATCATCGCCCGTCTCTGGGTAATGATGCTCGTTACCACGACATTTATTTTCACCGCAGTTTCTAAAACTGTTCTCAAGCTTGCCATCTTCGTTACACCGAAAGAGACCGTCTTTTAAAAGCGGACCATCAGGATCCTCTCCGTGGTTTTCGAGTATCGTGCGAATGTCCACCAGGTATCCACCTGTGTGTACTCAATATCAGTATCAATGACGTTCAAGTATGGAATTCTTCGGCTCTTCTTTTACCCCTATCTATCAGTGTCGCTCCGCAGTACTCCGTGGCATTGTTACATTTTACCGGGGTAGCGGTAGTCAGTGATGTGATTGCGGCCAGGATGGCCAGCGCGCTCATGATGGTCTTGACCATTGTCGATAGATGAATCACACAGGAGTTCAGTGGAGGTTGGATGGTTACAGCTAACGGAAAAATTCTGTTGTGATTCCACATCACAGTCACAAGTGGGCAAGGGTGGTTTATATACCAAAACATCTCCTGAGTCTGCCTTACCTTGTCGGGGATTACATAGGAGTGCCGTTTGCTTTGATCTCCTCTTCTCACTTTCACATCTGTTTCTGCTAAAGAAGTGATCAACGATGTTCTTCTCGTGGTGAGACGCTCGAATCATCGACATAGACAAAGGGGCTTTATCTGAATGCAAGTCCGGTTTTTGTACTCATGATAGTGGGATGTTTCGGCCTTGCTTGTCGGACAGTGACAATGGGCTTGCAAGTCATTAACCGGTTCTTTGATACCTGGCCACCAACGCTTCCACTGCTGATACCGATTTATCTCGGTTGTTCTTCGGAATGAGTTCTCACAACCATTATCATCTGCGATGCCGGGAAAGGGACTTGGCCGTTGCATTATAGATGCGGCATCCCCATACTGGATCACCTGCACTCAACCGCCATGAAGAACCAAGACGAAATGAAGCACGATGAATACTCGCAGATGTGTAGGACATATACCACATGGTTGTCTTTTCCTAACAGCCGGACAGAATGAGGGAGGCGGCACGGTTCCAGATTCACGCATGTCTTATATGTAGCATTAGAGAAAGTAGAAAGTAATCGGCCCAGGGCCCTGTTCTTTAGCTTCTGAAACCATGCAAAAACGCCTCCTCAAGAGGCAGGTATTATTCGCTTTCCATTCACGCAATCGGGTATTATGTACAGAGTGACGGCTCAACAATGGTCACACACAAACACGCTCCTCCGATCGGAGATCATTACTGACGGAGAACATTGCGGATAGCTGTCTCAGCCCACAACTTCGTATACTGCTTGTGCAGCCAGAGAATATGTGGCGGCATGGGCTGGCTCTCGGCCTTGCCTTTTCCTTGGTAGAAACAGCTCTTGAGAGCAAACTCCGCAACGCCTTCTTCGGGCTTCACGACGGCCGACATTTCGAAGAGGCCGTCCGATTCACGGACGTCCTGTTTGCGGGGGCTATCACCGCAGCGGACCGCAATCCGCTCGGGGGTTTTCTCCACAACCTCGAAGTGGTCGGTGATCAGGGTGCCGACATCGTAGTTGGAGGCCTTCAATTCCGACCGTTCCCAGAGGTGGTTCGCGGTCTCGGGACCTTGGTATTTCCGGGCGAGGTAGGCGCGTTGGAAGGCATATCCTAGGTGAATCCGGGATGTTAATTTCAATTTCCTCCGCCCAGGCTTCCGAGCTTGGGTATGGCCGTTCATGCGGGATGGAGGGTCCTGTCCTTACCCCAGCCGCTCCAGACTCCAGCACAGAAGGCTTCAGCCAGCTTGCCCTTCTTCTCTAACAAGCTCGGGTTAATGTCGGATAAAGGTACTTTGCGCACGCAGAGGTCATGGGTGGTGGGGTTTTGTTCAGGATTGAACTTGCGGTAGGCGGCGGATTGGAAAATGGGATCCGTGGGCGGCATGGGCACGAAGACGTCATTGCGCGTGGTATAGAAGAAGGCGCCCGCCGAGGCGAGACCTCCGTAGGTGGAGAGCTTCAGGAATCGCTTGATGAGACCCATTGGGGACGTACGGTTGTTCTGTGGAATTCGATTAGAGAAGGAAAATGAGAAGAGGAAGAAGAAGAAGAAGAAGAAGAAGAAGGAAGAGAGCGAAGTGGAAGAAGTCAAGTGATGGTTCGGTTTATGGACGATTGCGGACGAATCACCTCCGACCGCCAAGACTGCGGAGAGAGCATTTGATGTGAACAACAAACAACAACAAACATTTTCTCAATAAGCGATGCGTTCCTTTCAATTGCCGACAACCATCTCGACATACGCAAATTGACTCTATTGACATGGGATTTACCCTACAAAACTAAATGGTTTGATGTCCAAGTGTGCCGTATCCCTATTGGTTTAATGAAATCGGTCATGTCATCACCATATGTATATATTCCAGTCCTCGACGTTCAAGTCCCAATATCGATATGCCAGGAGTTTCTCCGAACATACACTACACGGCAGTCTCATCGTCAATCGAATAGAATTCTACCTCGGCGATCATAGTCCGGGCAGGGATAGTTACGCAGATCGGAAACCCGCCATAGTCTGGGTCCTCGTTAGGCATCATGGCAAAAATGCCGCTTCGCGTCTCGTCGCCATTGAGCACCCTCAGCGTCTTGAGTTCGCCTGTCGCTCGATTGACGACGGATTTCTCTTCAAACCGTAGAATACCGGTAAATGTCGCTGTCGGGGACAACGAGATCGCACGCACCTGGAATCCCCAGCCGATCAATAGGAACTTGCCGCCACCGAGATGGATCACCATGCCAGAGCCCGGACCAGGTTTGCCAAAGACAAAGCAGCGTTCAATAGTGATCTCGAACCCCTCATAGCGCCGAATAACCGGCTTCGACGGATCGGAACCATTGTCCGCAAGCTCGTCGAAGAAGAAGCCGACCGACGAGCCCGGTCGCCGCTGTGCGGCAAGCACGATTTGCGAGACGGAGTCAAGAAGTGCATAGTGTTTGGTGAATGGATTGGTAGACGGCTCAAGCGTATCGACGCCAAAGGGCGACACCCCAATCGCTTGGTATGATCCATAGGCTATCCAGATCCGTCGTACCCCGTACTCATCACGCCGCTGCTCCGGAATGAACAGTGGTTGGTTGCGATGACGGTACTTACGACAGGACTGAGTATACTCGTTCAGATAAACATCGGGAGCAATAAAGTCCAGTGCTGGGGCGAACTGCTGCCAAATGTCAAGGACATTGCTGGTACTGCCGCCGGATGGATAGTCGCCGGGCAAACCACCACCCCCGGCAACAATAGGGAAATCATTCTCCCCGTCTTCACCCACGTAATTCTGCCACACATTTGTGTAGAGCGGAATGGGGTACTCGTGCTTTCCCGCTGTAGCGACCTGATTCAAATAGTGTGCGTAGTGGTAAGCCATGAAGAGTTCGTCCGTGCGTGGTCCTCGACCAAATACGTCGGCCCACGACCCGCGTGGTTGGGTCTGAGCCTTGAAGTGGACTAAATTACTTCTGAGGTCAGAGTGAAGGTTATCCCAATCATCGGCTAAAAAGGTAAGCAAGTCTTCCGGTACAGGCTGAGAGAAGCGGTCTTCGGCGATGGATGAGCCATCACGCGAGTCGCCCAGCAAGCCTGTCTCGTTCTCAACTTGCACCATGATGACAGTCGAGTGATCGCCATCAACCTCCCTCAAATGACGCATGAGATGTGAAAATGCATTTGCATCACTTTTCGGCGCTTCGTCATGGAAGATGGATAGCACATCTGCAGTCTGAAGAACACCGCCAGCCTTCCTTAATTTGGCGCGAGGAAACCGCTTTGGATTGGTCTTAACCCAGGCTGGTACGTATGTCGATATACCTACATTTCACTCTCCTGATGAGTACCAGATCATAAACACAGAGTATGATAATGAGAGGGGAACTTCAGCATACCATTTTTGAATGAGCCAAACCAGAGTAGCACGAGCCGCAGTCCATGCTTTCTCGCACCCAGGATAACCCTGTCTAGCTCGGTAAAAGTAAATTGCCCTTCAGTCGGCTCGATCATTTCCCAGGTGACACATCCGAGGACGGTGTTGATGTGAGTGTCGACGAGCTTCTGCCAGACTGTATCCATGTACTCCGCCGAGGTCAGAGAGGAGTTCTGGAGTTCTCCAGCCAGAGAAAGGAAAGGTTGGCCATCGACGATAAGTTGCTTCCCGTTGTCTGTTTGACGCAGATGAGGGTATGTAGTGCTTGGCAATGACATGATGAACTAGTAGAGCGGTTGCAGTACCGATGTGAATAAGAAGATGATGGTAATTGTGAAGCCACTGGACAAGAATTCGATGCCCTTTATAAGGATTATAGACGGTGCTTGCCATCCCGCCGGAGGAATGCCCTGGAAGGAGTTCGGGATTGAGAGCCGTTGATTGGCCTATATCCCGGACTATAGCTCGATTGCAAGCCTGCCTGAAGCATAACTGAATGGAAAGTCAAGGTATTGCTGGTCATATCTCGGAAGAGCCGATCTCTAGATGACTTCGTGCAGGGATGCAACACACAGTCCGCACGGTCTTCGGTCCACTAAGGTGGATCCAAGCCGAGTCCAGAACGTGGCCTCTGAATGGACACACAAACTTCAACCGAGTACCGCAAATCAACTTTGATTTAATGCGGACGGCAATGAATGAGTCTTGTTGGCTGATAAACCGGCGCTTCCCCGCAAAATGTCTCTATGCGGCGATTTCCCGAAATGGTGTCATTGATGTACCAAAAGGAATCAAGGTCCTACATGGAATCATCCAAGCCACCGAAAGGCTTGTAACCTCAGATGCCGCCTACACGTTCAAAGAATCCATTGGTAAAATGTATAAAGAAGCACACTACGGCCTTTCATGATGGCCTCCCCTCACGCTGTACTAGAAGATTATGCATATTCGCTTTCTACTTTTTCGACAGTGGTGATTGCATTGTGCCAGCATGAGCTCTTCCAAGAACTGTGATCAAGAGGCTAATGTTTCGATTGAACATGCGGAGATCCTGTCGTCGCATGTTCCATCTGCATATGAAATCCCCAAGGTCACTTGGTGGAAGGCTCATGGGCTACGAAAGCTCTATGCAATGATGCCTCTCTTGTTCCTTGGCAAGTGGTCATTCGCTAAGCATGACGAGCACGAATTAACATCTTGCCCATAGGTTCGACTATTAATGGATATGATGGCTCGCTGTTAAACGGTTTACAAACAATGACTCCGTGGCAAACCTGTGAGTAGACCCTTCTAGCTTATACAATACATCACTTTAGCCAACAATTGCCGACGCGAGTAGATTTTAATAATCCTACTGGGTCAACGCTTGGACTGTTCACGGCCATTCAGAACATTGGTGGGGTCTGTGCTCTTTTCTTCGGTAAGTCACATATGGCTGCCGTCTCCTCCAGCATGACAACGATACTGACTACGGGACAAACAGCCTCTTATGTGGCTGACCTGTTGGGACGTAGGATTGGTGTAGCAGTGGGTCTTGTCGTGATTTTTATTGGCACTATAATACAGGTAGTCCCATCCGTGAACAGGGAAATGTTTATCGCTGGAAGGTTCCTAGTCGGCTTTGGGTACGTTGATCTCAACTCACACCAATTCCATTACTGACCAAGTCAAAACAGGTCCAACATCAGTCAAGGGTCGGCCCCGTTGCTTATCACGGAGCTAGCACATCCTCAGCATCGTGGGACCTTGACAACTATGTACAACACTCTGTGGTATCTTGGATCAATCGTTGCGGCTTGGACTGTTTTTGGGACCATTAAATATACTTCGGAAGCGTCTTGGAGGATCCCAGTTGGCATGCAAATGGCTATGCCCGCCATTCAATTTGTGGGGATTTGGTTCCTCCCGGAAAGCCCCCGCTGGCTATGCGCCAAAAACAGGGCAGATGAAGCCTTCAACATCTTGGTAAAGGTACGTCTCAAATGTTTTTATCTGTTAGTCGGGTTCTGTGCGACAAGGCTATTTTAGTCCTTTGGGCAAACCGGCGACTTGGTCTATAACTTAGTTAATGAGTGAACTTGGCAGTATCATGGCAATGGGGACCAAGCCGACCAGCTTTGCGCATTTGAACTCTGTGAGATTCAGGAAACCCTGCGACTAGAAGAGGAAAATTCTCGGAACGGCTGGCAGACCCTTATCAAAACGCCCGGAAATCGGAAACGTCTCCTCTTGATTGCGTTGGTCTCTTTCTTCTCTCAGTGTTCGGGAAATGGCCTGGTGTCATATTATCTACACTCAATCCTGAGCTCAGTGGGCATCGAGTCCTCGCATGATCAGGCGGTGGTTAACGGAGGCTTGCAAATTTGGTCCTTCCTTGTCGCAATAGGATTCTCCTCCTTCCTCGTCGACGTTCTAGGCCGGCGAATGCTCTTTATGATTGCGGCCGTAGGAATGTTGATCAGCTTTAGTATCTGGACAGGGTATGCTTTTTTGCCCCTTGCTGTGGACAGAGATTAGATTCTTTTCTGACCAATCGCGCAGATGTTCCGCTGTTTACGCGAATACAGGAGACACCGGAGCTGGAAGCGCGGTGATCGCAATGATATTCCTCTTTTACGGCGTGGCAGGCTTCGCGTGGCCCGGGCTGACCGTGGCTTACTGTGCGGAGATTCTTCCTTTTAACATCCGAGCGAAGGGTATGGCTGTCGGGCTCGCTTGCACATCAGCGGCATCGGTCTTCAATCAATACGTGAACCCGATTGGTTTGGAGAGGTTACAATGGCGATTCTACTTTGTTTATATCGGCATTCTTGTCGTCGAGTGTCTGTGCATCTGGTTCCTGTTTGTTGAGACAAAAGGTCCGACCTTGGAGGAGATTGCGGCATTGTTTGATGGATATGATGCGAACGTTAGAGGGTCGGAGGAAGCGGACACTCCCCCCAAACAGTCGCGTATGTCGGGAAACCTAGCGCGTAAGGAATAATTTGAGAAATACTATATCTATTGAAACCCCTGGGGTCGAAGCATTGACAGTGCATCGTTGGCAAATTTGTCTCTCTGTGCCAGCTGCGACGTGGCCGGTGGGCCAAGATTCCCCTCTATCGGCAAAGCGTGCTGCAGTAGAAATTTCACAATCCATTTGTCCATAGTATAAATCCGATCCATCGACAGCATGCAGGCCTTCTGAAATGTAAAAAGCCGTTCAATCTGATGATTGTTAGACGGCGGCTTAAAGTCGTGTAGTGGGAGGTATGCTGGAGACTCACCATCATGCCCACGCCTCTCCAATAGGCTTTTAGTCTTAGTAGAATCTGGAAGTTGTAATATAGCCTCCTTCTGGTGTCAGGTAACTCATCCTCTTGGCCAAAGAGTAGCGTATGAAGGAGCACCGACGACGACGTCACTGTCATATGAGCGACAATGAAGTATACAACCTCGCACCCCTTCGTCTCACTGGACGACCTTAGGAGATCGCTGAAGGCCGCTGCGTGGTGCTTGCATCGTGTGGCAAAGAGCTTCTGATCCAGAATATGAGTCAACTGAGAGCCAAGATATGGGAAATACAAAAGGGTAGCATAATGGTGATAACCCAAGTGGAGGGCAACAAAGGCTTGCCCGACCCCAAGTCTAGCATGTGTCTTCATGTTGCCCATCGTGAGTTGGAGTCCGGAAGGTAGGCCTTGGATGAAAGCCTCAAACTCGGAAGCTAACTGACGGGTAGAGGCCTCGATGCCAGAATTGTCCAATGTGCCATCGGCCAGTTGCCGGTGCAGGTGTTGGATCTGACCGAATATTCTTACCAGAATAATCATATAACCCCAGAGACCTGGCCTGGTGATCCGTGAGCCGTTGCCGGCCGCCTGTCCAGGAGCCAGGTTATGAAAGTCCAATTCAGACATGGGCAACTGAAATTGATCACCGTCCTGGATCTGACGGGGGATGTTTAACCCGGCTGAAGACCACCGGTCAATCATGTATAGTGAGCACCAAGTACGAAGTCTGCTTTCCCTCATGATTTCATCGTCGTCCAGCGACGGCTCAGGAAGACGAAGGATCTGTGCCATTCTAAATGCTATCCCTGAGACTTTTCTTTTAGCAAAGGTCTCCAGCATCGATCAAAAAAGCAGAACTTCAGCGTGTTTGAGAATCCTCTTACCGAAATATAATGCCTCACCACTCGAATCACCCTCAGATCCACAGAGATTGCCTATAAGAATGGTGGCATGGACATTATCTAGAGTGATGTCGTCAATTGACATTTTGACGCGGTCTTTGGCTGACTGCATGAAATCCTTGGTTCGTTCCCTTGTAGCCAGGCCCGTAGAGAATCTTTAGTAGAATAAAGAACATCAGCTCCTCTGCGCTGGAATCTTCAGGATCTCCATTTATTCGTTCCCGCAGCTGCACGGTTGACTTACCGAGCTGCTAACGCCAAGATACTATAAAGGGTTCCTTTCGCTAAAGACCCATTGCGTACCCGGGATTTTAGATGTGACGGATGAAAAAGCGTGTGAGGCTTATCATGTATGAGCTCCAAGTACAAGTCCACAAGTTCGTCACGAACGCCATCTTCCACCATCTCTACCCATACTCGGGGATATGATGGAGAATCAACAGGAAGTAACCGATGTTTTGCATTCCGAGTGAGGGACCAAGAGCAAGATTGCTGTCTCGTGGAACATTGTAGGCAGCGAGCATCGCGGACAGGATCTGGTGTGCATTTCCGTTTGGCTATGCGGCATTGACTGCACGATTTGGCGACCTTCATACCACCGGCATCGAAGAAGAGGTTGTGATCAGAAGATATTACCTATTGGAGGCCTGAGGCGGCTAAATTTGGGGTCCTAAAGGGGCACGTGGGGTTAAATGAATGGTCTCCTGTGATTGGTGGATGTCGAGTAAGGTTGTACTTTCAGCCATCACCGAACGTTCGCTTTCGACGGGGTTTAAACCAGGGAATTGTTATTTGGACCTCACGTTGAGCCTATACCTGTAGGAAGGCAAAATACTATGAGATCATGGATGTATTGGTTATACTACTAGTTAGACGGGACTAGTCTAGAATAGGAATGTAGAGCATACCTGAGGGCTCGAGGGTCATTCTATATAGAGCAAAAGATAGTTGATTCGATAATATTCGGGGACCTAGAATACGATAAAGGCTCATTCCGAGCCTTTTCCATGGGGTTTGATAGTTATACAGTTATAACACTGATAAGTTATAGAAGTGACTCGAGGACAATCTAAATTGTAGATTTACGATTATATGATCGTTTGTCCTTTTGAAATACTAAGCGCTAGTAATATCTGTTACACTGTTGATGATCTGCTAGCCTACATCTTTTACTATAGGAATATAGACTGTATTTGGAACAGCTTTAATAGCGTATTTTTGAGTTAGATGATCCGCTTACATTCCTTATATAGGCTTAATGTGAGGTATAAATAACAATCCCCTTGAGGTATTGGCCGTTGGGAAACGACCACAATCCTCACAGACGATATGAAACTGTACATTGGAGCCTCGATAAAATCGCTAGCCTGTTTCTTGTAATAGATGGGTGAACCACGGCTGAGTTCGAGCTTTGTAACGCTTTGCTGATATCTTCGGGCCTGTCGTTGGGTATGGATATGACAATGGATGTAGACATCCTGCGTCTCTGGCCTGATCGGGTCGCGCGGGGAAGACAATGGCGAATTGTGCTTTGGCCGGAGTTGGTGATTCAGAATTTCATACTCCGGTCGATGGGACCACCCCGATCTGATCGCCTCCAGTCGCTGTAGTTCGCTTCAACCAGCCCTAAAGCGGGCGGTGCGGTGGAACTTGAAGACGGCCTAACAGCAAATCCCGTGGAAGCATATTCATACCGCAGTTGGTAGCAGGTCTGTTTGCTGACGTTCATCAGCAGCAAGAGCTTGGCTCATATGCGTCGTACGCCACACAGGATCATCGTCAATGTGGACGACGGAAAACCCTTGGCGCTCCCAAAAGCTGATGGAGCCTGGTAAAAAGGGATGGGTATGCAGGTACATTCGCTGAATGCCTGCTTGGCGTGCTCTCTGCTCGAGAGCCGCGAACAATTTTGAAGCTAGTCCAATTCGGCGCCAATCGGGGTGGACATACATCCTCAACACCTCGACGACCCGTTCGTGGCCGAAGTCCAGTTGGGGGAAACGCTGGTCGTAGGCGACGTAGCCGATGGTGGCAACCAAGCGACCATCCACTCGGGCTGTGAAGAAGGCTCCGTCGGGATGTTCCAGGTAGCTTTGCTGGAAGTTGGCAAGTTCACGCTGGGCCTTTTGGAGGTGTAATGAAGGATCCAGCATTGAAAACATGTCGGCGCGGGCCGCCATGATGAAATCCACAATGCCGGGGATCTCATCTGGCTCGGCCAGGCGGATGGTCGTGGTCATAACGTTTAGAAGCTGGGCCAATTCTACCACAATAGTGTTCAGCTGGCCGTTTTTGAGGATTGAAAAGAAGTTCAATCTTTTTCGTGTGCAAGGCAAGGGAACTTGCTTGGCACGCCTAGTCAGCTATGGAGTACACGGTTGGCTCGCCGAGAAAAGACCCACCACCAACCGTGGGTTGCGAAATGTTGGTGGCGCGATTTTGTTCTCTTTTTTTATACTCGTTCCCCTTTCTTTCCACACTCAACTAACACCAAGGAAGGGACATGCTGATCCGATGGCTGTACCTAAATAAAAGGATGCGCTCAACTGATTCCCCGGCGATTTATCATAGGCGGCAGCCGGCTGTTGAACAAAACATCACAGGGGGTCTGAGAAGTCCTATAGGTGAAGAGAAGAAGTTTTCGAGATGAGTGTCTTGAAGCTCAAAGATGCCGGCAGCGGGCATCTTGGATGATAGTACGTAAATTTCGTCATTCTTATAAACCCTGCCTCTTCAAGCTTCCATGCCTAGCAACTGACTGATAGCGAGTGTAGACATCCTCTCAGGCCTAAGTTATTTTTTTCAATGCACTAGGCCAGTCTTAAGGCGCATATGGCGTGAGAGGCTTATAGTAAGCTCATAACTACCCAGACTGTGCTGCCTTTGTGAATGCATACGCACATCAAGAGCTTATGCTATCAATGGGCAACAGTTCTTTTCTCACATCGTTTGAGGTTGCCTGATTGAAAGAAGCACTAGATATAGAAGGGAAGTGGTATAACGTCTCATTCAAACTACCGGCATTAAAGAAAGAGGTTGGGGTTTAGATGATATTGTGGGGGGCCTGAGGTGACGAGATTCGGGGATTAAAAAGAGGCACGTGGGGTCAGATGAGTAGTCTCTTGTGATTGGTGGATGTAGAGTTAGGTTGCATTGTCTGGAGAGGTACCTTTTGTCTGTTCTGAACATACCCGAGGTACTTGCTCTGTACATGATAGTGCGAAGATCATCAGAACTTGCAATCCCTGGTCAAATCTCACGTCTTGGTCACCATCACCGGGAGGGGCATTTGTCAAACATTAGTTCTTGACTATCACCCCCACCATCGCAGGACATCGATCTACAACCCTGACCATCCAACCTCTCCGGCACGCGACTTGTCGTCATAATCAAAAGAACATGTCCCAACTCCCTGCTGAAGTGATTCTACATATCATCGAGTGTCTTATCCCATCAAATCATCCTGTCGCATTTCCACCAGTGCACCCGGTGACCCAGACATTAACCAGCCTCACGCTAGTATCCAGCCTCACACATCACACAGCCAAGCGGCTTCTCCTTAATCACTGCCTCTATCTTGACTCCGACAAACGGCTGGACCTTGTTCTTCCACAGCTTCTCACGGACGATGGAAATCAAAAAGTAGATCCGACGGGACTCTTTTTGGCGCCATTCCCAGGTGATAACCTGGAGGAGCCACACGTGGTAAAGCAGGTAGACCAACTTTCATTGCACATTTGTGGCAATCTACGGCGTCTCGTTATTGATGTCCCTCTACGGTACCTTTATCCTGATGAAGACGTACAAGGGTTACGAAAAATAATAAGAGCATCCTTCGTCCGCCTAACGCAGCTGGAAGAGTTCTGTTCTGTGCGAGACGAGATGTACTGCGATACTGTAGAGGATGGTATTGAGCCACCCGTATGGTCATTATGGCCACGTCTCAAACACCTTGCGCTATACAACCAAAGCGTGGAATGGCCTGCGTTTCTAAAGGCTCTCCAACAATGTCCGAACCTCACTCATCTGGTCCTCACACGGCCGGATAGTCTAACAGAGCCTTTAGACTCAGGTCTGGAGGATCTTAAATGGTGGTCATTCTTAAAACGCGTTGTTATTATAAACACTGCAAGAGACCACGAGATAGAGCTGGAACAGCGCGAGCCCGACTGGCCAACGAGCTTTCTGGGATACTTGCTGCGTCTTCAGCACCCTGACGGGGCTGCATCCAATATCTTGTCCCAGGACACCAATCCTGTGCTGGAATATATAACTGTGAATATTCCCCCTGGCCGAGAAGAGGATGATATCGATCTCTGTCAGGAATTCACCCATCATCATGCTGTTCAAGGAACACTGTGGAGCTACCCGGGATCTCGCTATTCAATAAAATGAATGAGGATCCAAATTGTATAATGAAGAAGGGCTCCATTGTGGAAGTGAATAATAATGGAATTTAATACTGAGCCACTGCTCTATTCCCCGAAATTCCTCCAATCTTGATGCCACGGCCTACAATAAGAAGACTTCGACATGAATTGTTTCATACATTCAACGGTTGAAATACAGTCGCGCCAAAGGTCATCCTAAAAATGCATTACCAGCTGTATCAAATACCTCAGACAAGATAGCACAATAGCTACTGATACCCAATAAGCATATGTTGAATATGCTAGACCATCCATACCAGTTATTTAAAACTCCTACCGATCCACCCTTATTTGAAACACTCCCCATTCTCAAAGTTCAACTTTGACAGCGGCCGCCCATAACACGTAGCTTTCCCGCTCTGGACACACAGATAGCTGGTTCCTTTACAGTTATGAGAGGACTTCCAGCCCAAACTGTTTTTGGGATCACACTTTCCCTTATACTTCGGCTTCGCCTTCTTAATTTTGGCACAGTTGGAGCAGTGACTGGGGGCGAGAGGATTAATGGCATCGGCATCAGTTTTGTCTTGGACATTGCCATCCTCGTCATCGTCCAAGGTATAAGTCGTGACAGTATCCCAATCCTCGTTTGTGTCTCGTACCTCGACATTGTTCGTCTCCTCGGTAGTTGACACCTCGCGGAGCTCGAGACTTTTGATTTTGTTCGGATCACATTGCGGCTTTGCGACGACGGCGATTACAAGGACGAGCAGGGCTATGTAGTAGATTGGATACTTGAAGAGCATTTTGCGAGAGTATTCCTGTGCTAGAATTTAGTTTTTTCTTATGGTCTGATGGGGGATAGATACTGCCATCATTTCAGGGCCGAAATAGGGAAAATAGAACAAATACAATAGAATTCAATGTCAAGATAACGATGAGATGGACTAAAAACTAAAGGAAAATGAAAGCAAACGCCTTGAGAGAAGAAGAGTGGGAATGGGAGGGCATACCGTCCAGATGTGGTGGCTATTGTCCAACGTTCGATGGCAGTACAAGATGAGAAGCGATACATAACTTGTCCCACGACCGAGCTATATATATTTGACACCACCCCAATATTTCTAGAGTATTATTCATACGACCCCAGGAACAGACTGTCTATGAGATTGACCCAACTAACCCCGAAATTCCCCGCTTTCGGTCAGACGAGCCGTATGCTAGAACTTTTCTACATTCCGTCAGTCATGCATATCGGATTGCACGGTCGATACTGTGGATCAAACATCCCAGTAATAAAGTCTAGGCTAGATTCCGGGGACTACTCACCCTCAAAAACCCCCTCTCGAGCTGGAAATGCCCGACGATACTGATGATGACCTGGGAGACAGCTAGGCGCTGCCATGCATAGCCAAGAATTGGTCTAGACCCATTGTCATCCGACCTTAACGTTGAATACGACGGTAAGAACATGTGTTTGTCAATATCAAACACACAACCTGGAGAGACAAAGAAAGTTGTCGAGTCAAACGAGAGTTTGGCAGCCTTGGGTTACATTGGATGTTTGGAGGCTGCTGAGTCTAGAGACCCTTTGGGACACAGCGAATGACATCTATGCCAAGGGCGTATTACAAATAGGTGCAGTCCTCGTCATCGAATGACGGCTCTCCTGTTTACGCCCCAGGATGGAGAGGAACGGGAGGCCTTGCTTATGCGCAGAAGCTATCCATGCAGGGTGGAGCTGAGGCAATAGTACTTAATGCGTATTGGTCGAGTTGATCTTAGAAGTGGAAGTCAATTAGCCTCAAGCATAGGCTGATCACCCGACCCCCAATAGGAGGGGCTATTATACATTTCTGAGGGGAAAGTGTCAGCATAAGCATGCTTTGCAGCAAATGGGTGGCCCTCCCGTGCAAAGCCTTCATAGCAGCATCCTGCAGCCATGACAGCCATGGTATATGATGGCGATTGGATGCTGCACTCTTGAAGACGAACGGATACAAGGCAGTCTGTAGGTTCCAACTCTTGTCAGCCAGATAACTTCCCACCAGCAGGTTAACTGATAATATTACATCTTAGCTCAGACAAATGCTAGGTCTTGGTATTCATGAGATAGCGGTGTAGTATTATCACATCCCCATGGGTGTGCTGTTACACTAACTTCCTAGATCTTCCCTTGGCACCTGTCTGGATGTCCTCTGTTCTATTTATCTTACTTTTGGCTGGCATTGATATCCTATAATTCTATGTATACTCGATCAATACTCTATACTATATACCAGCACTTGACGTTCATAATGATAGTAATATTATGTTTGTGGAATTCGCCTGAGATTATGCTTGCAGTCACACGTGATGAGATAAATAATAGGAGTTTGGACATAGTATACTAGGAGAAGTATCATGGCCTCTCGGCTGCCTTACACTGTCCTGCTTGTCTTTTGAGCGGCCTTTGCCTAAACTCTTGCCAACTATCAGACCATGTTGACTGGTCAAGGTTCGCCTTCGATGTCACCCCATCCACTCGAGCATCAGCCTCGTGCTGCGCCTTTCTCAGTCCTACCCTCTACACTCCCACCGTTGTTGTCGTCTCCCATGTACTAGTTGTATGGTTCATGTCCCCGAGCGAAACCGGAATCCCAGCCAAGCCGAGAGCGTCTCTAGCTACCGCTAAACACGACATGACTTAATGCATTCGAGGGCCTGCGGTGTCGACAGCACATTCTGCCAATGCAAGGACGGTAGGAGGACCTTTTGCGGAGCTTTATAACGTACTCAATTTGGTTACAGGAAACTTCTACCAGTTGAATCAGGATATGATGAACTGCCAGCCCCCGTGGACCATCATTGGTCCTAAATCCTCCCTTCCTGGATGGCGATGCTAGACAGAGTCTTGAGGTTTTACGAGAAATGTCTTTGATAAGAAAAGAACGATGTTAACGGGTTTACCGAATAACTGTCGTTACCGAGCAAATAGTCGAGTGTGTGTGATATGTATGTTGCACGGAGTCAGCTAAATGTTATTATGCCCTCTTCCAAGTTGTCCCTCTTACTCTTGTATTCGATCCACCTCTCTCCGGGTGGGTTTGAGCCCTGGAAAATTGCTGTCCCATTATATTTGCCCGCTTTCGCTTTGACGCCTATGCATATACCATCGAAAATAGCTCGCTTCTGGTCTTCTCGCCCTAGGTGTATCGTTTGTACAGTACTAGACCATGATGTTCGTTTAAGATTAATTTCTTACAAGGGCTCTGTAGGTGCATTGACTAGGGAACTCCCAGTGAGTGGAGGTCCACTAAGCGTCGGCTAAGCTTTACCAAGTATAGTTATGCAATTTACATTGGAGGATGCTGGCTCTTATGTTGCATCTTTGTACTCCGGAGTAGTTCGTGCAGCATAAGCCCGGTGGATCTGTATCGATTTAAGCGACATTGTTGTTTTTGCCTTGTGCATTTGCTATCGGTAAATTTTGAAAAAGGATGCCAAGGAGAACCAAGCCCCCACTAGGGCAGATTTCAGTTGGTCTCTCTAATAAACCATGGCTGGAACTTTACAGGATCGTTGCACTTTCGGTCTGAATCTGAGGAGAGCGGCCTCGCACTCGCTATTAGCAAATCTTGTCCCTTGGCCATAGGCGCTGCCCTTTACCTAGTGTTTTGCTCACAATTAGCTGTGCCTAAGTTCAAGTCCCCGGACTCTACCATCGTAACCTCTTATTTCGGCCATGGGTCTGTATTGTCGTAAGGAGAAATACAGTTCTTTCAGCCTGGGACTTGAAAGGGTGTACCGGCTGTGATGAATATACGTCAACAAGTTTATAGACAATGTTTTCTTCGTCTATACATATGAGGCGTATACTAGGATCATTATCGGATCTTTTACACCGTGGATACGGCTCCTGATATTCGACCCAAACCCAACCAATGGCGAGGCCTAGCCATGAGCTTACTGGGTTCTGATAGTATTATAGGTCTCGGGATAAGTCATAGAAACTCTGAGATGTCCTATCATTGAGTATTAACTGTTAACTGTTATGCAATCTCTCTGGCTCTCCAATACCCTCTCAACGTATTTATAGCAAATGATAGCTGTGATCCATACACAATCAGCACGACGATTGAAAGGAAAACACTCAAGGCCACGAGAAAGACGAGCGTCACTGTGGCGAAGATCCAGCCAATAGTATCAAATGCTGCCCATGTATGTGCCCCCTTGGTACTATGGATAACCTGTATACAAGATAAACAAAGATTGGTAGAAGCCCATAAGAAGAGCAACACTGGCGCCCAGCGGTGAAAATGCTGTCCCATCTGCCAATCCAGCTGATGATAATACAGAGGATGTGGAGGGACGAGCCACGCAACGAAGTTCAAGCGAGTCAACCGCAATTGGCCGTAGTGATATCGGTGAGCCACGGCAGCATCAGGGATGGCGCTAAAATGATGGATGAAGATCTGAAAGTCCCAGTAGCTAACACCTTCTGGGATGAGATGTTGCTTCACTGCAAGCTGAAAGTCTGACTCGTGGCATATCAGGTGATAGTAGCTGCGAAGAAAGCCAAGAGCATAGAGGCAGTTGCTTCCCAATGCACTAACGTCGTATAGCTGTGGTTGATGATTTCTTGAAAAGTATTTTCTCCAAAATGTATAATTGAGAAGACAATGAGGAATTGGCTTTAAATAAAGAGTGTTGTAATACCAGACCAGGTGGAGGTCTGGATTTTCAGTCACCACAATCTCGCGCCCTTTCCCAATATGCTCGTCTAGGGCGTCAATATGATCCCCAGACCTTCTTGCGATGAATGTCAAGTATGGGGAAAGTCTTTCAAGCATGTTTGTACGCAGTTCCCTAGCTAGGAATTTGTCGACCTCTTCTTGGTTTGGTGAAAGGATGGGGATATTCGGAACTCTTTCTTGTCTACGATCAGGTACATCTGGGATTAATTCATCCCGATGCCCGAATGGTGGAATGTGAATCACAGTGGTCATGGTATCAAAATTTTCGTGTTAATTATCAAAGACCACTTTATGGGGCCGTTGTGAAGGCTGGACACGTATTGCCGTATTCTCGGAGATTTCCTACCTGCAGGGCTGCGGCATCATTTATGTTTAATTCGTAGCTGATTTAATAAGACTATAATTTTGATTGTCTAGTCTATATATCTGTCTAATCTCCTGATTATTAGTTCCTTGGATCTAGTGGATTAACACTCTGATTCTTCCTGCTAACCTACTACGTAGTCAGGTAAGCTCCAAGTCCGGATCGAGTGAAATTTTGAAAGCTAATAGAGCGAACTAGAACCATCCAAAAGGAGGTATATATTATAAGTTACAATGCAATGAATCATGCTCCCTTTACCTTGGATTGTGACGGGTCAGGATCATTTCTTACTCTTTTGCCACCTCGTATGTAGCAGTCACGCCACTGTGCTGAAACAGCAAATGATATAACTTGACGAGTAAGCTTAAAATATTGCTTAAGCCTAGGCCCTACAAGAAATACATGAAATCTCACACCAGCTAAGGTCAAATTTGGCCAGTCAAAACAAAACCAAAGGCTACGGGTTCCCGCTGCTATTGGTAGCATTTGTAGCACCACCCTCTTAATTATGCTTCATATACTCTTTGTCGGCCAGCAGTTCGACCACATCAAAAGAAATATTCGAAAGATAACATATGGATAGCGATATTGTCGACAGACAGAAACAAGCGTGCCCATGTCTGGGGTCATGGTTGAACTCCATCTTTGGATAGTAGCTTTCGCAGCTGTCTTCTTTTTCAGCTTCTATTATAAAGTGATTGTCACTAGCACCGCCATCACTCGCTTGTACTATGTTACATTAATTAAGGGCTCTGGCCCAACTTTATATTATCCGACCAAAATACCCAAATTACTTTTCTTTTTCCTACTTGTCCTAGGGTGTCTCATTCTGTCACCTCTCCATATATTTGTCTTTATTCCTGGCATGCTCAATCTAGCAAAACAATCAACCGAAAGAGCATCATTCCAGCCCATCGAGGTCTTACACGATCCTGGTAGGGCAACACAAGTCGAGTAAGCTACATTCTATAATTCCTGGATTCCCAACCTCAGAACTACTTTTAGTGTTTTCGCTATACATGGTCTTGGTTCGAACCCGAAGTCTGCTTGGAGGGGTTATTCGCCAAATGGAACAGAGCTATACTGGCTCAGGGACCTATTGCCAAATGTTGATGGTATGGGAGAAGCCAGGGTTACCATGATTAATCACCAGACTAGCTACCTGGAAGATGCCGCAGTGATGGAATTCGAAGATCATGCGAAACGGCTCCTGGATGACATCGAGAGAGTAAGGCAAACTCATGAATTACGCTGCAGGCCGATTATCTTCATCGCACATAGCTTTGGTGGTTTGCTGCTAAAACAGGTGACATTTTACTATCAAGTCTTGCGCATTCTGCGAGATACTAATCGCCTTAATAGGCTTTAGTATATGCGAAGGAGCGTAAAAGCGAAATTGCAGTACAAACGAAAGGCATCCTGTTCTTAGGTGTTCCTCACTTAGGTACTAAAGCTTCGATGTTGGGGTCTCTTATTACATGCACGTCTTATTGGCGGGGTGCATCAACAAAGCTTTTGGAATACGTGTCGTTTAATGGGACTCCGGTGACACAACTTCAATCACAATTCGAAGCCGCATATGCGAGTGAAAAGCCTTTTTCCCCTTACATATGTGACTTGCTCGAGACAAAGGCAGAGAAAATATTGAACCTACACTTTAGTCTGGTAAGTCAGTTGGCTCAGTCAGTTCCTCATCAATAGTTTCCTAATTGCAAACAGACAGTTAGTAAATCATCGGGAAGTCCTGGACATGGAGAGGTCGTGCAACTTGATACTGACCATCGTGGTCTTAACAAATTTACGTCGATGGATGATCCGAACTTTAAAACTTTCGTGGACCATTTACTCAAGTGCTTCAAATCTGGTAAGTCACAGATGCTGAGGGTAGTAGCTTTGTCGTAAAGAAAAATGTGAACAACAAGGAACCCAAGTATATGGGATGTTTGCTGTAGTTAATCAGATGACGCTAATATTTGGCTAGGGAAGGCGGAGCAGATTCCCTTCCGCAGGGACAAGAACTTTGTAAATCGCCAGGGTCTACTAACCAGTATAGAAACAAGGATGGAGACAGAGCGAGTCGTTGCACTTTGTGGACCTTATGGCGTTGGGTACGTTGTGTCTACCTGTTCGAAGTTGCTGGTTAACGCCTGGTTTAGGAAAACTGCCCTGGCCGTCGAATATTCATATACATTCATGGAGAAGTATCCATGTGCTCACTTCTTCTGGGTCCATGGACGTACAATGGAGACGATTGAGATTGGGTTTAGGAATATTGCAAGGGCTTTAGATATCCCAGGGCACGATAATCCAGGCGCAGACATATTGAAGGCTGTGAAAGAGGGCCTTAGTAGAAGGACAGTTGGCCCATGGCTTCTTGTCTTGGATGGGTTGGATGATCGGAGAGTCTGCTTCAGTCTCTCTGGCAATCGCTCACATAGTAGTCTTTTGTGGCAAGCTCGGTTGATTGACTACTTTCCCCAAAGCGACGCTGGCCATATTATTCTTACCACTCAGGACAAACGAGTTGGGTACAAGTTCGCAGGTCTCAAGAATGTCGAGGAGATTCCTCCGTTAGAACTTATCGATGCACAAGATCTTCTAACTAACCTACTCCGACAGCCAACTACTGCCTGTCACGCTAAGGACACCTCCCAGCTTATGTTAGCCCTACAGGGTTTGCCGTTACTTGTCGTTAGGGCTGCTTCATATATTACAACTAGAGAGGTGACAATACGTCAATATCTAGATGTCTTTGAAGATTATGCAGCTGCAAAATACCTGAGTGAGGAGCATGACCTAGACCCGAATCTTCTTCCGCTCTCTGAAGATGCAATGAGAATGCCATCAAGGATCTTATATGACTCAGTCAAGCAGCATAGCCCAAGGGCATTGGAGCTCCTTTGTACAATCGCTATGATGGATGCACGATCGATCTCGATTGAGATCCTCCAAACGAGTTATGATAGCTCCGTCGCACTTCTTAGCGATATAGGTTACCTGAAAGAACTCTCTCTAGTCACAACAGACACTGATGGTGGCTATATAAGTCTACACAAGTTCGAGCATTTATGGATTGTCCGGTGGCTAGAACAAGAGGGGGATCTGGAAAGATGGCAAGAAAAGGCACTATATACCCTCCTTGAATTCTGTTCTTGCAAAGGAGAACGAGAAAGATGGAGCTGCCTGGATGGAATCTACCGACATCTTCAAATAGTGGTGGAATATGAGTTCACAAAAGGGAGTAGCCTACTGAAAAAGGCTCACCTTCTTCACCTTGCGGCAGAATCCAATTGGCAACGAGGCCAGGCGAGAACCGCGGAGACGCAGCTCAGAGAATCAATTACAATCCGGAAAAGACTCGACCCACAATATTCCAGCTATGTGACAGATTTAGCTGACCTGGCGCGTATACTGCATTTTGAGGGTAAGCTAATAGAAGCGGAGCTTATCTTCCGGGAGGTTGTGTCCTTAAACAGCAAGACGTTCGGCGATGAGCATGACGCAACCCTAAACAGCTTAATTCTGTTGACATCGGCGCTTATCCAGACGGAGAAGTACCGCGAAGCTGAAAGTATCCTTTCAGAGATACTCCACTCGAAATCAAAAACGAAAGCTAAGCAATTTCGCGATTTGGCAGCAAGGCATAATCTAGGTTGGAGCGCATACTTACAAAATAATCCCTCGAAAGCGCAGAGAATTCTCAAAGATGTCCTCCAAGAGAAAGAGCATACTTCAGGTATTGAAGTTAGAAGTATAGCGGAAACGATGACCCTCCTGGGCAGCGTCATGGCCCAAAGGCAACGTTATGCCGATGCAGAGGGACTATTCAATAAGTCTTGGAAACTATATGAGCAAGCCCTTGGAGCCATACATCTAAACACCATTCGGGCAATGGACCTATTAACTGGCACGTTATACAACTTGGGAAAATTGACCGAGTTGACTTACCTCCTTCCCGAGTTGATAGAAAGGAAAAAGCAGGTATTCGGGATGCTGAATCGGGACACCCTGGACACTGTGAACATGTTTGAAGTGATTTTGATCCGAGTGACGAAATACAACGAAGCAGGAGATTCTATTGCTCATACCCTACAGCTAAGTGAAGGTTTTCTTGGAAAGGATGATCCTCAAACCATCAGAAGCAAAATGAATTTGGCAGTAGCACGGTGCGGACAAGGGAGGAAGGACGAAGCACTTGCTCTAGTGCGGCAGGTTTTTGAAGATCGGAAGAGAATTCTTGGCCTCGACGATCCGCTAACAATCAGAACTAAAGAACAATATGGACAGATGGCTCGGGGCTGCGGTCCCGACAAGGAGGAATACTACGTGGATTTCCGGGACAGCATTGAGACAGATATCACGATCACTTTCTGTGGGCCGACAGCAGCGGCTACCACTTGATTACTACCCTTTGGCAGGCTTTAGTGTGTGCACAGGTATCTTCAGCTCTCATTGTTCTTTGTATTTGTTTTCTATTGCAACGGAGGGATCTACTACATAGGGTAAATAATCTGTTAACTGGGTAATGATACGTTAGCAAGAGTGTAGAGATATGTCTATCATCAACTGAGGAAGAGAATGAATACAAAAGAAACTGGTTCGTTTTTCTTTTCCTTCCTGTCTGGTTAACTAGCGTAAAACCCTCCCCTTTTTGTTGAGTCTTTGGGATCCTAAAACGTATTGAATGGATAAGGGACACTTTATCCGGCCAGTTCTTGAACTGCAAAAGCAGACCAGGACTATGCACGGTGAGCCCTGATTATAGCTGCTTAAGACATGGCTGATATATGAGATAATTGCGATTTTAATAGTCCGTGAGGATGGCCTTTAATTTTGATATATCATTCTGTTCCACGGTTCCACTCACTGGAGCCAGAACAAGATTGGTTGTAAATCGATACCCACCGTATGCTTTTCGCCATACATAGAGTATTCTCGTCTCTCACAATGTCTCTCAGCCACCTTTCAGAAGCGATATATACAATAGCATTTAAAAGAATGAACCAGCAATTAAATTTGCAAGGTCTTGGCAGGGTCCACCATGTGCTGATTTGCGGGGTTTGGCGGGGACGAAGCAAACGCTGGCGTGCAATCGTACTGGATGAAATGGTTTTCTGATATTTCTATTACTCACTCGGTCCCTCGAATTTAAGCATTTAAAACCCCTCCATGATCCCATCGCCACTTTTTTTTTTTTTTTGTTTTGCATTCGTTTCATAACTTGAAACTCTTTGAGTGTACACGTCGGCGTACCTTCGCTTCCACCTCCAGTGATAATAGCTAGTTTGTGGCCCCTCCGGTACAGAAGACATGTACCTCCCCACGATATAAAAGCTAACGTTTGCAGACTGGAGTTCGAATTCGGGAAGAGCGCACATATCAAGTCCATATCGCATTACCATCTTAGCAGACTTCCAAAACAGAACAGTATGGTCTCCGACTCAGACATCAACTACTTGCGCCGTTGCGTAGACCTAGCTCGTGAAGCTCTCGAAGCGGGTGATTCCCCATTCGGGTCCGTGCTAGTGGATGCCACCGGCAAGATTATCTACGAGGATCGCAACCGGACCGTAACGGAAGCAGATGTCACCTGGCACCCGGAGTTCACCATCGTCAAGTGGGCCCAGAAGAACCTGAGTCCGACGGAGCGCGCTGCTGCCACAGTCTACACTTCTGGCGAGCACTGCCCGATGTGCGCGGCTGCTCATGCAAACGCGGGCTTGGGACGAATCGTTTATGCTAGCTCTACTGCTCAATTTGTGCAATGGAGGATGGAGATGGGCATACAGCCTGGCCCGGTTGCCCCATTGCCAATTAATCAGGTGGCACCTGATCTGCCCGTTGATGGTCCTGCTCCGGGTCTGGATGAGGAGGTTCGGGGGTTGCATCAGGAAAAGCAGGCTAGAAATGTATCATGAGAGTTTAATTATGAAGCGAAGGAGTTGGAGCATTTAATATCAAGAGCTATTCCCTATGGATTGATACATTCTACCTCCATTCGTAGAACATCATGATGCAACTACTACCTCTGATACAAGCCTCCAACACAGTGCAGTAAAGGAATAACTTAATTCTAATGAAGTATAACTTTCCCGTCTTTGTACAGTTGTCAGCCATGCTCTTGCATCGGCATTTGGGCCGCTAATATGAATTAAACCGGGCGAAAATGGATATATATACAACAACCACATAAGGCATATCAGAGAATGTGTTACTATGGATCATATCTCACGCCTTAGTGCCTAGACTCCCCCTAGAGTCACTTCCGACCGTCGTACTAGGAGGTAGTAGGGCGCCAACAGGCGCCAAGTCGTGACGTTTCATTGGTCCCAACCCTTGCAAGCAATATCGCTAATATGCAACAAGGCTGCGCCGCAAGATTGCCCCTGAATAGTTATTCTCTGATATACGCTAGGGATTTGGGAAATTGAAAGAATGTCCCGCTTACCAGCGATGAATTAAACTGCGTTCCGCTGCTCAAGCGCTACATTCAAATCCATATTTGCCCATATGTGAATTAAAACGCTTGGGAAAGCAGGCAATGTTCTTAGCGACGCGTCAGTGGCTTCTTCTGGCAACAGCCGTGAGTCTTGTGCTGTTCCTGTGGTATACCCAGCGGATGTTGCTATCTCAAGACCGAGAGACTTCGACGGTCTCGCTGCTAGCCCCGACACTGACACCGACACCAACACCAACACCAGCTCAGCTGGTCTCAACTACGCCTCAATCTCCCGTACAGAGTGCAGGAAACAGCACCTTAGGTGTAAGTACAGTGCCACGATGGACATTTTTCTGTCACAGCATGCTAATAACAAAGCAGTTTCAATCCATCCTCACACTTTCCACTGGTCCTTCATGGAGAACACGAGGATTACTAGCGGCGGCAAGCCTTACGGGGTTGGAGATCCAGATTCCACCTCAGCCGCCGATCAATCCCACTCTTGTTCATGCTTTCGAGCACCTAGGGCCTGACGATGTCGAACACCCAAGCCATGGTGCAAGTGTCGCCTGGCTGGCGCATCTTGATTTAATAAAACACACCATCCAAGCGAACCTAGACACAGTCCTTATCATCGAAGACGACGTAGACTGGGACGTGTCAATCCGGTCGCAGATGGTGCAAATCGCGGACAGTGTACGCAACCTAACCCATATCGACAATCTTGATCAGGATACCGCACCTTACGGTCGAGACTGGGAGGTCCTCTGGATCGGCCATTGCGGCGAGTACTGGGAAGAGCAGTTCGAAACGATTCTATATGACGATCCAACTGCGTGCCCACACAGCGACTATTTCGGCTGGGCAAAGCCGTATATTGACCGTTTGCCGGATCGCCAACGCGCCATATACCGCTCAGTTAATCCCGTCTGTTCGTTTGCATATGCCCTATCCCGAGAGGGCTCTCGGAAAGTAGTAGAACTGTTGGGCGGGGCGCAAGACGAGGCTTTCGATGTGAGTATGATGCATGCTTGTAAGGCGGGTCAACTCAAATGTATTTCGGTTGTGCCCGAGGTTGTTCATCAGTATTTTCCGGCCCAGTCGTTTGGCGTGAAAAGTGCTGTGGATATTGGCAATGGTCAAACGCCGGGTCCCGAGGAAGCAGAATTTGAACATGTAATGGGCTCGACGGAGAACATCCTTGAAAGTGCCCGCTGCCGTGCGTTATGGGGCCAACGGTGCTTGAGGAAGCAGTGATTTAGATATTGTTTATCTCATATACTACGATACTGGTGCCCTCACGCAGACATGGCAGGCAAAACTATGTCATATTATTCAAGTACCGGTATGGATCTAGGATCAGCTATCTCGGATTACCAGGGTAGCATGGTAACTATTAGCGCAATCCCGACATGTAAGAAATGACTCTAGTCACCATAGTATGAGTGCGTTCTTGGGCAAGCGTCGAGGTGAGTAATAGAAATTCAACCCCGCATTTTCTCGATAGCCGAGCCGACGACCAAAATCGTCATTAAACTTATGCAGGCAAACGGCAGCCATCGGATAACCCGAACACCAACACGCATCTCGCACAAACATCTCGACAGTCACGGCATATACAAGATGTCTAATGCACCAAATACTGCAGGCAATGAGAGATTCAATGCCGAAGCAGCGAACTGGGATAATAACCCCTCCGTCCAAGAGGCGACTCGCCTCGCATACGAGACACTCCGACCCCTCATCGAGAATGTGTCAGGGGAGAAACAAGGCACCACAGGAACCGGCTTAGATGTTCTCGAGGTGGGCTGTGGAACAGGCTTGCTGAGCGTGCGGGTAGCACCTCTGGTCCGCGAGATTGTCGCCGTTGACACGGCAGAGGGCATGATTGAAATGCTCAAGACGAAGACGACGCAGCCTGGCTCTCCACGAAATATTGTGCCTATTTGCAAGTTGCTAGAAGATCCCGAGGACCCTGTTCTTCCCTCCAGTGATGAGAAGAATCCCTCAGCAGGTCGGAAAAAGTTCGATCTGGCCTTGTCGCATCTGGTGCTACATCATATTCCCGATCTTCGGCCTTTTCTCCACATGCTCCTAGGCTGCCTAAAGCCCGGGGGAAGAATAGCTCTGACAGATTTTGAGGACTTTGGTCCCGAGGCGATCAAGTTTCACCCCAAGTCCAAGTTGGAGGGTGTGGAACGGCACGGCATTCCGCGTCAGTGGATCGAAGACCTATTGAAGGAGGTTGGTTTCGAGCAAGTCAAGGTATGGGTCGGATGGAAACTGGATAAGGATATCGAGGGGTGGGAGGACGATAATGCAGGCCAGGATGGTGGCAAGAAGACGATGCAGTTTCCCTTTCTCGTGTGCGAAGGAGTGCGTCCATGACACAACCCAAGAGAGTTACCGATCTCACCAGACGGGGGTAAGCTACACTGTGACTTGGTTGTGTCTGTCTATAAAGCATGTACCATAGTAGAGTCGAGAATAATCCTACAATCCATGCAATACACCTGCAGGTCCCGGTCGAAGGCAGCATGCTTTACTGTTCTCGAAATTATTTGATGCATATGTCTACGGCCTTAGTTTACTTTGTTGTATTTCGTAGTCGACAGCACCGGGCAGTGTTTCAACTCTCCACAGCAAGGTTCAAGCTCTTGTATGAGTGAGCCAGATCATTCATGACTTTCGGCCATCGCACAAGTTGTAATCGCCGAACTGTGGAGACGAAAGAGGTCTGTGCTTCAGTCTTGTCCATGAATATTCGAGAATCGATGTATGGCGGAACACAACTGCTTCCATTCATATGCAACCCAGGCCACGGTGTGACACAACTGTCCTTAATGCTACGTGGTAAGATTTTGAGCTAATAATATGAATACATATGGGGTCCAGTACCTCGAACCATACACTAAATTGTCGACCAGCTAACCACGCTAAGCCTAATTTAGTATCCTGATAGTTCTCAAAGTGGTGAGAATGGAACTCTTTAATATTATTTCCTCAACCATTACCTCTTAATGGAGAGATAGATACTCCGTAGTCTGACAGGCGAAACTCCTACAAATGCAGTCTACCTGCCCTTCCATAGGGAATTCAGACGCTAGTCAAATCTGGTTAGCCTGTCTACTATTTAGTAAAGAAAGCACGGCTTTCCGGTCTTTGGGGTCAATGTCAAGCAAACGCCGAAATAACTTAATTTTCAAGCATCCGAGGATTTCCTTCGGCGATTGCTAGTTGGCCGTAGATATCCGGGGCTTGGTAGAAGTAACACGGTTCAACGTCGTACGAGGGTAGACAGAGCATAAATACACCCCGCTAGCCTGTCAGCAACAGAAGATTTCTGTCTGTCTGTCCCATCCATAGTGATATAGATCGGAATTTATCATTCATCCCCTACCCCAAATAACCAACATAATGACCCTGGCAGGAAGCTGCATGTGCGGTGCAATTGCATACGCCTCTAGCTGTATGTACTGGATGTTACATAGTAGCCCTCGCTACCGTGAAGACTATACTAACATCATTACCATTCTAGCCGAGCCTCTTGTAACGGCTTTGTGCCACTGTGTTGATTGTCAGAAGGTATGTCACAGGTCTCGGATCTCAGCTATTCTTCTGCACTCTCGATCGAAGTGCGTGGAGCATGGAATAACCGTGAGATATAGTGGACCGGTGGCGCATTCACGTCCAACGTAATCGTTCCCCGGGATTCGTTCAAAGTGACAAAAGGTACCTAGTTACACCATCCTCGGTTTATCTCACACATATTTATGGGGCGTTTTGCTCATGTTCGATCATCGTGGCTGAGAACTGCTACAGGAGAACCCACGTTCTATGATGTCACTGGAGCCTCGGGCAAAAACAACCGGCATTTCTTCTGTAACAAGTGTGGGTCTAGTCTGTTCACAGAATTAGATCTCATGGCCGACAAGACTGTCATCAAGGCCGGTACTTTGGATGATGGCGAAGCGAACTTGCGGAACAAGGTCGATGTCGAGTTCTATACTAAAGACCGGGCGTCGTATCTCTGTGCTGTGCAGGGCGCTAAGCAGGAGCCACTTCTAGGCTGATTAGATTGACGCAGCTTCCCCTGAAGCAGGGCGATGAGGACGTGACTGTAGGGCACTCCTACATAATGATAACGACCGTGGGGATGAGTATGACTTGGACATTTGGTGGCGATGTGTATCTTATAATGTCATGTAGTAGTATGCACGGTGTTGTGGGGTTGCGGTGTTGAAGATACCATGCATTGAGGAAGAAGCTCAACAGCACATATGAAATACCACATTATGTTAGTCAACAACCTATTTACTGAAAGTGTAGATCACTCTGGAAGTGGTAAGGACCTTGGTAACTCATTAAACGATTCACCACACCAAGGGATCCAGCTGTGAAAAGGGCGAGAAAGTTTAGAACCGCGGCCTATTAGCCGGGTGATAGATTCTCCACTACCTTGATCATCCTTCCGCCAAAAGCGAATTTTAATATATGGATATGGCTCGTGGCTACATCTAAGGGACCCACCAAGGAAAACATAGACTTGAGCCATGAAATTGCATACCATTCTAAGAAGCATGGATATTCCCTATTGTACTTGCACTGTGATGTGGCGCTCTTCCTGATAGTTGCCTTGTGGATTGCCTCATGTATCAACCCTACGACATACGCTTGCATATGAAGCATGACCACATACATGTTGCAGAGACATTAGTAAAGCGGGATGTTGCAGTCTTCTCCCATGATTAGACAATTAATCACTCAGTATCAAGACATAACACAGCATTACTAGGCTTGTAGAGCGCCTATAACTCCCAGCCGTGGGAATCCACTAGCACAATAATATGCATATAATCCACTGTGCAAGAGGATGCTGATGGGACCATACACGCCTTACATATTGTACCCAGTAGCGACGACAAATACGCTAAGCCTACAATTGCTCTGCATAACGGTTCCGATCGGAAGTCAAAAGAGTCTTCTTCAGGATCGTGGTTTGAGAAGTCTCTTCACTCGTAAAGCATCGGAGCCATAGTGGCAGAGCTGTGCACCACTAGAACACCAATCAACATAGCCGCAGCCCGAAGAGTCGTTGGTCGTATCTTCAATGTACCGGGGTTGCGCATGTTCATATCCAAACCCTCAGCGCGTTTGCCGTTGGATATCTGCGGGCTGTTCTCGGCAAAATCAGGAATGGCGCATCCTTGAACCCTAACAGGCCAGAGGTTAGGGTGTTGGGAAAGGTCGGTATATTCGCAAATGTATGCATTAATCTAGGGAGTACTTGCGTGCGACATGTCATATTCGAGGCTCTGTCACTGTAATCTTACATCATCCAAGCCAATGAACATCACCCAGCCACACCATTCAGAAACAGCGACCTGGCCTTGTGGTTGACTCACCCAGTGGGATGCCTTAACCAATCCACAAATCAGTACGATTTGGAGGACGGGCACCGTGAAAGGGACACCCAGTGACGTATCAAATGCCAAACAGGGCTGACGACCCCGGCAGTAGGGCCGGCCACGTCCTGCAGCCCTCAGCTAGTAAGCCCAACTCTATTATTATATGAATTTGCAATTCGTGCAGGGTATTGGTCAACTGTGTAAGGCCCACAGGGAAAATCGAATGTTGCCCTCTGCCCTGCCTGAGTCACCGTATCTTACTCCGCCATGCTAGATAACACTCTTGTGGTATCATTTCTCTCGCTCAGAATGGCATTTCTAATATTGGGAGTCAGGCGTCCGTAATATGAATGACTATTCACACCTGTCCCTTGGGTTGCCCGACAAATGGCCTTGCAGATCCTGGCAACTTGTTGCGGTGTACGATGTCACCGCCAGTACGCCCAAGGCGCTACTGCGAGGCTATTGAGATGATGCGTGGATCTGCAAACTCAGCCATGCATAATGCCGCCGCCATGCATTTCAAGGCGGGCCAACTCATCAGACCGTGTGGCGATCATCCGGGCGGCCGACCAAAGGGTCTCCACAGACCCTGGATGACAGCCTTATAATGGAACATCCGTGCTGCTACCACTCCTAGATCGATCACACAAAGTTCGGTACAGTACCTACCACAGTCATGTCTAAAGAGATTGATCCATGCGGGTGCGACGACACTGCACCCACTCGGGAATTGGTTCTCTGCTTCGACGGCACCGGAAATACCTTTCGTGCAGATGGAAGCGAGACCAATATCCTCAAGATCTTCCGCATGCTTGATCGAACCAAAGATAACAGATGTGAGTCGTGTTGAACATGCAGTACTACTTTATGGTATACTAACCCGTGTAGATTGTTACTATCAGCGTATGTGACTATGTTGAATACTCCCTGCAAATCTCAGTCTCACACACAATAGCTGGCATAGGAACCGACGTTACCGCCGGGTCGTTTGCAAGCCTAGCATACCAGCCCTTCACCAACCTTCCGACCAAAAAGATTGTCGATCAAGCTCTGGCGACATCTTTCAACGAGCATGTTATCTCAGGCTATCGCTTCCTCGCCCGCCGATGGGTCCCCGGGTCCAGAATCTATCTCTTTGGATTCTCGCGAGGAGCATACACAGCTCGCTTCCTAAACGAGATGCTGGATTATGCAGGTCTTATCTCCGCCGATAACGAAGAAACCATTCCATTTGTTTGGGAGGCGTTCCTCCGATACAAGTTTGCGGATCCTGGCAAGGAACGGGATGACGCAGAAGCGTCTCTGCGACTCAGTCGAGAAACCATGTGTCGGTCCCCAGGACTCGTCCATTTTCTCGGACTTTTCGATACTGTCAATAGTGTTGCTGAGTTCAACCGCGATGTCAGTAAGGACAACGAACTTCAGCCGAGCCCGAAGATCATGCGACATGCGGTCAGCATTGATGAAAAAAGAATCAAATTCCAGCCCGTTCTATTCGATCCACCACCCATCGGCGGCACAAAAGCAAGGACCCATCACGTCAGCACATGGGCTGCAAACGGGGAAGCTGCTATCTCCGGGGTTCCTCATCCCGAGGTCAAGGGGGACTTTGAGGAGGTATACTTTGCTGGAGATCACAGTGATGTGGGGGGTGGATGGCCATCTCATAAGACCAAGGCCAGCCAAATACCCCTTATGTGGATGGTGCAGGAAGCCATCATGGCCGATCTCACATTTGACCCGACCCAGCTCAAGAAGCATGATTGCTTCGATCCAAGAGTGGAGGACTACAATCGCGACGTTGTTCAGGCTGCCGAGCAAGCCGAGATCCATGACTCGCTTGGCTACGATTTTGGGAGAGGGCTCGAGGTTCTCTTCTGGCGCATGATGGAGTATATGCCCTTCAAGCGTCCAAAAGTCTCACCTGATGGGGAGGTCACGGAGACCCGATGGCACGGCCGTGGCTTGCGAAGGCCACTGCCCCCAGCAGCCAAGATTCATTCCAGTGTACTTCACCGATTACGCTATGATCCTGAATACAAACCCTACAATCTTGGAATGGGGAATAAAGGCACAGCGAAAGAGCAGCGCGAAGAGCAGCGTGAGCTCGGGCAGTGGAGACGAATCGCGCACGGTAAGCTCTGTGAATACTGGGTGAAATTGCCCAGGAATCGGGAGTGAGACACCTGTCTGTAATTGTACATTCCTCGTTCTTTCCATCCTGTTGTATACTTTGTTTAGCGTTGTTTGGACTGTACTCTAAGCGTGCTTCAATGTCTATCTTTCTCTCTTTCACCCTTCCTCAACTTGCACAGTCTGTACCGCAAACTTGGACATGGAAACGAATATAGCCTACTTCTAACATCACTCAGGCCATGGATATGGTAGATCTGAACCTTTCTCCAGCTCTCCATACCTGTTATTCCTAATCTAGCAAACACCAAGCTTCCTTCATTCCACCCTAGTTGGACCATCCGAAAGACTCGGAGGATTGCGTTGGCACCGCGTCAGGTCGGTGATGTCATTTGGCATGAAAATACCCAATCCCTCTTGAGGTCTCTGTGTATATCTAAGCTAGTAGACGACGCAATCTCTATTCCCCACTGATTGCCTTCTTGTGTCTCTTATTCACCAGTTGTATTTCTTCCGGTTGATGGTACATGTATGTGCACTGATCTTTCAGCCTGCTTATGGCTCGATTGCACCATTCGAGACCGAATCTTCAATGTTCGCGGATCATAAACCAACAAGAGAAAATCGGTCTCCACCACCAGGCAACAACAAACTTGACCGAAGGAGGACGTACGGCGTATGTCCTGCCCTATTCAGCACAGTCAATCTCAGACTCTCCAATCCGAGGTCGTAATCAATAAACTGGGGTCACCGTGGTCAGCTGATCTTTCAGCCACGAAGTGCAACAAGGGGCCAAAAAGCACGCGAGTCGAGTCGTCCACCAATCTGGGCCCTAACATGGCTGGCTATTGGAAGTTTGGAGCGCTACTATTGTGGGGGCCAAAAGGCCATACTTCGATGTTGCTGTCAATCCAAAGGCTTGATTTTGAGGCTCTTTCGGAGATTCCCGACCGTCCCCCCTCAGTCTCAGTGCTTCCATACGTCTTCCATAACGGCTTCGAATGGTATCACAACCACTGTGACCGGGCGTTGTATTGCCTAATTGCAGTATATGTATATTAGTAGCTGTTCTCAGGCGCGCTATCTATTAAATTCATTTGTTACCTTGATAGCAGGGAGCACTTCTATTCTTGCTCACCCTTGTTATTCTCCTCCTCTTCTCCTTTTTTTTCTGGATTTTGATTCTGCGACGCTGTCAGTTACCTGCAGGCCCAGTGCAGGTTGTGTGTTTCTTCGTCCCAGTTTTGGAAACTTGTTATAGATTGCCATGGCTCCCGTGGAGGTGCCAGTATCCAGACGGCGTAGAGCCCATCAGAAGCGATCCAAGACGGGCTGCCGTACCTGCCGGTAAGAATACAGTTAAATTATCTCGATACAATGTGGCAGGTCTAACAGCTCACTGCTACAGTGCTCGTCATATCAAATGCGACGAATCACCCGGTAACGTGTGCCAAAACTGCACGTCGACTGGTCGCATATGCGAAGGATATGATATGTGCCGGCTGCCTCATAAGCGAACTGATGTATGTCTTCCTGACATTGCAAACCGTCTGTGTTGGATCATGAACTCGGACGAGAAAAGATGTTTTTCATACTTCCATCATCACTCAATCTCCAGTTTGATTTCCTTCTTCGACTCACCCTTGTGGCAAAAGCTTATAAGGCAACTCAGTCACACGGAGCCTGCGGTCTATCATGCCGTGAATGTGCTCGGTGCGGTTCAAGAAGACTCAGAGGAAAATGACATGCGTCTGGCAGGCGTCAACCTATATCGCCCTCGACACCGATTCGCCCTTGAACAGTCTGCACGATCCTATGCTCTTCTCAATAAACGACATGCATCTCATGATCCGCAGTTGAAAGAGGTAACTCTAGTATGTTGTCTGCTGTTCACATTATCAGAGCTATTACTCGGGCAGTATAATTCAGCTTTGCGGCATCTCCGGAGTGGCCTGAAAATCTTAAATGAGGCACCAACTTACACTCACTGCTTATCAGCCATAGACCAGTCTTTGGTCGAAGCATTCGTGCGGTTGGACGCACAGTCCTCGCATTTCGGAGCGGATGGACCACTTTTGCATCTCAACAAGGAGGGAGAAGAGGCGTGGTCACATAGCGATACAATGCCACTACCTCGAAATGTGCAAGAGGCCCGACGGGAACTCAATCACGTATTAAGCAAAGGCATTCCCTTCCTCTCCGAGTGTTGGGCGCGTTCCAGTACGGAAATCAGGCTCAACTATGACTCAATGCACTTCACGCAACAGAACCTTCTTGCATCTCTGGCTCAGCATAAGCAGCGATTCGAATTGTTCTGCGAAGAGTCATATGCCACGCTCAGCCCGAAGGAACAACGAGGGGCGGGAATAATCCGATTGCACTACCTGGCTCAGATCTTGAGTATCAAAACCTGCTTTTTCCACGGGCCGATTCCGGGATATTTGACCCCTGAATACGTGTCCTTATTATCCGCTCACGAAGCGCTCATGGTGAAATTTCCGGAGCGTTCCACAACCACGCTGGACAATGGCATCATCCCAGGACTGTATGTTGTGGCATCGAAATGTCCCGACTATCGTGTGCGCTTACGAGCAATTAAAGCTCTCCAGTCTTGGCCACATTGCGAGGGCTTGATAAATTCCAACATAGCTGCTTCATTGGCCTTGGAATCTCTCAAACGAGAACTCATGGAAGGGAACAAGAGTGAGTTATCCCTCATAATTGGGGATAACGAAGTAGAGTTGGTTCGCTTCTTGTTTGACACCCTAAGTTGCACAGAACATGCTGCACACTGGTCGATGATTAAAGCTTCTAGAATTCTGCAGGACGGGCTATGAACCACAAACACTGTCCTCCGGAATCGATACCATTTGCCTGAGAGCACTCATAGGCATTAACAAGTTCGAAAGCCTGGTACCTTCTCACGAAGAACAATACTTTGCGGAAGCAGGGCTGCGATAGTATAATTCTATAACATCACCAAGGGCAGATATCCCGATACACGGCACATATTAGCAATCTATTGTCATTAGGATTCTATCCATAACTAGGCGTGGTACATTGTATAACCGGAGGAAACCACGAACAGAGGAGAGCGAAAGATGACAATCCCACTGTCGCTTACCCATTGAAAAAGTTCATTATCCCAAAGTAGCCTCAAATACCGCAGTACCAAAGCCCGCGTCAGACTTCCAAACTTTGGTGACTTTGAACTCCGCCCTCTCGAGCAGGTCAATCCATTGCTTCTCCGTTCGCTCGAGGGCGGAAAAGACCTCCATCATATGGAGATCCAGTGTTGCGGATAGAGCAGGTACATTGGCACCTTCGGGCATTACATGCTCATTGATGAGGAGGATTGAGTCGCTGGCCATCGCCTGGCGGATGTGACGCAGGACTTCCAGCGCCGGCTTGTCTGGCCAGTCATGCAGGACCGTTCGCATGTAGTAAGCCTTGGCATCTTTAATCGCCTGTCCCTCGAACATATTAATCTTGACAGCACTGATTCCTTCGGGAAGCGGCTCTTTAATATCATCAATGACTTGTGGGAGGTCCTCGACAATGTATTTGCCTGGCAGTTGTGGGAACCGTGCCTTGAGTGCTGTAATATCATGTCCCACACCACCACCGACGTCGACTAAGGCAACTCGCTCTGGAGCTACCTGTAGCTTGTCCAGAACTGGATAAAACTCGAACCACTCAACACCGTAGTGTCGTTTGGTCTCCGTCATGACGGAGTTGAACACACTTTGTATCTCAGGTCTTTTGCTCATCCAGTCGAAGTAATGCTCGTTCGTTTGATAGGCCAGCTGAAAGGGGGCATCATAAGCATCTGAAGGGTTCTTGTAGCCCCTCGCCTCGAAATATTCAAAGTGTTTCGAGGTCATTTGCATATTTGTGTAACTAGTTCCGTTAGGATTAGGCTGGTGGCGACAGGTGACCTGACTTACAAATGCTTGATCATATCGCCAGGCACTGATCCAGTTCCGAACAGCATGGCTGTCTGAGAAGGCCGGTATGCTTCGGAGCTAGTTTCCTTGAAGATGTCATGGGAGCAAAGGAATCGCATAATACGTTCTAGTCAATGTTAGGGTTTCCCTTTCTCGATATAACTCTTTCCAGTGCTGCAGGGCACATACTTAGAAGCTCCACGTCCCCTTTCGTTTTTGACGAAAGTTCTGCCAAAGTCATCTCGGCCCCGTTGGATGTGACAAAAGCATCGAAGACTCCCATGCCCTGGGCAACCCTGATTCCGGCAATTCCATAGTGCTACTTGGGTCAGCAGGTATTCAGTTACAAAGGAAATTCGGCATCTTCTTACCCCAAAACAGTACTTTTGGATAATCTGGACCGGAGTCTCCAATGCGGACTGAAGCTGACCGATTGCCCCGAGAAGCTGCATACGCTCCTCTTCTTTAATGTTCTCTGGGGATGGGAGATTTGCCAGTGCGGACTTGAGAGTGGAAGTAAGATCCGACAGTGAGGTCGCCATGGTGGAGACTGTTGAAATAGGTGTATATGAAAATGTTCGAGATGATACAGGTGTGTACTACAATAGAAAGACCAGAGGTAGGCTGGGCTGCCACCACCTTTATATATTATACCAAGTTCGGTCCATATCCTTGCTTCGACCGTAAACACCGGACTTCGGGCTAAGAATCCTGGAATACCCCGAAGAACCGGGAACGATATGATATAAATGCACCGACGAATGACAGTTCATATTTGTTCAATCGCTGTTGGATCTAGGCTCATGGACTTATAGTGTTATTAAGAAGTCACCTATCATGTTCTAGACTTAAATATAGTAGGTTTATAGTCCTGGAAATCGGAAACGTCAGCAAACCCCTCAATATCCTAATATGGTTTAGCTCGATATTGTATACGTTTCGACCAATCAACAGCTGTGGGTATGGTCTGCGGGTCCGAGGTCAAATCACCAAGTTACCTGGCAGTTGCAGGCAATGAATGCATACCCACAAGCAATCATTCAGATTCCGAGTGTATAGATATAACCTGTGGAAATGTGTCTTGGTAATGAGAGAGCCTAATCCTTACTTGACGGTGTGGTCAAGTGATGTCCGTTGTTTCCCAGCTACTAGTGTCAGTCGTCAAACCCAACAAGCAATTATATATAGTCATTTAATGAAGCATGAACTTCTCCATGCTTTTAGACGACCAGGAGTTTGTTCGTCACGTCACTTCCCCATATTTACCAGACTGATCAAGAACGGTTCAATGGCCGCAGAATCTTCTTAAAGTACTTAGTATATACTATGAGAACAACCAGCACAATACCTGCAGACTGTTCGAGCATATCCTGCTGTTCTCAGACCTATCGGGTACGTCGAGAGTTTGCCGAAGCCAGATGTATATCTTTTCACATATCAAACTTGCCAATTCGCCTTTCCTTATACTCTGTCACTAGTCTAGAAGGTCATATACAAGTCCAGAATTGGCCTTGTTCCGAACTATGGGGGTGGCGAGGATGATGTATGACAGTGTGGAGAAGTGGACATGCCAGTATTTTAAGCAACAAATGGACAAAAGCTGCCACAGGTAAATAAGATATAATGACGAAAGAATCTCCACATCTATCCATGCATTCTGTTATAATCACTACGTATCGGGAGACCCGCGTCCCCAGACTCGGCTTTTCCGGCTACCCCGGATTGTCCACGATCGTCCAATGATTACTGAAGAATGTTGGCCTCTGCTGCTCTCAAGCCTCTCCTTAACGCCTTACCTATCACTATGTTGACCGGTGTGCAGCGACGATCCACCGCCGGGGGTTTTTAAAAACCCGCCCCTCTGCCGGCCCATGCGGACGCTTCGTTTTTGCTTGCTTTGGAAGTGGATCCGACTCGCCCAGTACGCAAGATGACAGAGTCAATCAAGGAGTCCATTAGCCATCTCGAGACTGTTGTAGATGAACGGGGGGTTACAGGCTCTCAGGAGATAAAAGAGCCGAATGTTGATCCAAATCATCCCCAGGTTCGCATAGAAACTGTGAGTTTTGGCTGCCGAGCTAACGTCGATAATCCCAGAACTGGTCTACTGCAGCGAAATTATGCACATATCTTACCGTCTGCTTCTACACCTTCCTCGGCAACGTAAACGGGAGTAACTTCACGGTCGCGACTCAAGCAGTTATCAAGGAATTCCACGTTTCGCAGACCCAAGCTGGCGAGCTCGTATGCTTTAACGTCTTCCTGCTAGGCTTGGGAAATGTCTTCTGGGTACCACTGATGCGCGTCGTCGGCAAGCGACCGGTCTATTTATTGTCTATGCTATCACTCGCTATGATGAACGTCTGGTCTTCTCGTGCATCGAGCTATGGGGAACTGCTGGCTTCGCGGATCCTATCGGGTTTTGCGTCTGCTGCCGCAGACGCGACGGTGCCAGCGGTCGTGTCAGACATGATACCACCGCAGGATCGGGGTCATTATCTAATGTTCTTCCATTTGGCTCTAACGGCAGGACTTTTTGTCGGTCCCTTGATCAACGCATATCTGGTTCAGGAAGAGGACTGGCGATGGATGTGTTATTTTCTAGCCATCGCCACGGCGGCGACATTTGTTACTGCCATTTTTACTGTTCGCGAGACCACGTATCTTCAAAAGAACGCATTCGCCCCGAAGCGCAAGCTGTGGCAGTGGATGTCTCTGACAGGGGGATATAACCCGGATGCGTCATTTTTTCGAACCGTGTCAGATATTGTGTGCAATGTAGCGTATCCGCAGCTGCTCTGGGCAGCGTTCGCCATTGGTATCTCGGTCGGATGGTAAGGCCTCTGCATGACCAGTGCTTACATCTATCGCATTTCTCACTGACATCGATAGGAACATTGTCGTCCAATTAACTGCCTCGCGTACCTTCACCGCACCTCCCTACAACTGGCCTGCAGGAAGCTTGGGGCTTCTCTCCCTATCCGGATTCATCGGCTCCGTGCTAGCCTTCTGGCTGGGCGGGCGATTGATCGACATCATCTCCACTCGTTATACAAACCGACAAGGAGGGCCGCGTCTACCGGAGTATCGACTCCCGGCCATTGTAATCCCTGGAGTCATTGGTCCAAGCGGAATTTTGATCTTCGGTCTTTGCATCGCGCATCACACCCATTGGATCGGAGCGGCGTTCGGATACGCCATGCAGGCATTTGGCGTAGCGGCCATTTCCAACGTGGCAGTGACTTACTCCCTGGATTGTTACAGGCCGGTCTGTGTGCCCTTCCCCCAATTGCTTAGCTCATCGCTTTAGTTAAAATGACCCACGGGGCTAATGTTGAACAGATTACCGGCGAAGCTCTAGTCGTTATCTTTACTGTGCGCAATACCATCGGTATGCTGCTGTCCCTTTATGCGGCCGACTGGATTCAGCGTCAAGGTCCCGCCCCCGTCTTCGGGGAGATGATGGCCATTCAGGCCGCTAGTATCTTACTCGCTATTCCTCTTTTTATCTGGGGTAAACGGTTACGGGCTGTGACGTCTCAGTATGGGCCGATGAAGCGATTCCAGGATCAGGTCGAGTCGTGAAATATATGAACGACTGGTGTAGAGTTACGGGGGTCGCATTTTATACCCTTTGCTCTCTCTTAGCTTTCTCAGTTGTCTATGTAAACGAGGACAATGCATATTTGGTTCAAACATGAGAATGACATGCCCCATATTTACTGAGTATCAAATCCATAAAAAAAAAAAAAAAAAAAAAACTGAAAAAAAAAAAAAAAAAAAAAAAAAAAAAAAAAAAAAGGACAAATAGCACACCGTAATCACAGATGTTATCAGAACAGTCACGGTGCAAATGTGGGGATCTGACTAGGCAACACGCAAGTTTAGGTCCTCGTGGAGACATGGTTATGTGAGCACTAATATGCTTTCTTGACAGAGATTCCATTAAATGAAACGAACCATGGCCGAAGGATTACGGAGCACTGAATTTCAGGCAGAACCATAAAGAGGACATAAGGGAGTATGCAGTACGTTTGCACCCCCCGCACGAACAAAGATTCGTGAGCATTGACCTTTCTAGGCGTTCCTGATCCAGTAAATTGGTAGAAAGATCGAAGCATCGAAACGTACAGGATAGAGAACTGCGAATACGAACTCCCCAGCAGTACTCGTATACTGTAGCGAAACCAGCGCGGGAAATAATTCCATAGTAGTTAACACCATGGCTGACTGGTCCAATACAGCTGCACTGCAATCCATGGTTATTTACATGACCTAGTAAAATTACATGAATGTGGATAGAGGCCGAGACGCCACGCTACCAACATTGCGTGAAGTCTATATCTTGCTAAGTTCTGCAGTCAGTCTGGCTTCGGCATTGCTCGGCGCCGGGCTTACCGGTTAATAGCTATCGTCGTTGATTGAAGAGGGGGGGGGCTTAATTTTATTTTCTTCAGCAACTTTCCTGAAGACAAGACTTTTGTTTTGTCACACCATTTTAGTGTGTACCGGCATACAGGGACGGAGTTCATGAGCTAACAGTCGCTTTAGACGCTAGGAGATATGACTCGATTCATAAAGAATTGCTAGTCACATCTATGCTATCAATAGATGAAAGTCTCCCTTGAGTAGAGACCCTGTGCCATGCAATATATTCCTCCTCAAAAAACAAAAAAAAATAATCGCGTGAGGGTGCTGAGATGGGCTCAAGTTATGGTAGCAAATATCCATTTCAAGAATTCTGCATACCCTCGCTTAACTTCCAGCTTTTGCAAAAGAGACTAGTGAAAGCATAACAGATTAATTGCCTAATAGTGCAAGCGATGTGGCGTCTTCGTGCACACTATGTGGATCTTCGAGGGCTAATGAAAATGTTTAACCGGGCCATGGGAAGTTTTTCCGGTTCCCAATCTCTGGGTTGGCTCCAAGATTCACCGCTTGAACAAATGAAATTTCCTATCTGAAGATCCTTTGGGGAAAGACAGCTTGATCGACAGGAGTGAAGAAACGGTGGCAAAAGTAAAAATATTGCAAACCATGTTTCTGAAGATTTGCCGACGTGAAAGGAACCAGGGCTGAGACTGTCACGCTCGGGTCTCCGACTAATGATTTCCCCGTGTTTTTTGCCGCGATGAACAACTTGTGGCAACGGTTGAAAGTAAGGGACATTACCTGGTGCAGCCCCAGATGCTAAGTGACCATCGTGCCATAGTGGTCGACAAAGGCTAAGTCTAGCAAAGAGGGGACGTAACCCACCACCCTAGCATGTTCATGCGCGCCATTTCACTAGGACCAATACTCGTGGCTCGTTTTGGCAGGTGTTCTCAAATCGGGACTCTCTTCTAATCGGCAGATTTGCCATTCTCTACGTCCTAAGACACGGCATTGGCCTCGGCAATACTTGTGTAGCCTTGACCCCAAGAAGGAGTAATGTTAGCGACAGAGGGAGGGGATTCTGGAGACCGACATGTTCGGGCATGTCCGGAATTGAGGCTGTAATTGCACTTAAGAACATGCGCTTCGTGACTAGATGTAAAACGAAGACATACGCATCCCTTGGGGCTACCACCGATTCGCTGGCTTAAACACGGTCGAAGAATCTCCGACCCATGAGTCAAGTCTGTCATGAATAGAGATAAGGTTTAGCTAACACGTGTAAAGTCGTCGAAGGATTCAAGGAAGTCCAAGATTTGAAAATCCATGCCAGGTGGCTTCCATGATCCCTGTCGTAACCCGATAGTGTGTGTCGATCAAGTCCGCTGGGATACGAGACTATCCAGAGTTGAGATATCGACAGGCGACGCCACCTGAACCTGCGCAGTAGACGGAGTACAGTAAAGGTACTGACCCGGCTATACGGCCTGTCCTATTGTTTACTTGACCCTCCACTTGCCGCGCTTTTCACCCCTCGCCTCAGCCCCGTTCCAAGAATCCAAATACCTTCGGATCCACCTTGTGGGTAACACAATGTGAATTCCAAGTTGCTAAAAGTCGAATCCTGAATTCCGGATACCCCTGTGATGGGTGTCAAATTTGGCCCTTGCTCGCAGGTACGACGATTCCACCTGTGTACGCGTGAAGATCTGGAAAGTGTCGGGGAGAAGATTTCTCGGAAAAGTATACTGCTCACGAATGGACATATCATTTCACCTACAAGCTTCCCCAGACAGCAGTTTTAGACGTCATTGAATACTAATCAAGGTTTTACGAGACCCAGACACATGGTCTCGGACTGCAGTCTAAGCGTATGCTATATTAAAAGTTATCTCTAGTCTGCAGAAGCCAATAACCTAGTACGGGCCAAGGATGAATAAAGGTACCACAGGCACCCATCTGCAATAATGTAATCTCTTTGCTTCCATAATTTTACCCATGATTTCAGCAAGATCTTATCCGTAACCACCCTTTCCTTTCTCATCGTATTGTAAGGAGTCCGCCAAGATCGTCCCTATGAAGGATACTCATTGCGAGTCTCTCCGATAGAGACTCGTAAAACACCATGGCGGACAGCACAATAATACCGGCGATGTCGCCGCCGGCCGGGAAGACATCCAACTTCATTGACCCCCCATACATTGGGACGAAATTCCTCGTCGTCAATTGCGTCTTTCTACCAATCGCAGCTATTGCGCTGCTGATCCGGACATGGACACGGTTGTTTATCGTGCGCAGCTTTCGCTGGGATGACTGTGAGTCTCTCGTTGATACTGATAGCTTTACATCTACTAACAGAAAAACCAGATCTTATGATCATGGCTCTGGTACGTTGGGATCATTGCGGGCTAACAGCCATCGTAACAAACCCACTAATGCGACCTCTTTCGCTCTTTGCAGCTTCTATCCGCCGCCATGACGGGAGTCACTTTGGAGAGTAAGGCTCCCCAACAGTCAATGAAGACATGATTAGAACCGGGTGGTTGACAGTTACAAATAGTGTTAAACTGGGGTCTGGGAAGACACATGTGGGACGTCCCAGCCGATTATCTATCACCATGGTTTATGAAAGTACGAGTGATAATCTCCGCCATATGCACCAGTCACATATTAACAGTCTCTCAAGCTAAACGTCATTGCCGCCATCCTTTACTGCGCCGGGACTGGTTTTACTAAAGTATCCGTTCTTGTCTTCTATATGCGCATCTTCCCTAGTCGCAATTTCCACCGCGCCGTTTGGGCGATCGTGTTCATCGCAGCCGGATACAGTGTGGCCAGCGTCTTGGCCAATATTCTCAGTTGTACTCCAGTTGATAAAGCGTGGTATCCTACCAAAGCTGGTACCTGTATGAATCGGCCGGTGTTCTATTTCGCCAATGCTGGATTAGGAATATTTACAGATTTCGCGACGGTGATTGTACCCATGTGAGTCTCGCTCGCTATCAGTCACAATCTCCTTGTAAGGCATGCTAACATACTGTTTCCCCCGACAGCCCCTGGTTACGTCGATTGCAGATGCCAACACGCCAGAAGATCGCTGTTAGCTGTATCTTAGCGATGGGATGCTTGTGAGTGATATTCTTCACGCCACTGAGATTGCGGTAACTCACAGGATTGTAGTGTTGGCGTCGTCAGTTGTATCCGATTATCGACATTATATACTCTTCTCAAAAGCCCCGATCTCACCTGTAAGTGCCGCCAGAACGGACCAGTCACGGATATCTCTCTCGCTAATACGTTTCGCCCTATAGGGAGCACGACAGACGCCCTGATGTGGTGTACGATCGAGTTAAACCTTGGAATCACCGGTGGTTGCATTACAGCTGTGCGCCCTTTCGTTCGTCGTTACTTTCCTCATCTTCTGGGCCTATCATACGGGAATGGTTACAAATATGACACGTCGTCTCGCAAGTACGGCCTTCCGCTGGGTTCCGTTCCTCGCGCCAACGTGCCTGATTTTTCGAATGCTCGCAGTAATCAATATTCGACCCTCACGACGACGACAGTTATGCCCGCGGCTGACAATGGGAGCGAAGAACATATCTTACAATATCCAGAAATACCTGCGAAGAGCGTCGATGGCATTGTCCGGACGGTTGAGTTCGACGTGGAGAACTCAAGTGTCCGGAGGTAATTTTCTACTTTCTTTAATTTTTCCTTATGTTTTCATGAAATTTAATACCTACTCTGCATCTTTTTCTTTCTTTCTTTCTTTCTTTCTTTTTTTTTTTTTTTTTTTTAAGCGTCGCGTTCAGGAGTTGGTGGGTGGCAACGTTGTATAACTTCATCGGTGTTGGAACGACAAAAACGACTACGAAGCGACGATGCAATTATTAATCGGCGGCAAAACACAAACAACAACTTCGGATGTGCATTGTTCATAATTTATTAGAAATACTTACTAGAGAAAAATCGACTACTGAATTTCGAACCTCGGAACCTGAGATTGAGTGGGCCTCCCAGCGAACTCTAGTTTGGTTGCTAGAGCAGGTAGAAATGCTGCTAGAGATCTACTAATATCAACTAATCTCCCAGACTAACTGCAGTAGGCCCTTCCGCCGATGATAATCCCGATTATCATTGGCCCAGTCCACCAATAATGTCCGCATAAGTGCGTCATTTATGGGTTTGGACCGAACGGCGCCCTTTGGCAATCTCAGGAACGCGCACATGGGCACTGCCGATGTTCTCCACCATGAAGAATGTTCTCCCTTCTACCCTCTCTAACTTCTATTCCTCCCTGAATTGCGCGGTGCGTCATGACTCGGCCCGGACGGAGTCTCCAGTAACGGTCATTTCTCCAGCCGACGGCTCCTGAATCATGTATCCACCTTGGCTCGATATTGAACCGGCCTTTTTAATCCTTCGCTTCCCCCGACCGGAACTACAGTTCAGTTCGATCAACTGAGCAGAGCTCTTTCCTGTCACCATGCGCGTCGGTTCTATTATTCTGCCCCTGGCGGGTTCTCTCTTGGCCGAGGCCTCGTCGGTTTCCGGCGGTTGTAGTGCCCTCAAGGGACAGGTCAACAGTGCCCTCTTCTACCCGGACAGCGCCGTTTACGAGTATGAAGCGCAGAATTTCTGGTCCAACACGGAAATCATGAGCCCCGGGTGTGTTTTCCGCCCGCAATCGAGCGCTCAATTGGGCGAGGGAGTGAAGGCATTGGTCGCTGCCAATGCCCAGTTCGCGGTGCGCGGCGGTGGTCATATGGGTATTCGGGTACGTGGGAAACCTTTCCAGAATGAATAAGGTAGTCCTAACCCATTCTAGGGGTCAAATAATATCGACAATGGTGTGCTCATTGTTATGTCTAACCTGACCACCTTGGAATTGTCCAGCGATCAGTCGATCGTGTCGGTCGGCCCATCTCACAGGTGAGAATCCCCAGGTCACCGTGAGGGGGAATACTTAACTAAGATTAATTGCGTGAGTCTAGATGGGAGGACGTCTACGCGTACCTCGCCGACTATGGCCTCGCCGCGGCGGGTGGCCGTCTGGGTCCCGTCGGTGTCCCCGGATTGCTTTTGGCCGGTGGTGTCAACTTCTATGGTAACCAGGTTGGCTGGTCTTGCAACACCGTCGTCAACTACGAGATCGTCCTGGCCGACGGTTCCGTCGTGCAAGCTAACAAGACGAACTATCCCGATCTGTTCTGGGCCCTGAAGGGAGGCAGCAGCAACTTCGGTCTGGTCACTCGCTTTGATTTGGAGACTATCAAGTCGCCCAAGGTCTGGGCTGGTACCCACACTGTGTCCTCGGAATATGTAGACCAATTCCTGGAGGTATGTTACGTTTGCAGCATCCCAAACTGCTAAATATCGTTCTAACGAACCGTAGGCTGCGGCTACCTATGCATCCAACATCTCGGACCCCAAGACTCACATTGTGCCGGCGCTGGTTCCCGGTGACGACCTCCTGGCTTCTGTCATCCTCTTCTACGACAGTGAGGACACCAGCTATCCTGAGATCTTCAAGCCCTTCACCGATATCCCCGCCGTGAGCAGCACCCTGGACTTCAAGACCGTGTCGGAGTTCGCTGCCGAGACTGGAGCCATGGTCGTCCCTCACATCAAGTACGTTTTAATACCTACAGTTGTCCAAGGAATAATTAAGTGACTAACATTCTCTAGCGATGTGTTTGTCGCTGGCACTGTCGTCGGTACCACCTACGCCGAGCTGCTTCAGGGCATCAGCATCATCAACACCACTTTCTTCGAGCACTTGCCCAAGCTTTACGACCAAATCCCCGCTGCCAACATCTCCACCATCCAGCTGGACTGGCAACCCATCGGTGCCGACTGGATGAAGGCCTCGGAGGAGAAGGGTGGCAACGCTCTCGGACTGGACTCATCCAAGATCTACCTCTGCTATGCCGAGGTTGTCGAATGGATCGGCTCCAGCTACGACGACATTGTCGCTCAGTGGGTGGAGGAAACCACCTATGCGATCAACAATGCCACCCAGAAGGCCGGCCTTTATGACGCATTCAACTACATGGGCGATGCTGCCGGGTTCCAGTCCGTCTTCCCCGGATACGGCGAGGAGAACGTCTCCAAGCTACAGACCATTGCCAAGAAATACGACCCCAACCAGGTCTTCCAGACTCTGATGCCCGGCGGCTTCAAGATCTACTAATCAATTTCTTCTTGTACAGTATAGTATATAGTTCAAGACCGGTGTCCTTACAAGGTCCTTTAATATACATACAATAATATTCATTGATGTTTCATTCACAAATATATTAGATTCTCCAAGAGACTTATTTGCCTGCCATTCATCGTAAGACCAGCGTCCAGCGCTCCGATCCATTCATCCCTTGCAAAACGAATGAGATTATAATGAATGACACAAGACCCTTAGCTCGAACCCTACAGGCCAGCAGCTTGGACCAAGAATTGAGCAGCCTCTTGGGCATTGGAACCGTAAGACAGATGAGCCATGAAGTTCATACCGTTCTGGCAAACGGGGTCCCCAGAAGCACAGTACTCCTTCACCTTGGAGGAGGCGAGCTGGCCAACACCCTGTGTCTTGAACGGGTCACCGAACAAAACAGCACCGGAGATGGCATCGGCGCCGACCTTGCTGGCAGCGTTGTGCACGACCATAGCTCCCTGGGAGTATCCACCCAAAACGACCTTGGTGTTCGGGCACTGCTTCTTAGCCTGCTGGATGAGCTCGGCCATCTTAGGTCCGCCCGATGCTCCCATCATGGCGTTTCCCTGGATTTTTTTTTCTCCGTTAGTATCTGTCTGTCTTGCTTATTTGTGATATTGGGAGAAGGTATGACATGACATACAGCTGCATCGGCAGGGTAATCAACACCCTGCACGGTGACCTTGTTTCCAGTCAAAGAGGCCAGCTGATTGGCGACGGGGGGTCCAACGACCGATCCCATGTTTCCCATTTCACTTGTTCCGCGGGCGAAAATGAAGGTCAGTTCCTGACAGCCCGAATTCTGGGTCACTCCGTTCTCTGTAATCGAAGCACGTTTAGTTAATCCGGGTAAGCCGCCAGAAGAAGAACCGCCTAGCAAACTGCTCAGGTCGGGAATGTTACCAGTGCTGGATCCAAGGCCGGGGATACCGCTGCCGGATGAAGAAGAGCCGCCGAGACCGGGGATGAGGGAGGAAAGGCTGCCGAGGCCACTGCTGGTGGAAGAGCCACCGAGTCCCGGGATGAGAGAGGAAAGACTTCCAAGTCCGCTGCCGGTGGAGGAGCCACCGAGTCCCGGGAGGCTGCTACCAGAGGAAGAACCCAGGCCAGGGAATAGAGAAGCGAAGCTACCCAGGCCGCTGTCGGTGGAAGAGCCGGAGGAGCTACCGAGGCCAGGAAGGGAGCCCAATCCTGGGAACTGACGGCTTTCAACCGTCTTCGTCGGGGCAGCGAGGGCACCGCCAACAAGAGCGAGGGCCGCGATAGCCTTCATCTTTGCTTTATTTCGGAGATTAACGATTCAAAGAATGACAAGAGCACAGCTCTGTTAACGAATGACGGTTGATGGAAGAGAACGGTAGAGAAAGAATGGATCGGATCCGCTGGGATGGACGAGACAAAACCCTGAAGATACGGACGAGGATGAGGGTTTTTATACCCCTTTTCCCATACTATTCCAGCATCGCGACAGGGATAAGGTTTTGATGCCTTGGCTACATGGATATAGTGCTCCTCCGTATTCGGGGGAGGATCTATGGTTAAGACAGTGGGTCCGGTTTCATCCTTCTGAGGGTTTTGGCATCGGTCGTTGTTAGTGTTAAACTATCTTTAACCTAGTACCCCAGGGGCATTCGAGACGCACTGCGCGTTCAACGGTCAATTCCCCCGATGATATCTGCCCTGAATTTGCCCATCTCCGGCTGGAGTGCTTTACCATTGTATATACCTGATTCATGAATCAATGTGGCATTGCTCGCACAATTCGCATCTTGTGTATGCTATGCATAGGAGAAACTGCTCGGGATTTGTCTACCGAATCCAGAATGCCGATCTAACTCGAACCATACCAAGAACAATGTTAGTGGTGCGTGAATCAGGGAACAGTTCCTGGAAGGATGAACGGTGCGTGGTTATCGGCCGATCAATCTCACGCTAAATTCGAAGGAGCCTTGCAGGCTTGTCTCAGAGTGCGACAGGCCCTACTCCGGGCTCAGCCGCGGGCTCAAATGATGCTAATCGGCGATGTGAGGTATCACTGGGTCAATAACTCTGTGACTGACTCGATACAAATATAGCACATGGTTCTTGCAGCTGATTGCTCCAACCGCTGTCAAGTGTTTGCGGTAGATTAACTGGTTCAGGGATTGGTGTGGAGTTAAGGCTTAGTTAGGGCTTTAGTCGCGATCACTCAAAAATCAGGCATGGCATCAATTCCCAAAACGGGTGATTTCTCCGCGTAGTTAATCAATCTTCCGAGATATTCCCGGTAGGCTTAACCCCATCGTCTGTCTTACCACAAAGGCCGGGACCATTTGTTGGGTTGTTCTTTCGATCGACATGAGATCCGAGTGATGTTGGGGAGTCGGTCGAACGGGTTTTTTTGCCTTGGTAAGGCGCAACCTATCTCCTCTACCTTGCACTCTCTAGAGAACTACTCTCGATTTGTATTATATAATGTTGCATGAAATAACTAGTACTATCGCACTGCATTTAGCCTAATTGATTCTCACACTGTGAGCCCTACAATACATCAATAATCTCTCTGCCTAAACACCTCCTGACTCAGCCCCTTCATCATAATACATGGTCATTATGACCATCATGACTAACTTCTACCTCACACGGTCGATGTCTTGGCTTCTGATCGACATGACATTCATCAACTAGCCTATTTCGGTCATGCTCCGGAGTATACATGTTTCAGAGCAATGCTAAGTTTTCAGCAACGCTGATTGCCCCTAAATGCCGAATTGCAATGACGAAAAGCCTGCAACCAAGCAGCAATGAGCCGAGGATGAGAGATTCTACCAATAGGGAAAACTACGGGAACATGACTCTACTGGGCTGGATCTGATACAGCAGTTTTAATCTTATTTGAGTTAAGGCTAGAAAATTCTCAAGTCTCAGGTCAACAATGGACGTAGATCTATTGCGTTTCATGGGCAGCTCCACCTTCAGCTCAATCTGTACAGCCTTGCCGTCACATCAACAGTGCCTTATGTTAAGGGGATCTGCGGGTAGTGTCCTCGGTAGTATATTGCGGTTGTTATACTGTATATATCCGAGGAAGACTCTTTGCCATCTCCGAAGGAGGATGGCTGCAGTCTCTCCAATTGCAGAAAAGTGGTCATGACATTGAGTTGCCTACATGGCAGTGCTACATCGTATAAGATGTTCGAAGAGCCCAAATCCTTCAGGTCATTCTGTCAACCTCTAACAATATGAGCTTTGATCAACTACGTTGAGACATCTGTTTACGACCGCCTTGAAATTTGACTCTTCGACTGTTCCAGACATTCTATGTGACAGGTCCAGTCCTTCCGCGTTTCAATCCATGCTGATATGCTGTCCTAACAGAGCGCTGGTATAACGATGCATTGATAAGTCATCCAGACAGACGTCATAGGTGGAGTATTCGACTCTGCTCCACTGCGATGTTGATGAAACAATCAAAAGCTTAATTGACCCGGGATTTGAAGGGAGTAAAGAATGGTCCTTCATATTTAAAGTATGTGGTCGTTGAACAATTGCCGAGGTTTACATAGCGTCCGGTCACTATCGCACTGTCGCGTGGACAGTCAAGCTTATTGTATGCAACTTAGTCTGCTTCAGCCGTCAAATGTTTTATGTACCCAGCAGCGTCATAAGGCCTTAACTATTCATGCTTATCAAGTCCAAAGTTCTCCTTTAAACAAATTGACTGGTCGTGACCAAGTTTGATTGAAAGCCGGCAGAGCCGACCCCCAGCAGATAGGGTAACAGAAGACACTACCCTAGGAGCTACTCTTAAGCAAATGAACAGGAACAGCTCTAATAGCAGAGCTTGAATTCATTGATTTAATATTAGTATGTCACTAGTGACCAGAATATAATGTCGTTGACATCCCCAATACGGTTTTATGATCTGCGCAGATGAACGGGTGAAAATATGCACATCTCAACTCTCGGTCTTATTTCCCAGTTTCAGTCCCTTCATCATCCATTCATCATAGAGGAGTTCCAGAGCGGTTGGTCTGTCATCGGGATTCCACTGCAAGGCCCGTCGGAGCCATCGTAAAAAGCCTTCCTTGTCCTCGCCCTTGATATTGACGGCCAAACCTTCAAGTGTCTTGTCTGGTATCGGGGTCAATCCCTTCCAGTTACCTGCGTTGTCCCAAAATACAGAACTAAGGTGACTTCGTTGACGGAACGCAGGTGGTGGAGAGCCTAAAAGTGCAACCAATTCTGCAAGATGGAAGCGGTCATCAAATACCCCATCTGGGTTCCTTCCATCAACAAGAGTAAAGGGGCTAACGATATCCCATGCCTTTTGTAATGAGGATTAGCACAATCGGGGTAACTGTTATATAAGTGCAATTTACTTACAACCATGCCAACATTCCAGATGTCTACCTTGTAGTCCCAGCTCGACCTGAGAATAACCTCAGGTGCTCTGTAGTGGTTTGGCATGATATCTTCACTATGTTGCTGGTCGCCAAATCGAGCTTCGCCAAAATCACTCAGAAGAGGCAATCCGTCTCCAGGAGGGAAACGCGATGATGTATAAATTGTCCGGTCGTGAAGGACCTTCCTTGCTGATTGTGTCTTCACTTCCTGTTCTTCGAAGTCGGAAAGCGCCTTTGGCATCGGCGTAGGAAGAAGTAAATTTTTCAGTTGAATATCTAGATGTAAGTCAGCTCAGTTTCCAAAGTCCAGAGAGAGTGGTGCATGCCTGTATGGATTACATGAGCTATAGAATGCAAGAAATCCAATACGACAAGCAATTGCCGTATACAAGGCTTCAGATCCTCGAGCGACATTGCTCGCCCAGGTATCCATCTTATCAGATCGCTTGCACTGATTCCTAGGGGCTCATGGACAAGGCAGATATGCTGGCCATGAGGGCCTGCGATCGTAAAATGATGGAGCAGTTTGCGGATGAATCTCTTTCCTGGGTGATCAGACTCCACTGAGTTGATACGATGGTAGATGTCCAGTTCGTGGTTTCTTTCCCTGTCCTTCACGAAGATCTTTAGAGCAATGTATTTGGACTCACTATGTGCGGTGCTTGTTAGAATACCCAAAAATAAAAAAATAAAAATAAAAATAAAAAAAAAAGTAGAATAGAATAGAATAGAATAGAATAGAATAAAATAAAATAAAATAAAATACCCGATCGAATCGGTTGCACCTACACCAAGTCACGACCGAACCAAACCGTTGACGTGACACCATACCCCAGCTTGGCAAGTACTTGATATCTGTTATCGAGCACTTCTCCTATTTGGGTCGGATAGTACTTCTCGGGCTGATAAGTTGGTAACGTCTCCTCCTCGATCTTCAGGGATGTATCAAGCAAGCCGAAGCCAGCAGGCGAAAATACCCTTGGTTCAGATGTCCACTGGGATGAAGACATAACCGTTCGGCGTTGCTTGCGTAGAGCACTACGGGACGACAGGAAGATAATTGAAGACAGTGAGCGCGTCAAGGCAAGCCTGTTGAAAGTAGCGAAACATAAAGTCCGGTGCATCATGGGCACTGGTTCAGACCAACGTCGTGGAATTCAGAGGAGAGTGACAGATAAAAGAGACAAGATATTAGACGTTCATCATTGTCCGGCGTAGTATCCATGCAGCTCCCCTAGCTCCCGGCGCCAAGGTCGTATATGCTATTGGTGGTCGCTTCGTTAGTCTCTTTTGGCCTCAGGCATTAAGACTCCGCCAAGATCAAAAGCACTAAACGGTCCTTTGCAGTGTTTGCACCCATGACGGCCAATGCCCATGGCGCCACGTGATCATCCCATCCCCCCTTTTGTTTTATCTTCCCCAGAAGAACGATTATAGTTATATATTATATTCTCCAGAGGTTCTTTTGTGGAACATTGTATGTCTTACTGAGTGGATGACACTGGGTCTGTGATTTTAAGTTATCCAGATGATGACTAGGTGACCAAGCCAGCAAGCGCTACGCCAAAGGTACAGTACATACTATCAAAACTCAATACTCTGCCATTTAGTTCTCATAGCTGCTTTACCAACGAATTCGATATATATTAGCTAGAAATGTAGCCTGGGATATTAGCCTGTGCAATCTTTTCGGCATATCCTCCCTCCCTCCCAGCACGAGAGGCGAAAAACTTGAAAGTGCCATCGAGATGTACGTGCAGCGAGCCAATCCGGGTGCCTGAGTTCGTTTGCAACCCCACTGTTATGACTTTTTCTTTATCATCCCTATCTTTGGACGATTCGTGAGCCCTAGAACCCCTACAAGCAAATATCAGCAACTATTCTGTGCCTATGGTTATCAAATGTCCGCATACTGAATGTCTGCAACAGTGACCCGTGGGTCCTACTAAAGAAATCAGTATCGCTAAGGTTTATATCTCCTAGACGGACTTACGGCTCTCTCGACTGCATTACAGACTGTGTCCGTCGCCTGCGACCATGTAGGGCCATCAGAGCCGTTGCTGGCTACAAGCTCCTCAAGCGGAGAACCAGCGTATCGAATAAGTGTGGCAGAGGCGCTCTGGAACCCTCTAACAACGTTGCGGCTCATGGTAGGAGTAGCGTTGGAAACCTCAGAGTGGTAACGCTTCGAATCGAGAAAATGATATTCGCAAACCAGACAGATTTAGATTTTGAAATGGGAAAAATCATCAGAACAGGAGCACAATCGGCCTTTATATACGTAGTGGCAGCAACCCATCTACGCGCTCGTCGCAACTCTTTTTGTTGTCGCCATGCGGGCGCTTCAATAAACTTAACTTTCGACAACCAATGAAACATGTGACAGCCATTCAATAGGTGATCATATTGGCGCTATCAGCATCTAGAATACTAAGCATAAGGCGGGGCAAGCAAGAACGTTGGCGGGGGCACGACTCCTGCCGCACAGGCCGTCGCAAAACATACAGAGACAACGTTTCTTCTATGTACATACAATATTTGGCGCTGAGTTGGTTGGATAGTTATTTCTTCGTACCGCCTTCCCTTCTTCGAAGTCATGCCTAGTCCGTATAATGCACTGGATATGTAACGCCAACTTTGGACCTGGTCCATAGGTAAAATGACCCTGGCCCAAAACACGCCGGCTTTTGTCAGTCGAGAAAGTTCATCTAGTGCTTGCGACTACTCCATTTTGCAAAGAGATTCCCCAAAAGTTAAATAGTCCCATCATGCTCTTCGGATCCGTACAGCGCACATCTATACCAAGATAATTGTGTTTGGGTAGTCAAGATACTCTATGCTAGGGTTTATTCTAGCCTCCCCGATCTAGTCTCTATACTTGAATGATCTTTTGATCGCAGGCTGCACCACCCCGTTCATCGGATGATATGTCATTTAACTAGAAGAGATCTAGTTGAACTAGCACGTCATATCTAGGTATAAGTAAATTCACCAAGTTCTTTCGGGCTTGCCAAGGGGGACTTACACTCAAGAATTATTCGGCAAAACGATCCAGCCGCTGGCCTCCTGGGGAAATTCTTGCTCACAATATGTAGATATGCTAGCCATTTTAAGATCTATACCTCTCACTCCTCTCGCTATCGAGCCGTCATTCAAAAGTTGATATGCAGCGGCCGGAGGATACCAGCTTGGAGCCATGGAGCGCCGCTTACGTATCTGTACGGAAATGCTTGAGACCGTATAGAATGATTTATCGCCCTTCTTCAATGATGAGAAATTTTAAGAACTATCCAAGTCTGAAGAAGATCTTGTGGCTATGCAAAAGCACCTTATGTTGTCTTGTCGCTCTGATCATGTGGCATGCACTATACTTGGAAACCATGGGCTACCTGCTGTTCTCAAACTCTAGCATAGACTACTGACTGAGTCGAGAAGAATGTATAATCTCTTATAAATAAACCTGTGGACATAAAGATATTCGAGTCCTGGCTGGAGGACCCGGTCAGCTGACTATCTCCTACCCCAAGGAGGATGCATATAATTATCTCCGACCGTTATATATCAACGATTCTGATCCCTCCCTGCCGTCATCAAGTGAGTCGTCACGGTTAGTGGTCGCGATCTAAATTACCCATCCTTTGTGGCTGAAAATAACCCCCCTTATTCATATATTTCTCTGACTGCCAAGTGTCAGCGATATGAGCGCCTACTGAGGACATTCTGACACCATGCGAGATTACCGGCGTCTAATCTTCTGTCAGAAAGTTCGGTTATGGTTTATCCTGGTTGCTTATAAGGAATAGGATTAAAGTAATTAATTCCCCGAGGCGACCCGATATGATACTGTGATGACTCAATGTTGCAGAGGGCAGTTCCAGTGGTAAAAATAGAGCATGGGGAAGTTTGTTCTGCCATGTTCTTTGTGATCCTGGACCCCAATGCTGGGGAAGGATCTCTTTGTTCATGCATATATTAAAGTGCGACGACTGTATGTTCACAGCAGCAGCCAAGAAAGTGGGATAAATCCCGAAAGATTCCCATTCCAAACCCGACTGGATCTGTACCTGAACCAAAGCCCTGATTCCAACGTTGGGTAAGACTGGCGAGCCAATCAGATTGAGATGTTTTAGCGGACGAGAGTGGAAGCCAAGACTCTATCCGAATGCAACATGGCCCTAGCTGTGATCCACTACACGGCACTCACTGTCGTCACACTGCCTGGGTGCGCATGGAATAATGCCATTATTGTGTATGCTATCTTTGGTGACAGTGCACAAGCACAGAGGCAAACAATAGACAGTCCTTCCACTATGGTACACAGGTGATCGAGCATGTTTGCCGGTTCAATTCCCGCACAAAACCTGCTTCATGCATGTTAGACAGATCCAGTGGGAGTTGACTCAGTGTGAAACGGACTCATTTAACAGGGCAGACAACCACTGGATGGCCCTGCATTCATTAGCCCTCACCGGTGCCTGTCTGTCAGCGAACATTCTCCACCGTCAATTTCCACCGAATCCAACAGCGACAAAGAACACGCGAACGCCACCACTGCTCTGAAACAGCCAAGAAAGACCCTCGGGGGCGGATTACCCGACGGCATTTCAGCGAATCTGGACTTCGATCGGACCCGTCGGCGTTCAAGGGTTGGTTGATTTGATCTCCGCTGCTAATCTCTCGGTAAGCGCCGAGCAATCTAATTGATCGACTGGACTCATGGATGGCTTGCTTTAATTCTATTAAGGGTTCAATTGCGCTTTTCGGTTAGTGGAGAGGGTTCCGCCAGTGTGTTGGTCGTCTTTGTGCAGAGTCTTGGAGATGGAATCTCTTTATATACCCTCACCGTCATCTCTTTCCGTGCCTGGCACTTCTTGCTTTTTCATTCTTCAAGTCATTCCTTTCTTTATAGTCATTCTTTTCTAGCATACCTGCTTGAGGCAGGTTCTCACTTATTCATTCCTTACATTTCAAACGTCATTCAACTATCAATCTGTGATTGAATCCTTACCTTCCGTTCCGTCTATCCAGCTCAAGATGTTCCGATCAGCCCTGTTTCTTCTCCTCGCTCCCTTGGCGCTCAGCCACACAACCTTCACCACCCTGTACGTGGACGAAGTTAACCAAGGCGATGGCACCTGTGTCCGCATGAACCGCGATGCCAACACCGTCACATACCCCATCGAGCCCTTGTCCAGCAAGGATATTGCCTGCGGTATGGACTTGTATTGCCGATGACTACCTTCCCGATAAAAGTCAACTAACACAACCCGGACTAATAGGCAAGGATGGTGAAAAAGCCGTCTCCCGGGTGTGCCCCGCGAAAGCCAACTCCCTCCTGACCTTCGAATTCCGCGCATGGGCCGACGGCGCCCAGCCGGGTTCCATCGACGTCAGCCACAAGGGTCCCTGCGCCGTGTACATGAAGAAGGTCGACGATGCGACAGCCGATAACAACGCTGCCGGCGATGGATGGTTCAAGATCTGGCACACGGGCTACGATGAGAGCACCGAGAAGTGGTGCACGGAGAAGCTGATCGACAATAACGGACTCCTGTCTGTGCGGGTCCCCTCGGATATCGAACAAGGATATTACTTGGTGAGAACGGAGTTGTTGGCGCTGCATGCTGCCTCGGATGCCCCGCCCGATCCCCAGTTCTATGTCAACTGTGCCCAGATCTTTGTGCAGGGTGGGGGGAGTGCGAAGCCCGAGACGGTTAGCATTGGCGAGGGGTATTACTCGTTGGATAGCCCTGGCGTGAAGTACAATATCTATGAGAAGCCCCTGCAGCTGCCGTATCCGATCCCGGGGCCGGTTGTCTATGAGAGCAAAGGTGTTGAGGAGCGGTCGGTGTGTCCGGCCCAGAAGAGGGCGGCGGCTGCTCAGAACAAGGGTCTCAAGCCGGCCGGTTGTATCCTGCAGCGTGATAACTGGTGTGGGTTTGAGGTTCCTGACTATAGTGATGAGAACGGTTGCTGGGCTGTATGTTCTTCCTTCTCCGATGACGGATTTTCATGGACAATGCTAACTCGTTGCCTAGTCATCCAAGAAGTGCTGGGATCAAAGTGACGTCTGCTACAAGACCGCTCTTCCCACGGGTATCTCTGCTTGCGACATCTGGATGACCAAGTGCAATGGTATCGACGAGGCCTGCAACAGCGGCGATTTCAACGGACCCCCGAACAAGGGCAAGGTGCTTACACCGGAACCGAAGAAGCTTGCGGGATCGACCCAGGTCTTCAAGAGGGATGAGAGGAAGTACAAGAAGTGGACCGCATGATCGAAGCATGAATTATGGAGTAGCAGGCGTAGTGATGGACATGAGGCCTTTTGACGCATTGTTGCAAGATAGCACAGGATAGAGCATTTGTTTAGCTGGACTACGGAATCACATTGATTATCTTGTACCACAACGTTTTCTTCAAGGTGAAAGGTTTAAGTTCTCGATTCCACCACTTGTTATATAGCCCTCATCCCAAAGAACCATGGCTGTGCCGCCCATGCCGTTTGTGCTGATTCTTTGTAGAAGTCCAAGTACTGGAACCGTGGGTGATACCGTTGTATAAAAGTTGACTGAGGGTAGATGGGGGTCTTGAAACTCCCCCCAGGCGTTAGTCGATAGTGTACGACAACATACGGAGAACATCCTTGGTCTTTCAATTCGTTATGTCAAATTATGTGGTCCATATAATATCATGCTATATGTACAAAAGTCCCCCACACGCAATACATAACGTCACATACAAAGAGCGTCAAAAACCTGTCTAACCAAAACCCAAGGACGCCGTGCTATAATACAGGTAGGTCATATCACATTACTCATGATTTCGTTGCGCCCCGGTATCATCATTGTCAATAGGCCGAAGCTCGATCGCATCGGGCTGCTTCGCGGGATCCAAGGCGCCCGGATCAGTAACGACAGTCGGCTTATCCCCTTGCACCAGCGGCTCTTCGTCCACAGCAAACCGCCACTGCGCGTCCGATCCCGGAAACATACGGAATGCATAGCGTTTGTTTAATCGCTCCAGGTAATCCCGGCGCTGGAGGCTGGTCCATGAATACGTCCCTCGGAAATCGCTCAGCATCCGACTGTTTGCAATCCAAGGAATCACGGATCCAATGGATCGCGGAATCCGTGGCCCTTTGAACCGACCCCGTCGCGTCCCAAACACGACCAACACGACCAGCGTGTCCAGCGCGATGATAGACAGCGCGATGGTCAATGATGGGACAGACGGGACCATAGTCCAAGTACTGTAGTAGACAGTAGCATTGGTGGCAGTGTACGGTTGCTCCAGCGGCTCAAGGTAGGTCGGTCCCCACAGAGAGAAGTAGGTGCTGTACACCCACTGGTAGACCGTCTCCGACATAGTAATTAGGTCTTCAGGATCAAGCGACGAAACCCTATTCTCCCTTTGCTTATACAAGCGAGCAACCAGGAAGCCCGCCCAGTCATACGACGACACGGCAGGCCCTTGTTGCTCCTCGTCGACAAAGCTTTGAGGAATGGAGGCGAACACCTTGTTAAATTGGCCCAGGCTCACCGTGGCATTCTCATACATGGGGCCAGAGGTAATCGCAGTGTTTGGTACAGGGTTATAGTCCTGGATCTGACCCTTTTGGTCGAAAAGAATGGAAAAGTTCTGCATCTGGACTTGCGGTTCACAGTGCAAAGCGATCGTGTTGTTCTCGGTTATGGCGGACTCCCCTGTGTAATTCCATCGCCCAAGTACCAGCACCGTGAATGTTTGGCATTGGTCCATGTCCTCGAGGGCGGCAGGAGAAAGGAAGTGAATAGAGAGGGGGATCTTCTCGTTCTTTTGCTGGAACATGCCCACCGTGCACTGTCGGCTCTGATTCTGAAACGGTTGGTACTGCCAATATAATGCCCCCGTCGTGTCATTCTTCTTCAGGTGCTCGGAAATCGACAGTTCCTGGCATTCGAAGTCAGCTCCAATGCCGAGGGTCGTAGCCTCGTACGAGGCAGTTACATTCCGCTTGGTGTTTTTCAGCGGCACGAATGAATAATCCGGACTGGTCCACGGGATCATGGGCACCCCACTGGTGATACTGGTCTGAATCAGGTCATACTCGGTAAAATCCGCGGCAAAGTCGGTTTGCTTGAAAATGGAATTGCTGTAGTTCGCCTGGATGACATCGGTTGAGAACCCAGACGTGGTGAGCTGTTGTGTAAAAAGGCCACCCGCAACCACCGTGAGAACCGTGTTAACCACGCAGGCCAAGGACACCAAGCCCAGCAAGAGATGACGGTCCCGGATGGTTTTCAAAAGCACCAGCCATGGGGTCTGAGATGCGTAGTTCATCGACAATGAGGCCCTCGCCTTTGCCTGTCCGCGTTGCAGATGGACCCACGGCTCCAGGATGCTGATATTTCGCTGGATAGAATTGCAGAGCGCGCCGACAGCAGAGGCGACCACAGAAGGGAGGAAGGATAGGATGACCTGGAAGAAACTAGAATCCGACTGGGTAAGATGTTGGAAACTACCCTCATGGGCGAGAGAGGCGATGACCAAAGCCATGATAGCGATGACCGCGACGAGAAGGAGAAACTCCAGGATAAAAATCGGAATCACCAGAAAGTGCGGCCTCGGGTCAACACGCGTGCGAATTCGGTCCCTCAAGCCAGTCGAGGAATCTGTTCTCGTCAGCGGAATCAATCGAACCGTCCAGGGCGAGCCGAGTACTTACCTTGACTCTCACCGTCCACGGAGACCAGTTCCACGCGTCTTCCCATTGGTCCTTCCTGCCAGTAGAGTCGGAAATTTCGCAGAAGCATCCGCAGCTGTCGAGTCGAAAGCTGATGGTAATCGGACTGGGCATTACCGAGAATATTCGACGGGGAGAACAAATCTGTCACCATGCTACACATCGCCCCAATGGAGCCCGGGTCGCTTTGAAGGATGTTCGGGCGACGCTGGTAGAAATACAATAAAGCAAGAGCCACGAGGGTGCTCGAGAAGAGAATGGCCTCCGACAAGGTCGCTGCGAACGAAACGACGGCAATGGTAACTTGGTGTGCGAAGCGGACGGCAGAGACGGTCGTTGGAGGTATATCCGGATTAAACAAACGCCCCATGGTCAGCACAAAGGCTTGAATGACCACTCGCTTCGTTTTTTCTTCGAACTCCCCTTGCTGCATGACTGTCGCGGTATCCAGGACGGGCATGGGTTCCAAGTCATCCATGTCTTGGCTGATGACCGGAAGCTCGGTCACGGTGAGGTCGCCCATTGTATCGTTATACTGCATGAAGATTATATCACTGGTGTATGGTGCGCGGTGAGAGAGGAGGCCCTGGAACTCGTCGACATTGAATTCCTGGCCGGTTAGATTGGCGGTGGTGTTGGCAATAACACGCACCGACGTGATGGAGCTATTCGCATGCATGCAGACCTCCGCCGTGGCTTTACGGTACTCGATATCGCAGGCGAACATGGTTGCCGACGAAGTATACTGGGAGCCCAGGGAGCTGATCGCGTCGGCAGGGGCCGTCGTTGCATTGACGGATAACAGAACGCCGTACAGATCGAACGGGTCACAACCACGGGGACGGAATGCTTTTCGCACCTCGCCCGAGTCAAAGGTATCGGTCGTCCACACGGGCTCCCAGTAACGCACTTGAAGAAAGTCTGTCTCCGGGTAGAAAATGCTATCGTATTGAAAGTCCAACGAGCAATCCTGGTTCGTCCCGTTCACCAGGGGCAACCCAGTCACGTTCCACGAAAGGACCGGGTGTTCCACATCGGTTTGGTTGATCGTCACTGGTAACGCATCATTTGCCGCCAAGTCGTGACAGGATAATTGCGACCAATATATGGTTTGGTTGATTTTCCACAAGGTGCTTTCTCGTCGGTCATTTGTAGGAATTTGCACGGGCGGCACGGCAAAGTCGGGGGATCGTGATTTCTGCAGACTATTGGTGCTGGAGGCAATGGCCGAATTTACAGAATCGAAACTGCTCCGTTCCTGGGCGGCGATCCAATTGGCCTGCGTGCGCAGGTCTACCAGCTCCGGCCAAGTCTTCATCTGTTCGTTGGAGATCACGGTGACCTCGCGCAGTTCCAGAAGCGTACTCTGCAGGGCAGGGAGAAACATGCGAATGAGGACGGTCACAATCGATACCAATAGGGCCACCCAGTGACCGCGTTTGGCTGAGAGAAACGGCGTAACGAAGGTTTGACCGAAGTTGTAGTTGATAAAGAGCACGGACGCCGGAACGCCCTCCGGTCGGGCCAGCTGGAAATACGGCTCGAGACGGAGAACATCGAAGTCGACGAGAGACCATAGGGTAACAAGTATGAGAGCGACAATAATCGGGATATAGTTGTAGGCAAACGATTGGAGGCTGGACACTTCCTCCGTTGCTTCCAGAAAGACCAGACCCCCGTACCACATCGTATAGCGTCGCAAACCCTCCAATATCAGCAACATCAAAAACATCAAACATGCGAGGAAGGTGAGGTAGATCGGGCGCAGGGTGAAGGGACGCCACCCTTTCGGTTGCGAGAGCGATCCATGACGAGCAGTAAAGAATTGGGATCCTATCCATGATACGCACGCCGTTAGCGGGACACGGGCGCTCATAGCCTATCCGGGGAACTTCCTTACTACTTGTGTTAATGTGCGACCACAGCGCTTGCAGCTTCCTCTTCTTCAAATCCCAGGACATGCTTGACCAGCACGTCCCATGGGAAATACGGCGGAGTCAGAGAGTACAGCAAACAACGTTCGCATCGTCCACGGAAGTCAACGGAATTGGATATGGGCGGTACAGAGCAGGATGATCCTCCCGGGGTGGTTCCTGATATCGGGGAAGAAATCCGGCATGACGGGGGACTGGATTAGACCATGCGGAAGGAGGGAAGAACCAGCAAGATTCGAACGATAAAGAATGGAATGGGCGAAGCGAGAGCAGGAGAGAAACGATCGTGGACCAGGGGGGGTGGGGAGAAGGGGGAAGGGGGCAACTGGGAAGGAAGATCTGGTGGGACGGGAAGAAAGCAGTGAGCAGGATGACAAGACGCAGAACGAACGATGTTGACGACGACGGGATGGGGGATGAAGATCAACGGGGCCACCTGATTGGAAGTCCCATTTCGTCGGCATCTCTTTGTGGCTTAGCCCCCTTCCTCGCCGCTTTAACCCCGTAGTCCTCCAGTCTCCTCCGCAGTACATACAACGCACTCGGTACAGTACGGTCACATCCTGGATTGAAAAGCAGTTGCGATGCCCATGGAGTCAGATTTGGTTGCATCGTACGACTGGTGTGGGATTCAACGAGATACACAATCATGAGTGAGTACTACTATGCCCTCCTAAGTTCCGTTTCGCGTCACCCCTGCCTGTAGATATATAGATTCACACCAAGAACTGGAATGACATGTACTTTCGGTTGCACCACCGACCTGTGTAATTTGGAATTATACCTTTTCCAATACACTGCGAACATTTATGCTTGCAATAAAGTCTCTGTCCAAGTGTTTCAAATGGCGTTCCTTCAAGTGAATTGTCATACGTATGGTGGTGTGATGGACAACTTCTTGCCTTCGAGATCTGGTGGGATTTCATTACCTAGAACAGCTGTTGCCTCCGGTGCATGAAAGTCGACAATGATCAGTTGACTTCAAATATATTTGGTTCCTTGTTTCTCTCCCTAACATGTGCGGGAAGCAAGGTCTTTGCAGTAGTGCAGACAAGGGTGGTGTCTACAGATCTCACGGATGCCGTATACACTCGACTTGACCTGATATCACTACCAGTAGGAGGTACTGTACGGAGTACAAAAGGTACTCGGAACCATCGCCAAGTCTACTCGGTACGAACGCTGTGTTTCTCCATGGATGACCGTAAAAGCAGCAATGGAATGGAGAATGCAGCCAAGAAGTCTAGGCATGAAGGATCACCTCATTGGAGACGATGAGTAGAACTGGTCAGATTAGAGCGGCGTCACTCACCTCCCCAACGGGGAAAGCATTGTCCTGGCCTCGAATTTCCTTCTTGGCTCGGGACTAAACCGAGCCGGTAATGGCGGCACAGAAGATTGCTTGTTTGGTTTGCCCTTTTCAGAATTTGGGACCCGGTGTGGAGCTCGTTGATTGGTGTCAAAGCCACGCCGCCTCAATGTGGCCACGCATTTGCGCGCGTGAAACCAAAGGATGCTCGCCAGGGGATTCCCACTTCATTGGAAGGAGCGCAATGATTGGTTGCTTAGCTAGGGGGCCTTGTCGATTGAGTGCAGTCTCGATCCCTGATCCATGGCCCAGAGTCCTGCTGCCCACTCTCAATCATGGCTGGGTGGCGGTGTTTCAGGGTTCACCTGCAGCTAAGCGTCTTCGGTTCCACCATGTCATCATTCCATTATCTGGACGGGCCTTCAATCGGCCGGTTTTGCACTTCATCCAGACCGGAAAGGCAATTCCTCGTATTTCTTGGCGGGACAAGTCAGCACTGTCGTATTTTGATAAGAGCTATGGTGGTCACTTCTCTAGGGCTGGGTTGGGTTGGGTTGATCGTGTGTTGAAAACTAAACAAACTTTTTTTTTTTCTTCTCATGTTGGCTGATTACATCAGCACCCCCAATCATGTTTCCGATCACGTGTCTAGAGACCACCGGCAACTCGGCAAAAAAATCAACCGCTGTCAATGATGATGAATAAGATGGTCTAAGCGCCAAGGGAACAGACGGTCTTGGTCAATTTCGATGCCCTGCTTCACTGGCTCGATATATCCTCGAATCAGTTCTTGCCTAGCAGACCTGTCAGATGATCGCCAAGAACCGTGTTCATATCCTGAATGAAGCCATCCAGCATCTCGCTCCTCCGCCTGAAATGTAACAACCTTAGGGTTTCATGTCCGGCAACGATGGAAGTTGATTTAAACAATCACCTTCAGTACGATCTCGTTTAAATAAGCAAGGAGGCGTCAACTATTCGAGTTACCCGTCATATACACAACGGCAGCCACCCTCCTTGGCAGTTATATCTCTGAATCCATTCCGTAGTCAGAGAATGTTAGTTCCACCAATGACTTGGACGGACCCCATACCCCATGGATCGTGCCATCCATGTCTCCCCATAGATACTAGTATCAGAGTAGTATGGACAATAAATGCGGGGATATAGGAGAAGAGGTCCATGCGGCAGCCAGAGCGAATCAAAAATTTCCCTCTGCTCCTTGGATATAACAGAGTTATATCCATCGGCTTGAATAGCCCGAGGATGACCCGATGTGATTCGTCGGATTCCTGCTCATGACCTCATGACAGAGCTAACAGCTGCTCTTCATTCTCACTATTTTTACTACGCAGTCTTCGAAAGTGGAGTGCGAGACATGTGGTCGCTATTAGGGGATGTGGAGACCTGGCGCTGTGCATATGAAGGCAGAATGTGGAGGTGGAGGTGAAGGTGGGGAGAAGTCCCGGCCATTGTACATACATACACATCTGAATTATAGAATCTCGTTGGTGGGTACATAGCACAGTTGATTCTTACATATATCTAGAGAGAAAAGCTGAGCAAAACAGGAACACAGGCTGATCGGCTGGTGTTCATGAAACATGGATGATGTCCCGGCGAGGTTGACCTCATGTAACCCTAACACAACGGCTTCGGCACAATGTGATGCGCTCAAGAAGATGACCAGAACCAGGATCCGGATCCGCGGGACCAATCACTCAATTTCTTTTTGTCTTGTCCGGTAGACTTCCTTCCTTCATTGGCACAAGCGACCCAATCGCAGCACATACGCACCGACGGGACACGTCAGGAGATACATCCAAATAACCTCCACTAAGAGGGTGTCGGCTTGTCACCGACGTGGGATTCTTCCAAGCAAACGTGTGTGCGGGGTCAGCTTTCTTCTGGGGGAGCATGTCCTGTCCCTGATGCGTACACAGCTACTCCTATTTAAAGGGCTCTCTTGGCCGCGTAGATCGTTTCTTTTTCCTGGTGCTGATGTTTCTAGGTGCAGGCTGTGGGAGTAAATCTTTCTTGGGTCGACCATCATGTTGGTTGGCAACATCTATGTCATTGCGGGCATCGCCGTCGTCGGCGGTGCCCTCTTTGGGTTTGATATCTCTTCCATGTCTGCTCAGCTGAACGAAAACTCCTACAAATGTTACTTTAACCAAGGCCCTCAGGGTCCTCCATTCACCGACGATCCAGACTGCTCCGGCCCCGAATCGTTGGTTCAAGGAGGGATCACCGCCTCCATGTCTGCTGGCTCTTGGCTGGGCGCGTTGATTTCCGGTCCGTTGTCTGATCGCATTGGCCGAAAGACTTCAATCATGGCCGCTTGCTCTCTTTGGTGAGTCTATACTTTCTTTGTGTGTGTGTGTGTGTGTGAACAAAGAAACATGAGACACCAAGATGATGAATTATGTTATTGATAATGTGCGTGCAAAGGATAATTGGGTCCACGATCATGTGCGCCTCGCAGAACATTGGCATGCTCATTGTGGGCCGCATCTTCAACGGTCTCTGTGTCGGTATCGAATCTGCCCAGGTCCCAGTGTACATCAGTGAAATCTCGCCGCCGTCGAAACGAGGTCGGTTTGTTGGTGTCCAACAATGGGCCATCACATGGGGCATTCTTATCATGTTCTAGTAAGCTCTGGCCCAGCTATGAGACATCGGGCACTGCCATGGACTGACAGGACTTTTTAGTATCTCGTATGGATGTTCCTACATCGGTGATCGGTCCGCCTTTGGATATAGCACCGCAGCGTGGAGAATCCCTTGGGGTCTGCAGATGATTCCCGCCGTTTTCCTCTGCCTGGGTATGATGATTCTCCCGGAGTCCCCGCGATGGCTGGCCCGAAAGGACCGTTGGGAAGAATGCCAAACCATCCTGGCAAAGGTCCACTGCAAGGGAGACATGAACCACCCATTTGTTGCGCTTGAAATGCAGGACATCCGGGAGATGTGTGACTTTGAACGCCAGTTCAAGAATGTCACGTACTTGGACCTCTTCAAGCCAAGAATGTTGAACCGCACCATCATCGGCCTTTTTATGCAGATCTGGTCCCAGTTGACCGGCATGAACGTCATGAGTAAGCGGCCTGCCTGGGTATCTGCAAAGAACACCCTGACTAACCCATGATGATGATGCAGTGTACTATATTACATATGTCTTCTCGATGGCAGGCTACTCTGGAGATTCAAACCTCCTAGCCTCTTCCATTCAATACATCATCAACGTGCTCATGACCCTCCCCGCTCTGATCTGGTTAGATCGCTGGGGCCGACGGCCGACCTTGCTGATCGGAGCGGTACTAATGGCCACTTTCATGTACGCCAATGGTGCCATCATGGCCGTACACGGTGAGGTCGTGCCCGGAGGTATCGACGGAGTCGCCCAGCAGTCGATGAGATTACACGGCGCGGCAGCTAAAGGATTGATCGCATGTACCTATCTCTTCGTGGCATCCTATGCCCCAACCTGGGGCCCTGTCAGCTGGACCTACCCGCCAGAGCTGTACCCCATGCGTCTCAGAGGTAAAGGTGTTGCCTTGTCAACGTCCGGAAACTGGGCTTTTAATACCGCGTTGGGTCTGTTCACTCCCCCTGCGTTTGCCAACATTCGCTGGCAGACGTATATCATCTTCGGCGTGTTCAACACCGCTATGCTCATACATGTGTACTTCTTCTTCCCCGAGACGGCCGGTAAGACGCTGGAGGAGACTGAGGCTATGTTCGAGGATCCCAATGGCATCAAATATATCGGCACACCGGCATGGAAGACACGGGTAACGACGGGGCGGATTCAGCAATTGGAGAGAGGTAATGTCGAGGGTCTCGAGTCGAAGGCGCAGCAAGAACCGGCGGCTCGGGAGGTCGAAGTGACTCAACCGGAGCAGAAGACGGCATCGTAGGTTGCGAACCCTTGAGATGCGGACCTTCCGAACGATGCTGCAAGAAAGTGCGCGGATACAAGATGAAGAATTTGATAATCTGAATGCACCTCTATGAGTTCATAGTTAATAGCCAGCTTACTACTTTAACCACATTCATTAACAGTCATTGATAGTGTCAGCTCAGACTAAGGTGCTTGATTTTAGTCAGATAGTAACAGTAATTGATCCCTTCATAAGGGTAAGTGGCCCAATGTAAACACCCATCTGCTGTGGATTAACCCCATTTGAAAACGCTGGCTTTCAAGCGATGCAGCCGCTAGGTAAGTACGCAAGGAACACTCTGCTACGTTAGCCAACCATAGCACCAATCACTAATACTGATACTGCGTGGGGTAGAAGCTACTCGCACAACTTGAGATTGTTCTACCTTTGATGAGCGCTATATAGTTTTGTAAGATACTCATCTCTACCTGCGTTGGACCCTTTTCCTACTATGCCACTGAGAAGACTCATAAGATTCGGGGATATAAGTTCACCGGGTGTGATTGCTTCTCAACATGAATTTACAATATATAATCGGTGATAGGCTATAAAGTCTCCATGAAACATGATTGACTAGACTATACATTGCCTCTCGAGACTTTTCAGTTTCGGCTATATGAGGGATACCGTTCTGGTGCTAGTACCAGAACACCACAGAAAGATATGGGATTATGGTACATGATAATGGCAAACTTTACACAATGGGATCAAATGGGTCGCTTTCCGCCTGCGAAGTATCTTTCTGGGTAGGGTGTAAAATCTGATAAATTCAGGTGTAGGTTATGGTGTCCCTCCTTCACCTAGGAGTTGGCTAATGTGATCCGATTAGCTTCTCTTTTCACATTGTTCAGAAGTGCGACGAGTCCAAATTCGGCTGCTAAAAAAAAACAACCATGTGATGTATTTAGGGAAATACAGAAGATATTCCTACTGAGCAAGCAGCATATCAGCCACGGCTTCTCCAAAAGCGTACATAGGAGCCTGGTAATGCCCTGCCAGTGGCACAGGAAGCACACTAGCATCGCAAACGCGGAGGTTCCGAACACCCTTAACCCGACACTGCGTATCCACCACCGTCCCCATCGCAGCCGTACCTCTATTCTGGAAAAAGCTACTCCCCACAATCTGCGCCCGTCGGTCAAGGTCCGCATCACTGCATGCACTAGTGATGGGCTCATAGCCCGGCGGCGGTGTCTCGCTATCGATAACCTCCTTTGCAGAATCTGTTTCCATCACGCGCAAGGCGACTCGCATACCCGCGCGGAGCGCGGCACGATCTGTCTCAGTGTCGAGATATCTCGGGTCCAGGACTGGGTCAACAGTGGGATCGGCGCTCGCGAGCGTGATGCGTCCTCGACTGGTTGGAAGAAGAAGAACCACGGGGCTGCTGATGTGGTTTCCGTCCATAGGGACACGGAATTCAGAACCACCACCGGCAATTGGTGCGTAGGCTACCATCACTTCGACATTGCCGCGGGGTTCCTGTAGGTATGGGTCTTCCGGGTCGATCTTGTCCTTCTGGGCGGCCTTGATGAGCTCTGCGTGTGGGGTAGGAACTGTTGCAACCCATTCTATAGGGTTGCCGTGCCGAAACTCGGGCTTGTTGAAGAGTGGGGAGCCGAGTGCGTATCCTTTCTCCGGGTTTCGTAGCTTCCAGAAGAAGGTCGCCGAGATTTTATCGTGGTAGTTTTCTCCAACAGGTAGATCTGCGATGGTGGGGATATTGCATTGAGCGAGGTGCTGCTGGGGTCCAATGCCGGATAACATCAGCAACTGAGGTGTTTTGAGAGCACCGCACGTAACTAGTACTTCTCTCGTTGCCGTGTATTGGGTCCCATCGGTCAGCGTGATCCCGGTAGCTGTCTTAGAGTCGTCGAAATCCACACGTCCGATGACGGAGTTTGTCAGCACTGTCGCTTTGGACAGATCGTAGGCCTTGCTGGCTGGTTGTCGGAGAGCATTCTTCCAGTTCTCCGTGAATGGTCCAAAGCCAAGAGGATTGCCGCCGTTGGGATCGGGATTGTATTCCAGACCCGCCGCAAACATTGCCTGGCGTATCCGTTCTCGCAGCGGGTACATACGAGCCGCAGCCGTGGTCGAAATCGGCCCACTGAACCCGTACTTTGCAGGGCTCCCCGTCGGATCGTGGTGAGTCTGCGTCATCTTAAAAAACTTAAGCATATTCGCATAGTTCCACCGCTCGTCTCCAACTGTCTTCGCCCAGGAGTCATAGTCGACTGAGTGGCCTCGAGTCCACAGACCGTAGTTAATGCCGCTAGAGCCCGACAGCAGTTTGCCCCCGTAGTTGGGAACATGGCGGTTGCCCAGTCCTGGCTGCTTGGCTGTCATCAAATTATATTCCCATTCAGTGCCATGGAGATGCGGAGCAGCGACAGGACTCATGATCTTGTCGTTGTAGTCCTCCGGACCAGCCTCGACGACCAGTACGCTGTGTCCAGCCTGGGAGAGGCGACTTGCGAGAACGCATCCCACGGTACCTCCTCCACAGATAACATATTCGTAGGTCTTGCTCACCGTGTCAATTTGTTTGAATGTCACTCTCTGGAGAACTAGACGGTATGTGTTTTGTCGTGTGGAATGAGCGATATGCGCGACCTCTCACTTGAGACCAAGTAGAATTCTATCCCTTCAAAAATGGAGTTAAACAGGCAACGTCTCTTATCCCCAAGGAACCACCCCCGGTTGAGGTCTCGAATTGGTTTCCCAAGAACTGTGAGGGATTTACAAACCCCTGTCAGGTTTCTGGGCCGACTCGCACTTTTTGGAGCCGCATATCACGTACATGGCCCCCAAATAGGCCCACGCCCGCGCATGAATGTGATTGGCAGAAGTAGGTACGTGTATAGTGGCGTTCGGGAGAAGGCAGGTCTCCCGAGAGAGGTTCCGATCCACATCGCTTCCTCTCCTGATAAGCGCTACGGAATATAGATTTTTCAAGGTAGATTCCTTGAAGGTCCCCTTCTGAGATCCGTCACCTACAAAAGCGCCGGGTTGCATCTGCTTTGAGTATAGCAATCGGTGGCCGAACAGCGGCGTCGGAGTCCATATCCGTTGCCTGTCCAATGGCGTACAGTAGCCCTCTGTCAATATGGTTCTGTTAGAAGCACAAGGGGGCCCTTTTGCTATAAATTTAGTCTGGTATTGATAGTGGAGGGAAACAAGAATCAGTCTCCTGTCTATACAGGTAACAGTATCTACTCATTATCTTCTGCCTACGTCCCCTTACCTATTTGACAGCTCTTCTACTCTGGATAGTAGATATTTCTTTGACATAATATATACTGAACCTTTCTGCCTTTTACAACTATATATATCAGCACTTTGTAGCTGAACCCTAAATCTAGTATTACAAACAAAATTTAGGAAAGGAAGTCTTGGTCATTTATATATATAAGTAAATCTGCTCTGTCTCGATTATGAATTATATTATAATTAACATAATAATTCTAAAAAAAAAAAAAGAATGTATTATAGATCATCAATTATCTTACAAGACCGATATATATCTAAATAGTATAAGAGAAACAATACACCCTAAGATACTTAGATAAACGAAATAGAAATTTAAGTCCGACTACTCAGAACCCAGATTTATTAAAGGGAACTTCCTCAGTAATCAGAAGCAGAATACTGTTCCGCTTAAAAGAATAAACATATCAATTATAGTTAAGCTTATGGACTTAGATAACTTATTTACAAGAGATACTTCGAGCTTCCATGCATCGTCGATCCATGAGTGGAAACGAGCTCGATGGTACGTTGTACTGATCATCGCTGGATTGCGTGGAAGCCGCGTCAGACGTATTGCCGATCTACATCGTTCTCATTTATGTATCGTAGTCTTGTCCTTTGGCCCAGTTGGGTCCTTTTAAAGTATAGGAGATACTATGTTGTCTAATTTGAGACAGTATTCCCTGCCTTCTAGGGTATTGATGCTAAGCCACACATCTCACGAATTAGAACCATGTACAATTGAAATAAGCCCAAGGGCACAAATATGTAACTCATCTGAAAGATAGGCAAGGAAAAGACGGGGCTATCCAAACTTGACGATGAAACAAACAAAGCGGCCATTAAGACGCTCTCCCTACAGCCCCCTCTTGGACGGAGCACCCCGTTTAGCAGCCGCATCATAAAGTGCCTGGATATCGGCTTTCCACTGCTCCTCATCTACACGCTTCACACGGCGATCGTACGTCATCAAACCATTCACCTCGCCTTCAACATCGGTGGTCTGTGTCCAGACACCACCGCTGCATTCGAACCTGCGAATCTGGTCCTCAAACTCCGTTAACAGGATGTGGCCGCGGTAGTTCCATGCCTCGAGGGTTTCGTCGATCTCATACGTCTCATTGATATGGTTGATGGCCTCTTGGACGTTCCAGAGACTGAAACAGTTAGCTGGAGTTATCAACCAGACATGGACCCTGTGAACTCACTTTTCGATGGAGACGTTGTGACCGATGCCTCCGAATTCTCCCTGGAAACCAATACGGCTGGGATCATGGGGGCTGGATGACAGGGAGTAGAAGGGGGTTCCACATTGGGGATTGGCATAGTGATGATTATCCTGCCACCGTCAGCTATCATTTCGCGATCTTGTGTGGTCGTCTTCACTTACGCTGAAATCACCTGCACCATGGTCTACCCAACCTGATGTCGAATCGACCAGTCTGCTTGGATCCAACTCCTTCACTCGGTCTGTCAACTCGAACTCAGGGTAGTACGATGTGATCTGACCCCAACCCTCATTATAGATGACCTGCAAAGAAGGGTTAGAGTGGAAGAGACACCAACTCGACGGAGCTACTTACCCAGGCAATTATACTAGGGTAGCTCTTGAACTGGTTCACGAGAACCTCCAACTGTCTGGAGAACTCATCGTGTTGCGACTCATTAGGGACGATGTCGCTGGTAGCACAGGCATCGTTTCTTGACAGGGGACGCGGAGACGGCATATCCTGGATGACTAGCAGTCCTAGTTCATCGCACGCCCGATAGAAGAGTGCTGGCTCGACTTTGATCTAATTACAATGTCAGTATACTTCCCATGTGCTCCTGGCGCTGTCTCACTCACATGTTTCCGAACCATGTTAAAGCCAAGGTCCTTCAAGAACTTGAGGTCATATACCATGGCCTCTCGGTTGGGTGGGGTATACAGTCCATCAGGCCAGTAGCCTTGGTCAAGGGTTCCGAACATGAAGATGAATTCACCGTTCAACAACGGACGGACTACGCCGTCAACCTTGCCTTTGGCAATTGTGCGGAAACCGACATAGCTGTGGACTTCCTCGTCACCCATCGTGACCGTCAGATTGTACAATTTGGGAGAGTCCGGTGACCATAGCTCTACACCATCGACGAGGAAGTTGAAGGTCTCATCTGACGTTCCCTCGCCGGATCCAACCTCCTCATCACCATCATAGACCTTAACCTCCACCGGTGACCCGCTCTCCGTCGCGGTATTCACAGTGACCGTAACTAACCCAGGAGATTAGTATTTAAACCATACATATCGAAAAACGCTCCCTACCTTTACCGTTCATGTCGGCGTCAAGATCCAAGCGCGTGATATGGTTCGCGGGAGCAGCTTCGATCCAGACACTCTGCCATATGCCACTGCAGGGCGTGTAGAAGATATGTGCTGGGACTAATCTCTGCTTGCCGATAGGAATAACCTCGTCGCCACTGTCTGTGGGATCATGCACAAAGACGAGGCTACCATACGTCAGTTGCTATTTCCATTCCTGGTGGGTGCTGCACATACAGTTCGTTTTCGCCATCACGATTCACAAACTCTGTGATATCAAATGCGAAATGGAAGTAGCCTCCACGGTGGAACCCAGCATTCTTCCCGTTAACGAAGACGGTAGCTTCATAGTCTACGGCGCCAAAGTTCACTAGAACGTTCTGGTCTTTGAAGGACTGAGGAATAGTGAACTGCGTGGTAAACCACGAATATAATGTATCTTTGCCTTGGATTCCTGGTGATGTGTTAACGAGTATGCACTCTGAACCAGTCTGACGGTGATGATCTACCAGATAGACCACTCTCAAGACAGGAAGGCACCAGAACCTCGTGTGCGAGAGGTTGTCCAAATGGCGGACTGTCGAGAGCAGCAAGACTTTGTGCGTCCTGATACTGCCAAATTCCGTTCAGGTTCTTCCACTCAGACCGCTCGAGCTGCGGACGGGGATACTCTGGCCAAGGGTCGGTGCCAGCTTTGTCCGTCCATGGAGTGGTCAATGGGGGTTCTTTGACAGCATACGGAGTGGCCTGGCGAGCCTTGTTGTGATGGAGTGCTGAACCGCTCGCAGTCAAGGCTTGAGTTGCCAATAGAAGCACGAGGGATATGCCAGTCGAATACATGTTTACCGCTACTTAGAGGGTGTCGGCTCCTATCCACTGCAGGGGTCAGCCCGTGAGATGCAGTGGACGGGCCAAATTGCCCGTGGTATTTATACTCGGAGTACCCTCCATCCTGACAGAAGCCTCGCTGGAGCCCAAGTCCTGGAATAGCCAATTGATTACTGGTACATTATTCCGACAGGATCCATTAGATAGCTCAGTGAATACATCCCCCGCACACGGCCAGGACTCTTCGCTTTACCCTTGCAGGGACGGCATCATGCGCCCAACAAGGTAACCCCGCAATTTCTAGTGTAGGGTTTTGCCGGTAGGTATCAACCGAGCCCGGACAATAGGCAGTCGACAGTCGACTGGGCCTCTCTTGGCACATTAGTCGGTGGAGTAGAGGATCCGCAGGGTCATCCCTTGGAACGCGATCGCTCGATCAACAAGGCAATCTTTGCATGATGGGTCGAAGGTACCATTCAGATCTGGAGTTTGCTGAATCGACAGTGACCGATTACTGATATTTTTTCTTTTTTTTTTCTCAGCTATCATTTTGTTTGTCGAGGGAAAAGACCAAGATATGAAGGAGGGTGAGGGTTGATATTCCCACGTCCCGGTTGGGAAATTGATCCCCTGACCCCACGGAGACCTATTCTTGGCATCAGGCTGGCTGCTTTCGGCTTTTAGCTTTTTTCGCCCCCTCTCCTAGTGTATCTCCTAAGCGGTGAAAGAGAATGGCCTATTGGAAAAGAAGATGTGATATGATCTCCGGATTAAAGCTGGGTCTTTGGGCAAAAGTGGGGGAATATTGAACTTTAGTGAATGCTGGTAGTACTGGTACAAGCCACTCCTTCTCCGGTCCAAATTTTTGAGTCCGTTGCCCACATGGACAAAGCGGATCATTGGCAATGATCGGTGATTAACCCCTGAGTATCAACGCCACTCAGGCCCATACACAATGCTACCAGATATTCTGAGTCTTTGTTTATTTTAATCTACCAGTGCCCCGGACGATGAATATCGTTTGCCCCAACCCAAACAAAAATTAGGTCCCCCAAAAATAGGATAAATGTCGACTTGAACCGGGGTACTTCGGATATACTCTGGACTAGATCATGAGATACCAACTAATCCTATGACTCGATCGAAAGTCCAGAAGATGTTGTCTGGACTAGCGCGGAGAAAGTGACATCATTTATCCCGTTTCCCTGGTAGAGGCCAATCATAGCCCTAATGATATGCGAGCGAAAGAGACTAATGCAGACAAGAGCAGCAAGTTGTCATGTCAATCCGTCATTGGCAGTCCCTACACAAATGGAATGTACTATATTTCTTAGTTTCTGCCTAGCTTACTATAGGGCGCGATGAGGCACATATTGTGGCGGTGGATGGATTAAATTCCGCAGGCTCGAGACTTGAGGGCTTTTGTACTGATGTAAGACTGATGCTAAAACCCTAGCCCCTCATTTTCGGGTATTTTCACATCAGGTTTCTAGAACGAAGTATACATGAAAGAACAGGGCAACTGCCTTTTGGTCATGACCTCAGGCGTGGAAGAGTATATTCTGAGAACACCCAAGATTAAGCTATGTTACACCGAAATCTCTTCAATCTGCTTGTATTTTTGGTTTTATTTTTAGTTTGCTTTTAGGTCTTGATTTCCTTTCACAAATGACTCTTGGCAGTAAACCACGGACCTCTCTTTCATTTAGACATTGTATCCTTGGCACATATGCCCGGTGTGTGTGTGTGTGTGTGTGTGTGTGGAAAGAAAGAAACATCCTCCCCACTATGATGGTCCATGGTCGAGACCAAGGTGGGCTAGAAGACACACGGAAAGAACCTTCAACTGTGCATTGTATATACTCCAGTACTCGTAGGAATGATGTCGAGATGTAAAACGTCCAAATAATTGGATGGATAAGTTGGGGGACTTTGAATTACTCGTAACATCAACAGCTGATCTATGTGAGTTGCCCTTCTAGCCGATAGAATCATAGCAGACCAGGATGTGTCATATCCAAAATACTACAAAGATTCTAGATGGCTTCTGGAGTATTTCTAACCATCATAAGCTTATTCCGAAGCGCCGGTGACAGGCTACTCTGGGCCAGTGCTCAGGAGACGCCACATACTCCGTAAACGGGTATTCGAGGCGCCAGCACAATGCAGGGAGACCGTGGAGGACCCACTGAACAGCAGAATCTGAGATACTTAATTATGAATGATATGTCCGTTTCTGCACGGAAGCCCGACAACGGATTCTTTCAACGGATGAAGAGTGGCTCGGGCTGGCTGAGATGCAAGGGGTGTTTGCCCAAACTTTGTGGCATCCGGTCAATCATATAATATTCGGACCTTTATATGTGGGTCATTGAATTTCGGGACGAATAAAGATCGAGTTGGACGGTGGCTCTTGCTTATAAAATTGACAGTGTATGGCTTGTCGAGTTGGAATGATGCTAGATGTGTTTATACGACATGTCAATGACAAATGTAGATCCAGTTTTATTGCGCCAACAAATTATTGCTTCTAATTTAATTGACAATCTGAAACACTTTACATCACTTGGCAGATCTTCGAATGCCGATATTTGCCCATGCCCCCTTGCTCAGTCTCCTTGCTGAGTTGTCCTGATGACCACAAAGTCCTCTGTCAACCACGACATACAAAGTATGATGTTGAGTTGATAGAATGCTGGTTATCTTCAGGCGCTCCCGCAAGGTTCTTTTAGCATGTTTCTCGTCTGACGATGGCATAGTGTTCAATGCGGCCTTGGTCTTTACTACATTCCAAGGAGAGTTGTTCATTCCTTTCTTCTATCCTGGTAAGGCTGATCGATGACAGCAAACCTTTCCAGTTGGGTGGGTGTTTTGAAGACCGTGAAATGATAATGTAAAGACAGTGGCAAAGACTAAATAAAGTAAGACAATAATGAGCGTGTCTTCGCTTGATCTATCCCTTATGTTGAATAGACGATAGAAAGCCAACGGCATGTCAATTGTTTAACTAGCGACCGTCGCCTGGACAGTTGAAAAATACATTCACGAGAAACGAACGAAAGGCTATCGTAATTGCAACACAAGTCATCGATCCATATTTAAGCAGCCTTAGCGATTTTCTGCAGCTGCTCATACCCGCCGTTAAAGATGTCAGAGTCACCACCATGCTTATAGCTGTCAGAATTCTGCCAGATGGTGTAGGTTGCCCAATCGCCAGGGATTGTCGTCGGCGGCGAATCACGATAAGCGGCGAGTACGAGAGGGCAGGTGTTGCCAAAGCCTTTGGCATTTCCAGTGCAGGTATTCCACCAGTCGGCGGTGGAGTAGATCATGGGGTAGACACCGGTGGCCTTCTGATACGAATCGACGAAATCCTTGATCCAGGCAACCATGGCTGTGGCGTCCTTACCGTAGCATTTGTCGTCACCGTAAGGGTTGTATTCGATATCGAGCATACCGGGCAATGTAATGCCGTCCTTGGACCAGCCGCCACCGTTCTTGAGGAACCATTGTGCTTGCTCTGCACCAGAGGAGGAGTCGGGAAGCGCGAAATGGTAGCCTCCGCGAATCATACCGGCGTCAGTAGCGCCTTGATAATGCGAGCTAAAGACCTTGTCCTTGTAGGTGGTGCCCTCAGTTGCCTGCGAATGTTAACAAGGCGATCATAATATCGAGACGAGCGATGACGCACCTTGATCATAACAAAGCGAGCGCCATCGTTATAGGCAGCCTTGAAGTCTACAGTGGCTTGATGGTTGGAGATATCAAACCCCTGGACTGTCTCAGAGGTAGCCTTCAAGGACAGACCGGCGGTAGCGGAGAGGGCGAGGTTGGCGAGCTTCATTGTGGTCGCTGGCGGTCTGTGTCTGCAAGAGGTGATGATCGTGGTGTTGATGGCATTTCCTAGTGGGTGCAAGACCCTAGATATAAGGGTGTCCTCGAGTGGATGTACTTGGCGTAATGCGTCGGACCATCGTTCAGGGAAGCATGAAAATTACCATGTTGGGCAATAATGATGCACATCCCAATCTAGATGAGCACTGCAGAACTGAATGTGTAGATTGGATTGTAACGTTGGTCAGGTATCGTCAGATGATCGTTGGAACAGATTGAAAAGGGGTAACTGCTATTGGCTTTCGGGCCTTTGTGATATGTGAAGCTGTGGGGCATTCTCTGGATACGAAGCCTTGGGATGCACTGGTGGCTCCCTTGTTGTTATTTTTAACCACAAACACGAACCACGGGCACTATTCTGCCAGGGCAAGCAAGTATAAGTAATTGGGGCTATTTCAGAGAGGCCGATCCATGCTCTAAAGCTGCAGCAATATTGAGGGCGAGCGTGAAGAAACAGAAAAACAACCGAGGATTGTTGTGGCACAATGGACGATCTCTTCTCTATATCGTAAGGATCGACCCTAAGTCCCCTAGATTAACGGGACTAAATGGAGGATACATCCAATCCGCGCGACGCCAAGTCGGTAAATACGAGAAATCAGAGGATGCAACCAGGGTGAAAAGGCCTCTAATATCTTTTAATCAAAGGACGTGCCTTTGGTCCGGTTTCACACATATCGACCCTATTATGCAATAAGATAGCTAGATTATGCATACAATTATACAAGTGAAGGCATCCATACCATGGATTGATTGTTTAGCTGGGCACATACACTGCGACTTCCGGCTACGATCGGAATAACAGCATGATTCGCCCCTCGAGAGGAAGACAGAATTTCATACGCAGTTACATCTAGGGTGTTTATGAGCTGGCTGCGCCCAAGTATGTAGGTCACAATTACCAGTTTCATTTGCAGCCAACATCTGTAGTTCTCCGATACATGGACACTATCTTTCTGAGGATCTCTTTAAATGAATGCTGAGACTCATACTACTTAAATTTGTATACAGACCATCCTCATAGCATTGGATATTGCGCAATAAGGCAGTTCGGGCTCTGTCTGTGTTGTCACGATACTAACCAAGGATATGATGTGAATTCTCGTAGCACATTCTCATGTATCGTCCCTAGCGAAAACTTGTAGTAGCCTGGGTCCTGGACGGCGTGCTGCTCCTTACCAGTCCTCTCGCAAATGCTAGGCATTAATCTAGTCATATAGGGTGGTTTTAGAGCCCAGTAATTCCAGGGCTTGCCATCACGAGCGGTGTATACATGGCGAGGGAACAGTCATTCTGATTTGTCGGAAACATTTGGTGTCCTCGTATTACTTGAGGGCTCTCCGACATTTACGATACATTGGCCCTATCTAAGTAGTCGGTGCCATGCGCCTCTCCAAGAGATGCCTTCGCCAATACTTACAAACTAATGCATTCCAGATGGCTGAGCCCATCGGTGTTCAAGGGTTCTGCATTACTCATTGCCTCGATGACTTCTAGCTGACTGAACAATTTATCCTATCATGATGGTAATTCGGGTTTGAGATTGGCTAAGTTATATGGGTTGGTCTGGAGCACGATAAGCCGGAGTTGATCGAGATTTGGTCCTGCTAGAGCAGCCCGTCGAATATGTATATTCAGGTATTCGGTATCCGGTATTCGAAATGGACGGCGAGTGGGGTTCATCATCATCAATCCTTCCGATGATGCTGTGACTGCAGTACAATATCCTGTTGGAACATAAGACGTAAGTGGGGCGCTTACGAGCACGCCAATGGCAATCCTTAGTTTTACGTTGGGCCAAGACTATATAACGTTGATATTGTCAGTATCCACGAATAAGATATGTGGGAGACCAGCTGACACTAGTGCAAGCATCAGTCCACTTCCTGTTTATTAGTCCTTGTATATCAGGCTCTCTCCGGATGGGTCCAAGCCGCATGTATCTATAAAAACTATCCTACAGTAAACCACTTTTCGCAAGCCCAGTGGTTCATTCTGACAGGATCTCACATCTGTTCGTCTACCATGGCCTCAGGAGTTATCATTGATCTTCATTCCCTCCTTCGGACAGTTCCACTTGCAACCAGCACCGGAAGCCTCGTTCTTGCTACCAGCGAGCTCATATTTTACTCCGGGATGATCCAGCCGTCGATCCGTAAGAAGTCCGACTCGATTCTCGCCGAGTATTGGCGTTACATATTCCCTAGGGGAGTGAGCCTTGTACTGGCCCTCAATATCACGACAATCGGGACTGCATTATGCAACATTTTCCTGAAGAATCCTCACTCCCGACCGCTGCCTGTTTCTCGCACAACGTTCTACTGGGCTGGCCTTATTGGAGCTATTGGGCATTTGACTTTTGTACCATTCGTCGCACCACCTATTCAACGCATCCTTGACAATCCTGATCCCGAAGCCGAGACGAGTAAGGAAATGGATATCTGGCTGGGATTACATCGAATTCGCATGTTGGTGGCGGACATACCGGCCTGGTTGGCGTTTGTGGGAGCTGTGATGTTGACGGATCGGTGAATACGCTATCGGGGCTTATTTTGGCTGCCAGATCGCGATATGCAGTTATTTCTATGGCTGTCTGGCTTTGAGACTTGTATAGTAGTAGGATTTACCGGGCAGGATGCACTCACACCAGTCGGACATCATGGACTCTGTGGATGAAGGCGCTGAGAGGCTTGCTGTATGAATATAATGGGGTTGCTGGGTGTGACGGGGGACTCGCTGCCTCAATAGAACGACTACGTATATCATCAGACGAATGCCATGAAGTGCAGTTGTAGAACGTTCCGTAGTTAACTATAATATATACTGAAATCTAGACCTTAGAGAAGCGCAATAGTGATAAAGATAGCCCATGGAATTGCTGTTAAGGTATTTATATTATTAGATTTACTCCAAGGTATAGTTATATTATTATTTAAATAATCTAACCAGGCCCGCATATAAGGGTATAGAGAATTCATCTAGTAGGGTCGAAAATATAATGTATTACAGGCGACTACGGAATGGGGTAGAAGAGTAGGGTTATTTATAAGTGATAAATTAACCCTGTAGCCTATTAGAGGTTAGAGTCAGTGTCTCTTATGAAAAGGGACCTTGTGAAGGGATAAATACTATAGAAGAAAGAAAATTTTTCAACCATCAAAATATCCAGTGATCTACGTTCTGAATGAGCTTTGAAGGGTACAGTATGGTCGGTCGCACGGGCTTGTACTGCAGCGCCAACCTATTTCATTCCCAAAGAAATCGAGGCACTTAACGGGAATAATTAGCGCTTCAATGCCATTCCCAGTATCGGAACTGGTTTGTAGCAGCCTCGTGGATACTTTGGACCTGGAAACCAAGGTGGCCGTTTAGTTATTTTGACTACTTTTGGGCAGGCTTTCGGTCTGCTAACCTTGAAAAGGCCCACCAAGGCATGGGAAAATCCTTTAATTCGGATGGTGAAAAGACATACTGGCGTTCCAATAGTGGTTCACAGAAATGGGATCAAATATTGTTGGATCAATGGGATCCTGACACCATGAAGACGATGGAAGAGCGAATAGTTGGAAAGAGAATATATATCAAGCACAATATGCAAGAATGTGCGGCGCGTCTTGTACAACATCGATGCTAGAGATAAATCCACAAGGATGAATGGGAAATATTTGCTCTTGCGGTTGAATGTCGGTGCACAATACCTGGATGCTTTAACCTTTACAATGTCAAAGGCGATATGGATAATCATATGAAATGATGCCACCCAGGAATCAACCTGAGCCGGAAGAACCTATCTGGGTGTACAAACGCCTGTAGGGATCATGACATGAAACTACCTATCGTATAGCGGTTCTTGTCTAGTGAGATAGTAAATTGACCTTGTTAGAGAACAGGGGCTATACTTGATCTTTATTTTTAGTGTAGTCAACTGAATGATAATGGGCAATCAGTCTGATTTTATGAATGGAACGTGATGCGTCTTCCTACTCTCACCTTTGCAATTAATTGCCCTAGGTACTGCCAGTAATACGTCCCCCACTGGACTCAACCTGAACTGTCATTATTGACCCTCAGGGAACTGCATTCTATACAAGGCTCCCACGCTGATAGGAACTCCAAATATAACGTTTCAACCAACTCGTTTCACCAGGAATAGTCACTCACACAGTCTGGCCTGAAAACATGAACGCAAACGGACGTCGACGATTTCAATCTAGACCTTGGAGCTGACATGTAGGATATGGGTCAATGGTATTACTTGTTGCAGAAAAGGATAGGTGAAATAAGACTCATACTACGGGAAAGAAGTTCATCATCCGTGCTGGACTTATCTGAATTGTAACCCTTGGCAATGGGGATAAGTCTAACCACTAGCGTGACACTACTACCTTGGAACGTCTGGATTACCTTTTTAATTCAGGTAAGTCATGATCGAGACTGAATTCGCTTGGTAAGAGCGAAACTCTACTCACAATCCAGCCAGCAGTTTAAGGTTGAACTTTATTATGTCGACAGGTTTCGCCGAGTGACCCGACCGAGGTTCCTCCGAGGATATCGCCATGAGATATCCGGCCTGATGTATATTTGCACCACGCACTTTCAGCTGGGCTGTCCTAGGAATACGTGATCAATGCCGGCAATGGCGAATATGGACCATCAACTAGCCTCAAATCGAACGGGATTATCTTTTTGCCCCATCATAACATCCGTATATATATAGCTTTCTCAACGAGATCTCAAAGCATTACCCTAACTATTCCACTACTGTAATCCCTTTTTTACCCTCCTTCAAGCCAATTAGACCCTTAATGGCTGCACAAATCTATGTTGTCCGTCATGCGGAATCCGCCCATAATGTGTCAAAAGACTTCAATCACCGTGACCCCCCTTTGACTGAGCTAGGCTTTCAGCAGGCTAGTCAGCTTGCACAAGCCTTCCCCTATGGCCCACACGTGGGTGTTATTCTTGTTTCACCGCTAAGACGAGCTATCCAGACGACTCTTGCCGCATTCCCACATATTCTAGACAAACGCTACTTCAGCCCAGACTCCGGCCAAGGCATTGAAGACGGAGCAATACTTATTGTGGACCCTGATCTACAAGAACGGAGCGGTTTCCCATGCGACACAGGATCCCCTCGCAGTCTCCTGGAAGAAACATTTCCATATCTTCCCTTCGATGGTTTGGAAGACACTTGGTATGTCAAGGAAGCAGCCTACTCGTCCGAGAATGAAGCCGTTGAGGAACGGGCGGCAAGAGTGCGTCATTACATTGCCCACTTGCTGGCGAAACTCAAAGACCAGGAGAAAAATACTCTGATTGTCTTGACGCACGGTGTTTTCATGAAATCCTTGGTCGGAGATGACAGGATTGACCTACCAAAAGCCGGTTGGAAAGCTTATACGTTAAAAACAAGAGAAGCGAATTATACTTTTGTTCCGGCCGAAGGCTTATGATAGGCAATGCTATCAATATGTAATGCACGGTGAACAGGATACTAATATCTTCAGAATAGCCCGGCACTAGAACATTCATACGGAACTATTGATTCGGAATATATAATAAATTAAAACGCTTAGAAGTATGTACATCTTGCCTTTTTCAGGTGATGTATCGGAATTTCACGGATTTCAATTCGGGATTCCCCTACTGTGTCCTAATGTACGCAAAAGGCGTCCGTAAGCAACCGCATCCCTCAGGGGTCTGGTATACGAGACTAAATTCTTCAATTTTGTGATGTGGACGGCAGTGCAAAAAGGTCTAAAAACGTCTTTCTTTGCACTATGGTGGACCCGTGTTGTAAGGGCCCTAGGGTCCAAGGTTTATTGAATGGGGCAGCCGCAGGTTATCCTAAGCCTGAAGGTAAAGGTCTGCCAGATGCTCGTCTTTTGAACCTTGTTGATGGCTGGAAGAGTCAAGCAAAGTTCTCCTCACCCTCCCATGGCTACATAGGGTGGGTCTTCGATGCTATCTAGCAATAAAGAGTTACTAGTTTCAACGCAAACAAACCTTGCTCCACACCTGAACCTTATTGGCTAGAAGTCCAGAACGAGCTGCTGAGAAATAAAGCCCTTTCTAACCAAGATGGCCCACGTTGAACAAGCATAAATCTCACTGCTCGAACATTTATAATGTGATCTTCAGGGTCTGAGCGCACGAGGAAACTCAATTAAATGCTGAAACAACAAGACGTTTTTCTAGGCATTCGGAGAGACTGCGGACTCATTTGCCACTCCGTGGTTCCCGGCAGCGCGCAATCAAGTTATGTAGGCATCAGGCCGTTGCATCAAATATGTACTATAGTCGTTACAAGTCACTAAGCGCATATCATGGAGTATTAGTAATATCGTCCTATGGGAAACGATATTATAGAAGCGTGGAACAGGGTAGGGGTGGTGTAACCAGACTTATCTCATCTCGTAGTCCGTAAATATTAGCATACAGAGCCGTATTTTGATTTTTTAGACGTTATCAGCGAGTAAATACACCGGGGGGCCCTTTGCTTTAACATCGGCGGTAACTGCGGTACCATAGAACTCTGCAAGGAGAATGTACAGATGTCATACGCAGCTTCTTTCCCCTTTATTTGCCCCTCTGGGTTCAGCCCCTGGTAAGACTTTATACTCTAGCCAAACATGTTTCAGGAAGCGATTGTTCATTGGCTCCACTTATTCCTGCGCAACCACCTGCTCGAACGAAGCTCAGGAAGAGTCCCATATCACAGCAGGAATTTCTCCATCAAGTGGCTGCTCTATGAGTACCGAACCAAGAGTGCCATCCTTCATGTCCCACTTGGTCACCACTACCTTGTGGCTGTTCTGCTGTGCTATAGCCATCATACTATCTTTTGAAGAAATATCAAACTGGCGTGGAAAAGACCCAAATGAAGGATATGAACCCAAGAATGAGACGGCGGAAGTTTGGTTGTGTTTGACGAGAGAGAAGATTGCTATAGAGTCATTGCCGGGACCAAAAGAATTATCGTTACGGTTCGAAATCACAAGACGGTCATTCTGCGGCTATTTGAGGGAAGTTAATGCTTAGCAGGTCTTTGATGATTGACGAAGAGTAGAGGGAAGAGAGACGTACCGAGATAGCGATTCCTGCGGCTTTTGACCCTGTTGGAGGAGTTGATCCACCGTACGTATTGCCTTCATAGAACTTGGTGAACAAAAGTGTTCCGTTGTTGGGATATGTCACATCATATCCTCTGAGGTAATTATCTAACTCTGAGACCAGAAAGAATCGAACATGACTCAGTCGAGTGAGGTTTGCGTTCCGAGGAGCCCAGAAGACCGCATGTCGTGGTCCGGAACCCGGAGCTACCGCCAACGGTGGTTGTTCTTCAAGTTGGCCTGTAGTTGGGCATATGCGGAAGATGCGGACCAGGTCGGCTCCTAGGTCTGGGACAAGGACAAACCGGCCGGATGGGTCGACAACGACTCCATGAGGATGTGGTGCGTCCTGTCGTTCGGGAATTGGTCCCGGGGCAGCCACCGCGAATGTGAATGATTGAGAGTGGTTGAAGTGACCGCTGATAGGGTCAACAGAGTACGTGGTGAGTGCCGATCCTGAGCTAGATGATAAGGCTTAGTATTTCCATCTAGGAACGAATGACTCTGCATAAGAATTACAGGCCGAAAGGGGTTTACTTACTAATGAGCGACCGCCAGGAACTTGTGACCAGATCCATGGGCTGTTGTATAAAATGCAGACGCAACTGGCCCTACCAATGTCTGTAGTTGTCCGACCTTTGTGAACGACCCATCCAAGTTGATCTTGAGGGAAGTCACCGTGCCATTATGGCGACCAACACCTTCATCCAAACAGTAGAGGATTTTATTAGACCCATCCAGCATCAACCATGAGGGACTGGGGCCACAGTCGTTATTCTGGGAGAGGGTACTCAGTTCATAACTTTCACCCGAAGGTGACAAACTCAGAGATGTTACATGCCCAGCATAGGATGCTGCATAAAGCCGCGATGCTATAGCACTACCCCAAATGAAAAGTATAGTTAGATGCTGGAGCTTCATTGTCGCGATTCCACTCGTATGCAGCTAAACAGGTTATCGAGGTCTCTGAGTAAATTATAGCGACACGAGACAGGCCCTCCAGAAGCTTCTCTTTGCCAAACCTTACTATCCTGAGTACTTCTCTATATTTCATCATCAACTTCCCAGGCCAAGAAGAGCATTAAGGGGGGGGGTTAGTTACTGGTTGTGCAAGAGAACCCTGTAATGCTGGCTGAGTGGATGCTAAGGTCTAGAAGCCCACCCACGTTCTATGTAGATGACCTACTATTAGACTACGGTAGTGGGTACTTGCTGTGAATACGAAAGTTATTCTTGACCGTGGATCCGAAATGGGTCCAAACGATTATCCTGACAATCAACACAATGGACCACGTTGGAAGGCTCAGACGGTACTCAATGTTGTTGGTCTCGGCATGCCGAAAGGCGGAGCCATTTCTAGGCATGCCGAGAAGATTTGCCTTCCTCGAACCCACGGACTGTAAAGAGTGGGCTAAAGCCAATTAGGGGTTTCGTTCATCTTAAAATCTCGTATTCAACTATAGAGCCAGAGGTGATCTACATTGGTCGGCAGTCCATTTGGATTTCTGCTAATCAGTATGCATAGAGTGGAGTCCTGGTGATCGCAACTGCAATAGGTTGTATGACAGTAGGGTTGTCGTGGAAGGATTCGAGTCGAATTATTCAGGATTCACTAGCACTGCTCCACACAGTGGCTTTCATCTTGCAAGTGCTCTTTCAAGTCGGGGTTCTGACGTTTTTTTCTTTTGTGGGGCAGGAATGCAATCAATGTCCAAGCGCGGGCACTCCCAGCAGGAGACAGACTATCACTGATTGAACCATGTTGGGTCATCTTGAGTATATGTGTCTTGCAGAAATACTGCTCTTTTCCTATAGAGATCAATAGCATAGCCATGCGTACCATGATCTAATGATGAGGATGCCTATCAAATACTAATATAGCTTCACCGACGACCAAATATAAGCTGCCAAGAACGCAGAAAGCTAATTTCACCATTGTGATTTGAGACGCTCTAATTCGTCGGCGGATGATTTCTTGTTTTTCACATCTAAATTCCACTGAAAACGTGCGTTAGCAACTGGAGGAGGATATTGGCTCATGCTAGATAATGATCGAACCGACTCTAACCAGATTGCGCAAGGATAGATGGGCACGCCGTATAGTAGCGCCAAAGCTTTCCGTTTTTTGTCCTAACTATAGAGGCAGGCGATTGAGTTTGCTAGCTGTTAATAGAGCACCTTTATGTATATGTGAAGATAAGACTGTAAGTCATAGATGATTACAAACACGTTCAGCATCTAGACCTTGAATCTGAATAACCTTCCTGGCATATCGAGCACCTAGGAGATTGAAGGTATCGTATATATACTCCCTGCCTCACCTCTGGTGGATAGCCTTGGATGAGAGCAGCCCATGCTTCCATCGTTCCTTACAGACATATCATTCATTGAATATATAACCGACCTTTTCCCGCTCTTTTACCATTTCTGTCATAATGAGATACATCGGCTACTTTCTTTTGCCTCTGGCTACGGTCAGCGCTTATCTGGTGTCCGAGCAGATTGATGTTCAAGCCAGTCTGCTCAATAACCCGAGAGATGTTGCCGACAAAACCTTCGATTATATTATAGCCGGTGGAGGTTTGACCGGTCTCACGGTAGCCGCCAAGTTGACGGAGAATCCGAACATTGAGGTCTTGGTGATCGAAAAGGGCTTTTATGAATCCAACGACGGGCCCATCATCGAAGACCCAAATGCTTATGGCCAGATTTTTGGCACCACGGTGGACCAGAACTACCTGACCGTTCCTCTCATCAATAACCGTACCGACAATATCAAGTCCGGGAAGGGCCTTGGGGGATCTACCTTGATCAATGGTGATTCATGGACCCGTCCAGACAGAGTCCAGATTGATTCGTGGGAGAAGGTTTTCGGAAATCATGGGTGGAACTGGGACAATGTCGTCAAGTATATGAACCAGGCTGAACGTGCCCGTCCCCCAAATGCTGCCCAGATAGCGGCCGGCCACCATTTTAATCCTGCTTGCCATGGTTTTAACGGCACTGTTCATGCTGGACCGCGTGACAATGGTCAGCCTTGGTCTCCCCTCATGAGAGCACTGATGAACACCACTTCCGCCCTCGGAGTGCCAACTCAGGTGGACCTCCACTGCGGTCACCCTCGTGGGGTTTCTATGATTCCTAATAACCTATTAGAGGATCAGGTACGCGCTGATGCCGCTCGTGAATGGCTTCTTCCCAATTATCGCCGGGAGAACTTGAAGGTCTTGACCGGACAGGTTGTTGGAAAGGTTCTCTTTGATGAAGATGCGCCCGGTCACAAAGCTATTGGAGTAAACTTTGGCCAGAACAAGGCTGTTAACTTCAATGCCTACGCCAAACATGAAGTCCTGTTGGCCGCTGGCTCTGCCATCTCTCCGCTGATCCTAGAGTACTCTGGAATTGGTCTGAAGTCTGTGCTTGACAAAGCTGGCGTTCCTCAGCGTCTGGAGATGCCTGTCGGTATTAACATGCAGGATCAAACTACCACGACTGTGCGGGCACGTAGCACACCCGCTGGCTTTGGCCAGGGTCAAGCTGTCTACTTTGCCAATTTTACTGAGACCTTCGGCGAAGACGCTGATTACGCGACGGAACTTCTCAACACCAAACTTGACAAATGGGCCGAGGAGACAGTTGCCTGGGGTGGCTTCCACAATGTCACGGCACTCAAGGTCCAATACGAGAACTATCGCAATTGGCTGCTTGATGAGGATGTCGCCTTTGCAGAGCTATTCCTCGACACTTCCGGACAGATCAACTTCGACTTGTGGGATTTAATACCGTTTACTCGCGGTTCGACTCATATTGTCAGCAGTGATCCATATCTCTGGCAGTATGCTAATGATCCCAAGTTCTTCTTCAACGAGCTGGACCTTCTCGGTCAGGCGGCCGCATCCCGGCTTGCCCGCAAGCTGCAGAATAGTGGAGCTATGGCAAGCTATTTTGCTGGTGAGGTTATCCCGGGTGCCAAACTGCCCTACGAGGCCACACTAGACCAATATGCCGAGTACGTCAAGGACAACTTCCGTGCTAACTGGCATGCTGTGGGTACCTGTTCTATGATGTCCAGGGAACTTGGTGGTGTCGTTGATGCGACTGCTAAGGTTTATGACACCCAGGGCCTTCGTGTTATCGACGGCTCGATTCCTCCTACTCAGGTTTCTTCTCATGTTATGACAATCTTTTACGGTATGGCATTGAGGATCGCGGATTCCATCCTCGACGACTATGCTAGAGCCCATTAGTTCCTAAACGCGAATCAGGATGCTTAAATTGCGCGTTCTATTGGACCACCGCCCCGCCGGGCTTTTCATTTCACATTTTCAAGTTATGTAGTTGTCGAACCATTGGAAACCGCTAGAGGATCACTCTAATTTTCTGTATAATTCATATTTTCCAGTCTATAGCTTTATCTTTGTGCATAAATCTAAGTGAATAAAACTTTGAGTATTGATGTGCTGGCTATTCTTTCATGCTAAAGCCCCTTTGAGGTTGCTCGAATATATTATATATCTTCGTCCGTAAAGCTCCCCTCCAGCTACGACTTTGAACTAGTACAACTGCGATAGGTAGATAGAGGAAACACTGCAAATCCATGCACCACCAGGCGAAGAGCAAGCGATATCAAGTGGAAAATATGAGTCACTGAAACATGTAACCGTAGAAGAAGAGATTCTTGATTATTACTACAGCTGATAACCATCGGCGGACTCCGTCATGCGGGGAAACTTGTCTGATAAGCATATCAGATCGACTCGCATCAGCCCAAGCCCCACATCCATAGACATTCAATAGCTTCGTAGAGCTCACAGGCTGAACTACGAGTGTCGTCTGTGTTCAAATTTCCCCTGGGAACAAACTTCTATAGCCCTACACGATGCCAACAAAGTACATCGACCGTCCTATCCCCCGAATCTCCCTGGCCGATTTCGACCAGCGCATCGATGAGATCACTGCGGACCTCGTCCACGCCGCTGAGAATGTCGGGTTCTTCACGATAGTCGATCATGGTATCTCTACCGATGACATTGAGGCCATGTTTGCGACCGCCGAGCGCTTCTTTAACCTTCCCGACGACGTCAAGGCCACCGTTCCGTGGAATCCCAATAATGTCGGATGGGAAAAGAAGTCCCAGGTCAGGCCATCCACAGGCCAACCGGATACAAAGGAATCATACCAGTTACAGTTCGGAGAGAATATGACCAACATGTGGTTGGACGATGTCCACCTCCCCGGGTTTCGCACAACGTCCCTGACGTTCATGCATCGCGTGCAGGGAGTGTCGGAACAATTGATGCGGTGCTTTGCACGCGGGCTCGGCTTTCCAGACATTTACTTTATCAAACACCATGATGTGTCTCGTGCCAACGAACAGACGACCATGCGACTGTTGCATTACTTTGCTCTACCGGAAAAGCCGGACGGAAACACGTATCATCGGGCTGGTGCCCATGCCGACTGGGACTTTCTGACGCTGCTGTTTCAAAGGGATGGGCAAAACGGACTGGAAATATGTCCCGGTCGCGAAGCTGTTACGGAGTTTGGGATCAGCGATGAATGGACTCGTGTGGAAGCGCGCACTGGCGAGATCGTTTGTAACATTGGGGACTTGCTCATGTCGTGGTCGGATGATCGCTTTAAATCGACCTTTCATCGTGTCAAAGCCCCGTCGGAACCGGGGGATTACTACGGCGATCGGTACAGCATTGCATATTTCAATCAGCCATGCAAGGATGCGCTCATCCAGGGGCCGAAGAAGAAATATCCGATGCTCACGGGAGAACAGTTCAATGCCCAGGCTATGCAAAGAAACTTTGCTGCTCTGCAGGAGAAGCTGAAGACCATGGAGGCGTCGGCCTAAACCATGTGGTATCGTGTACTTAATTCTTGATTTACAGGGTTCTATGTACAAAGCCTTTCCAATATGTGTCCCTTCACAGTGCCCGCCGAACTGTCTCGTGCATGCTCAGAAGACGGTACCCCTGACCTGGCTGACTTTCTTTAAGCGGATGTCCCTCCACATCAGAATAGACGCCACAGCAAGCGGTAGGATAGAAATACCAGCAATTAACATCCGCCGTTGAGCTACTCCGTATGCCAGGATGGTAGCATCCCGCTCCGGGGTCCCGATCGGGTACGATAGGACTTCCTCGATTGACCCGTAGAGCTCCGCTGCCTTGTACTTTTTCTCTGGAGGAAGGTACTTCTCCAGGTAGAAAGGGACGGTGCCTGTCCAGATCGCACCGGAAATAGCAGATCCGATGCCTCCTCCCAATTTGGTGAACAATCCTACCAATGCAAACGAGACAGCAACACTTTCGTGGCCGCCGGTGGCCATCGCTGCCATCTGCTGGCAGATTACCAGCGTGCCCCCGGCTAGAGCCTTGAAGACCTCACAAAGTACGACGTATCCGATGTGACTTTGAGGTGATCGGAAATGTATCATCAGCCCTGTCCCAAGAAAGATCAATGGCATAGCGGCGAGAGCAATCCATTTAAGACGATCGACCTTGCGGATGATCCTGTCGCGATGTCAGTGAGGAATAATTGCCAGAAAGAGGTTGTACTTACAGTCCCAGTGGTACGGACCAAAGGCATGTCCCAATGGTATAGATGTTGTAAATGTAGCCCGTCTCCCGGATGCTGGTGTTGAAGGTAACCTGGAGGTAGGAAGCAAGGTAAAGATCCCAGCAGCTACAGCATGTCAGCAAGGGCCCAGGATGAAGAACACGAAATAGGGAAGCATACTAGAAGCTGGCAAACAGGGATGCAGCAAGAAAGCAAGCTCCCAGCAACGTTCGATCCTTGAGCCGGTTGAATGGTAAGAAACATACTGGGGCACAATAGCGCTCCCAAAGTACAAATGCCATAAAGGCAAGTACACCGAGAAAGAACGATGTTACAGTATCTGGCGATCTCGACCTACCGGCCGAGGACATACTGCCATTGTTGGCATGTGAGGCTGGCGTCAATGGTAGAAGCATCAGAACGAATGCTACTGTTACCAACGAGAGTCCAATAGCTGCTCCAGTCAGTCTATACCCTTATCACATCACAGCGGATTACCTACTATCGAACTCAATGAAATAATGTTTGACGGATCGTGCCCATGTTCTTTGACTATGAGCCTTCCGGATTAACCCCGCTTTGTACGCCTTACGGAGTGAGGTCCAAAGTAACCACATGAATGGCGCTGTTATAAGTGGAGTGAGGACGACAAAGATTCCAAAGCCCCACCACAAACCTCCCATTTCATAAAGCAATTGCGCGGCTGCAGGACCGGCAAATGTAGTGACCACATAAGGAGTTGATGCCATGCCATAAACGAACGATCGGTTGACCAAATCGGTTGTATCGGAGAGAAAGATATGAAGGACGTAGTCCATTCCGTTGTATCCAACCCAGTATATAACCTGAGGAAGTCGTTATACAGAATCCCTTCATCAGCATAAGGGCATGAAACTTACCTGAGCGGTGACATAAGTTTCCACGTTTGCACAAATAGCCATCAGGAAAAGCCCTGTTGATATCAGCAGAGGTTTTTGCCTATCTCAGTAGAGTCCGTCCTACCTAGGGTGCATAAACCGGTCATGATCCCAAAGCCCTTTGGACGGCCCCAGACATCGATTAACATGGCACACGGCAATTTGGCCACCCCACCGACAACATTTGTTAGGACATTCGTCCTTGATATTAGAGAATGATTGGCGAACTTCGAGTACACGTACGGGGAGAGACTACCCGTCGTTTCCTGTTGGAAAGAGTTGGTGAAGAATATCAAAAACACTCTACTCGCCCACGTCAGATTTGCTCGATCCATACTACGAGATGGGAGGTTCCATACAACGCGTATCCGATATGGAGAGCCTTCTTCGACCAGACAGTTGCTAACGCCTCGATCTCTGCGACTCCATGTGCCCTTCCCTCCCTGGCCTCTGCTATAGTTTCTGACGACGAGTCGAAGATGGGTTCATACCCTTCACGTGGATCTTTCATGACTGGCGCCCGCGAGGTTCTGCTTCCGTCCGGCTCTGAGTCATGGGAAACCGCCCGTAAGAATTTCTGCATGACATTGGATACATGAAGCAGCGCGCTACTGGCCAACGCGAGCGAGATATATGTAGAAGCAAGGAGGTAAAGGCACGAGGGGGTGGCCGCACGAAAAGAGTAGGTGGATGGACACCTCAGGGTATGTCAGGGTGACAACTCAGACAAAACTTCCCCGGACGCAGGAAAAGTGTGCCCATTGTGGGGAAAATCAACCAGTTGAAGGGAAATCTGGTACACTCCCCGATTGGCCACACAGCCCTCGGCGATTATCAGATGATCAGATAAGATCCACCGTCGGCTATTGCAGGATCCGTCGCATTCCGGCAGTGGACACAAGATATCATACCGTGTTGAACGTGAACCAAAGGTCATAAGAACTATACTTATATTACAAGGACATCACACAGGACATGCTTCTCTCAGTCACCTAAGTCTTACGCAAGAGCGATACTAACTTTACACACAGCTCTTATCCCAAAACCTGGCAATCGCAGCCCAGTACTTCTTTGGATCCTGCCGCATGTGTGCGACATGGCCCGAACCTTGGAACTTTTCCAACACAATATCCCGATATCCCTTCGCCTTGGCTTCACGCCCGTGTGACTCTACATCTTTGTCTCCAATCAAGGGGTCCGAGTCTGAGTATATATACAACCGTCCGCTGGTTGTTGGTATGTAATCGGGCGAGTTGATGACCCTCCGTCCGCGGACAGGAAGCGACTCCTTTCCGAGCAGAGCCGGTAGCCCAAAGCATAGTACCACGATGGTGGCCGCTACCAGCTTTGCTAAGGGCCTGGGGAGAAATGCGAACCCCAACGCTACCCCAGCTGTCCAGCGAGAAAATTCAAGGGAAAAGGATGACCCACCCGGTGTCGAGTCGAGAATGAGGCCTTGGATGGGTAGTGGGCCGATGGATTGGCCCACGCTTCGTTGTAACGAATGCCAGACTAAAGCAGTCGCCTCCAGGTTGGTGCCGCCACTATTCGAGAATGCATGCATGAGGATGCGGGGATGTGTCGTTCCCCGATACTTCATGGACTCTGGAAGTTCGGAAGATGTGCTTAGTTCGCAGCTATTAAGCGGCCACAATTCCTTGTTAACCATTTCCCTCACAACGGCTTGATTCGTCTCTCGTCCGCCGAAAAATGTCTTCATAGTCGTGGCCATGACTATAATAATTTTGGTAGACGGGTAGAGGTCTTTGTACCCCTGGAAGTATTTCTGAACCAGGCGTACGTGCGCATCGGCCCATGTGTATAATACAACCGTTGTGGGATCGCTTGCACTGCCGTGGCTGTCACCAAGGGAGCCCAAGTTGGGGTCATAAACATAGACACCATCTGAGAGCTTTCGTAGCTCCTGGGGTAAAGACGAAGAGCTGACCATCGTTAAAGATTGCTCTGGACGATACTAGCGCAGACACTGTCCGGGTAGGCCCTTTGTGACACGGCGCGGAGCTAATGCAAGGGAAGAATCTGTAGAGAACGTAGTGTAGCACACGTCCTTGATGATTAGACCATATGTGATATTTAATAGGCTGTCTGCGATCCAGCCAAAAAATCTGTTGAGACGATTGATTGAGCGTTGTATCAAACCTTGCCCCTTTAGGAAATTTCCTAATCGGGTTAATACCTCGGCAAAGGCGAGGCGTTGAGTTGAGCTCGGAGGAAAGGATGATATAATCCTGATGCAAGCATGGATTGTAGACTGTAGGTCCAAAACCAAAATAGGTTTACCCTACTTCAGGGCCGTCTCCCAGGGTTACCCAAGAATTCCAAGCAAACTTGCTTGACATACTGGGCATTCACCACATCGTCCGAGGTGGCAACGGTCAGATCCAGACTCGTAGATCGTTTCAGAGCATATAGCATCCCGGATACGGTCCACAAACGAGCACGCCGTTGGGTTAGCGGTAGTCCGAGTCCACCAGCCAACAGCCAGGCCGTATTGAGGGCACTAGATACAGCGTTTTCCTCCCCGAGAGCAAAAAGCGCATTCTCTAGCTCCTCAACACACTGGCAGGGAATCGAAGTATTAGCGCCTTCGGAGCCATCTTCATAGTCGAGGAACACCGAACAGATGAGCAGTAATGCCGCAATCTGGGCGCTGAATTCACAGACGTCACGGTAGATGTTCGACGGGATTGACATGGGTCTCTTTGTGAGGCATCGCCATAAGATAGTGGACGGGGAAATCCTTGCTGGTGTAAGAGGCCTAGTTTCACCCACAATTCGGTTCTCCGTCGATGCTACATCACACGCCCTGAGGCGGTCGACAAGTTGAAACAGACGCCTCGTAAGAAAGTCTAAGTCCGCATCATCCCAGATCACACTGTTGGGGGTGCAATTGATGCATTCAAAGGTGATCATAAGGTGATGTAGATGAGGATTACGAATGGTAGATGCCAGAGCTTCAACTGATCGTTGATCCGCCGTGCGGTTGTTATATGAGCTGCCTCTGAGCAGTTGTCGGCATGCCACAAAATGAGCCTGGACGTCACATCGCGCAAACCGGTAGTCGAGTTGAAGCATTCGGAGCACGATACTGAAGCAGATCTCTCGATTTGCCGGGTGAACTGGCTGTTGTATAGTGTCACAATCCTTGGAGCCTGATGTATGGCAGCGAAGCAACTCCTTCTGCGCCAATGCTAGAGCTTGCCCTCGATACGTCAGGGCGGCGACCTTCATGTTCCTCTTCTTCTCAGGGGTCGCCCACAAATTGAGATCAAGCCAATGAAATGCCAAGCTAGCACGAAAAATACATTCCAGTACATCAGAAGCCCGGGAGAGGGTATGCGATAGATTTGCAGGACCGGGACAGACAGCCGGGCTCACACCCCATGTGCTGCTAAGATCCGGGAAGATGTTAGTGGAGATTAAATACTCCACCATAGAAAAGCCCGACAATGCGACCGGAGGTGAAATGGGAGGAGCAACTACGGCCTTCGGCCCGGGGGGTGATAGACTGTCATGGTCCTTTCCACGCTGCTTTTCGATCCTCTTCCTGATCCCGTTTTGCGCCAAGTGCGCCCGAGCTCGCGTTCGACTCTCCCGGCTTTGCTGATGAACAATGATAAGTTCGCCTGTCGTCTTCGAGCCACGAGGAGGCATCCAGAGTGGCAAAGAACCTCAACTATTCAGTTTACGCTAAACAGATGTGGGCATTCGATTCCTATAGGACAAGAGGGCGTTTTGTGCTAAAATGCGCAGTAGCCGGAGAAGCCGAGGGTCTTCGAGCCGTATGTACCTAACTCGATTGGGAATAATTATACCAATTAGTCAGCGAGCACAGTTGTGCACATAATTCATTAAGACCAAAGTAATCATTGCGTCCATGCTGCTTTCTTTGCGGAGGAGGAGAAACTCACTGGACGGACTTGTTACAGATTAGAAAACTTATAAGTGTACATCTGTAGGATGGAAGCTCCCAATACTTTGGTTATCCTGGTCCAAGAAGCGAGTACGTTTCTTTATTATCAGCTAGCTATATGGCCAATCCTTTTAGTACAGGGGGATGCGATAGGCATCGAACTCATAGTCCCAGGTGTCCAAGGAAGCCTGGTCGTATACACAATCCATAACGGTTCCATTCTCTTTCCACAAGGGACGCAAAGGCCAAGCGCAGATCTGCTGCTGTTCCCCCTGGTGATCACCGTCCTGCACCGTACTATTCAGAGTTTCTGGAACGACATTATTCTCGACCCATTCGATGAGCGTCTTGAGAGTTGCCTGGGGGAAGGGGCCATTGGGTTGATCGGTACTGGAGGTGCAGTGCGCGGCGCCGGGAACCAAGAATAAGCGGTTCCATTCATTCAACGCCTGGCTACTTTCGTTGAAAGACATGTTCGGGTACATGGTCTTACGGACAGATTCATGATAGTGTACCGAGGATCCAGCCGGAATACTTGGGTCCGACTCACCATGGTAGTGAAGCACCTTTCCACCCGCGGACTGGAAGGGTGTTAGATCAGGCCATGTGGTCTGCAGGACATCTTCGTAGCGCTGCCATCCAAGTTCCATCCAATCTTTTAACGTGTCGTACGTTACGTTATCCAGAGAGGATAGAGTGTAATTCTGTAGCTCCAGGAAACGGGGGATCCATTCAGCACCGTAGTCAGTGACATCAAGTTCGAACTTTTTGGTTTCGGGGTTGTATTTCGTTTGCGCATCATCGAAGGTGGCGGAAGGCTGGTAGAAGATATAGGCTCGGCGGCCATCAAGAGTACGAAGGCCATCCAACATTTTTCTGGCTGCTCCAACGCCGAGTGCAGACACGGTTCCGTTCTGCGCAGGAGTTGTACCCGTTGTTGTCGTCGAGATTGGGCAGGAGTAAGGTGCTCCAATCGTTGAATTGATATTAAAATGCAGCTTGCACAGGTCGGTCCGCGACACCACGCCGTCAGCCCTTCCGTCCAGTCGATCGCACGCCGCAATGGTCAAATTCACGATCTTCTCCAATTCACAGGGAGGAGGGTAGTACTTGAGAGTATGCTCAACCACGTTTGCGTAGAGATGGTTGGCCTGTTGTTGACCATAGCGAAGGGCTGGGGCACCGATCACTGCGCCGTCGAACTCTTGAAATCGCTGCACCTGGCTGAATCCCTCGCGACCACCTTCGGAACATCCCTGCCAGTAGGTATACAGCTTTGTGTTGCCCGTGCCGTAAAAGTTCTTTGTAAAAGCCTTTCCGATGACGCTCAGCTCATGGTGCGCCTGGTATCCAAACATATACAGTGCTTCGTAGTTGATTGTGCCATTGGCCAGAAGGAACACTTGGTCAAACTGGGTGGAAAAGCTGCCGAAACCGCCGTCAGTGATGCCAGCCGCAACGCCATATTGGACACCCCCCGGAAGCTGTTGTTCGTCGTGATTGATCGCAAAACCTCCTCCTCCAGTGGATAGCCACCGGTTTTGAAACTGGTCCGGAGCTGGCATCCACAGTTTAAGATGAACCCGGTCGTTGCGTCCAGGGTGGGCGTACGTGAGAGTCAAGTTACAGAAGTCATAAGCCGATGCTGCTGGGAAATAGTCACCCCCAGGAGTAGAAGCATTGTAGACAGCATTTGTGGTAATAGAAGATGAATCAATTAGGAGACCGTTAATGAGGTCACTAGAGGGTAGAGCCGACTTGACATGGCTGTTCGAGCAGACATCACTAAGGGTAGTAGCTTGTGCCACTGTGAGAGTGGCTGCTGCCACGAGGAACTTGAGCGCCGGCCTCATTGTAGCTCCAGACATAGACACGTAGGAGTGACAAGCTCACTCGCATCGTGGGTGTAGAGGCTGTCTTTTAAGCCGTGCCCCATCACACTTAGTTCGGAATCCAACCACTGAGTTCTTCATCCACTATGGTGACATACACAGCATCCGCAACTCCACTAGCTAAGCATTAGGCTGTGGGGAGTAAACCCAGAGTCTCTCCAATCATGTCATGGAGATGGGCCCACAGGTATCAATTTCCGTCTCGACTCAAGTAGCGTGACAGATATTACTGTATAGAACTCGCATCATTCATTTATAATTGTACTTTCAAGATGCGGGGTCCCATGGGGTTCTGGTCGTCTTGTGGAGATTTGTGGAGACATGCTCATGGGGTGGACAAAAGAGAGCATTGGGATGGGAAAGAGTATAGCCGGACCATTTGCATCCAGCGACTACTGGGGAAAAGGGGCATCCGTGACTTGTAACTTGGAACCAATGTTACCTTCTCAAAGTAAGAGAACTGGTCATGGTTGTTCTCTACATCATTAGCATCCTGGACAGAGTGTGTTGCTACCAGTTCAGAACTGGAACCCGGTCCAGCTGGTCACAGGACCTTTCTAGTTCCTTTTCCTAATAGACATCGAAAGGTATATGGGCTTACCAATATATAGCTAGGTTGGAGACGAGATTTGCCGAAATCCCGGCAGTGAGAAAGACAGATGTTGTTGTTGCTGTTGTTGTTGCTTCTCGGAAGTCCCGACTGTCGGAAATTCCCATCGATTTCTTTTCCGAGCACCTGATCTCCTATCCCTTATCCACATCTTTCTGATTCTTGTTGTTATTTTGTTTTAATCACGCATCCCATACAGGTTCTTTCGTGTCATTCAGCTAGTCGATCAAAAATTAATCGGTATGATCAGTCATCGTTAAACTTAAACTCAAGCGCTATGCCCCCCTTTCCATGAAATCAAAATAAGAAGAGGAAACTGGAAATAAATAGAAAGGAAAATGAAAGAGAGTCTATCATATAATACATATGCTTTAGGGAATCAAAAGAGCGACGATTCGTAGAAATAAGAATCATATCAACAAGGTCGAAGGATATCTCCATGGAGATTGAATTATTGCGAATCCCTTCAAGGGGAATGGGACAGGGTTCGACTAGATATATCTCGACTGACCTCCACGTTAGTCTCGATCTCCGTATGGGCATAGATCTTGCCGTCAGGGATAATCCGTTCCTGACTCTGCGCCCCTGCGTACCCTATCTGCGTGCCAATCAGGTTATCCCCGTCCGGCTGTCGAGGATCCATAGAGTCCAGGCCAATGTTCTGCTCTGGGACTTTGGAAAATCCGGAAAACTTCTTGGCGTCGTAGCTACTGGACCACCCACTGTACCCTTTGTCGCGAGAATACTCTCCGATAAGTCTCGGAATAAAGCGGGAGGCAATCGCCTTGAACGAGGGGATGGAGGAGGCAAAAATGCCGACATTGATCTCGATCACAGACCAATACATTGCCTCGGCAATCACCCACGTAGCATCTGGATCGGACAACATGGCAGGAATGTAGGTAATGCGAATGATTGATGCGATGCAGGCACTATAGATCGACGAGTCATAACGTTAGGGCGTATCCACAATGTGTGTTGTCAGAAATTAGGGACTTACAACAGCCCGATGCAAAGGATGAACCCCAGTGCAACTTTTTGCTTGGCCGGCACCTGAAGCTTGAATATCACTCGGAGGGGCAGGCTATATGTCATGATGTCGGTCAAAATATTCAGGGCCGCGTTCGCCAGGTAGAAGACGTTGATGTTCACGCACGTCCCCGGCGTCGTGACTTTCCAAGCCTTTTCAATAGGTCGACACTGAAATGCCGCCACTAGCACAAACGACGAAGCCTGTGCGATAATCACACCTAACATGCACATCGAGAGCCGAGTGAGAAGCCGATCGCCGAGCCGAGTATAAAACAGACAAACGGACGACTTGACAAAGCCCAATGTGGCCAAGTAACACATCGAACTTATCCAAACTATCTAGCAACCAGTAAGAAAACATCATCGAAACCATCCAGCGGTTGAAAATATACCATAGAATAAGTCTCCATCTTGTTCGGATCGATGTCTCCGATATGGGAACCTAACCCATACTTCACCGCTGGATACCAGAGTTAGTGTCGTCGAATTCTCGAGGCTGGCGCATACTTACACACGACCGTTACGGCAGAAAAGGCCCATGATGTCAGCTAATTAATGTGAGCGACAGCCTTTAGATATATGGAACTCGATCTCCTTACACAAGCACAGACAATCATATCTAGGAATGTTTAGCCGTCACCTTCCATTTCCCCCAGGTCAAGCTGTACTCACAATCGTCGAATCCCATCTTCTGGAGAACAAAGACGCGCGAGAAGAGCCGTAGACACATGATGATGAAGGTCCAGACTGCAAAAGTGACCGCGATCGCGATCACTGTTGGACCCTTTGAATCACCCGCCATTGTTGTAACTGCGAACCCAATGCTGGCGATGAACGAACGACTAGCAGTCAGTCATTTAAAATCTCTGGTACTCCCGGGGGCCGTCTTTATGAGGTCTTGCCGTTCTTCTTTTCTTTCCTCCCTCTCTGTGGTCTCCCACTCCACTATTAAACACTAGGGTGCTGTCCAAAGGAGTGGTACTGCATCGGCGAACCTAAATCATGGCGGACGATCAAAGCGAGACGCTAACAATTTTGATCGCCACATGGCGGGCGTGACCTATAGAGGACGGTATTTTATATATCAATATGACTGGTCTTCCTCGTGAAATGCTGCATGCCAAGTCAACCTTGGCGCCGATGGGCGACAGTATTTCCTGAATAGGAGCAATTGGGAATGAACCCGCGGGCTTCACTCCTTCCCTTACATATTAGCCTGGCCATCATTCCCCAGTTCCTCCATGGATACCCTAGGAGTGTTTGTCCCATGGGGTTCGCCCCCCTTTTCCCGAGAAAGGAAAGTAAGCTACGAAGTAATCGAAACAGTATTGATGACTATACCTCCGATTTACTCCGTTGGCATGTTGTCCGAAAGGAGGATGCAAGACGACTGTTCGAGATGTCAATCTCCACTCGTTCCAGTGGCGAAAGATGGAATATGAAACCAGCTTACCTCCGTTCTCCGCTTTCGAGGGTGATGCTGGTTACTATTTTGGTACAGAGACACCAAGCTGCTTAGCTTTCTGTAGTAGTATAACTATACAGTACTTCGTATATACTATGTCTACAGAACTAATGATTCAATCTTTCGGTCGGTGCCACTATGACTATATTCGTCTGGGGTCACTAATGATTCGATATCGCCCCTCTCCCCGAGTGACACTGTGAATCTGTGCTTTGTTACCATAGCTAGATAGTCGGTACACAAACAGAATCCTGCACGGATAATTCATCGGTAAAGCTTCGGTAGAGCTTTGAAAGGTAAGTACGTAGCGCCTCCTTATGATAATTGCCCAATGGGAAGTGAGACGGATGTGCCCAGAATTGGAAGGTTGAGGCTATACGGACCAGGTCCCTTGGATTATCGTCGCTTCTCAAAACGTTTTGGAAGACCTCTATTTTCTCCTATTTTTCTCTCATTTATTTCCTATTACTCCGTAGAGTGTTGCCTTATTTAATTTTATTTTTATTTTTATTTTTATTTTTTGCCCTTCTATCCTTTCGCCTAATCGGTTCGCAAACTCCCCACTTTTCACCTTCCGCTAAGCTGTAGCTTCATCCTTCTGTATTTTTACTTTTTCACTGTTTATTTTGTATTTTTGTTTTCGTTTTCTTGGTCTGCCCTCTCTCTGGCAAGCAAAAAGCGTCTTACCTGCGTCTCAGATACATTAAATCAATGTGAGCAAGTAGTTGCATTTCCCTATCACCAGCGATCGGGATTTGGTGTACCAAATGATCAGCAAGTCAAGTCAAGTCATGTTACATTCTAAATTATTGCATAATACGGACGTTGTGGATCTATCACACGGGCGAGAACCAGAGTTTTTTTTTTTTTTTGCCATCTCTCGCTTGCTAGTTCCGAAGTATCAAAGTTGACACTGGTGGGTGCCACCGATGCAGCCGAGCCTTCTTACGGAGTAGAAGCGAAGGGGATAGGACCGCGGAAGGCCTCCCGTACATCTTTAGCTTGATGGCGCGTCCCCACCTAAAGACAAAGAGAGCCGATGTCGTCGCAGTTCCCGGTGGTGGACCAACTGTGGATCCTTGAAGCACGCCCTGTCAGTCAAGAAAGAGCTTTTCTATTTCAGACTTTTTTTTCTTTTTTAAAGCAGGCTCCGATAGTGATGAGGCGTTTGAGGCTTGCACCCACAGGAGATAAGCATCAAGATCACTATTGAATAAACGCTATCAATAGGGGATCGGTATCCTTGTAGTACTCCTGATGATCCAGAAGAATTGCTTTCTGAGAGTCTGAAACGGCTTCAACCTCCCGGGGCCTATCAGCCTCCGCGCACCGAGGTCCAGTACGCTCTAAAACGCTCGGCCTCCCGCACTAGAGCGACGGCGCGTTAGCTATGGTGATGAGGCGGGTGGATTTATCTAGTCCAGTCCTTTTCCCCGGCACTTGAGCCCATAACTCGAGCCAATAATTCCCGGCTTTTCGAGAAGTACTTGGTATGAAACGATCATGATTGGCGAGCAAGTGGCGGAAAAGTTTCCCAGAGCAGCCCCTCAAAATAGTTGAGTTAGCTTTATTAGGCATTTTCTAATCAAACAAGTTGGTTCATCTCCCCTCTCCCCTCCCTGAAGGATGATCATCGCAAGGAAGTGGTGGTGAGATTATGCCCAAGTGCACGGCTATTCGCTCTCCCTGCATCATTTTGGGGGTGGACCGCAAAAAGTCCAACATAACTCATGTGAAATGATGCATAGTTTCCACAGCAATCGCCGGGCATTTCTGGCATAAGCTGTGCGAGGGAACAAGGCATCCCTGTCGAGTTTTCTTTTCTTTTTTTTCTCTTCCTTTCTTTTTGGGTTCTGATCCTGCGTCTTTTGCATTTTTGTTCGTGGACCAGGGTCGTGATAATGGTCCTTACAGGGGAGGACCTGGTCTCAATGTTCACCGTAACCCACGTCATCCTCGCCTTGGGGGCATATGTTGCCCTCCGATTCGCTTATCAGATTGTGTACTATCGTTTTTTCCATCCCTTGTCCGTATTTCCGGGCCCTTTCTGGGGCAGCGTAACCAGACTTTGGATCGCATGGCATAATCTACGTGAGACCGAAGTACCTACCGTCTATGCACTGACCAAGAGATACGGTATGATCCTTCAGGTCTCAGCTGCAGCATATCCCTCGAGCTAATGTGTGTATGGCTTGCAGGACCCGTTGTACGAATCACCCCAACACTCCTTCTTGTCAGTGACCCCACCAAACTGCCAGACATCTACCACCGGAATGCAGACAAAACGGGTCACTATATCACCGGGTCGTTCGGAGAGACCGAATCACTGTTCAACATTCGGTCACACAAGACTCATGCGGCGTTTCGCAAGCACATTGCGGGTCCTGTATGTATCATCATGCATTTCAATCCGGACCAACAAATCCCGAGCTGATAACCCAAATAGTATAGTTTCTCAAACGTAAAGCGGATGGAACCATTGATTGACGCCCGCATCGAAGATTGGTTGAACAAACTGGGCGAAACCTTTGCCAGCACTGGTGCCGAGTTCGATTTTTCATGGTGGGCAGTGTAAGAGTCAACCACTCCCCAAACACGGCCCGCGCATAACCGTACTAACGAGACATCTGGAAATTGACAGATACGTCGCATACGATGTTATCAGCGAAATCGGCTTTGGAGCGCCATTCGGCTTTATCGAACAAGGCAAAGATGTTGGAGGTCTCATCCAGGGCTTTCACGACGGCCTGCCTGCGTTTGGTCTCCTCGCACGCCTGCACCCCTTTACCAGCTGGGTGAAGACAACGTTCATGAAGAAATATCTGGTTGCCAAGCCTGAAGATAACACCGGCATCGGTGTGCTGATGCGCTTTCGGGACCGACTAATTGACCAACGCTTACGCGAGATCGCCGAAGGCAAAGACGTTGGCCGTGTGGATCTCCTGCAAACGTTCATCGATGCACGCACGGAGGACGGCAAGCCCCTTGACATGGAGTATCTGAAGGCCGAGGTCTTGCTGGTTCTGTTGGCCGGTGCCGATACCACTGGCACAGTTTTCCAGTCCCTCGTCAACCACCTCCTCGTCCACCAGGAGGTCTACGAGCGGATGATGGAGGAGATCGACACGGCCAGTCGCAAGGGACTCATCCCCGAGTCTATCCCCCAGTACGACGCTATCCAGGAGCATCTTCCATACTATGTCGCATGTGTCCGGGAAACGTTACGACTGAACCCACCGGCGCCGAATATCTTCCCTCGTTATGTGTCGGAACCAGGCGTCGAGCTTTTTGGGAAGTTTGCTCCGGCCGGAACGGAGGTTACCGGCAATCCATGGATCATGCACCGTGACACGGCGCTTTTTGGCGAAGATGCAGAGGAGTTCCGTCCGGAGAGATGGCTCGACGCGGAGAAGGCGAAGCTGTACAATAAGTATATTTTCACTTTCGGATATGGCACCAGAGTCTGTCTGGGTAGGGATATCGCGATGGAAGAATTGTTCAAGGGCCCCCTGCAGGTACGTTGATGAGGTTTCCCTCCCTTCGCTGGCACTCTCGCTAATCTCATGATACCTCAGTTTTTCCGTCGGTACACCCCCTCTATTGCGACTGACAAGCCATCTGCGAGATTCGAAGTCAAAGGTGGGATCGGCTTTTGGCGGGATATGTGGGTCACCATCAACAAGCGAGCGGCTGTGAAGCCCCAGTGATTTTTGAGTTGTTTATCTCTTGATACTTGTGATACCAATATGCAACTATTCTTAACGGCTGTTTGAAGGCTTGAAAAGGGTCTCCCTATCTAGCTTTGATGCGATACTCAGTTGAGTATGCATCTCTATAGCGCAGAACTAACACTGTGGATATGTCTGAACGGAAAGGAAAATATATAGACACTTGTAACATACTAATTATGGACATACACTTCAAAGGCTCTGCAACGATAAGGGCAGGATATTACCGGCAGGAGCCCTTCCTGAATTCATTATATCTCGTTTCCCACACAGGTTTGATATTGCTCTTTCCACGGTCGTGCTCAAGTTTCTGCGTTCTCGCCAAGGGCTATCGCATAAATGCAGTCCAGCTTCCAATCGGCTAGAATTCATGTGCAGTACACCTAGTTTCTCACCCAACGTCTAAAGTCGCGACGATGACCGGCTGGACGTATTCGAGGTCGACTCTACCTGGCTGAGGTGATTTAGAACGACATGTAAAGAGCGACCTTCAAGACGCGGCTTAGAGCCGGGGAGTCTTGGGAGACCAATCTGATTATGCCAAACAACATCCATACCGGCCGCTGCTGCACCGACGACATCCCCATTACTACCCGCGACAAACAGGGCATCGCTGGGTTGCACCCCCAAGGCCGATAGGATCGTACCGTATGCTTTCGGATGGGGTTTATAGAAGCCGGCTTCTTCCGCCGTCACGAACGCATCGAATTCCACACCACATAACGCAACGGCTCGCCGGCCGAGTTCAACTGAACAGTTGGAGACAACTCCCAAGCGATATCCTTTCTCTTTCAGTCGCAGCAGGACATCTTTAGTCTCGGGCCAAGGGCGCATCTGATCCCAATTCTCGATCAGGGCTTTCGGTGCACTATCCGGGAGGCCGGCATCCTTGGCTGATTCGTAGACGAGATCTTCATAGGGACGGTATGCGCCGCATCCAAAGGTCAACTCCAGATATCTAGTGCGCCATCGGTATGATGCTTTGCAGTCATTGTTTGCGGCTTCGGCCCATAACGACCAACTATCCAAGAGGGCAGTGAGAAGGTCGAAAACGATTACATGCGGAGCCATCTTGTGTTTCTTTTTGTCCTTCCACGGGAGAATGGTAAGCGTGTCGCGTTTTTTGTATTATTTGACTCGAGACTTAATGTTGGGGTGCTTGTTGGATGTAACGGCGGAGATATATAGTCCTGCCATTATAGAACAGTTCCCTAAATATTTTCGTCCGGGTGAATGTCAAGGCTGAAGGATTACCCTAACAAAGAACTCGGTTTCCATGTATAGCCGCCCAATAAAGAAAAGAATACTGGGGTGGAATATTTCAATTTATTAGAAGCTTCTGTGTATAATGTAGTAGTAACAACGTAGCTGCAGGTTGATATTATGCATTGGCGCCGATCCCTGGAGTGTAGTAATCAAGTGTAAGGGAAAAGATACCATTGAACAGTCATGAATAGCCTTCGCTCCGTAACAACTTCATTATCCACCTGATCCACCTTTTCGGCATTTCTCGACAGGAAGACCAAGTACAATTTCTATGAATACAATATACAATTGTCTCGTTTCCCTTTCTATACCGTACAGCGTTTCTTTCCGCCAGAAAGAGTGCATGAAAAGTATCACGTGGGCAACACTGACTTTATTCTGATTGGTCGACTGCGGACTGGTGACATCACATGAAGGTACTAGACCGAACCCTACAATTGAGAAAGAAGTCTCAATGACATCCTACTGTTTGTTTCCTTTCAAGCCACTTTCCTCGGTAGATGTATCTGGATGTATTGACACCCGGTCCCTCCGGAGGTGGCTAGTCAACGTCGAAGTTGAATCCCCATCCTGCAAGAACATATAGAGCAGAGAGAACGAAGACTGAATAGAATTCGAAGGCCCATGAACAAAACTCCCACTTTTAATACTTTCTACTTTAGAGCGTTTAGTCATTCGGGGGTTGTTCAAAGTCCAATACATCAGATCAGTTACAAGTTACATCGGCGTTGAGTGGCGAGCAACCATGGTTTGAGCAGCCTTATGGATGGAAAAGGGTGAAGTCATGGATACCTCATGGCGAGGTGATGGTTTTGGTTATAGGACCCATGGTTACCGAAGTGTGATCTACGATTGGGAGTGCTATTTATTGGATCAATATTGGGTCACTACGTCGTCGCTGACTTGGCATGAGATCATTGAGTTTCAAGCGCCCATACTTTGGTTCTATGATACCCCAAACAAAAATATGGGTTTCTATGTGGAACATGAGACGTATATTCTCTTCATAGGAAGCGATCTCTCGAAGATTGCTTGTCTAGTTTCTCCACGTACATTAGATGATAACCAGCTGTAGTCATACTGGGGTATTTGTTGGGGGCGAACTAAAACTGAATATGAATAGCAATTCACGAGCCTGACATTAATGGGGGGGTAAATATAGATGGCTTAATCAGAAGAACGCCGAAAATGCTTTGCAAATCCCTGTAAACGGCGCCATCTTTTCTTATTAGGCGACTCTGGGGACCGTGTCTTCCTCTCCGGCGCAGTAATTGCGTGCGACATCTCCGCTCCTTCACCATTCGGCAAAACGTGCCAATTTTGACCACCGGTGACCAGACGACCAGTGTCAGAACAGGACGAGCCGGGTGGTTCTTGGGAGCTGGTCTCCCGTGATATACACCTCGTTGGCGGTTCTGATCCATCGGAGGAACACATATCTGCGGGGGAAGATGGAATGAGGCCATTGAACTTCGACCTCCGGCGTGCGGTGTCATCGGAAGCCCTGGGGCTCGGGGAGAGTCGCTCGGTGCCACTGAGGCATGGCACCGATAGCGGCTGGACATGGGAAGTGCCCGAGCAGCTCCGGAGATAGGGGATGAGGATCGAGTCTCGTAGTAATTCGTGCATGTGTTGAACGGCACTATCAAGGAGACTCGGTGGGGGTACAGAGCCGTAGGTTTTGGTGTACGACAATAACTCCTCACGGGTTTCATTTGGCACGTTGATCTCGCGCGGTGCGCCGGATTCAATGTATGTCTCTATGATACGATCCCATACTCGTCGCAAGCGCTCCTCGTGGGCTTCATCCTCTCCGCATTTCTTGCCGTGGTCTTGAAGCCAGTCGTAGGTTTTCCGATAGCGTTTGGCCTCAAGGATAAACTCGAGAACTTCGAGACAGTGGTTTTGAGCAAGGAAGGCAATGAAGGTGCCGAGCGTATACGGGACGGGGGCTGTATCGTTTAGGATCTCGTCAAGCTTCGGGCGCAGGTGGTAAAGTGTTTTCGATTGCGGTTTCATGGCATCTGGTGAAATCCGACGAGAGTTGGTTTTCACTATTGAATCAATGGCTGTAACATGGTTCTCTCGTGGGAGGATACAGCAAGGCTTATATAAAGTGAAGCATAAACTCGTCAAAGGCACATCTCATGGCTTTACCGGTGTGACACGGGCAATGGAGAAGTGCGTGATATGCTTTTGCAAGATATAGACAGCGTGGATGCCTATGACCGAAGTGCAGATCGACGGTCCATGGGTCGATCGGCCAGGTGAGCCAGTTAAATGGTATGGGCTGTTACAGGCTGGACATATCCGACCGCGCCCAATCAGAACAATAGCGAGACCGAGAACAAGTGATCGACGACATTAATTGGTTTGGAGGGAGCCTTGGGTCGAGGGAGGCTTGTTAGGGCTGGGCACAAGGGTGCTAGCCCTAGATGAGACCGAAAAACGACGTAACGATTCAGATGACGTGGGAGTTAAAAGGATCCAGCATAGAATTGAAAGTTTGCCTTTCGATTAACGATAATTTCGAAAGTCAAGTGGGAGCATAAAACCCGAGAAATGGGTCTAGGGGTCCAGCAAAATTACGCTCACATCTGTCATTTGGGTACCTGGGCACAAAATATGTTTGTGTGCCAAACACCAACATCACTCATTGTCCATATGGAAAGTATCTTGAGATGAGTAGTTTGGTAATGACCCTATCCATAGCAACAATATCCCTGATACCCAAAGCTTGAATGCAATAAACTTTTGATCTACTAGAATATTCCATCACACGCCTACGTAATGTATCTGTGGGCTTGCTCCTGACCTTTATGGGTGTGGATTACGGACATCGTCATTGTGAAGTCGAAGCAAGCCCTCTCCTTAGAAGATCAATGAAACGGCAGTTTATAACGACGGGTTGTCAACCGACAGATGGGCTGTATGACGTATGAGAGGGATTTTGAGACCGCAGCAGCTGAAGGGACACAGTTTACCCATCCTGAAATGCAAGGCAACAACAGTTTGGACATGGCCCAGGGAACATCATTTCTGCCTGGGCTACACATGCCGCTAACTTCACTCACCATCGACAGGTATGACGGGGATGAACTGCGACACGAGATCGATTCCAAGTTTGCTAATCAGAATTAGAAGCGGCGCATGAGTAAGTATCAATAGCTGGGTGCTGGAGGAGATTGTGGATGCAGCATAGGGGCCGAAGACAGCGGGACAGCGGAGTCTGGTGCTCGGCTTCTCCAGGAAGCAGCATTGACGGGTATGGTCCCGGACAGAGGCTCGGAGAAGATGTGTCTCAGTGAGAAGGTATGCAAAGTATGTGGATTTGTCTCTTCACACGATAGGAGTAAGTTAGCTAGATCATCGTGCTCATATCCAACGGTTGTCCGGGCGAGAGTGTGTTAGAACGATGATTGGGAACAACTGCTGGAGCTGTAGACAGGAGACTGAAATTTGGACGGTCAGCCCCATCGTTCACGGATGGCTATGTATCCCATGGGGATTCGCCCTGGGTAGCGATCATGCGAAGCTCGTTCGATCTAGAAGTTGTTATGATATCCGAGAATCCGGAGAAATGATATCCCTGCCACTAGGCCGTTTAGAGAGGAAGACACCATGTGAGATCAGGTGACGTCAATTGTCTTGAGACTCTGCTTTTCCTCGACTTCTTGCGAGGACCTCGATAGCAGTGGTATACATTTACTCTCACATCGAGTGGAGCATTTTTCTACCAGGAGGTCCCGTTGCATATGTATACCAACCGGATATAGAGTACCTCACAATGGCATGCACATCGAACATAGCCCACTAATTGTCCAGCTTTCGGAATCTATGATTGGCCTTGCGACATAGCGTGGCCTTCACTACAATACACGGTCTTGCATATCTAGACCTACTTTCATCCTATTTACCTTCTACACAGGCCGCTGAATAGATATACTGACACAGAGAAAAATGACTGCCAAAAACCTCTCGTGATGAGAGATCTAGGCTTTCCTTTCCAATCGTCCCTTCCTACTCCTTGGCGGATCTGACCTTCTCGGCGAACGACAAATCCACACCGAACTCTTTGGCTTTTCTATTCATCTATTGCTCCAGCCCCACGATCATCTATCGCCAGAGGTGGATACTCGCTTCGCGACCATTGTGCCCGCGCACCCCGGCAAGCACACACTCGTATTCGTCCAGTCAAGTTGGGTACCGCCACTCGGGCGTTATATGTGACTCCACCAAGTTCCATGAACTCCGACCTTGTCAGCAAGAATGCGACATCCGTTCTCGTCCGTGCCGACCCCGGCGTGAATCCCGACCGTGTGTTTGAGAGAGGTGACAGGTCAGGTGGCAATATGGCCGTCGGGCTGGTCACAATTGTAGGATTACAGACAGCCGCAGGCGAACGGGATATTTCCGTTGTATTCCGAAGGCGCAGTTACTTTTTCGAACAGCAGCAGCAGCGGAGAATAGGGGCTTTATTTGGATTGTACGTACATATGGCCCTGCCTTCCGCTTGACGCGGTCTATACATGCAGATTTGACTGTCTTCCGGTTGTGAATGTAGACTTTGCATCGCGGCGGGAGGAGTCTGGCATCATTATGAGGCACTGAGCCACGGAGTCTTGCAGATAGTCTCATGGATATGGAGCGGCAATGGGCGCGCGTTGTGACGTTGCTGGAGACCTTGGCCAACTATCTCGAGTAAAAACTAGCACAGCTCAGTGACACCGGGGGAAACTTGGAAGAGTAAATAATCGAGTATGAAAATAGATGCCCGAAAAGTATTTCTCTAAATATTAACGCCCCCCTTCTCTATTAGATATCTGCGAGAAGTACATGCTTCTGAACCTGGCCAGACCGTCCACTTTTCTGCACCCAAACGAATGCTATAGTACTTCTCTGGGCCCCCGTTCGATATTTCCTTCCACGCTCGCCATCCCATCCGTATGATTGACCGCCCTTTCAATATCATCCTGGAGTTGAGTGAGACCAGGCTTCCGCACGGGAGCCGATGGCGACTCTGTCGAAGAGTATTTCCGTCGCGAGCCTAGACTATAATCTATCCACCGTGGAGCATGGTATCGCAGAAACTGGCGTAAATAGGGGAATGAACCGCATATGATAATCGTGTTGGCTTCAATATTGCTACACCGAGTGAGATCCATTAGTCCGATCCCAAGATGCAGCACAGCCCACGGACTCACATGAAGACAGCTGCCAACGCGATATCGTGTGTCTGATCTTGCGACGTGACCAGAGGCATCAGCGTTGCTAAGCGAACGATACTTATACTGGTGGTTCTATAGGAGCCAGGTAAGAATCACAACAACAGACTGGTGCAGCGAGGCCACTATGTATCGCGGGAAATTGTCGGCTCTCTGGACCCATGCGGGATGGAAGGTGACGGTCACTTACAAAAATCCAACACCAAACATGCAGAGCACTCCTATTTTCTGGATGACAGGTAGCCGGAGACCCCATACAATGGGGATCGGAAGCAACATCAAGGTGACATCACTGATCGTGTTCGTGATCGCAGTTGCAAGATACACGCCGCTGATGTTGATGCAGGAGCCTGCCACCGTCACGTCCCAGCTCTTTTGTATAGGGCTGCAGCCGAAGATCAACGCCAAGGAAAGTGCAAGACTGTAGCCTGCAATGATGAAGCCGACCGCGTATATCGCGTATATGTATCGTGGGTGCGTCGCCTGTAGGAGTCGATAATAGAGCATAAGCAAGGCGAGCTTCGCAAAGGCGAGAGCGGGAACGTATATCGTCGATGCCGCCAGCATGCACTAACCCAGGGAAAGCCCGGCGATTAGCAAGCGAGGTTCAGTTCACGTTGCATGTGGATTATATTCGTATACCTTGCCATACGTGCTCAACTGGGACAGCGAGAGTTGTGAAGCGTGGATGCCATAGCCTGCATGTCCGAACCCATCTAGAGTGATCTTAGTGACCGCATACTATGCCACTGGCGAGATGTCTTACATAGAATGATCGCTTGCGTCCCTAGGGAAAACATCTAGCTGCCTGTCAGTACAGGTTGATGGGTAACCAGGACCTTTCGACGGTATATACCCAAGCAAGAATCAAGCATACTGGCCGCTATCCGTTAACTATGCCCCCCAAACGAAGCTCCATTGACTGCAAAATACTATCGACTCACCGTCATCCCACCAAAACTTTTTCATCAGGCAAATCTTGGTATAGATTCGCATCACCAGAAGAGGAGTATTAATAGCCAAACCGACCCCGATGAGCACTCGATTCGCTGTTTGTAGCCATGGCTGAGAATCGTCCATCACAGCCGGTATGAACCCTCCACCGTCACCGTCGGGGATTTCTGGTGGAAACCCCAATCACTGTGATTGCACGGAAAATTCATGTTGCCTTCATTTCAAAGTGCGAGAAGCACACCTTTCGTATAGGAGCCAAGGGATAAATATGTTTTAAGGACACGGGTGGCGAACGGGGTTGCCTCCACTCTTGACGCATTGACTTCGGTCGTCCTTGCTGGATGTAACCCTAATTACTGTAGCACATCATCACGCAAGGAGGTCCCTCCAATAATACGAGCAGGGACCAAATTCCGGACTTGCTCGGCGTCAGCCATGCGAGAGATAAAAACATAGATTGGCTTTTTTGGGGTCTTTGCTATTTTCACGTCGTGCGCTTTGAACGACATGCTATTGGGGTTTGGGCCACATGTGACAATGAATTCAAATTAAAGATCTAGATCTTCTTCATATACTGGCTCTCTCCCCCTCCCTCCCTCTCTTCCTCCCTTCTACGAGTTCAGTTCCGTGTTTCGTCCTCGCATTTGACCTTGACTGTTCTGTGGGTTACCTTTGGGGGAGACCCGTCGGAAACAAATCCCCCGACTTGTGCGCGGCGTCATACTGTTGCTATGGTGTGCTTACCATGCAAGGTGGAGACCTTCTGACGTGTCATTTAGTGGACCGGAAGTTTATGACAAGCCCAGCAGGAGACTTTGGAGATCCTGACAAGCGAAATGCACCCTGGGGGATCGCGCGGGGCGAAAAAGGGGGAGAACCCAACCCAAGGCAGAGATGCCACTATTGAAGGCTAAGCATAACTAACCATCTTCGAGGGGGATCATCGCTATGCTCTTCGCGTTGTACAGAATCTGATCTTCCATTGGGCCTCGTGCATTGACTAGTCGTGGAGCGACAAACTGTTCGGGATAGCGATTTTTGACATGATGATCTCAAGCCCCATCTATGTGATCCAATCCAAGCAGATGCTGGGATTCGGACCTTGGTTCCGGAGTTCAGGTTTAACTCAGTTGGTCCTGTCTCGTTCGACTGATCACCAGAGCTGGGGGGATCCTCAGACCTGATAGGATGGATGGATGAAAGCCAAAGTTTGATGATGCCTAGCCAATAGAGAAAGATCTCTTGATGGTTTGGGGAGCGAATCAGGCACAAAGTTCGACCGTCCACTCGCTCCCATTATAAAAAGCCCCCCAGATCTCATTTTTTCCCTTTTTTTTTCACGACTTCTGAGCTAATGGCCCCTACGGCTCTTGGCACGCAGTCCTCCTAACTCACTCACACCGATCGACAAGACCGTAATTCCCCACCGGATGCGGCATACTTGGACACAGGCGAGCTGGTGGGAAGAATGTCATTCTATAACTACTTATGGACTACTGTGCATTTGGTGAATGGTGGTTGGAGTTCCCAGAGTAGAGATGGGATAGATTAACAGAAGTGAGTACTCATCGCCAACACCGCTACAATATACCATCACTGGAAAGGCTGGCGCAATGCGGAGTATGGACTCCGTAGTGGATCTGAGTCGTGGAGAAGGATGAGGGGTATATAGCAGCTAGGACCGAGCGTCTCACACTAGCGTTGGTGATCGCTTAGATCTCCTTACCCACCACCCCTGAAGAAGATAGAAGTGGATCCAGTAGGCCGCGGGTTTGAGCTACCACTGGATTGGGTGTCTCCAACTGGTCATGAGACCATTTGGCGGATCTCATTCGATCCACGCGCTGTCGTTGCGATTGACCCAAGCCGCTGGTAAAAACAGCTCTCTACTTTGGGCCACTCGGAATGGTCATGTTTCATGTGTAGAGCTGTCGGTTGGCACGGACATGAGGAATGCTGACGGGAAGAAGAATGCCAGCTGGGTAATGCTATGCAATGGGACAGACTAGTTTTCGTGTTGCTATGCACATCTCATCTCGATACACCCTAAGCCTGCCAAGAACCGGGACTTTTCAACATGACAACCCCTTGTGTAAATGAGTGATATATCGAATCGATCAGAATCATTCCTTCTGTTATCTCGTAGAGCACCACTGATTGTCACCATGCATACCATAGCAAGCCCTCTCCATAAGATTGCGCATACACTACCACATCTCCCGCACTGGCCCTTTCATCGCTCGGGGTCTGTGGCGACGGATTTCGACCGAGAGTGGCACCAAGCTTGATGAAGGGTCCGTTGGCGCACCTCCCGCATGTACGAAATTTGTTCGGGGGTCCTGTCCCGGATGTTATAGCGTGGAAGATCCTCCAGCATCTGTCGAATCCCACAATAAATCATGACGCATACTGCAAATCCTAGGATGATCATGCCCACAATGAGGCTCCCATTACCAGCACTGTCGTCCTTGGCCATAGCGCCTTAGCCGCGCTTGATGGACCTGGAGATGATGTCCTTCAATAGCCACTAACGCGGAGGAGTTTACAGCTTCTCAGCAGCGCATCGAAGGTAGGCTGGTATGGATATTCAGCTTAGATCGACGCCCTCTTGGTGCGTATATGAGCACTTACTGGATTGACGGTTCGAGTTGTCTGAACGATGTTCAAATGCAATGACAATCGGTGTCAGAGAAGTCATGCTGGACCACACGCCTCTTTCAACCATCTTATATGCCATCCATTCTCGCATTACTCCTCATCATCCCTGTCGATATGGACAGTACTTTCCATGGCTTCAAAAGCACCAAAATCCCTATTTGGGGTTAGTCGACACCTAGTATGATGTCATGTTCCGAATGGGCCAATTGCCAATCAGGCACCCAGGCAGCTTGTCTTTATCAAGCCTAGCTTCTGCTATCTTTAAACACGCCTCGGAACATCCGACACTCAGACGCGGTGTCTGCCCATCATCACGGTAGAATTTCACATTGATCGCCCAGCAACAGTGTAACAGCTTAGTGAGAATGTCCGAGGCCTTCGCCTATTATCGTGGGACCGGGTGGTCGGCAAAGGTGAAGACGAGGACAGGATGTACAACTTGCAAGTATGTGGCCTTCTTCATCAGCCTTAGAATGACAGTTCTGATTGTTCCTATCTCATCCCAACACTAGGATACGTAAGGTCAAGTGTGATGAGATAAAGCCGCAGTGTGTACGGTGCAAGAGCACCGGCCGCAGGTGTACATACGTCTTGAATCAAACTGAGATGCGCATCCCTCGTGGGTCGACGCCGTCCATCAGCAGCTATCCCCTTGGCGACTTCGTGAACCACGGATGGCAAGAGCGACGCGCTTTCGAGTACTATTTTCACCGCGCCGGACCCGCAATTGGCGGTTATTTGGACCATCGGTTCTGGAAGGGCATTGTTCCAGAAATATGTCGATCGGAGCCCGCAGTTTGGGACGCTGTCGTTGCCATAAGTGCTCTTTTTGAAGATCCAGATCCGTTTATTGGTCCTCCCATGGTTTTTCAAGGCACCACATCGGTCGGGAAGCACGCCCAGGCTGTATCCTGGTACTCACGGTCCATGGCACGTGTCCGACGAAGGGTTGCATATAACGACTTCAACCCGCATGTTGCACTCATAACCTGTGTCCTCTACATCTGCATCGAGGCGCTTCAGGGTCATGTCGTGGAGGCCATGCAATTGTATGAACAGGGGGTGCATCTTATCATGACTCTACGGCAGTCTTCAACCATGCCATACTATACAAATGTATTACAAGAGGTCATAACACCTATATTCTTCCGACTTGGTGCTGCAGCGATGATCTCGGGGGGGTACCCAGTGGGTAAGGGAGTCGGACCTGTTATTGTGTATGGAAGTCCAAGTTTTGCGACCCTCACAGCGGCCCAAACAGCTATGATTGAGTTAGTCACAGAAGCCTTCCTATTGGGGAACGAAGCGCGTAGATACTACGGTCGTCCGCGATGCGTTGACAATGACGCATCCTCCTTGGAAGAACAACAGTGTGCTCTCACACGAAAGCTGGACAGTTGGGAGAGAGCCTTTGCTCACCTAAAGGACCGAGAGATGGGAGCGCCTCCCAAATCTCTAAATGTCGGGGCTGTACAAACACTGCTGACTTATCACACAGTTACTTTCATAATGATCTCCACATGCCTAGCAGATAATGAGATGGTGTACGATGCGCAGACGGATCGGTTCCGGCAGATAGTTAAACACGCAACATCTGCACTCGATGCATCCAATGTGGTAGATGGTGCACAACCTCCATTCACGTTTGAGACTGGCATAGGACTGCCACTGTTCTACACGGCTGTGAAATGTCGGGACCGTTTCGTACGCCGCAAGGCAATGATTCTCCTTCGACTAGCACCGCCGGTTCAAGCATTCTTCAAGTGTGCAGCATGGGCTGCGCTTGCTGAAACAATTGTCCACATTGAAGAAGATCTTGCTCCAGAATCGCCTTTTTGGATTCCATCTGCTACCACTTTTGAAGACAAGGTACAGGCGTCGGATAGGCCCGCATCAGTCTCCTATAACCCACCCCATGCGCCATGTAAACATAAGATCGCTTCGGCCCAAGTCATTGCTCTGCAGCATGACAGGGTGCCTTTGGGCGGAATAGAGGATGACCAATCGGGCTTATCCTTGTGTGGAGGGCACATCCCGGAACACCGTCGTGTGCGTGAATTTGGAGTGTTCCTTGCAGAGACCAACTGTAACTGCTCAGCAGGCAATAATGACCACTACAGCGAGCCAACTGCTGAGTCCCATAACCAAATCTTCCTTAGGTTCACGCGTAGACAGCATGATGGAACCAATGAGGAGTCAAGAGTGGCAGAGTGCTTCATACCGATGAAGTGTTGGGAGTGGTAGAGTAACGGGCAGACATGATGTGATTATGCACACTGAGATATATCGACAAATGCGTTTCCATTGTCACAAAGCCTCGTTCTCCGATAGTAGGGCAAATGAGGATTTAACAATGTCTACTCACCCTACTTGCAATTCTCCATATACCCTTCGTCCGTAATCTCGTCCGAGATCGACTTTAGGATTGATCTTGTTCTATTAATGGGTCAGCCTTAATTGTATGACATAAAGAGTCGGAAGCGCAACGACATCGGATTCTATGGTATGCATGACCGAGGCCACTTTATAGGCACTACAAAAGGGGAGACTGCCTTTATAGCTATACATCACTGACCAGTGGAACAGCAGACTCACTCAAGGCATCGGGCGTTATTCAGCCCGGGAATCCATGGGAAGTAACCCCTCGTGTGGGTAGAGACGCTTCGTATTTTGGCAGCGCTTGGCTCGCTTTGACACTGGTCCCACCACTAAAGTGACGAGAGCACGGTGGCTCTTATGTGCGACAGGAAAGTTAAAGCTTAAACGAGCTTCTTTCGCTTTCCTTCTTTCTATGGGCCTGACAAATCCACTTTAGTTAAGCCTCCCAAGGTCGCGATTCCTAGATTCCTCAAGACTTGGCATATGCCTATATCTCCCATGTGTTATCGGACTGGACAGCAGCGTCACTGACGCCATGGTGGCTGCGTGACCTGCGCTCTCTAGATTCATTGCTACATCCTTTGGCTCGTTTTAACTCCCAAAGCTACCAAGGCACACGTGGCGAAGGGTCGAGGTTGAGAGACAATCTATGACTTCTCTCGGATATTTGTGACTCACTCTTGACGTGACTTTGTCATCCTGCAGAACGGGACGCACTTGCAATAAACTTGAAGCTATCCGAACGAGCTGCTGGGATGATTGGGCAACCCGTCATTTTGACCTCGTATTCGGGACGTGCTGCCCAAATGGTTATCCCCATATGCAATCTTCATAGAGTTTTCGTCGGTCGGATTGAGGCCCGAATGTCCGACTCGTCACCATTCACCTGGTGTGCTTGCATCTCGCGGTTCTTGTACCTGAGCAGACCGGGTGTATAAATCCCCTACCAAGCACAGTATCAATACAATGCTGCAATAATTGTTCGTCGAATAATCTCAACTGAACTACTTGTCATTTCCGTCCCTTGCTTGTCTCAACCTGAAAGACAGCAGAAATTGCACGATGGCAGTAGAGGAAAAATCGGATATCGAAGGCTCGACGGAGAAGATCGACACGGGAGTAAGGGAAATTGAGTATCCTAGCATCACGAAGGTTATAGTCGTGATTCTTGCTCTCTACCTTGCCGTGTTTCTGGTTGCTCTCGATCAGACAATCATTGGCGTAGCGATCCCGAAGATCACCGACCAGTTCAAGAGCATCGAGGACATTGCCTGGTATGGCAGTGCATATTTCCTGACATCCACTGCATTGCAGCCATCCTACGGCAGGATTTACAAGATATTTAGTGTCAGTAAGCCGTTGATTTGGGTGAGTAACTGTATGGGCCCGGCGCTGACATCCAATCGCTCAGGTCAAATGGGGTTTCCTGATCGCTGTTCTCATCTTTGAGATCGGGTCACTCATCTGCGCCGTTGCACCTAGTAGCACCGTCTTGATTGTTGGCAGAGCTGTGGCAGGTATTGGCGTTGCTGGCATATTCTCTGGGGCTTTGGTAATCATATCAATGACTGGTGCGATACCCAATGTCAACTCCCTCGTACTGCAGTAGCTCACTTCAATAGTTCCACTACCCAAGAGGCCGCTCGTATTTGGGATGTTTGGCATGGTATGGGGGATTGCTTCAATCGCTGGACCATTACTCGGAGGTGCATTCACCGACGGCGTGTCATGGAGATGGTGTTTCTATATCAAGTAAGTGCTACACGATATTCCCAGGACCATGAGCAAAATGATCTAAGAGCTTGTAGTCTTCCCATAGGAGGTCTTTCCATTGCTGTTATCATCTTCATCCTGCGAGTTCCCAAGAAGAGTGAGTTTTCCGGGACGCCCATCCTCGATCGGATCAAACAGCTAGATCTTATCGGTGCCAGTCTTCTCATTCCGGCCATTGTGTGCCTCCTTCTCGCGCTGCAATGGGGAGGAAATAAATACCCATGGAACAGCTCGCGTGTTATTGGGCTATTTGTCGGCTTCGGACTCATGATCATCATTTTCACCTTCTCACAGATCAAATTGGGCGACCGTGCTACACTCCCACCGGGGATCCTGAAGCGACGGTCGGTGTTATCTGCAACGATGTTCGCCTTGTTCTTCGGTGGTGCATTCTTTCTCCTGGTCTACTATGTCCCCATTTTCTTCCAAAGCGTGAAAGGATCGTCCGCGATGAAATCCGGGATCCAGCTCCTTCCCTTGATGCTCGCGACCGTCATCTCTTCCGTCCTCGTCGGTGCATTCGTAACTGCTGTCGGCTACTATACCCCGTTTCTGATCGGTAGTACCGCCATTGCAGCCGTTGGCACGGGTCTTATTACGACGTACTCCGTGGACATCAGCACTGGAAAGTGGATTGGCTATCAAATCCTAGTCGGAGCGGGAGTCGGTGCTGGTTTCCAAATCCCAATGACAGCGGTACAGACCGTGCTCCCACCCGAAGACATCCCCGTCGGCACGGCTGCCGTAATGTTCTTCCAGACTTTGGGAGGCGCGCTCTTCATCGCTGTCGGGCAATCCGTCTTTCAAAACGGATTGATCGACGGCATCCGCGAGTATGCACCGACAGTGGATCCGCGTGCCATTGTCGGTGCCGGAGCCACGGAAATGAGACATGTCCTGGCTACTTTGGGGCAGTTGGATCAACTTGATGCGGTGATTAGGGCGTATATGAGCGGGCTTCGCGACGCATACCGCGTCAGTTTGGCACTTGCGCTGGTAGCGCTCGTGGCTAGTTGCTTTCTGGAATGGAAGAGTGTCAAGAAAACTGGGCAAGGAAGTAAGAACGACGTGGCGGTTCCGGCTCTGTGACAGTCTTGGATTCATTCGTCGCGGATCTCTCCTTTTTCGTGGACAGGCTTTGTTCGGTTAATACTGTTACGGGAAGTGTCATATTGGGTTTTAGAAAAATATGAGTGAAAATAGTTAGATATAGATCATAATGTGTATAACTCTACTCTTCGGAAGTTTTCATTCCTTACATACAGGAGGACCCTTCGGCGAACTGTGTACAAGAGAATAATAGAATCGTATTAGTAGGACAAATGTACATTGTGAAGATGTAAGTAACAAGAAGAAACCAAGGAGAAGACGTTTGCAGTCGTGTATGAGGTGAAATGACAGTCACGACAGATCGTCAAAAGAGATCATTCTCTCACACTGTTCATAGTAGCTTTTCTTATTCGGACGAGAACATCGGTGAGCCCTGTCTCACTGAACAACAAACTGCTCCTTGTGGCTCTTATACAGCTTGCTCGAGTCGAGAACCTCTCCGGTGGAAGACCGGATGAAGTCCACCTGCAGGTGGTTTGCGTCCAGGATGCGAAGAGTGCTGTAACTATAGTCATCGGCGTAAGCAAATTCAGTGTATGACGGCTTCGACCCAACCGAGCTGAGACCCTCAATGTTGCCAGCACCACCAGCGACAATATACATGGGAGCCGCGGGATCGTTCATACCGTTGGGGTCCGCAGTGTTCTTGTGGACAGGCAAAAAGCGTTGGGAGTTGTGCACGTGGCCAAACACTCCGAGGTCAACGCCGTATTTATAGAATAGTTCCTCGAATGCTTCTTGACAGGGCTCGCAGATGCCGGAGCTGGCGCCGGTCGTGTACCAAGGTCTGTGTCCCGCAACAATCACCCAGGGTGTCACGGTCCGGTCGACACTGGCGAGGTCAGCCTCGAGGAATGCTAGCTGTTGGCCGTCGCGACCAAACGGTCCGCTGTTGAGTTTGGCCGAACCATCCTGTCCATCTGGGGCCGAGGGGAAGTCCGTTTCGGTATTGATCATGACAATATGCGCCATTCCGTACTCGAATGAATACCAGAAGGGTGGCTGAGCGAGGCTCTGGGCTTTTGTGGCGAGCTTTTGGGCCGTGGCGTTTGACGAGGCGGAAACAAAAGCACTGGGCATGGTCTCGTCATACCGATGCATGTACGCAGTGAAATTACGCTGTCCTAAGGGGCAGAGACCAGTGGTAAAGGGGATCTCTCCACAGGCCGCCTCGTGGTTCCCTGGGGAAACCATATACGGTTTGCGTCCACTGATAGGAGCCAGCTGGTCGTAGAACTGCTCTAGGATTGCCTGGTAGGCATCTTTGCCGTCCAACAGATTTTTCGGCTTCAGGTACCAGTCATCGGCGTAGGCAAAATCACCGGGATGAAGCACGAATTCATAATCATCGACAGTCTCAGCTAAGCGGCCAATGGTAGTATGGTTCAACTCCGGATCGATAGATGGAATGCTACTCTTCTTAGCGTTGTTGGAGGTGATGGTGTAGCCATCTTTACCGAAAACCCCAAGGTCGATGACTACATCGAGGTTGAAAGGCGTGGTATCGCCAGGGCTGCGAGGACTGAGGAACTGATCCACGGTAGAGTTTGTGGAAACAATCTTGTAGTAGTACGTCGTTGCTGGGGTCAAGCCCGTGATGACAACAGCATTAGAGTAAGTCCGAGAGGTTGCATATGTCGACGAAGTCGTAGAGCACGCCTGCGCATCGAGCTTCTCCTTGGAGGTGCCATATTGGACACAACTTTGGTTTAGTTTCTCATAGGTATTCCAACCCACGGAAACAGCTATATCAGAAGGTCAATCATGGTTCTGCTTTTCATGGGGAATGGACTTGCGCACCATTGGGACCATATATCGCAAGACGTTGTTGATAAGGGGTCGTCAAGTCCTCGGGGATTGGTGGATAGCTAACAGCTGCTAGGCCAGTTCCCACCAGCAGCGGCAGCACTTTGCCGAATGACTGCAAGTTCAACATGGTCAATCGAAATTCTTAATGACCAGAAAGACAGTCCACTCAAAATAGATGGCGAGGCGAGGGATAAAAGACACAGACCTATTCCACCACATTTCAGGCACAAACATAAGGCTTATAAGGACAAGTATTGATGCCGCGCACGTGTAATGGAGTATCATTTGTCTTCGGATTCTATCAAATGTTCCTGGCCTGGCATACTACCTTAATGCATATCCTTTTCCCTTTTGGAGTGTCGAGCCGACACTACTAGAGGGAGTGGATCCCCATCGATAGCCCTAAACCGACGAAGATCGGACGCACGTGCGGCCATGGAGGCACCTTAACGCTCTCTGAGCTTGACAGCTACTTTTCCCTTTCCAGATGTCAGTCCATGGATTTAAATTGCATTAGCAATCAGATGAGCTGATCGATGCATGCCGGACATTATCCAGTTGCATTTGAACCTCGGTAACTACAACTAATCGGCGTCTGCAATGGCCCGCTACTGCGAATCAACAGCCAGCGATTATTCACGGACAAAGCTTGATGAGCCTGACAGGGAGGTACTGGGCTGGTGTGAACTGGCCTTCGGATCGGACGGAAGCGCTGAAAGGCTTTCTTTTTTCTCCGAAGAGAGCCTACCGAAAGCCCGCATCCATACGTGTTCCGAATGTTCGGGCTCCGGATAGGGGGTTGGCATTTCCATTCCAAGGCTCCCAATATATCTTGCTTCCCGAGCAACAAAGAGTCAAGTCGATCTCGTTGACTAGAGACGCAAAATGATGACCCAGGTCACTATATTAATGTGTCTCCAGGACGCAAAGACGATAGAAGACTGAGTAAACCCGTATGGCTGCATACAACGTTTATGGGCAATGCCATGTTTGCAACTATCTGATCTAAACTTATACCTGGCTTGAATATTAGACAGCATAGCGAAATGCTGGATGTCGACTACTCAGCTCCAATTGCTCCTCAGAGCCCAATCCTTCCAAAACACTATCTCGCTTTCCCATTTCCCTGGCGCGGTTCTCCCATTTGATATAGGTTATCATGCCGATGCACATGGCCCAACTCCCAAATAAGAAAGCAAACATGATTGCATGACCTGTGCGGTAGTTCGGCGCATCCCCGGGCAAATAGACCCAGGGTGCGAGAATCCCACCGAGCGACCCGACGGTGAAGACTAAGCCCGCCGAAGCCGCTTTGACGGTCGGCGTCGCGGCATTATTAACTGCCCAGGCGAGCCAGAGGGGCAGAAAGGCATAGATGCCCGGTGCAGCAAGGTACAAGGATCCGTACTTCGCACGCGGCATGGAAGCCGGGAGAAATTCGAGCATGCCCATGCCAGCAATGCCGAACGGAACGGTGGCAAAGATCACCCAGCCACGGTTTTGGTAACGGTCGGAGATGTAGCCGACCACGATGGATATCGCACAGGCGGCAGCCTAACAATATTCTCTATCAATGACCGGGGCTTGCGTGCGATTGGGAGGGAGTAAGGGGGACCTACGTAAGGTCCAACTGATAATAGCTGAGCCAGCTCATTGGTATAACCCATGGCACTAATGATAGAAGGCGAAAACAGTGAGAAGGATTGAGCGCAGGTGCTGTCAGGTTCTTTGAGCAGAGATTTCATCGGCTTCATGTCGACAGAGGACTCACTTTCCGAAAAAGAACCCGAAGGCGCAGAATACTACTGGCGGTGTAGTCAAGCCCTGGACAACATGGCGGAGTGTAGTCCGCGAATGTTCAGTCGTTCCAGCAGAGTCAATCCGCATTCTATTTACTGCCACTTGTTTTTGAGATTCTGTTAAGAACCGTGCATTTTCTGGGCCACTCGGAATGGACATGAACGCGACGACCGCAAGAATGACGGACACTAGCCCCTAGGGTACTGTTAGATACCCCCTCGGAAGGAAGTTAGAGGTACCGACCTCGAAAAAGAAAATGTTTTTCCATGTATGAATGCGGCCCCATGGAGGGATCCGAGACAGTCCAATCGCTAAAAGGCCACCGAAAGCACCACTTGCCGACGATGCAGAGATATAGATGCTTGTTCGGACACCTAGTTCATGCCGGCGGTAGCTATCTTGTCAGCATCCGCTGGTTAGAGGTGAAGAGGGCAAGAGCACTTACAATAAGGCCAACATAAAGACCAATCCTGGGGATATGCCGCCCTCGAAGACTCCCAGGAGGAAGCGACATGCATACAAGCCGCCTTTCTGCTCCACCAGCGAGGTGAGCATCGTAATGATGCCAAAACAAAGCACAAGGGTAGGGATATAGATATGTCCCCCGACGATTTTACACAGAATGTTTGAAGGTAACTCTACAACGCAATACGACACGAAAAGGCACATCAGCGCAATATTGAAGCGTAGTCCGGACAATCCTAGATCCTTCTCGAGTCCCAATAAACGCGCATTGCCGATATTAACTCGGTCGATGAAGCTGAACAGGTTAATGACGGTGAAAAGACTTAGCAATCGCATGTCAAACTTGCGCACGACGGCCCGGGATTCCTTTTCATCCCATAGAATCCGCTCGTCTGTAGCTCCCAAAACCACTTTGGTGTCCTCGACGATCTCCCGCTGCGCATCCCCGATCGCCTCTTCACCTTTCGAATCCATCATTTTCGACACCAATTATGGACAACGACCCTGATACTGGTACCATCGAGAATTCTGTCAACCTTTTGGGTGGGTGTTTTATGCTGCGTGATAGAAGGTTATTCAGGGGAGAAAATTGAGATGCCGGCTGAATGGCGGTCACCCCTTGCGTTTGCTGCATGCATCAATTGAGTAGGGCCCGCCCAGGTCATGGGATCCCTGCACGTGAGCAGTCACAATCATAAGAATAAGGAGTAGTAGGAATAAAAGCGGATATTGAAGGGTGTTTCTATTACTGATCGTCGGGTTGTATGGATTGTCCTGGTCCACTGACATTCTGTGAGACAGTCATCCTGCGCCATAGCTATACGCAATATAGCGTTATCTCACGTATCTCACTGGTCTAACGCTGGCACAATTGCCGCTCGACATTCGCCGAATCCAAAATATCTACCGCTCTGTGGATGAAAGCACCACCCTTCCATCACGACCTCATCCCCATCTTCTAGATATTCAAGTCCGTCGATCTCCATACATGCTAGTCTATTCTCAGGCAGTATTCGTTCCAAAAGACAGGCCAAGCCAGACTTTTCACCGACTCCATTGAGTCGCTGCACGTTGTGTTAGTTAGCGTCTTGAACCTGGTGGAGGGGAGCAACCACGGGAGTGGAAAATACGACGTACATCGTTTGAGATAGTGCCCGTGCCAAATATATCTCCGGTCGAAAGGCCTTCTCCAGCGCTCGCGAGATGGGTGAGCTGCTGATACGGCGTCCAGTAGAGGTCTTTGAGATTAGTGGACGTAATGTGATACGTCTTCCCCTTTCCTACTCACATAATTAGTGTGAGCTACACTGTGTAGATCTACTAGGGACACTAACTCAAGATCCGCGCAGACAATTCTATATCCCATGTAGCATTGGAGCTGTCTCCTTTCCAGGCCAAATGGGGTAAGGGTGACGGGCTCTGTGGAATCGATACGGGGCATTCCACCGGCGACAGGGCATCGATCGTGACGATCCATGGTGAGATCGTGGTTCCAAACCCTTTACTATGGAACGGACCAAGAGGGGCCATTTCGAATCCTTGGATGTCCCTGGCCGACCAGTCATTCAGAATGACAAAACCAAAGATATGCTCCCTGGCGTGTCGGATGTCGAGGATCTGACCAGCGGGTAGAGGCTTCGCTAAGAATACACCCATCTCGAGCTCGAAGTCGAGCCTCTTACTTCGTGACCACGTCGCGGGGGAGGATCTACCTGGTCCCGATATAACACCCCACGGTCGGCGGATAGGCTGCCCCGACACTCTAAGACTGGATGTGCGGCCGTTGTAGACCGATGGAATGTAGTACCAGTTTGGGTTGACTTCAAGGCTCATGATTTTTGAGCACTATGCAAGGTATATCGTCAGCCAGCGAAGGCCAAAGCGCTCCACAGGGAACCGTCAAAGGCACAGGATGATTTACGTTTTGTGCATGCTCGAGCGAACAATAGAAGTCGGAGAAGTTGGCGGTCTCCATGGGCAAATGCTTCGTCACTTGCGACAAGCGAAGAAAATATTTCTCTTTATCGGCTTCGCTTGCGCCCTCGAGAAACTGAACCAGGCGCGCTCTCACCTCGGCTTGCGTGGATTGGGGGGTTGATGCGAAGACATTCAGAGCAGGCTGCGAGAAAGATATGTCAACCTCTACCATAGCAATCTTGGCGGGGTATTTGTACCTTGCTAAAGACGCCGTCAATCATGCCTGGGATTGAGTTAAAGAGCCCATCCCTCTGGAGCCGGCTGAGATCGATCGCATAGTCCTCGAATGCCGTTGCACAATGAGGGGTTGGGTCATTCGAGGTGGAGACCACTCCGTATGGCAGATTCTCGATGGGGAATGGGGTCGCAGCTTTCATCCTGACTGGGAGAAGACGTTCGACTCAAGAGGATCGAGGATGGAGATTAGATACTCAATATGCCTCTGGGTTATGTATATGCAGTGAGGGTATCTGATATCGAACGTCCAACGCATACCGCAGCGGATCTCGTGATCGGGGGCGAGCCTTGCCTAACCCGGATACCAGAACTGGACGTATCATGTCGTGTGACTGTCTGCACCCCAGGAGTTGTTGACCATGGGTTCTTTGCAACTCCAAGCCATTTTCAGATTCCGATATGGACAACCTCAGGATATACTAAAGGTCGACGTGACTCCTCGTCCTCCACCCATAGATCACGAGAGAGGGCTAGAACAAATGGGGTTAAGCGCTCTGATGGTGCTCAATGTAGACTAGCGCCTGGTCGGTCGGTAGTCGTCGAAGGACGCCGAGGTCCAGATCAGTAGCTTCAGGTCGATTCATCACTTACAATGGTTCGATCGCTTTCCAGCTTCTCATTTTCGCATCGAACCCAATATCTTTCTTTCTGATCTGTCCCTTTTTCTTTTTGTCTTTTTCTTTTTTTTCCCCATTGAATCCGTTCTTTCAATCTTTCCTTTCCTCTGTTGGGTGATCCCACGTGACCCCACGTGATGCTTCCATCCCGTGATAACCCATTTTATTGCCGAGGTTCGCTGGACTGAACTGTGGATACAAATCATATAATCCATCAATCCTCATGAACGAGAGCTCCGGTTGGCCAGGGGGCAAATCTATCGCCATGAAGATAAGAATGAGAAAGAAAACTATGGTTGACCCGGGTCCGTTGACCACGCCCATACACCCATTGCTTTGCGCAACATACGAATAATACATTGCCGAAAATGTCCCCTTCGCATTCCGAAGTCTTCGAGGAAGCAATCAAGGTCACTCCCCTGACTTCACATACCTACTCGGCGCATTTACAGAAGGACTGGTGTATCGGAAATGGTATGACCGAAGCTTTCCTCTGATTGATGCATGATCAGCCCTAACGTTGATCTAGTCCCTCATGGAGGCTATACGACAGCCATCCTCTACCGCCTGACCACCACGCATTTCGCTCGATCCCATACGTCGCCCTACCGATCCAAACCCGTCCTACCGATCTCCTTACAACTGACCTTTGTGCGACCGACACACGTCGGACCGGCCACGTTAACCGTTCAAGAGGTCAAATTAGGCGCGCGAACGAGCACCATCCAAGTAACGCTGTCGCAGGATGCGGCGTCCAAAGGTCCGCAAACTAGAGTGGTGGGATACATAACGGTCAGTCCCGTAGAGACCGACCAAGAGGGCCCCGTGGTCAAAGGGACTCCGATCCGTCATCCAAACCCACCCTCGGGATCCCAACCGGACGGCGGGGTCGATTTCGCGGCCCTGGCGGAAACAGGGAGAGATGGCCGATGGACACGATTCCCCACAATTCCCGGAATGGCAGTTTCCCAGCATACAGAGCTCTATGGCACGCTACCGCCCTCCACGGTACAGGAGCGCATCAAGTCCACCGTGGACCAGTGGGCGAGATTTCGCCCCGGTGGCCAGGTGCCTGCCCGATGGACAAATGAGGCGTTAATGTGCCTACTGGATTTGTTTCCGATGGCGTTGGATAGACTCGGTGCGATGGCCACCTCCGCTTGGATGAGTACGAACGACCCAGAAGACCGACAGAGTCGTGCACCAGGTCCCTTCTGGTTCCCCACGGTGTCTTTCAATGTGGATGTGAAGAAATCGATCCCACAGGAGGGTCTTGCCTGGTTACATAGCCGTGTCGTTACGCAGACCTTGCGCGCCGGACGAGCTGATATCAGTGTGGAGATCCTTGACCAGAATGGAGAGCTGATTGCCACCAGCTCTCAGGTTTGCATGGTGGTCGGATTCGATCGGAATTTGAAGAATGGGAAGCGCGTCCAGCCCACACAAGGAAAATTGTAGGGTAACTTAGACTAAACGAGAACTGTACTAGATATCATTACTTGCATCCAATAGAATACTGCGCGCACGTGGTTTTGAGCCAGAAAGGACGAGTATCAGAAGAACCCTTCATGTTCTGTCGCAACCCCAGTAAGGAAATCAGTCCAAGGTCCGCCCTGGCTTCGCTCAGATCAAACTTGAGTCATCTTAAATTTTCATCTAATTATAAAAGTACCTGAGTAAATAAAGTAACGGTTTGGCATAGAGAATTTGTAACTGATAATGCGCTACCGGCGGTGTGAATATCTATACTAACTCTGTATCTCTCTGAATAGTATCGATAAATATATTCTATATTATTGTCTCGATCAAAAAGAGGACTACAGTATCATAGTATAACTGTAATTTGGCTCAATCGGTACTAATTATAGTCAGGCCAAATATAGTTGATAGATCTATTAACTAGATCGATTTTTTAAATCAGGGATTCTAGAATAACTGTGAAAATACTTTAGTATTACTGATATAGAGAATTATATTACCGGGTAAGATGGCTAGAACAGTGTCTGCTCTAATATATTAGAAAGGCTTATAGCTATTGTACTATCTACTATTAAATAGCAGCAGTAGTAGAGCTTTCAGAAACGGGAGGAGGATCAATTAAATTCATAGCGAGGGTACACTGAGTATAGAATACGGAATAATTAGATACTGGAATTCTATCGCTCGAGCCCGAGACATATTGGCAATCAATATAGCCAGCTAGACGGGGCCCTTTAACCGGCCCATGAATCAAGTAAACTAGCTTCCCCAGTCTTTGATCTTATTGTCTGGCATGTTGGGGTGTGTTGTATCGCTGGTACCCAGGAAGGACTGAGACCCAGCGGTACCTTTACTTCTACCTTTAGGACCATACAATTGATCCTTCTGAATCATTTTGCCTGGGGACGATATAGGTGGAAAAACAGTTCTGGCGGCATCCAGAGGCCCTTGCTATAAAGTAATGGAAATGGGGAGGCTATATATATGATCTGCTTCAAAACCCTATATCTCTCTTCTCTACAGAATGCCTGCCCCAAAGGCGATCCCTCCTCCAATATGGTCAGTATTTGGAGCTTTTAGAATATGGATGAGGCGGTGGGATCTTCACGCATGACCGTTTGAATATTATTCTCCAGGGATCTACCAGGGTGACATTTTATTAGCGTTCCATGGCGCTTGAGCTAAAAGAGGGTCTCCACTAGGTAAGCCAGCCTACCAATACTTAATTTGAGTCGTTTCAATTAAGGCTTAATTTCCAGTAGCCGTGAGTATCGCAAGGATCGGAAATGACCGAAGAGATCGCATGCCCTAGAATAACGATTCTGGCTGGTGCAGTGTCCCTCACGTTGATTCACACCTTACGGGGCTGTGTCTTGTGTACTGGAGTGGTTATAACCACGTCTACCTCATGCACTCTCCGGCATGGAATGAAGCTGCTGAACAGGTCCTTCACAAGGTTGTCGAGAGATGTGAGGCGCCCCTAGCGGATTTCCATCGCCCGTTTTCTGGTCTGCCTGGACAATATCAATGCTGCTGGGCAAGTGAAGATGCAAGAGAAGGGTAGGAAGGACTAGATCTAATGTTCCTCTCTCGCGTGAAACAATGTGGGACACGGTGGTCATCTCCGTACTTCCACTAATGAGGTGATGAGTACATGATATCTATAGAGGACGTATCTACTGAACACACGTCCGATGTGTTTTGTAACAGACGGTCGACTGCAAGGGTTGCCAGCTATCCCCGTCTCCACAACCCTTCAGAGTTTGCAGTAACTCTGAAATATATTAAACATGTTCGGCATCATCCCTCCGTTGCCACTCTGCAGATCGAAGACCAAGAAAAAATCTCGCAATGCGTGTCCTGGTTCGCCACGTCGAAGGAATCCACATGTGGGTAAAAAAAGAAAAGGTGGTCCATGCATTTTTCGTATTCGTACAGACTGCCATTTCGGTCTATCTCAGCCATCATACAGGCAACAAGAACATCCTTTTATCTTGTGCAGAAGGTGCAGACATCTTCGTCGCTTTTTCTGTTTTGTGTCAAGATCCTTGCTCTCCATTCTCGCGCGCCTGCCGTTTCTTACCAGGCGGACACATTATGACGATCATCCAGTCAACAGTTCCTTCTCTGCACGGTTATAAAGTCGTCAACACTCAGAGAACACACGATGAATTCATAGGGGAAGAGTTAGACAGGAATCAAGACCACAGTACCAATTCAAGCACGAAACGATATATGGGTCCCAGGAAGGGTTCGCTTCATCCATACGATCGAGTAAGTAATCGTCTGGGTGAGGTTCGGCACACAGCTAATTTGTTGAGCGCAGATCCAGGATCACAGCGATGAAGCTCCACAGTCGTCCGAAGGTTTCTGGGCAAAGACCGGGCGTCCCTTCGTTCGCTGGATGTTGACACCCATCGGTTTCCTGATAACGATCTACGGGTTAAATATTGTTGCCTGGGGAGGCATGCTGTTCCTCTTGATGTGCAATGCAGCGCCGGCGATGTGTCATCCCGACTGCGACAGCGTGAATTCTTCGCGCCGAATCTGGATCGAGATCGACTCGCAAATCCTGAACGCTCTGTTCTGCGTGACGGGGTTTGGACTGGCACCCTGGCGCATTCGCGACCTGTATTTCTGGGGTTTATGGCGATTCAGTCGGTCAGAGCGCAGTCGCCACAGAGGGCTCGTTCGCCTCGCAGATATCCATGCCAATTGGTTCCGTCGGCCTCAGGAGGTAGACATGCTGCCCACTGCAGCATCGTCTTCTGCCAAGCTGGAAATGGCCCATCTCACCCCTACGGCCGTCTGGAAAATGGACGTCGTGGTTTGGGGAAACATGCTCAACACCGTCTTCCAGATCTGTCTCGCCTTATGTATGTGGACGATGAATCGATTGAATCGGCCGAGTTGGACTACTGGTCTATTTGTTTGCCTGGCCTGCCTCGTGGTTGGCATCGCAGGGTTGGTGACCTGGTTGGAGCAAAGGCAAATCAAGAAAGAACACGCTGAAGGCCTTACCGATGCTAAGCCACAGCCTGGGACGTGAACCGAGGAGCTTTTTTAATCTGGAAATCCATTCATTTTGTCTTGGCGTCACTCCCCCGTAGGCTACATAAGTACATTCTTGACACCACCCAGACAGTGGGGCTCCATTTACAGTCGGTTATCATCTAGCCCGAGCACCAGCGTATACCTAGTCTCCACTCTGTCACTGGGGGCCATTTGTTGTAACTTGTAACAGAAGATGAGTACTCCGTGTGGAGCAAAATGGGGAGTCTTGGAGGTGGGAGGATGAGGAGACAAAAATAACAGCAACCGAGGTCACGAACGGAGACAGAGAGAAAAAACTTAAAAAAAAAATATAATAATAATAAATCAATAAAAGTAAAAAGGAAGAAAAAAAATAAAGAGAATGCCAAGTCTCTCCTCGTCCAACGTCAGCCTTCCAGCTACACTAAATTACTAACTAGTCAACGTGCATCACTAGTTTGATTGGATGTTGCGCCGGTTTGGACGGAGGCTGTGGAGAGGAATTCGTGCTTTTGTCAGCCTCATCGTGCGGCAGATGTCCTTCCCCTTTTTAACCGATCGGCCGTAGCCTAAATATATTCAGGCAAGAGTGCGAGTCCGTGGCGCTCTCAGCCTTATGATCCTCCTCCCTGATCATCCATGACTGACCATGTCCCCCAACATGAAACCCATAACCGCGGATCGACGAAGAGCAGGCGGGAAGAGATCGCGAAAGGGATGTCGGACCTGCAGAGCTCGTCATATTAAATGCGATGAGGCCCCAGGCTCATGTCAGAACTGTACATCCAGCGGTCGACGCTGCGATGGCTATGATCTGTATCGCTTGCCCCTGAAGGGAAGGTTACTGAAGAAAGACTCTCCGCCACAGGTCCGGGTGGAGATTCTCAATGGCTTTCGCTGGAAAATGACCTCGGACGAGCGACGGTGCCTCTCATACTTCCAAAACCACACTATCCCCACCCTCCTCGGTCTGTTCGATTCGACCCTGTGGGAAAAACTGGTCTTTCAGATCTCTCAGTCCGAGCCGGCCGTATACCATGCCGTGGTCGCCCTCAGTGCGATCCACTACGATTCCGAAGCCAAGGGGATGCCGTTGCCCATGGACCAGCCACGTAATACTTGGCATCAATTCGCTCTGGAGCAGTTGAGCCGCGCCTTTAATCTGTTGACCAAGCGCCGCACATCCCAGGATCCTCGGTTCTGTAACGTCACGCTGGTCTGCTGTCTTCTGTTTGTGCTCTCGGATCTGCTGCGCGGCCATTATGACAACGCATTTGGCCACCTCCAGAGTGGTATCCGGATTCTGCAGGACCTCCAGGCCCATCGGCAACTCATCGCACCGACACCTCGGGAGGAGCTGGTCGAGCAGAGCCTGGTCGCCGCATTTGCGCATTTGGATATCATGTCCACCCATTTTGGAGTCGGGGGTCCGCTACTGTGCATTGAGAATGAGCTCAGCGACCATCAGATCGATTGCGATCCGTCCATCCCATTCCAGAATCTCCAAGATGTGCTCCGTGCGTTTGAACCCTACTTCAGTATGGTGTTTCAGTTTATTTCTCCCTGTATGTATCGCCCACCCGATCACATCGGTGCCGACTATGAGGCATTGCATCTCCAACAGCTGCACATCTGGTCCGGAATGAGCCATTTCATCCGGCGTTTCAAGCAATTCTACAGTAGCATGTACACTCGTCTGAGTCGCGCAGAACAGAGGGGGACCGACCTAGTAGAGATATGGCTTCTGGGCCTATCGGTAGCGTTAAAAACGTGCCTCGTGGGCGGAGACCTCACCGTCCTGGATTGTTATACATCTGACTATCACATGGTCGTCATCCGCACCGAAGCATTCCTGCAAAAATACCCAGAGCGACCGAGTATCAGCATTCAATGTGGCATCATTCCTCCCCTCTTCCATACTGCGTTCGCGTGTCGGGATTACACGGTGCGGTGGCAAGCCTTGGAACTCCTGTGGGAGTGGCCACATCGCGAGGGGACGTTCGATTCTAACTGGTGTGTCTCTTTAGCCTCTCAAGCGATAAAGCTAGAGCTGCAGGCAAATATTGTGAGCGGCCAGATTCCTGATGACACGACTCCCATTGTCACTAATCGAGCGGGGCAGCTTCTATCGGTCAAGGAAGTCGTGGCCATAATAACGGACCACCAGCGACGGATGCGCGTGTCCAATGTCCAAGGGGCGCGCGATGCGTCCATGTTTGAGGGTGAATTTTCTCCGCTGGATCTCCTGGAAAGCGTCAAATGCATGTCCGGCTGGTCCTGTGTACGAGCCTTTAACGCTTTCGCCGCTCAGATGGAAACCTATCCGCGATCCGGGCTTGTTCAGTAGGTCGGGAATGACCTCGTCAGTAGATACAAACCCTGTTGTTATCACCAGCAACGATAGCTACGCCGCATGACGCCTGGGCATCTCTCTGGCGCGCAAGTGGTCAGCTATATACCTTGTTGTGCTGCTTGTTTCATCGTTCAGTATAGAGACTGTAGTTCACGCTAGCTATGTTACTAGTTCAAGAAATCCTGGCCTCCGAAAGATAGAAGGAGGCCCATCAAGCTGTCGGGGACACGGAGAGGCGCCTGGCTGGGAGACTAGACTCGAATAGAAGAACGAGTAGAAGAAGGGGAAATGAGAGGAAATGTGATACTAGGGGTAATGCTAGGGGAGGGGCTTCAGCGATACGGCATTAAAGAAATAAACTTCTGTACTGAGTCGTCATCCCTGGCATCTACTTTTTTTTGATAGCGTCCCGCAAGCATTCTCAGACGAGTGATGATACTCGTACAATTATCTTACAATCTTAAATCATAGCCACTAGTGAAGCATACAGAGGATGCTGCCAATAGGATGCATCCTAACCCGGCGCTTGGGGCCAATTTGTGGGCCAAGAGCATAGCCTTTCGCCGTCTTCAGCTGACGTGGATCCATTAAATGATTATCCTTGAGGCGCAGCAGATTGATGGAGGCTCAATCGTGACTCTAGCACTTGTCAGGTATAGCGAAAAGTCTTAGCTATGTCGTGGAGTACACCATCCAGCAACCTATTTAACGCCCTAGATCTCTCACATCTCAGAAATTGAAGAGTACAACTAGGCGTCTTTCCGCTCAGCATCAAATTTATCCCCAACTCACATCGAGCTCCCCTGGCTTTTGCTTGATCATTGACTATCCAGCATGGCTCTCCGTCCGTGCAAGGTCCTAATCGTGGGGGGTGGGATCGCCGGTCTCGCTCTTGCTCTTATGCTGGAAAAGAATGCTATCGACTATGTATTACTTGAGGCATACCCAGATATTGTGACGGAAGTCGGCGCCGGCATCTGCATGATGCCGAACGGTCTCCGAACCCTTGACCAGCTGGGCTGCTGTGAGGATTTGCTCAGTCATACCGGGAATCCCGTCACTAATATATCCTGGCGAGATCTAGAGGGGGAGCTACTAGGCTCTTTAGATGGATCGGTACTCAATGAAAGGTATGCCTTGTATCATCTGATCGCGATTGGGATGTTTCGCTTATGTTTCCAAATAGATATGGTTATCATGCGCTGTGGATGGACCGCAAGGTGCTGCTCGAGGTTCTCTACAGCCGTATCTCGGACAAATCAAAACTATTGACCCAAAAGCGTGTCGCCACGGTTGAGCACGCCGAGAACTATGTCGAGGTCACCACGACTGATGGCTCCGTATACCGTGCTGACATCCTTGTCGGAGCCGATGGGACGCACTCCCGTATCCGACAGGAAATGACCCGGTTGGCAACAAACCTTGGGCTCCAGGATGGTTACGATGACGAGACCCCTGCGACCTATTCCTGCATCTTCGGCGTATCAGCTGGAGTTCCTGGAATCTCCCCAGGCTGTCTTGATTTTGTCGTAAACGAACAATCTTCATACGTCATCGGGACTGGACCCGATAACCGGATATACTGGTTTCTCGTGTCCCACATGGGGAAGACATTCTACGGTGCAGACATCCCTCGCTTAGACAACAAAGACCAAGACATTCTCGCTCAAAAACACTGGAATGACCACATTACACCAGATGTGCGGTTCTCAGATCTGTACGAGAAGAGGATATCGACTATATACACTCCTATGCGTGAATGCGTGGACAAGAAATGGCACTTGAACCGAGTCATGCTCATTGGAGATGCCGCCCACAAGGTGAGTTCGCATGTCAAACCCCTTAAAGTTCCTTTTCGGCTCGTGATGTAACTGATGTTTACTCCTGGTGGCAGATGCTTCCTAGCACCGGACAGGGAGGGAGCCAAGCTGTCGAGAGCGCAGCGGCGTTGACAAACAGCCTCATGGAGGTTTTATCGCAACCGTCCTCTTTGGGTGCACTATCGATGACGGAACTTCACGGCATCTTCCAGAAGGTCCAGGATCTCGGGGCCCCGAGAGTATTCCAAATGATGGAAACGGCCCATCTTCGACAGAAGATGGACGGTATGGAGACCCCGGAACTAAGAGATACGATTCTGAACAAGTTCCCGAAAGCATTACCGGGAGCAGTGTTTCAGCGATGGGACGCGACCTTTCTCCCCGCAGTCTCGTTGAGAATGCTTGACATTCCTGCTAGATCTAGAACCCTTTTATATCATGACGAGAGGCGGAACGACGAAGGATTCACTGGAGAGATGTCGAAGATATAAGAGTTGAACATGACTTGTTTGGATGGGAGTAGTATGTCTTTGCCAGAGTAATTTAATATAAGGAAGGGATAACTCGCCGTTTACGTTGTAGTACGTCTGAGGGAAACCCCAGATCCTGTCTCGCGGCTTCCATATCTTATATGTTGTCAAATCTATGACATTCTAATGGGGGTATACGTGACATAATATTATCCAACGCTCTCAACGATATCACAGGGTAATTTGGTTAGGTGCAGTACTACCTAGTCGACATTCACAGAGACAGTATAGGCAGCCTTGCCAGAGAGCTGGATAGTCCTCCCCCGGAACACAAATTGTCCCTCGGTTGAGGTGGGCGCCATGATGTTCGCATGAAGCTTACCATCCTGCACATGCCACTCAACGCTTAGTGAACCATCAAAGGCCGTAACAACCTTAGCCTGGGCTCTTTTCAAGCCAATCTGAAAGCCTGTTTCCGGTGCAATGATCCACTTGCGGTATCCAAACCCGTCGGGGCCTTGGGCAGGGCGCAATCCGGCTGCCCACTCGGTCAAGATATATGTTGGCGCCCCACCCCAAGGGTGGCTAAGACTGGTGAAAAGGCTAAGTCCTGGTTGCTGTGTTTGGGCGTTGACGTATTCCCAGCTTGTTCCCACCGCAGTCCGATTTTTTGATTCATCGAGGGGAAGCATCACGCTCCAGAGATTCTTGATTAACTGAAGACCCATGTTTGTAGCGTTGGCCTTGAATAGAGCTGGAAGGAGGAAGCCATTAGTGTTTGGCGAGATGTTCACCGTAGGATCAGAATCAGAGACATCAGAAGAATCTTTGTAGCCAGGCCCCAGGCGCAGACCTGACAGGGTAGCCAAGGAGCGTGCAGTCCGATTAGAAGATGCCACCCCGGAGCTGATACAGTATGCTGTGACACTGACGGAGAAGTTACCAATATCGTCGAGGGAGGAGCTGTATGCTCCCAATTGGTCGTTCCAGAGATTCTTGTTGACGGCATTCGCGATGGACGCCGCGACGCGCTGGTAGCGAGAAGCCGATTGCGTATCTCCTAGCGCAGTGGCCACTTCGGCGGCACCAGTCAGCGCTTGCACAGTTGCACAAGCGACGGCGGATCCACCATCTTGAGGGCCAATGAAGGCGCCGGCGTTAAAAGAGATGAGACCGGTAGTATTGTTGACCTTGCCAATTATCCAGTCAATCTGCTTTTGCCACTTCGGCCATGTCGCCTTCGCCCATGAGAGGTCACCGCTCCACTGTACGAAGTCATGAAAGGAAATCAATCCCAAGAGCTGGTAGTCCGAGAGGTAGTAGGAGCCAGTTGGTGCAAATGCATTAGGCGAGGCTTTCATATTGTAGCCTATGCTAGGAGAGATCGCCAGCTCGCCGTCATCAATCTGCGAATCTAACAGGTACTGCAATGTCCCCCGAGCGTGATCGATTCTGGATGTGCTGACACCGAGAATTCGCGCTGTATGGATGAAGTCGCCTAGCCATACAAGTCGGTCGCGCTTTGGGCCGTCCAGGCAGAGACTCTCCTGGTTTGCCTGAGTGCCATACTCCGCCAGAACATCCTCAGTGGTCAGTGAATTGGTGTACAAGGTAGACCGCGTCTCAGTGTCATAGACGTTCACGTCTCTGAAGTACGCAGCATGGTCTTGGTAGGCACCAAACCCAAAGGACCCTGAGAACTCCCCGGTTGCCAGAGGATATGCGGCCTTCGAGATATTGAAGATTTGTGTATCGTTCAACGAGGCTGACAGATAGCCACTCGGTGATAATGAGACGGATACTTTGTACCAGATATTTTCGCGCACTGCGAATGGTACCTCGAACACATCCAGTACCCATGTTGTAAGGGTGGTCTGGTTGACAAAGTCAACTCCGTAGGCAAGCGAAATAGTGTTGGGTGGTGTTAATGTCGTATTCACATTTGCCAGACGACTGGCTTCCGGGAGCTCGCCAGTTAACATCATGGTGTACGCGCTACCAGCCATGGGCGATGCCTGTCGTGAAAGGGTCAGTCACATCGAGCTTCGTTCTTAAGTAACTTGTGCAAACACTTACGACGGACCACCAGCTGCCACCCTTTTCGATCATGGTCTCAAATTCCAGTGTGTAATTGGCGAATGCTGTTCCGTTCACCGACAATGATGGGCGCACACTTCGTGTATATACTCCGTTGACCGAGTCGACTTCCCAGATTGCCTTCTGAGATTGTTTGTCAACGCAGGCGGCTGTAGCAGCCCTAGAGCCTAGCTTCCAAATCTCATTTAGGATGTCATCATCGCAGCTGAACTGTCCAGGCAGATTCTCTGGTTCCACGGTATCGATTGTCGCGTCGAAACCAACTTCAGAAAGGGTGACCGTCCCACCGGTCAACAATCGAATGGACTGCCACCTTTGTCCACCCTGCAGTAGAGAGGACGTGACTCTCCCAGTTTCGATGATATTGAATGTCTCGACGCGGAATGAGTTTCCCAGCTGATTGGAGAATGAGTAGGGGCCGTCACTGAAAGGGTGGTCTAGCCCGCTGAACTCTTCACTGTACTTCACCTCAAGTTGAATGGGCTGCGAGAGGGATGAAATGACGAAGAAGGGGTATCCAGCACATTCTACACCATAGTCCACAGTTGCTAGAGGAGACTGTGGATCGAGGGAAAATGCAGCGAAATCGTTGGTGTTCAGTTCAGGCTGGTCGCCAACAACCACACCCACAGGGGTGAAAGTATCATCGCAGAACACAGGACTGGCCAGTAGCCCGGCACTGATTGCGCAGAAGATACTTCGCTTGAGGATCATCGTTGCATACAGCTTTGTTCAGTCATTGGTATGCTTTGACGGGCAGCATAGTTAACTCCTCCCATGGGGGGCGGGCGACAATTGTCACTTAAGTTGGGTTTCCACCAGAATCTGTCGGTATAATTACCACCGACGCTCCCCTAGAAAGTGGGTCTCAATGCATAAGGACCTTCTTCTCAAAGTCAAGTCCCTTTGACTTGTTTTGCGGGGAGTCGTGTGGGGTTCTGTCTGGGGAATGCCGAGAGAGTCTCCCGGCTGAACTTCGGGTGAAGACATGGAGGCAGCTCACCACGGCAATGTGTTGGCTGAGAGCTGTTGCGAGTGAGATCTGTGTCGCTTTATATTGCGGCAAACAGGCCTACGTACTTGTTGCCGTGTATGATCATTGCCAACTAACCACCACCTCCTCCTTGCAGATCCTACTATGAGTATGTATTGATATTCTCGGGATGTCCGAATCGGCCCCACCAGGCAGCAATTGGAGAATAAACTAAAGAATGCCTAGTGACGATTATCCCTCGTGTTGCTTTTTGGCAAAGAAGAAGTACTCACGCATTTATTTTCTCTCAGATCAGCCCAAACCCAATCTCATCAGCGTTGATGTCTTCCGTTCAGACCCAATGAGACCCCTGCGCCTCTACACCATTTTCCACTGGTAGAGTCAACCCATGAATAGTAATATCATGTCATTGAGTCATTGGGGAAGGAAAGGTCCGGAAGGTAATGCAGTGATTTAGGAGAGGCAGAGGCACTGCGCTATTATGTTATCAGATGTAACCTCGGCGCGATCTAAGAGATGGGTTCCTGCCTAGGCCGGAGGAATCATGATTGGAGGGCAAGTTCTAGAGTTACTGACCCCTGCAGATGAAGATCTGCAAGCCCGCGCACACAGCGTGACACTAGCAGATGCTGTCACCTTCATGTCAAATGATACAGTCGCCTGCAATCTCCCAGTCAGAGCATATGTCGCAGTTAGTTGCACCGTGGTCCTGGGTGGTAGTGACGCGCCCCAGGACTAATCTGGTTTACTTTGACCACAGAGAAGTGCATACTTATTGCAGACGCCAATCATGATCAGACAGGTCTCTCCTGGACGAAAAGGCTTAGACTGTGGAAAATTTCTGCGAAATGTCAAAGTCTCCTGACAATAATACAAATCCACTTGTTTGAAATGGTGTGCAGTCAAAGTTACATCGCCTGGATATGGGACAATATGTCAATACGCGTTAAGCTTCATCAGTCTATACTTTATTTACAGTAAAGTGAATGTAGCACCATCTTCCTTCCTGTCGCACTCGACATCAATCTCCAGTCAGTGCAACTGTATGTGTGCCAAGTAATAGAGTAAGCCCAAGGGCCACCTAATCATCATCCACGTCCGGGGTGAATGACACCATAGGGGCACGGGAAACCTTTGTGACAAAATGGTCAAGTTCAGTCGATGAATGGGATTAGAATGATAGTGAAGGCAGGCACGTGCCTTTGTCTGCAGGGACCACGACGGCCATCGTACAACCTCGATAGGGTTATCTTTGTCCTTCTGACATGCTGTGATACCAGCCAAGGGACCCCTTGGCCTGTCGCAGATCGCGGCCGACACTAGCCAGCACCGTTACATTTCTTCTATACACGGAGGCACCTGTTCTTTACAGGCCAAGTTTGAACCAAATGAAATTGTATTGCCATGTGCCAGTTTACAAAGATGATCCGTGTCAGGATGCGCATTCGGCGTGTGCGTTACGTCGACATTGGTATGACTATCACCAGTGAAGGCACTCGGTGACTGTAGGTTGTATACGTTGCACAGGGTTTTCCTGCTGGTCGATGTGGCTCCCCCGCTACGGTCATCTCCCATATGCTTGGGATCGATTCTACAGCCACTGATTGGAATCCGTCGAGTATACCAAGGCGTCGACCAGAAGAATCACCACCTCCTTTCTATCCAAAAGAACCCTAAGAGGATCATCACTAGAATGTAGCTTCGACTGTATGCAACCTCATTGTTGTATCATAAAGAAACTCTGGCTCTCCATACGAAGGTGAAACATCAGAATCCTACTTTCTTGAACGAGCCGGTAGAATCCCAAACGTTTTCATTCACAGGATGCAACCGCCACTCTGCAGTTGGGGGAGACCATCTGCATGATTCAAGCCATGAGGATGCAATACATACACATTTAATTCACGTACTTGGTGGCTACCATTGTCTATAAAGCCATCGCAACCCATCTCACGAGGTTCGAAACATCTCACAACCATCTCTCAGTGTCTCAGCCACACAGACCAACAATGCGCTTCTCAACCAGGATCTTTTTCAGCCTCGCGGTTGTGCTCAGTTGGGCTTGGGTAGCCCATGGCGTGGCCATCTCGAAGCTTGAGGGACGATATGAAGTGCAAGGCGCCCCTGCAGCGTCGGGCTATCGGTCTGTTGCGTACTTCGTCAACTGGGTAAGTATCGTCCTCCCGCTCCCAAAGTGGCATGGGACTGACGAGGCTACGTAGGCAATCTACGGCCGCAAACATGACCCTCAGGATATCGTGATCGACCAGCTCACTCATATAAATTACGCCTTCGCCAATGTGCGCCCTGAGACCGGAGAGGTCTACATGACTGATGGCTACGCTGACATCGAGAAACACTATCCGGGTGACTCGTGGTCTGAGCCCGGCAAGAATGTCTATGGTTGCATCAAACAGATGTATCTCTTGAAGAAGAAAAACCGCAACCTGAAGGTCATACTCTCTATTGGCGGGTGGACTTACTCCAAGAACTTCGCACAAGCAGCGAGCACAGAGGCTGGACGAAAGATGTTTGCCGACTCGTCGGTCAAGTTGCTGTCCGACTTGGGGTTCGATGGGATTGATGTTGATTGGGAGGTCCGTTTGTCCGCCAGTCCCTCAATATTGCGAACGATCGCTGACTCTGTGCAATTGCGTTAGTATCCGGACAACGACCAACAAGCCAGTGACTACGTTCTTCTTCTAAAGCAGATCAGAACTGTACGTTCCCCTTCCAGCTGTGCCTCATCGATTCCCAAACTAATATAGAGCTAGACACTGGACGACTACAGCCAAAAGCATGCCAATGGCAAGCATTTTATTCTCACAATCGCCACATCGGCAGGTAAGCCAATCATCACCTGGGTCCACTCTTCTTCCCTCGGAGTTCTATCTAACACGACTATCTCGGCCAGGCCCCGACAAAATCAAGAAACTGCATATCAAGGATATGGACGCTCAGCTGGACTTCTGGAATCTTATGGCTTATGACTATGCCGGAAGCTTTGCTAACTTCACTGGGCACCAAGCCAACGCATACCCTGACGACTCGAATCCGAATAGCACTCCGTTCAGTACCCAAGCGGCGATTGACATGTACCTGCAAGGAGGTGTGGCGGCGAACAAGATTGTCCTCGGCATGCCTCTGTACGGCCGGTCATTCGCTAATACAGATGGTCTGGGTAAGCCCTTCACGGCAGATGGCGAGGGTAGCTGGGAGAATGGGGTGTGGGACTACAAAGCCTTACCAAAGCCGGGAGCCGAGGTGCATGAGATGGAGAATATTCTTGCCAGTTACAGCTACGACAGCAAGCAGAAAAGGTTGATCAGTTATGACACCCCTAAGATCATTCAGTTGAAGGCTGGATACATCAAGAAACTGGGCCTGGGTGGCTCTATGTGGTGGGAAACCAGCTCCGACAAAGGCGGCAGTGACAGTCTGATTAGTACGGTAAGTTTCCTGTTCTCTAATATGTATGATCTATTGTGAATTCGTCTGACTGGATGATCAGGCAGCAAACGCACTCGGCGGCACGGGGACCTTTGAGAAGGTTGAGAATCAATTGGACTACCCAGCCTCGCAGTATGACAACCTGAAGAACGGAATGAAGTAAGCTGGGCAGCCTCAGGGCTCGCATGATGTATCTTGAACTGTGGTCTGATGTTTGGTTTACCTCGAATGTTGTGTTTTGGATTCTGGCAATCTTATAGTTTATCTATTCGTATTCTTCCTTGCCATTCAGCTTTACTGTGTAGGTCTGTAACAGATCTGGCATAGGTTTCTTGTCATGTATGCCTCATATTTAGTTCTAAGATGCTTGCTTTTCGATTCCATCATCGAGAATATGAGTATTCGTACTGAAAATTCCCTTGAAATTGTCCTCTACCCAATTATCCATCCACTACACACATCATCGGCTAACATGGGTAGTAGCTAAGAGATAACTATGTCAGGAGTGTCTGAAAGATAATCAGCCTAGTAGGACTCTCAACTTAAACCTGTTGTCTTTCACGTTGCATGTTGGTGATTATAAGAGCGCATCCAAACTGACAAACGGCATCTCACTTCAGGTATCATCTGTATGTACCCGTCTCTACTTGTAGTACTCAGCTACCCATGACTTGATCTGAGCTACCGCATTGTCGACCACTTGCTTCACCCCTACATTTGCATGGTAATCCTTGAGATACAAGTCCGAGCAGTGAAATCCACCAGGAATGACCTGCACTGGCTCATCAGCGGTGCTCGTCAGAGGCCCACCAGGGCGATGGGTCGATGAGACACCCGAATCGCGCCACGGATCGTATTGTCTGGGAGTAAATTAGTAAAGCGCATTCTCTATCTCTCGGGGATTGCACGCTCAGGTTCTGCTTACCCATTCACCCAGAGCAAGCGACTGGTGTTCTTGGTTTCGGACCATCCGCCTGTCCAATTGTTGACAGTTGCAGCAGTCCTTCCCTTTGCACTGCCGTAGGTGTAGCCATTCACCTCGGGGAAATATAGTGGGCACTGACGCTGCCAGTACGCTGCATTGACAGTGCGAGGTACGATTGTAGGGACACCCTCCGGGGCACCGCTTAAGATTCGAATGTAAGCATATGCTCGGTATATCATTCAGGGAAACTTACTCCTGCCACCAGAAGAAAGGTTCATTGCAGAGAAACCATTGCCATTGTCGGTCGACGGCATTATTGACAGAGGTATCCGTAAAAATGGCACTGGATGGATTATGGGTGTCGAAGCAGGCGACAGTCCGGTTATCCGTCCAATATCCATAGTTGGCACAATCTGGAGGATCTGTCAGATTGAATGATGTGATTCTAATGCAGGATACTTACAACCTGGAAGGATGGTCGAATTGAACCAGTTCGCATAGCCGGTAAGAGCCTTCTGCAAACCAACACCTTCTGGGCCCGGGACAACACTCGCGCCAGCTTCGACATTCTAGACCAAGCGAGTCAGCCTCATGAATCAGACAGAGCTGGTGATCTGGCAGAACTATACCTCAACAGCATCGCAAAAGGCAAAGAAACCGGAATATCCAGTCACAAATGTGTTATCCTGCCACAGGTAGGGTCCTATTGGAAGGGCACTGGAGGCGTTAGGTCTAACTTCAGCTTTGCGAACTAGTTGTACTTACGCGGCAAAATCATCATAGTGTTCGAGAGCTCCCAAGCCGAAAAGCTCTTTTAGAGCAGATTGTTCCGCAATAGATCCATTCTTCCCGACGCTATCAATGTGATTTGCCACCAGCGAGACATCTCTGCTACAGTTTGGTGCCATGCCATGACGGATGGGATCGAAATATTGCCACTACAACCTCTGTCAGCCATCGCACCAAGATCCATAGCGAGCGTGTGGGACTCACAAAATCGTCAATAGCTTGAACAGGAGCGCTTGTGGCATGATAAGCCCAGAACGTCTCTGGAGCGACGGCTGCAGTCCAAGCTGCCAAAGCACCACTGTATGACCCACCGACCAGCACCCATGGCTGATAATAGAGATGTCAGAGCTATGGCTTTTTTCGATCGTATCGTCTGGATAGGGACTCTATCTCTTACCGCTTTCGGGGCATTGCTACTATTGGAAGTGTCAAATTCCAACTGAACTGTTTCGGCGAAATAGGTTAAGTCCCAAATGGACTGCTCCAGGGTAAGATACTGCAGCGTCTCGGCTGTGAGTTCCTCAAAGGGCGACGAGCCACCCCAGTAACGGTCTAGATCATATTTAGACCACTGTTCTACACTTTCCCAGGAAAATGGCCAGCTCACGCTCAATCAGAATCACAGCACCTTGAATTTCCTGTGCGTACAGACCAGTCAATGTGTTATTGGTGAGATAGCCCTCATATCCATCGGCAGAGGCTTCACCGGGAGTGAATAATACTACCTACGACGCCAGGTTAGTGACCGTAGTGATACCACGCGAGGTATCGCTGCAAGGTGACAAACGCACCGGTGAGCCGGGGCCACCCCAATACTCTGTACTCCACCAGTAACGCTGCGAGAAGGTCCCTTTTGAGGAGTCATGGTGATCTAAGAGTTGCTCGAAGGTTGCTTCGCCTTCAACCGCCGAGGATAGCATCGAGACCGGTCGAGAGACCGGCGGAGGAACCGGCCTGGGTAGATGGATCGCACAGCTGAGCGAGGGCCACGATGCTACGAGCATCACAGCACTGATGCGTGAGAGGAAATGCATTATGCCGAGCCCTCTAGTCACGGTGGGACTGGTTAAGGAGAAGGGATACGGTTACACTCCCAGTGCAACAAGAGATTCATAGTAGTTACGTGCAACGCCATGCGCCGGGGAGAGAAGGAAATTAAAAAGGAGACCTAGCTTTCCAGTGCCACCGTATACAAGGACCAGCCATCGTATCATTCAAGTTCTAGTGGTGCCCACAGCATTCATATCCCCGTCGGAGAGCGTCGGACCAGCGTCAGCCATGCAGCAGGCACACGATATCAATTGTGATAGCGTTGAGCGTGGTTGCAGTAGTGGGGACGTGGCTAGGACTAGAAGAGATAGGCCATAAATCCAAGCAAATTAATTGGAGCTCTCAGCATGAGATTCGGCTTATCGCGAACTAGCAAGCATTAAGTGCCGGAGTGTTTTGGGCCCACTTCCACTACTTCTTTTCGATGGACGGTCGTATCTTTGCCAGGGAGACACCCTTCAACTCCCAAACAGTGCTCATGGCACATTTATATAATTTTGGCGACCAATTACATGTCCTGGACCACTCACATTAACAGCCATACCGAAATTGATACAACAGTCGCTTTCAGCCAGGAGAAATCGGTGTCATGCACAACAAAAGACAAAATGTAGACTTAGATAGATCAGTAGACGTTTCATTCTTGCGTCTTTCCCGCGAAAGAAGGTTCCATGTGTATATGCTTGTTCCGTTGAATCATCAGTTTAGAGACTCATATTCTCCAGGTATATATATATATAAATCAGTCCCAGGATATATAATCAGCGAGTATAATGAGTTAGACGGGTATCATAGTAGTGCTAGTATACATATTCTCAACTGTCACAGGAGGGCTCATGATATAACCTCGTTGTCTGTCCTTCTCTTTATGTATTGATTCTTAATTTTTTTCCTTCTTCTCTCAGGAGAATGTCCAACATTGAACGTCTAAAAGGTCACCAAGACTCCATCGCGCTAGACCCGTTATGGGGAAATCCTCTAAGCTCTTTTCGGGTATCGGCAGAAAAAAGACACCGCCCAAGGATATGAAACTGAAACTGAACTGAACTAAACCAAACCGACGATCGAAAAACTCACCCCATCAACTGCTGAATCTTGTCGCAGAGGTCTCGCATCTTGTATGGCTTATGAATAATGTCGTCCATGCCAGCCGCCTTCATCTCCGCTTGCTGCTCCGCCCGGACATTTGCAGTGACGCCCAGAACCGGGACATGCGCCATCCCATGTTTCTCGAGATCGCGAACGGCTCGCGTCGCCGAATTTCCGTCCATCACCGGCATCGCCTGATCCATTAAGATGCAGTCGAATGTACCTTGCTGGACCCTATCCAGAGCCTCGCGCCCGTTACTGACCGCGGTCACCCGAAACCCCAAGGACTCGAGCTTACGCGCCACAATACGCTGGTTGATCACATTATCTTCTACCACTAGCACCCGTCGTTCTTTGGTTGCGCCGGGCTGAGACCGTGGTGATTGACATGGTTCTTTCTGGAGATATTGTGGTCGGTCGGCGGACTGGACTGTGCTAGGACTGTGACGCATCACCTCTGTGTCGCCGGCGTCGTAGGCAATTTGGGCGGTATGCTGCCAGGTCCTGTCCTTGGACGCGCTGGGAGAGACTTCCTTCACATGGGTCATCTCAGGACTGGTGGGAATGGCTGGATTGACAATCTCGGTCGTCCCTTCCGTCACCTCGCTGCTGAGTGCTTGGACGTCCCGGCATAACTGAGCGATCGCCCCCTGTTCTTGTCGAGGCGGCTTGGTCGGGGAGCTCTCGACGCTTCGACGAACGGTGAAAAAGAAGCCGAATGTACTTCCGTGACCCTCCCTCGAGCTTACGCCGATTTCGCCCCCGTGTAAATGGCAGAGTCTTCGACTGACGTTGAGGCCGAGCCCCGACCCGCCGTAGATCGACTCCGTTCTCGGGGTGGCTTGATTAAATCGTTCAAAGAGCCGTTTCTGCGCTTCCTCGCTGATGCCAATGCCCGTGTCCTTTACGGCGACCATCATGTAGGCCACGCCACCCTCCCCCCACTCGGGCCGGTTTGTCGCATTGAGCCGCAGGGCCGACTCACCGGAGCTGAAGAAGACCACGTTGGGTGGGTAGGACGTCGGGCGCACTTTGGAGGCGCCCATGAATACGGAGATCTTCTTCTCGTCGCCCGCCTTGGCCGTGAATTTGATCGCATTGCAGACGAGGTTCACGAGGACTTGACTCATGCGGTCGAGATCGGCGATAACCCAGTCGACTCCACAGTCGGCGTAGGAGTGGTCCAGCTTGTATTCGAAGTCGATGTCATGTTTCCGCAGTTCCGGTCGAAACATCATTAGCGACATGGCTAGATGTTGTCGTGGCTGGACGCGCCGCGGTAGTAAGGTAAACATTTCTGCGTCTAACTTCGAAAACGTCAGCACATCGTCGACAATCTTCTTCTGATGTGCAACGCAAAGACTGATGGTTTCCGCCGCTTGCGCAATGTCCTCGACCCGGATGTCCCGTCGATCCTTCTGCTGCACGGCTTCCAAAATGTCTTCGGTACAATGGAGAATGGCGGAAAGCGGATTCCGGACTTCGTGGCTAATCATATCGATGAAGCGTTCTTGTTGTTCCTTCCGCCGTTGTGCCTCTTCGGCGATCTTCTTCTGTGAGATCTCCGCCCGCTTCTCCTCGGTGATATCCGTGATTGTGCAGTAGGAACCCCCGTCGGTGCCGAGAGGAAGTCCGCGCAGTTCTTCCTCGCCGAACGGCGTTAGCATGAGGAGGCGCCATTGGCATGGCTCGTCGCATGTCCGGTATTCGATGCGCAGCGCTGTGTTGGCCTTCAATGCGTCGTCGTATGCCGTCGCCACCCGGTCGTAGTCGCCCCGGGCAATAGATTGGGACCAGCTGTCGAACGCCCTGCTCGATTGGCAGGTCATCAGGTCCCGGAACCGGCGGTTTAAGAACAGGATCTCATCTTGTGAATTGAGGACAGCAGTGCCGATCGGCGAAATGTCTGCCAGCTGCTGGGCTGATAAATTGTCGGGGGACGGAGCCGCCATGAATCACAGACCTGAATTGTAAGCCACTCCCAATCGGGGATGTTCGAGGAACGCGTCGTACTTTACCGTAGGAAGGAAGTCAGGTAGGATTTTGTTTCTCAGTGAATCTGTAGGACTTCTTTCGGTGTTTAATTCCCCTGTGTATGATTGGCCTGGGCCTGTGGTTTGGCTTTCAAGGTGGATGGTAGATATCGATCGGTACGCCACACGCGTAGTTGCAATAGTGGCGAGTAACAGTTCCTGTGGTTACAATCGAACACCGATTGTGCCCCCAAAATCGTCCGGATCTTTTGTTCAAGCACAGGATGGTCTGTCAGGGTCGCGTTGTGGTTCATGACTTCAGGGCTTTGCATCGGAAACCCTCAGGTTCAGGTCGTGACGTCACACTATCCGGCTCCTATCGCCAGCTCAGACATTCCCCTTCTGGGGAGCTGCTTGTTTGAAAGCGTGCCCTTGTCGGGTGGATCATTCCTCTAGAGGCTGGCCTGGCACGTTGATGAGAACGCAAACGCTACAGGGGCTCGTCGCAGAGGATCACGGATCTCTCCGAGATCATCGGTGATAACGTACTAGTCATGCACTAAGCGGATGGATGAGGCCGGGCTCAAACAGAGCAGATCTGAAAGAACTCTACTCAATTATGATTTTCAATTACGGACAGCCTTCTCATCGCTATTCGACGGCTTGACTTTGTCAAATACTTGGCTATCATGGAGCGCGAGGCTGAGTCTTGTCACTCCGTTTTCGGATTTGTGACGTTTCGGCGACGTAGAGAATGTCATGGCCACAATTGGTCCCGTTGCCAATGGCCCTGTTCTCTCCCCGGCACATATCGTAGCCTATAATGAAGGCGATCGTTTGACCCTTGCCAAAATTCAACCGCCACTGGCGTAACGGCATACACTCTCCACTTCTGGAAGCCGTCCTCTTGCCCCGACAATGCGGTACATTCTACCTCTGCAATACGACGGGTAAGCTCCTCGCGGTCCTGGAGCACCTGGCTCTGCTTCGAGGCCATGGCGCTCACCCTCGATTTGAACGGACGCTCGGCGAAGTCCTCCCTGCACTCAGCCTCTGGCAGCGGCATAGCTGTTCCGCGCAGCCGGATTTGCCGACCGACCTGAGGCCAGTAGAATGTGAGGGCGGCATGTCCATTGGTCTCCAGCTGCTGAGCTTTCGGGCTATCTGCCTTGACGGCGAAGTGCCAGCCACGATCATCAACATTCTTCAGGATGAGGACCCGAGCGTCTGGGTAACCTTGTTCGTCAACCGTGGCCAGCGTCATGGCATGGGGCTCTTTAACGCCGGCCATGATCGCCTCGTCCAACCACCGTCTGAAAGCATCCTGAGGGGTGTCAGGAAAGTTGGCAAAGTTCACCTTGGCGAATGGACCTTCTAGAACCGGAAGGTTGCGGAGTTGCGTTCGGATGTTGCCCTGATCCGCCATACTTTTGGAGTTATCTCTTGGCTGCGGTCGTCGTCCACGGGGCCAACTTAGGATAGGTTTGAGGGTCTCCCGAACGGGGATCGTAGATCAAACAGAGAGGGTGTCAATTTAGATACGAAAGGGCTCTTCCACTTCCTGATTACAACACAGGAATGCTGAGAACTCAATTCAGCTCTCTTCCAGGATGATAATACAGATTAAATATCGGAGACATTGTACGTCGACATATGAGTCACACGCAGCAAGCATACCGAACAACTCAAGCGAGGGATACAGGATGACTCCTTCTGGCAAAACTAGCCTTTCTAGGCCACCGGTTCAGCTCTCTATACGATGAAGGTCTTGGCAACCTCGGATGTTGGAAACAGCTACGTTTCTAAAGCAGATTTCATTCCCAACTTTCCATGAGGTAACAACGAAACAACTTCTGGGGCTCTTTCGGTATCACCTGACTGCACACTACAATACGTCGCCACCTTCCGCGAGTTTATTGGGACTGAGGATACGAAGACGTCCACCATGACAGGCATGCGGGGGTGGAGATACCGCAGGCCGTTCCACGGTTCTTGCGGAGAAGCTTTCAATGTCGCGGTCATAAGTGCATCATCACCTTACTTAAATAACTTATGCTATTTCCCCCCCAAACAGGCCTGTCTTGAAACAGGAGAGCTTTGTATCGGTGATCGACAAACATCATAATATTCACTATTCTATTCTTATCGACGAGCATTGTACTGTATATCCCCTTGAGTCGACATGCCTGCGGACGCTTTCGGCCAGTACGTCGATATTAAAATCGAAGATGGCATGAAGTTTGATCTGCGCATCGAGAATGCCCACCTGGACAGGTATGGACCGCGGACGTCTGCTATTTTTTTATGTGGCTGACGCTGGCTCAGCGGACAATTCTATCGGCAGGGTGATCAAAGTGATATCATGACAGCCGACGATGTGGATGATATGATCATCCGTCACAACGGCGGGATCAGAGAAGTCTGTTCATGTGGTGAAACCGACTCTATGTCGGGAACCCAGGGAACATTCGATCTCATCGATGATGTGAAGGACACCCGGATCTGCACACTGGCATGGAGCGCTCCGATGCAGTCGGGAAGACAGAATAGATTCTCGATGCTCAATCATGACCCGAGATATAAAGTTAATATCGGGGATTGGGAAAGGTCCGGTACTATGGGCACAGTCTCAGTTACCATTAAAGATGAGTGAGTCTTAACCGTAACATGTCAGTCGATACTCGGACAAGCCCAGTCGTTTCCTCATTTGACCCCGAATGCATGATAAGAGGGGAGGGAAAATAGGGAAAAAAAAAAAAAACAAAAAAAACAAAAGGTAGTTATCGGGGCATACTTAGTTATCAATAATCACGGACTGGATAATGTTCAAAACTTCTAATGTTGTAGCATCGATTGAATGGAAGGCTTAATGACACTGCGATTGGAATTAATTAAACTCCCACGCGAGAGCTTGTATAGTCTATTAGGCTTGTTATTCTATGTGGTCTCTAAAAACAAATCGCCAACACCTCAATATGTACCAGATTAAACCAAGTTTCCCAATTCATGGGAAACCAAATGCGCCTCACCCAAAACCCCCTTAATGACCAGCACTAATTCATCGATCGTGCCCAGGAATTTCAGATACGCACTCAAGGCCACGCAGAAGCGACGGTAATTTTCATCCCTCACGGTGTCAGGGGAGAAGTCAATCTCTGCCGGGTGAGACTGCCAGTAGTCAAAGGCGCGTCTGACCAGTGGCGTGGGGAGAATCTCAGGCAATGCATCGCCAGTCTTCAGCGCCTGTTCGCACATCCCCAGAACAGCCATGGTCTCACCAATGCACTGGTGATCCAGCAGGGCGGTTTGTTGCGCGAGTCGATGCTGAAACTCGCTCGGGAGGGTGCCGGATAACAGCAAAAGCTGCCCCAGACTACGGTTCATGATATGGCAAAGGCGCTTCACGCGGCCCAGGCTTTCGCTGTCGAACCGGGAACTAGAGAAGTCGAACCGCAGCATATCGATAGGCCCGTCTAGCATCACTAATCCTTCGGTCAACTGAAGGGAGATCGGCTCGGCAAGGACGCGCCCATCGTGGCGGGAGCGGCCCCAACACGATAAGAGCAATGCGTAGTGGTCGGACAACGTTCGTACAGTGTGAGATAAGGTCTTGCAGATATGCCGGGCGGCTGATGGCGGACGGGGAAACAACTGCACAATCGTCGCGGCGCCAACTCCGATGAGCACGAGGAGTAGCCGTCGCCAAAAGACCGTATAGCCAACTCCCGGGTTGCCGTACTGTGGAATGTGTCTGATTGAAAACGTTAGCAAAGGGAGTGGCACGCGGTGCCGTCGATGGTGGACTCACGTATCATCGTAGCTATATGCTACTACGAGCATAAAAGTGGCACCGCCCATAATTCCTCCTTGCAGCAAGCTCGGAGGCAGGTACAGTCGGATCCAGATCAAGATGGCAAGCATCACAGCCAGGACGGCTGATAATCCATAGGGATTGCCAGGCCCATTGGCCGAGCCGATATACCAGGCCAGAAGCCCTAGAACACCGCCAGCAATTGTCCCGACCAGTCGGCTGAGAGTCGAAAAGGTAAACTCAGACATGTAGACAAGCAAGCCGGTTTGCGCCATGATCAACCCCCAAAGACCTTTTTCCCGGTAATAGAACCCAGCAGTATGAGGGATGACCCCGGGGATGCCGAGGGCGATCGTAACAACAACCATGCGTAAGGCGAAGAGGCCTTCGTTCGAAGTAACCCAATGATAGGTTCCTAAAATGGCTCGTCCTAAGGGGCTGCGGAGCTTCGGTCGGTATCCACGACTGATCCGAAGCTTTTCCTGAGCAGCTTTGGTCAGGTCCTCTGCCTCGTCCGGATCGTCCTCCACGACCGTCGTCGTTGTTGGTGCCTTCGCTTTCTTCCGAAACGCCCAGGAGGCGGCGTATCGAAGACTCGTTGGCCACCACAGCTTGGTTCCTTTCGAGTCGTGGAAAGCAGTCGACACGCGAGCGAGGAGAGCCTCTGTACGGGTGATTGTAATACAGACGTGTTCTTCATAGACCATCCCAACCACGAGTGCTCCTAACTTGCGCTGGTCACGGGGCTCACCGTTTGTCATAGGTGCAAAATGACCAATCAAGAGCTCGGTCATGTCGCGAAGAAAGCTGCTGTGAGCCTTGCGGAGATTCTCAAGTGTTGTCTGACTTCGCTGGTACAGATCCTCGCGTTCTGTTGGGGACGCTCGCCTCACCCATCGTCGGCAATTGACCATATGGATGCACTCCTTCGTCACCGCTAACCCTTCCAGACACGTGTCGATCGCCATTGCGCTCGTGTTGACTAGTTCATCCACGACTTCCTGGGGCAGCTCCTGGCTGTCCGGGCTGCGCAAACCTTCTAGCACCTCCGCGAGTTGGGACAGTTGTTGGGCTCCAACCCTGCGGGGCTGCTTCTCGTCCGTGATAAGGACCTCCTTTGTCTGTTCGGCGTGTTCGCGAAGGATGTCTTCCGTGCGAACTTCGCCATGGATTCGACCGATATGGAATTCGAGCAAAAGAAGAATGGCTGCCACGACCTGCCGCATCGGCTCCTTGAAGGACGTGACCTCCTCGGGACCCCAGCGGCCCACTGAGAAGTCCAATGGCAGAAAGGCCAAACCGGGTTCCATCTTTCGATATTCCTGGATAATCCGAGCGTGTGTCTTGTGTAGTCGGTCAACGTCCGGCTGCTGCGCTTTCTTCCCTAGCGTCACGGAGGTGAACCTCAGTGGCTGCTTGAGCAGCTCCACAATATCCTCCATACTATCTAGAACCACATGAGAGGTCGATCGCGGAAAGAAGAGCACCGAACATGCAAATCCAAGTCCCACACCGATGGCGGCTGGTTTGACGAGCGTCAGAGGTAGCGTTCCCGAGAACGAGGGTAGAAGGGGGGTGAAGTTGAGAAAAAGGTCCGAGATGATAATTCCGAAGATCGAGGTCAAGGTGGCTTTGGGATTACTAGCGCGCAGTCGAGCCTACCAATGGTTATTACGCTTTTTCACTCGTCCATTTGTACAATAGACGATAATTACCTACCATGAAGTAGATAAAGGTGCAGATGAGACAGAATGTAATCGCTGTAACCCGCGTGTCCAACATGTAGCCATCGTAGATTAGCTGCTGTGCCACACTGGCAGTCGGAGATCCTGTCGCGTTGGCTTGGGCTACCGCCGTCTGTTGCAACGATGCAAGTCGGGCCTGTGTGTCTGCTGCTGGCCTGGCCGCGTAAGCGGCCTTCATCGTGATGACGCCCCATGCCCAAGCTAGGCATATTCCAATGAACAGAGTCAAAGCTCCCAAGAGGTAAATGAAAACGATTCCGGACGGCGGGTTGAACAAGAGGACGAGACTATTCCGTCACACTCTTAGCATTGCGATCGAGAGCACATATGCGCTCAAAAGGAGGGTACAACAATCGGTTATCGGGCAAGCTTTACCTCGCGAAAAATGTAGCGGTACCAATACTGGTCAACGATGGGGTGATGAAGATTAAGAGACTCGCCACCCAGAGGGCCACCCAGCACCGGAAGAAGACCTTGAGCTCACGCGCATTGAAGTGATCGAGGATCGCGGGGAGTCGGAAACTCTTCTTCGGGATTGCATCATCTGCATTGGAATCAACAGTGGCCGGTGGAGGCCGTTGGGACATTGCTGAGAGTGATATTTCTCAGCCTGCGCTGGGCAATCATAGAGGATCTACGATATGTGACTGACGAAGGAAAGAGATGCCCAGGACAGTAAGGGATTGGGAATGCAGGAAAATATCCTTCCCACTCGGAGGGGGTAATTTCATCATTAAGTAATATAAGGTTGGCCTTCCAATAACGCCCAGGAAAAAGTGCAGATCCTTTCTTTAGTCTCAATAGTTCCACCTCTAGACCATGATTCCTGAGTGCAGATCGAGATCCGGGGTTGCCCTTATGCCGAGGTTTATGCAGGATAGTTATGCATTAGATTACGTATTATGAACTGGCTAATGAATCCAACAGGGCAATTGAGCAATAACGCCAGTTTTTTGGGTCAATAGTTTTTTGACTTTTACCCCTTTTGCTATTTAGTATTTATGATACTGGGCATATCCTCCTATTTGAGCATTGATGGGTTTGGTCCACCTCACTTCCTACTAGTTAGTGTTCTTGCAATTTGCCTCTTTCTATATTTTATGTTCATGTGACCCTGATAAGATTCTACCCCTTTGTGGAAGTGCCACGTTCGAGAATTTCTCGCGTGGAATGGAATGCTACCTTCCTCTTCTTTTGCATGGACTTCAGCATCCCTGCTGTACTCCGTAGTTTTATTCAAGCAAGAGTGACATTTCATCACGTCAGCCTCTCGAAAATATCCGTAAAAGTTGACCTAACCCAAGATGGGTTTCTCAATTCCCCCCTCCCCGGAGAAGGGGGTCATATAAGTCGGTTGAAGCTCTGATAGACACTCGGGAGACTATGCATACTCAGTCGCATCTGCAGTGAGACCGGACAGGTATGATGGGTAAACTATTTAAATCATTTTCTCCGCGAAAGATAGAACCGATCTACTTTGATATTAGGTGCGCCACTAGCCTTGAACGGTACGTAAGGATGAACAGTTATTAACCCTTGCAGGTTGGATCAAAACACCATTCGGATCCCAGCAGCAGGGCATACGGTTAAGTATGGCCATGCCCAGGGAAAAGTTATTTTGTGCCTTAATAAACCTACGCGCGTGAGCGATGTCAAGCTACATCTTGAGGGCCGCTACTATATAAAGTATGTGCTATGTTCACCAAACCCCATATTAAGGAGTAAGCCATCACTCACCCAATATATGCTGCAGCTGGGACGCGACGTTCCCCAGCGATTCACATCGGCATTGCAAAGCATTTTGGAAAGAGTTGCCTTTCCATCACGATGTCTGGAGCTTTCTGCGGGTTTCCGCCGGATCATCCTCCACGACCTTGGAGCCGGGAAACTATGAATTTCCTTTCCAAATGTGTCTTCCAGGCCGATTACCGGAATCTATGACCGGCGTGGATGACTGTTATATTCGGTATCGGTTGAGAGCACAGATCTATGGCCGGAAAGGCGAGAGTGTAACCACGTCGAGGGAGGTCACCATTCGAAAGGTCTACCACCTGCCTTTGCGTACTGTTCCGAGGGTAAGTAATTCACCCTATGAGAGAAAGTAAGATCCTCCGAAGCCAATACTAGGTAGAGCATTGAGAACAATTGGCCGAACAAATTAATATACAATGTCAGCATTCCAACCCCGGCTGTCCCATTCGGCGGCCATATCCGGGTCACCTATCGGTTCGTTCCTCTGCTGAAGGGCCTCAATGTGAAATCCATTCGATCGGATATCATCGAAGCGCATACCGTATCGAACCCATCATATGCTTCTCGATCACGAGAGGTGTTAACGGATGAATTTGACCCTCCAACCTGGGAAGAGATGGATATCAGTACCGACGACAGATGCTGGTATCAATGCTCCCGGATGCTTCAATTACCCAAGTCCACCCAACGGTGTCTACAAAGTGTTGCGACAACGGTCCTCCAGGTTAGACATTCGATACAATGTTTAATCACCCTGTCAAATCCAGACGGTCATCTGTCCTCGGTCAGTGACCCATTTCTCTTTACCTACCCCCATGTACCATTCTTATCGCTAGTAGGTTCGTCTTTCTCTTCCAATCGTCCTCATTTTCTACCCCTCGACCAGCGCTAGCCTTCAGGTGTTATCGGACCCTGTGGCCGCGGACGAGGGAGAAACCGCACTGCCCCATTATAACGACCATGTACACGACGCAAAGCTTGTTGACAACCCTTCAACCTATGCGGGGCCGCATTTCAATCAAAGGCCTCCAGAGTACTCGGCATTCGACGGCGTATCCGAAATTCCTAGTTAATAAGGTACCACTTGATTGAGCTTCTCATGGGGGGGCAAGGGAAAGACCTCATATAGGATATCCAGAGCGAAGGGGAGTCTCGCTGTAATTTCTAGAATTGGCACTCACGCTCTTTCAGTAACCGCCTTCCTCTTTATCAGCAGCACTGGAGAACCCTAGTTCAATCTCTCTGCAGCCTAAATAGACAGAGTAAATAAATCTACGTGCGTTACCGATATGAGAACACTCAATAGTCTAAGCAGACTACGTAATTTTACCCAGTAATATAAGGAGATTAATTAAATGAGATCGTTCAAGTAGAAGGAGTTGAATTAATACTGCCGGCAGAAAAAGTCGAGGAGCGAAAAAAAATAATTAGTTGTGATTCGATTTCCGCTCAGCTGGCACTTCATCTCAGTATCCACTTCCCTTTAGCTGTATATTGCTACATGCACCTAGCTAGATAATGAATGCGTTCCTTGGCTGATCGGAGTCAGTTAAGGAAGGGGTATCTTCCAAACGCCATCACGGACGTTTAATTTATTTTGCCACGTCCTGGTGCTTTTGCGCGCTCTCTATATGCCTGGTCCTGCGATCAGGGTTCCCCATGATGCCCCTGGCCAGGAGATCACATCGGAAAACAAGAACAGGGTGTCCAAATTGCAAAAGGCGTAGGATAAAGGTGAGGTCTATAAGAGTCTCCTCATCAAAAGTGTTTAGTTGGTTCGCCTGCTAGCATGGATCATCCTAACGAGGATCTGTAAATAAAGGCACGAATTATTGACCATACTACAAACTAACGGACGGCACAGTGCGACGAACAAAAACCATCATGTAGAAACTGTCTCCAACACCGTATAGAGTGCGACTATGCTGAATCACAAGCAATGGACGACTGCAACTCATTGACGTTTACTACTGCTAGCTCTTCCCCCTCCCCTTCCAACATCGGGAATGCCGGGGCTCTACCCTCAATCTCTCAGGCTCAGTCCAGTTTGTCTCTTCAGCCTCAGGTATCATTAAGCGACGATGATGTGCTGAAATCTCGACTCATTCACCATTACTCGACAGCTACATATCTCACCCTCTCTGTTAAACCTGAATTTCAATACATATGGCAAGTTGAGGTCCCTGGGATAGCTTTCGAACACCGATTCCTCCTGCCCATGATCATGGCTGTGTCTGCCCTGCATATATGCCGCAAAGGCTCGCCGGGAGTGCGTTACATAGCATACGGTTATCAACAGTATGAGGCAGCCTTGAAGGGCTCCTCATTGGCTCTCTCAGATATCTCCCCATCAAATTGTCATGCTCTTTATGCTGTCTCGGCAATTGGGTTTGTCTTCGAACTTGGCACGTCGTATAACCAGGACAGTCTCTTATACAGAGGGGCGGGTGTTCTTGCTCCCTGGATTATGCATATTCAAGGAGTTCGCACAATCATGCTGTCGACCTGGGCGCACATCAAGGCGGGCGTTTTAGGGATAATGTTTGATAGCGAGCCCTCGAGCAACGGGCCGCTAGAGCTCGAGTCATGTGTGAATGACTTTGTGGGTTATATTGAAACGATGCCGCTTGCGCCAGAACAGATTGCTGTCTACCGCAGTGCTGCAAATGAATTGATTAAGTGGTCCAAAATGCCTCATTCTGGTTTCTTTGGATGGGTATGCTCATTTGGAGATGAGTATGGGAGATTGTTAGCGGGGAAAAACCCCTATGCGTTGGTCATCTTTGGTTACTCATGTATACTTCTGAGAACTGGAGGGCCCACATATTGGATTAGTCGGTGGCCCGAAGGTTTGCTGCGGGAGGTATACGGTTATCTTAGTCCGTCCCTTCGGGGTTGGCTTAAGTGGCCGATGGAGGAGCTAGGCATGACCTGTCGTCAAGCTTTTCCTGCAGAATAATTAGCGCAGTGTTTGGTATTTTATTCCTAGGATGCATATTCTATTCTACGACTCTCTCGTTGGTGGCTCGCATCAGACAGGAATAGCCGGTGACTATCGCCCTCCAGAACATGGCTTTGGCCACTATCGTCTTTAGAATGTTTTTGAAATTGTGCAAAATCGGCGTGTTTTCTAACATTGCTCGTTAAATGCTTCTTTGAAACGAGGGCGGTAAAAAGGGCGCTTTAGGCCCACTTGCATGAAGGGTACGAGTACGGATGCAATATCATTGGTTACTTAGGGTTCAACGTTCCTAGGGTGGATAATCTACAAAAGATGCAGCAGATAAGCTAGTAGTTTGTTCTCAATATACTGTTAAACTACGGAGTAGAACGAACTAGTACTTCCGTAGGTGGGTCTATCTCAAGGCAAAGGTGGCGTAGATAATTTCTACAGAGCCCTATATAATGCAGTCTTTGTCTGACTTCCTCACTCATCCATCAAGACACTTTCCCCTTATTGCCCTGCTCAGAGTTCCATCGTGGCCTCATCTTCATAATCATTCACGATGAGTGAGTACGCGTTCTATCACTACAGCCCTAGCGTGGCTGCAGCAATCATCGCCCTGGTCTGCTACGGCGCGAGCACCGGCTTCCACATCTTCCAGCTATGGAAGCTACGTAGTTGGTTTTTCACAACCTTCGTCGTGGGGGCGATCAGTAAGACAGTCCCTCTCCCCTTCCGTGCAGCCGCATTGGATTGACAGGAATATTTCCAGTGATGACCGTAGGCTACGTGTTCCGCGCCGTCTCAGCAAAAGACAAAACCGCCATCGGGCCCTACATCGGACAAAACGTCTGCATCCTCCTGCCCCCTTCCCTCTACGCAGCGACAATCTACATGATATACGGCCGCATTGTCCTCTTCGCTCGCTCTCCTGAACTGTCCATAATCTCACCGCACAAGGTCACCAAAATCTTCGTGATAGGGGATGTAATCGCGTTCCTGATGCAAGCTTCCGGCGGTGGGATGATGGCCAAGTCTTCCATGTCTAGTCTCGGCCAGAAGGTGACCATCGTGGGACTCTTCGTGCAGTTGATATTCTTCGGTGGATTCTTCTCTCTCTCTGTTATTTTCCACCAACGGGTGCAGAAGCTGAAACGCGTTCGAGTGCTTTCAATGCCGTATGGGCCATTGTTATATGTCCTGTTTGGAGTGTCATTGCTGATTATTCTTCGGTGTTTGTTTCGCATCATTGAGTTCTGTCAAGGAAATGACGGGTATCTTGCCAGTCATGAGGTGTTTATGTATGTGTTTGATACCCTTCCGATGTTCGTGGTGCAGAGTGTTTTCCATTTTCTTCATCCAGCCAATGTGCTTGGGGTGAAGGCGTATAGTGAATTGGAAATGGGGGTGTGAGATATCGGTTTACGGTAGTTTTGTATGTACATTAGCATTGGTGTCGTTACTGCTGTTTCTTTTTATACTATATAGTGTTTGTTGGTATATATGTTTATTTTGGAGTTGAATATAAAACTTGCACCGGTGTAACTATGCCTGATGCTCCGGACAACACTTTTTTTAGCAGTTGAATATAGTGAGGATGACCTCCCAATACCAAATGCCGGGATTCTGTTGCCTCGACCTTCGTATAAACAATTCTTAACATTTTGCTCTAATTAACCCCTCGACTCCTGTACTTAATGGATCATTTTCAACCCTCAGTGGGGTTCCATAGCAGCCAATTGCATCTTCAGCGTACTCGTATTGTGGGTCCGAGATGAAATGGGCCCCCTAATAGTAGTGGATAATATCTAAGTATGGCCCCTTGGATGTACTTTAGGGAAAGCTTAAGAGCTTTACCATGGACTTTCTGGCAATGTGGGCACTTCAATGAAGGATCCCCTGAAAAGCCGACTAAAAATAAGACGCCACCAGGAATTCCGTGCCGACGCGGTGATCAATTACATCTGCAATTAAGACATGCCTCGGATGTGAGGATGACCACTTCACTGACGGTGCTGATCACGACGTGCTATTCCACCTGGGACTATAGACTTCGCCAATATATTGAGGATTGTTAGCCTTGCCTGTAAGGTTACTCGTTGATAACGGTCGGTCAAGCGATGATCGGTGATCCCCGATCACCATACCAATAGAACATCCGCCAGAGCTGGGGGATCGGGAGTCGTGGGAAGAAAGTACACAGGGATGCCGGCGTTTTCTTTTTCGTTTTCGTACTGCCTCGTAGAAACAAAAACTTATATCTCCCGTTGACTGCTAGGTACTGAGAAAGTGTGGGGATGTAGAACTTCATAGCGTACCCGGCCTTTACTAGCCTCAAAACTACATCAATAAGTTGAAATAAGCACCAACCCATTCCCACACCCTCTATCATTCCGTTTTATAAGAGGCCTATCAATGGTTACCGAGCCCTATCCTCCTCAGCCGAGGGATCGAAACAAAGGAAGTAGTACATGGCAAGGTGTCTCTTAGGGACATTCGAGGTTGAGCCGCTCACATCATTAGTCAGTCCTGAGCAGTATAATTGGCGAAAATATGAATTAAGCTATCTAACACATGTTGACACTGGTATCTCCTATTGGTTAATCATATCCTCCGAGCACCCTGTGATCCACCTACTCCTTCCTGATTCTCATCCTCGCTCCGAGCAGAGAGCATGTCCGATCGCAAGACCAAGTACGTCCAACAGCATCTGAGAAAATAATGCCAGAAAGCATCATACACTATGTCCTCAAGACCTGCCGTATAACAGCCCATAGACATACTCCTCGTAGGCCCCCCCGGCCCTGGTATTGCTCCTGTCCCTCAATTCCACCGGTGACAGAGCCCAACGCCCTCGCATACACAATCTGATCGTGAATGATTACCTCCTTGGTTAGGTTCGCGACAAAGGCCTGACCACCACCTAGATCAAACCGAGCAGTCAAGCCCTCGTTGGCGGCAATACCACTAGTGGGCGGGTATGTGGCATTCGCACCCCACTGGCGCACTTCGACAGCCTTTTCGGCACAGTTATTGTGCATGATTTTGCCATTCTTGGAGATATAGACGTAGACATGCTCCGTATGATTGTAGTCGAGGAGATCGTACCAGACCAGTGAGTAGGGGCCTAGGCTTGCGTGTCTCCAGTCCCAGTATTTGGGACTGGTGATGACAGACGCGTCGCCCCAGTTCTTATCGTGGTAACCAACACCGTCAGTCACTTTGAATTCGGTACCGTTGATGGTGAGGTCGATGTTGGCCTGAGCATCAGGAACAGCATTTGACCAATGGAGATGGGGCAAGAGGAGGGTGTTTAGACCATCGACGTTTGGGTTGCAAGGATAGTGGGGTGGTGCGCGCTGCAGATATGGATAGGTTAGTTGTCGAGAGAATAACTGAATTAGACGGGGAGTTCCTGACGGATTTCAACCGAAACGTGCCCTGCACACCCATGTTAGGTGAGTTGAGTTTCACCACGTACTCGACGTTAGGCTTCTCGAGGTTGGTACCGTGGAAGCTGGCCCCCGAGCCGAGCCAGTTTCCGGTAATTCCACCTTCGTCATTGGTCATGAGAGCGCCTCCGGACGCCAGGGCCTCTCCGGAGAATTGGGTACCGTTGTCGAGGTTCCAGAGATTTGAACCGTCAATGGGTGCGGGTTCGCAGCAAAGTCGCCTGTGTTGAAGAAGACGATGTTGATGGCCGCGCTAGTATTCCTAGAAAAGGCATCAAAGTACCAAAAGTCAAAGGAACTTCTGTTCGCCGGCGTTCCCATCTTAAAACCGTCAAGGTTGCCGGGAACAGAAAGGCCCTCAACCTCGACACTGCCATTGTGGTAGACCGGTGGAAGGTAAAGGCGATTAGCCAGTGTTGGGGGCAGGAGAAGCCCGAAGGTGATTGCTGCTTTGAGGGCCCACATGGCTTACTGAACTTGTATGCTTTATAAGGACCGTTGATCTTTCTGCGATAGACGAAATACACCTTCCAAGCGACGCACCAGGCCCTTTTATAATGTTTATTACCATCAGCATAGCCTTGGAAAATGTGGTAGTCATGATCGGAAATTGGATTCGCCATACAAGTCGTACTCGTATCCGTAGTCGCGCTGTGAAACTCGAACCATATTAGTAATGTCTGTAGATCAATCGACTAGGTGTCATGAGCATACATTGATCATTGACACCAGCTAAAGAATATAATGGTGACCCTAATTACACTTCACTTTTCTAGCCCTACCCGAATCCTACGTGATAGGCACATTTACACAGCTTTTCACCTCCTTCTTGCTGGCCACGTCCGAGTGGGATGTTGAAGGAGGGTTTTGCAAGAGCATCCTTTCAAAAAGTCCCTCTGACTGGGCAAATACCGTGACTGTTCGTGTGGGCGACACTGAGTCATATGCCCAGCTCAAGACCTCACTGATTCTACGTTTAGCTACGCGTAGGGCGATGGTTCTAGGGGGTTAGTTTACATCTCAGTATTTATGACACTTTTCAACTTCCAGCACCCTCTGTAGCCTTTTTTCGCAGTCACTGATAGGGTATGACACGACGATCTGAAAACAGCCGAGCTCCACGCTTCCAAATCACAGTCTATCTAGCAAGGACACCCTATGTCTATTAGAGCCAGATATGTATCACCATCGCTATTGTGGGTGAGCAGTTCTGAATCGACTTTGTCTCGAATTCACCCAAACAAAAAAGCCGGCATTGAAACCCCTATGGATAAAGTGAGGATTGCAGAAGTTCACAGTATACTGGTACCCCCCGGTAAGGTCTCTTCATTTTTGGCGAAGGTTTGTCTAGGATAGCAATGGCCTGATCCAAAATCAGCTACGGAACGAGATTCTCATGAGTTGAAAGTAAATGTTTCGGATCCCAGGCACGATTGGTCGGCTATGCTGCCAATCTACCTCATACCAGGACGAATTCCGAATTGGGCTTCATGATGGTTTCCCCAGCTGTTAGTGCTCGAGCTTTTGTTTAAATCCTCACCTATCGTTACCTGGCGTGGATTCCTGGGAAGAACGTGTGTACCTCTAGATACAGACACAGACTCGTCTTTGGTACTTTCACACAGCTAATGTGTCATTACCGGTCGAGCGACAAGTGTAGCTTCGGGAGAGATTCATTATACCATCAGTCCCAAGCTTCCAACGGTTCATCAATAAATTAAATATTTGCAGAGGGTTTCATGTATTGGACAGAACCCGTCATGGATTACGTCTTGCAAGAAATTAATTTTGGCTTCTTTTGCTTCGGTCTCTACAAACTCTTCCCGATACCCTCCGAGAACACGACAATCCGCCAGGAAATGTCGAAATTTCTATGTTTTACCGACATATTTAAAGCCGGAATTAGGGGAACGGGATCCTAGTGATCGATTGTATCTTAAGCTTGCTGGTGCACTTTCTTTCCATTGTGGAGGTTCAGTTCGAGAGTCACATAATGGGCCAAGGAACATCAATGAACTGCCGAATGACTGCAGCCAGCAGGGAAAAGAGCTATACAAATCGAGGCGGGTTGAGTTTGAGCCAAGAGTGGCGAGAGGGTGGGGAACAAACTAGCCATACTGAAGGTATATACGGGGCACCGAGCAATCGGAGAGACGAAGCTCCTCCGGCTCGACTACGGGTGATAACTGTGGGAGCGGTGTTGCCAGCCGGACCGTGTGGTGCGACTTCCCGGTGGAAACTCGGTGGATAAATTAGGGTTTGCCGTTCTCTCGATCCGGATCCTCCGTACAAGGTACGGGGAGCCACCACTTTCCGATTCATACCTACTGCTCCCCATAGACATGGATTTTGTGGAATCCTTGGCTATAATAAATCACGTATTGTAAGTAGCCATCCTCATGGCAGGTGAGGAAGGTGCCATTTTTCATGGCCCTGTTAGACGAGACACAATCTTTGTCTGGTTTTAGCAACGGCGAGTACTTCCCGTCTACAGCAATGGAAGAGGTTAGAAGGATATAGATATAGTTGAACGTTCAATTAGGTGCATTCCCACTGTCAACCAGCCGTTAAAGGTATGTCCACCTTTGGTACGGAGAGTATGCATTGGATCATGTTGTGGGGCTGCGTCGAAGCGAGATTTGTGGATCCTATTCTGCGCCAGGATCGTTCCAAAGGACGGACACTACTGAATAATCAACTCGTTGGCGCAACGCACGGAGAAGAAGGGGACTCGTTCCCCGGAAATCTGTCTGAAAACCCTCCCCCCAACGGTATTCGGTTAACGGTGCAGATTCTGTATAGGAACTCGGCAAATGCCCGGATATCACCTAACATTTACACATTGTGGCATTGGAATTATATAAATGGATAGAGTCATTAGTACTTCAATTTCGTACCGATCGTAGATATGAATAAAAATAAGTATGGACGTCCGCATCGAATCATTTAATACAGTGGCATAGCCGGCATACCGATTGTAATCATCCTGGGCAACACACAATATGGACACAAATTCCCAGCCAAGATTCTGCTCATCAATGAGCTTAGCAGCAAGGACTAAATCAGACCTACAAAGCTGCTTCCACGTGCTCAATCTGCTTGACCTTCATGTCCCCATGGTCCTCCTTGTTCTCCAATTGTGTAATCTGTGCTCCTAGACCCGTGCAAACATAAGAGGGAAACTGTCTCGTGGGAATCTTGTTCTGGAACATTTCGTCCAGTTCTTCCAGGGACCGGTCTTTGGTCTCGGGCAGAAGGAAATACACGAAAGCGATCGCGGCAACCGAAAAACTGCCGTAGATAAAGGTGACCCGACCGCCGATAGCAGCTTGGACGTATGGATTGACGAAGTTGATGGGAACGGAGGTGACAAAGCTCCCGAGCGATGCCAACAGAAGAGTCCGTTCTCGCAATTGTCCTGTTCCAATTTCGCCAGACAGAATCCAAACACCCGGTCCCCATGATAAACCGTAGAAGACATACCACAGAATGAGCATCGCCACGCAACCATTTTGGGTCATCGTACTGAGGTTGTCCGTTCCGTGTGCACTGGCGCCGCCGACTCCCATCATCATGGCAGCCATGAGCAATGCACCCACGAGCATATTAATACGCCGTCCGAGCTTATCGAACGTGTACAGGGAGATGAGGTTGGCCACCAGACCGCACGTTTGGACAATGACGTTCGACTTCAATGGATCCGGAAATCCCAGCTGCTCCATGAACGTAACAATAAAATTGTTGATGAACGAGATCCCCTGAGCCTGCTGCAGGATTTGAGTGCCCATCGCGATGACGGTCCGTCGCAGGTTCACCCCGCGAAAGCAGTCTAGCAAGCTCGTTGCCTTATGGAATTCCCGCTGCTCTTCCAGCTGGAGCTGTAAGAGCTGGATTTCCTCTCTTGCGTTGTAGTCGGGCCCAAACAGAACTTTCATGGAAGCTTCGGCTTCCTGCAGTCGTCCGCGATAGACCAAGTATCGAGGGGTCTCGGGAAGAAAGGCATATCCCAGCACGATTCCTACCGGAACAAAGAGCTGACAGAGAATGACCGTGCTAGGGGGGCGGTCAGTCAGGCTGAGCAATTCAAGGACAAATCGGCCAGAGAAGACATGGTACTTACAGATACGCCCATTCACCTTTGATGTTCTGGCAGAGGAAAACCACCAGTGTCCCCATGAAGCTACCGAAGGTATTCCAAATGGAGTACGCTGTCAGAAATGCACCTGGACAGATAGGGTCAGCATTCACTTCCTGTCCGTCACCAGATCGCCTTGTCCATTTACGAACCTCTAACCTTGGTGGGAGCACATTCGGACTGATACATCGGCACCACATTGGAGGCCACTCCGATGCCGGAATAAACGATGATACGGCCGACAACAAGCTGCCAGAAGGAAGTGATGGCGGACGCCTCGAGAACCGTTCCAACCGTCAGGAGACCCGACATCACCAACAGTGTCGGCTTCCTTCCCAAGTGCGAACATAACCAAGGAGCTGCGAGACATCCGAGAATGATACCAGCCGAGCCGGTGCCTGTGCCGGCCGACTGCTTCTCCGAGGGAAGACTGTATCCACCAGTGCTTGGGTTATACTCTCCATAATGTTTATTAAACTGCTGAAGACCTAACGCACCTCCCCACCAGGAGTTGTCAAACCCGAATCCCATCGCGCCCAAGGAGACGAAGCATCCGATGAACACGAGACGGGCATTGAGCTCCTGATAGAGAGCGGACTGCTTGAAGGACCCTAACATATTGCCGGTGGTCGCAAACCAGGCACAATTAAAGTGGGTTAAAGAAGAGATTGGATGGCATACACATCGTGACGGGCACAAGGGTTCCCCGGCATACTACTTATATTTATATATTAAACACCACATCATGTCCAGGGGGCGAAAAGCGGAGCGGTATACGGACAAGATCGATGGATCATGAGACTAACGAACCTACTGACGCCATGAACTTTGGATTGGCAGGTTCATGGCAGCCTTACTCTGCTCTCCCCATTCGGTCTATTTGTGGGGGGTAAACGTACGCCCGCAGGGGATTCAGTTGGGACGATTAGGGCTAACTCCACGAGCATGGGGAAGCCAGAACCCCCATGGGGCCATGTGTGGGTGGACTGAATTTACTTCGGGTGAAGTTGTGGGGAAAAGTCCTTTCGGGTTTCAAACTTTGAAGCTACCGATGAAACTTCCCGATGGAATTCCGGCTGCTTCGAACTGCCATTTTCGGCCTGGCACCCGGCTTGGCCCCGTCCGCCCCGGTTTTTCTTCGTCGCAAAGTAGTTGGTGGCTCCAATTACCCTTTTCAGTTCCTGGTGGATGCGGCAATTCTGGTGATAATTCTCGCAACGAGGTCGAATAGTGGATTTGCTCATGTCGTCATATTTCTTATCTGCCTAGATCTGGAAATTTGAAATAGGACCCCGAATCCCTCACTCTTTCGGGACACTCGTGAGAAACTCTCATTGCATCCCTGTTGATTGGACTCCAGATCTCATAATGGCACAGGCTGAGCGTCTCCAGACATTTCCTTCCAAGCCACGAGTGTTTATTCTCAGTGATATCTCCAATGAACCCGACGATGCAGAATCCCTGGTGCGGTATCTTCTCTACTCCAATCAGTTCCAGACCGAGGGATTGGTGGCCTGTACATCGACATGGATGAAAACCAAGGTGTGTCCACAGGACATGCATAAGATTATAGATGGCTACGAGAAAGTAGTCGACAACCTGAATGCCCACGCCAATCCGCAGGATCCGTACCCGACAGCGGAATACATGAGAAGCCTGATTAAGAAAGGCGCTGAGGTATGTCTCCCTGACAATGTGGGTTTTTCGTTGGGGATTCGCCAGCTGACGCAGGTGCGATAGACCTATGGAATGTCCGCGGTCGGAGACGATATTCCGCTCAGCGAGGGTGGACAATTACTACTAGAGCGCATCGAGGCTGATTCGAACGAGCCTCTCTGGATTTTGTGCTGGGGTGGCACCAATGTCCTCGCATCGGTCTTGCTCAAGATTCAAAATACTAAGTCAGAAGAAGTTGCGGCAGCATTCCGATCGAAGCTGCGTGTCTATACGATTTCCGATCAGGACGATACCGGCGTATGGATCCGCAACAGATACCCCGATATCTTTTATATTTGCTCAGTTCACGGATGGAACATGTACGGTATGGCAGCATGGTGCGGTATCTCTGGCGATGGTTGGTATGGATTTGATAAGGGCGGTCCCGACCCAAGCAAGATTAGCAAGGAATGGATTCGGGAGAATATTCAGATCGGCCCTCTTGGTTCAACATACCCGGACTACATGTTCATCCCTGAGGGTGATACACCAACCTTCCTTTACCTGATTCAGAATGGTCTTGGAGTGCCAGAACGCCCAGAGTGGGGCTCATGGGGAGGCCGTTACATCGCGACGGACATCAGCGCCAAAGGTCTCCGCAATGGACACTACAGTGACACCGTCGACGAAGCGGTTGGATTAGACGGACGCACGCACAAGTCCAACCACGCGACGATCTGGAGGTGGCGCGATGCCTTCCAAAATGACTTTGCGGCGCGGATGCAGTGGACGCTCTCGCCTGAGTTGAGCAAGGCCAATCACCAACCTGTCATCGTCCTGAACGGCAGCAAAGGCTTGGAGCCCTTACATGTCGAGCTGGAGGCGGGCTCAACATTTGAGCTTGACGCTTCCGAGACATACGACCCGGACACAAACGACTCACTGACATTCAAATGGTATCAGTACAAGGACCCGAGTGCGACGCAGTGGTCTGTCCATCACGAAGTTGGACAGCTGCAGTTTGAACCCCTCAACCCCACTGGTAGCAAGGTCAAGGTGACCGTGCCGCCACCGGGAAAGTGTTGTCTTGAGCTTATCAGTCGTGAAGCGCTCCCTAGAGGCCAGTTACTGCACATCGTGTTGGAGGTGAAAGACAATGGAACCCCGCCGCTGACCAGCTACCGACGAGTCACTGTCCAGACCTTGAACGAGAAGCTGCTGGGTGGCGGTGGTGGTGCGGAGGCTATTGGTGACGTGATGAGAGACATGATGTAACGTGATATGATATAGACAAACTTTTCAATTGATTCAAGACATTCATAGATGTTTCCACCTTTCATTATATCCTGCTGGCTTCTGGCGACTAAGTACTTCGTCATGGGACATAATCCGACCTGTCACTCCGAGGACGGCGAAGGTCTTTAGTCCATTACTTTATTCTGGTCAACCCACGCCCGGATGTCCCAGAAATTCCGGCATTTATGCATCGTTTTGAAATCCACGTAGCGACCTAGAGGCGCTGTATCATCTGCCACGATCATTACCGGCGTAACATCTGCTGCGCACATCACGTTCAAGCGCAGTGTCTCGAGGCAATGGTCTACGTGGCCGTTGAGAATCAGAAAGATCTTTACACAAGGTACACAGCTACTGACCGATATGCGTGGCTGTAATGGTGGCATCTTCCGGCCCAAACTGGGCCGCTGGATACCCGAACTCTTCCTCATATTCCTTTTGATAAATCTTCATCCGAACCATGTGCTACATGTCTCTAGTCAATAAGTTGTCTCCAAGGAAGGACAGGGTATTTGACTGACCAAGCAGTGCAGCTGATGAAATACCTCCAGGTACCCTACGTAACCTTCGCCTTTCTTTTCGGGAGTTCGGAGCCAGTTCGCAGTCGACGATTTATTGAGCAAGGGGAGCTTAGCCTCTGGGACGTTGATGCCCGGTGCTGTCGAGCTCAGCTTCAATCTAATAACTGCAGAATATATTTCTTGGAGAAAGAATTCATCGCACCTATGAACAATTTTTGCCATGCGGCTTCTGTTTTGTTGGTAGGCCGACCCCGATAGACAGAAGGCTGTTCAAAGTCACCAGCTATGTTGTACGATGTATATCGGATGATTCCTGCCTCTATAACGGGCGCTACTCTGGATTCAGCCACGCTTCAAAGTGTCCGTACATTCGACTTACGCACAGTAGGAAAAAAGCCGGGCGGTGCATGTTTGATCTGTAGCGACCGTCTGATATCTGAATGTGAGAAACCCGAACGCAGTGAAAAAGAAAGCCAGTTGGAGGAACCAGGGCAATGTGCGGGCCAGCAAGGAGTGAGGGGAGTTAGACAATGCAATAGAGTCCACATGGGTGTATTGGTGCCTCTGGGTCAACACATGCGCTGAGTGTCGAATGTCTTGTAGGAGGCGTTTCATGGTGGTCAGGTCGGATGATGAGCTTCTCGGCAGGCTTACCAAGATACCATAAGGTAGACAGGAATGCAATTGTGAATGTTACGGTTTAATGTTCTCGGCCTGAATAAGAGCGTTCATGAGGCAACTTAATGGCTATGCCGTAGAAGCATAGATATCTTCGTTATACGCTCAGTTTAGATATTCTGACCGTGTAGCTGCCTAGGTTATGTGCGGAAGCATACATCCCAATGCTTTACTCAGGCCTATTCTTCAACATCTCCACATCGTGTTACATAGCAGTGTGACATTACACAGAATGGCGCCGAACCCTGGCATGAAGCCCATGCTTAGGCCCTAACCAACACGAGGTCAGTGTACATCCATGTACATCCATGTGGAACGAAGGAGGGGTGAAAGCATCGGAGAATTATCATGTCCCGCTACCATGGTTACATTTTCCTCCTGAGTAGTGGCCTTGGCACCTCGAAGCTCAACACCTTACTCGAGGACTAAATCCCAGCTGTCCTCGGACTCGTACGGCCTTAGCTAGTCATTCATTAGCATTTTGAATTCAACGACGGATCATGATCCCGGACTCTGTGGCTCTGTCTGCTGGGTACGAGACCGGCACGTCTTGGCCCAACTACTAACTACTGATACAGGAGGCCACATCTCGCCAATCAAATCACCTTATATGAGCCAAGAGAATATAGATCCCCAACCAAGCATGGAATAAACAGTGTGGATATTACGGCATCCCCACAATCGTAGATACGCCGGCGGATGCCGTTCCTTGGCGGCTTAGGCCCCCCATGCAGGATTTCATAGTTACTCAAGATCCATCCTAGCGCTTACGTGAACATATGCAATTCCAATAGACTTGTTTGCGGTACTCCATTGGCAACTTGCGGAAACATCGGAGGTCACAAGACCCTGGAGGGATGATAGTGATAACCTATCCTGTCCAGCCTAGTAGGGAAGGGTAGCGTGACTGAGATCAGGATAATGGAGGTAAGCCCATGTTCTCAACCCATTCGCGGATCTCCCAGAAGTTCCGACACATATGCATGGTATTGAAATCAGGGGTGCGTCCCTGAAAGGCATGGGGGTCATCTATGAACATTAAGGGTGTCACGTCCGAGGTGCACATAAGGGTAATGCGTAGGAGCTCAATGCAGTGATCTGAATATTGGGTTAGTAATCCGACGCTGGCCGGTGCTCGCATCTGCCAATGATGGTAGAAGTACCTATATGGGTCTTCTTTACTGCTTCATTCCCAGGGCCACTTCCATCTGGCCATTGACCAAAATGGTCGTAGTAGCTGTTCTTATGGACTTCCAAGCGGAGCGTATTCTAACCGTGATCAAATCAGCAATCCACCTGGCCGATGAAAGACAAGACCTGCACCTACTATGCAATGTAACTGGTGGAAGACCTCAACTAAGGCAGCGAATGTATCCCCGGCGCTATCATCAGACGCAGGAGGGGCGGGGAACAAACTTCCCGGACCGGATTTATTGAGTAATTCTAGTTTGTCTCTTGGTACCCCGATTGCAGGAGCTAGTTGGCTTAGTGTTGCGTCTATGGTGGAGAAGTAGTGGTATTACTTACTTTCCCAGAGCGCTTTCCATGATGCTTCGGTAAGATTGCTGGGTTGTCCCCGATAGTTCGAAGGCTTTTCGAATTCGTTTTCAAAATCTTTGGAATCATATTTGATAAGCCCGTCCTCAATAAGAGGAGCTGAAGTTTGCGTTAGATGGTATCATTTGAGAGTATGGTGTGTAAGGCAGGTGTGGTGTGTAGGAGAGAAAAAGATGTGAAAGCATACAGTATGGTGACAGTTGGCGGGTACATTGCAGGGCGCTTGGCTCCTTGGTAAATGCAATCAACACCAGCGAAAGGGAGATAGAGAAGGCCGCAATGTGAATTATCCAGGTGAGTCTGTGCCTCGGAGGCGCGAGGGATGTCGCTTCCAAAGGGACCTGTTGTTCAATGAATGGTTGGGTAGGGCTACAGCTCTCCTCTGAGGTACGTCCATCTGACTTTTGAAGGACCATGACTGTTGTTCTTGTTTGACGCAGAGAAAGCAGTATGTCTGAGATAAAACGATGGAGAACGGGAAATGCTCCTGGTCCTAGAAGAAAAGCAAGCTGACACTGGTTGGATAACTTCTATGTTTGAGTTTTCTGTAGTTAAACAAGAATAGCAAATAACACTCAGTGATACACGTACTTCTAGCATAGCCAAAGGATCAGATACCCTGGCAAGGTTGAATGTAACGTTACTGCATTTTCCTTCCGGGGTTCGGTGATAATTTGCATCCGATCTCAGATATGATGAGCGGTCTAATGACCAAAACTTCGTAAATGTATAAGCCATGAAAGTATGTAACCCTGTGCTCAATAGTATATAAGTCCTCAAGCTGGCAACTTTGACATTGCCCCATCTGCAAGTGGCACAAACAAAAGCTTTCCAGTCTGTCAGTTATAAGCCTTTTGACAGAGAGTCCCGAGCGAGAATGAAGACCTTCTTGCCCCTTGTTTCGCTTCTGCTGGGCGTAGGGATAACCTCCGCCGCTCCCACCGCAAATGTATGGACAAATGCAACAGCCAGAAACGTGGAGTATAAGCATTAATACGAACAGGTCGCCGCTGAACATGATGTCGCCCCGGAAAGCGCTCACTCATTCAAGATCAACGCCTACAGTCCTCCCCCTGCTGATCGCAAGGTTACGGATGCCCTACACCGCAGAGAGGAGGTGACTCCGGAAGGTGCAAATCTTTTTATCATCCATTCCTATGGTGATCAGCCTTCAGAACGCAAAGTCGATAATGAGTTAGAGCGACAAAACGAGGACAATGCTGACGGCGCACGTATCTTCAATGCTATCGAGTCCTATGGTTCCTGAGTATGTCGAGGCTTGATTATTCTATGCAGCGCGTGGAGGAGACATGATTCCTGTGGCCATTCGTGTATTTTCACCAGTGACTCCCGACGAGATAATATATGCATATCGGGCACGCTACACAGAAAGCATAGTATGATAAAGGCGTAAGGCAGGTGGTTGAGGCCAACTTCCTCTAGCACAAAGCTATTACATACTAGTATATCTATACCTGTATTGATTGTGCGGGAATCGGTTTTATACCGGCTCCGAGGAATACATCTCATGGACAGTAGAAAGAAACGCATAACGATCATAGTCCAATAGCATAGAATTTCAAAAATAGATTAGCGACATACGTACGCTATGCTGTATTCGTGTTCGACTTGCTTTCCACAACAAACTAGTGACCCGAAGATTTAGCCGCCAGTATAAGAGCATCGAGATCCCTCGAAACAAGTCTGCGCCATATCATCGTCTGGGCCCCTGTTGCCGGTTATATCCCTGGGTAGATACCGTCGGGGACTATTCCTCCAAAGCTGCTGTTCACCAGCTTACTCGTTCATTCGCCGCTGGAAGGGGCTCGCGGGTCGGCATGCCGCTCGTTCGAGTCAACGCTCAGTCTCCTGGGTATATTCGCACCTCAGCAACGGCTGAAGTGCTCCAGAAGCCTGACATGGAGGCTCAATGGACTGGTGATTACATGTTGTTCTATCTGAGTACTGTGGACGAATTTCGTTCCCTGGTCTTGTTCACGCTTGGAGACGGCAGTATCTCTAGGACTGGTACGGGTCTGTTCCTGGTGGGCAAACGTGCACCCCGGCTATTACCCCAAAAATAACAATTGATGAATGGTAGAACCCCTGGTAATCAAATACGAGACCGAATATGTTAGAATTCGACCTTGATAGAACGCGGGCCTTCTAATGACATGGCAATTATATTACTACAGGATTTGTAATACTCACTGGATAATGAAACATCAGGTTAATATCCTCGACAGACAGATCATAGTACAAACCTAGTATCCAGTTATAAAGTGATTGTCCGCCCTTCATTGATCGTTGTCGTCATCAGCATTAGACCGTACCAGTTGTGGTGAGAAAGTCAAGTTGCCACTTTTATATCATTGACTGGGTATTGGTACTTCATTCAAATTCCTAAGCAAGCTCAGAGAAAGTGCAATCTTCCCAGAGCTGATTGCTCGCACCATGGATGGTGTAAACCTACCTGAGTATATACGAGGGCCCTAAGTTTACCTCGTTCCTAGGTACGTTTAGGGTGCGTGCACTTCAAAGAGCCATGACCTGATATCCAAACAATCTAAGACCTTTTCTGATATGCCTATAATGAATTAAATGTTCACCTGCTCGTATCACTTCCTGTTCCTGGATATACATTTTTCTTCATTAACGTAGTTCTCCTGTGACTATCGGCTCTCTAAAGTCTGTTGATAATGGATATAGCGTTTCCGCCAGATCTTATCGCCTAAGTTTCCCCGCATTAATTAAACCCCTCGCGGAAATTGACGCTATTGGACTGTCGCTCCAACTATCCCTTCTTGCTCTACATCGGCTGCTCCACCCCCGCATTTATGATGGGGAACTCCAGCGATCGTCGTATCAAATAGCTTATCCACGCTCAGAGGGTGAACAATGTCGCAAAGAACTCAGTGTCATGGTTTGGAACGGCGTGAAGGCTGGCGCGCGGAGCTTTCATACACTACCACTATAAAACCCCAAGGGCGCCATGAGCAGAATTCGTCAAGATGATTAGCTCTTCTGATATTCACTCTAACATTACGTGGAGTGACTCCAACAATCGTCATGACGCCGGAAAGCAGGGATATTGACCCAGCATGGCCACCTGGGACTGTACGCATTGAAGGTATACAGGGGCACCACATGGTTACATGTGCCATTTATGGCCGTTTTGCTAAACATTTCATACAATAGGAGCTTCTGAATGTGACCAGGGATCGAACATTATCCTCCAACCAAAACCAAGTCATGACCCCAACGATCCACTGGTGAGTTTGAGCATCCGCGAGGGCAAGGAAGACCGGCTGACATACAAGAGAATTGGTCCACCTGGCGCAAGCACCTTAACTTTTCCTTGGTTTCCTACTACGTGATCATGGTTTTTGCACTGTAGGTCCTATCCACACCGGTCACACGTTTCAGTCTGTCTCACGGCGCACCCAGAATTGATGTGGCGACGGTAACGTGGGGTCCTGTAAACGCTGAGCTCGGGTTCAGTTTCGAGATCCTGAATGACAGCTACGCAGCAGGATGTGGGGCGCTCTGCATTGGAAGCGTGATTATTATCCCCTTTGCCCTGAAATATGGTCGACGACCGGTATACGTCTTCAGCACTGCCTTCCAGTGTGCTATCAGCGTGTGGACAGCACGGATGATGAACGTCGCGGACTTGATGGTGGTCAATATTCTGAGCTGCGTCGTGGGGGCATTGGCAGAGGTGCTGGTTCAAATGACTGTAGCAGATATCTATTTCGTCCACCAGCGGGGTTTGATGAATGGTATCTACGTCTGGATCATGACAGTAGGAACTAGCCTATCTCCACTGGCCGGCGGGTACATCGTGGACTCACAGGGCTGGCGTTGGGTTTGGTGGTGGATGGTAATCTTATTTGGTGCTGGATTCGTCGCTTTTCTCTTCCTGTATGAAGAAACAAAGTTCGTTGCGACATCGACTGAGGAGGTTGCTCCCTCCATGTCACCAGAAAAGACCCAAAACAGAAAGGGAAGCTTTGAACATCAAGAGAACGTGACAAAAGATGAGGAGAATCCACAGGAGATCAACAAAATTCGAAGCGAGGTCGAATCAGGCAACTGGATCGACACTTCCATTCCAAAGAAAACCTATCTGCAGAGGCTTACACTGTGGACCATCTCACCAAGCTCTCTGGCCAATTTCGCACGTTATAGCTACGAGCCCTTTGTCATGCTTTTCACAATTCCGGCCATATTTTTCATGGCCGTTGTGTATGGAGCCATGACAGCTGCGGTGACTGTTACTGTCACGACGCTTTCATCGTGGATGACCATTCCGCCATATAATTTCACTGCCGCGCAGATTGGCCTGATGGGTCTCCCCTCGTTTATAGGCACGTCCCTGGGGATTCTCCTCGCAGGGCCCTTAAGTGACAGGCTCATTATCCTTTTGGCGCGCAGAAATAATGGGATTTATGAGCCTGAGATGCGTCTTTGGCTATCCTTAGCATTTACTCCCTTCGTACCTGCTGGGCTGATCATGTTTGGAATCGGCTTGGACAAGGGGCTTTCGTGGCCAATTCCTGCTGTAGGACTCGGACTGGCCTCCTTTGGCTCAACACCGCCCAGCAGCATCTCTCTGACGTATCTTACAGATGCCTACACCGATGTAAGTTGCAATCCAAATAATCTCTCTCTGCTTCGACCGCTCACAGGTTAACTTGGACAGATTGTGGCGGGCTCTCTGGTAGGTGTTACCTTCATCCGCAACCTAATCTCGACAGTCTTTGTGTTTGCTCTGGCTCCCTGGATCGCCAGTTCCGGATTGACGGGGTTTTATATTACATTCAGTGTGATTTTAACCGTCATACTTCTTGGCAATATTCTGTTTATCATATACGGGAAGAAACTGCGGGTTCTCGGAGCGAGGAGATATCTGTACTTTGCAGGGAACCAGATCGACCTCCGCGAATAATTATTGATAGGTCTATTGTAGGCTTATGCCAGAAGCGAGCTATAGTGCCAAGAAGAGTTGAGGGCCACTGAAGCATATCGATGATCATTGTTATTGTACTTACCAGCCATTGCTGCGCCTGAGAATAGACGCAGAGAGGCCTGACTGTTAGCATATTATTCCCAATTGGAAACGTTTTATTGTGTTGGTATTGTTGTCAACACTCCATCTTGGTGCATAAAATCGGGGACTGTTGCGTTGCAAGACTCGGGAAGGGATTATGTAGATATCTTCTTCCCTGAAGGTTTCAATAGAACATTCTCCTACAAGAAATGCGGTCACATGGCTGGCATATTAGCGCTCAACTATCCCTCAGCCTAGTATGGTTGATCTGAATGCCAATCGTCATCCAACCGTGTGTATCCAGAGGATATCAGAAGCAGGGAATCGAACCAAATGCCATATGCCAAGCCCGTCGGAAATGTTCTACGTCTCCACATCGCTTAGCTTTGTCGATCGTATCTTTCCTCAGTATAGCCTACAACCGAATTTCCTGACTAGGTTAGCGGGTTGTGAGCCTTGTTGACAAATGATAATAGATCTCCCAGCCGAAACCTTTGATTTCGTTACAGGATAAGATGAGATGGGGGCGGTGTTGCCGGTAGCTGAAGCTTATCTCGAAAGACGTTGCCGCATCGAAATATCCACAGCCCGACTAGAATGAGAATGGGATTCACAGTTTCAACACATCAGTCGGCTGATCATGACGTCTCTCCCTTTCCTGTTACATAGTCCTAAGCCACGTATAGATTATAGACTAGATTGCTGCTGTGGAGAAGAGTCGGAGAGGGTCTTTAACACTCTATAGCTTGTACTAAGCAGCTGTGTAGAAGTGTACTGACTGGAGATGTGTTAGTTGATTATCGGAGACTTACGTTTTGCTCGTCGCATACCCCCATGCAATATTACATCCTTATTGACAATGATGGATCGGGAGATAAAGTACTTAGTTACCGTGCGGCCGTAAGCACAGACTAGCCCTGCGCCCCAGACTGGTGGGTCGAGCTGATTGATCTTGAACAATATGGAGGCCCGAGCCCTGACGCAGGCTTGGGTGGGTGACGTTGAGGAGAGGACAGATCCCCCCAGACATGATATAAAATGCCTGGAGGCCCTCTCTTGGGACCTGGATTCATGTGTATTGGCTTTTTCCTGCATCCCTCGCCCTTCTGTACCTTGCACTTGAAGTAGTCTATCCTTCGCTATATTTTAATATCTGTCCACATACCCAACCTTCCATGACCATGGCTAATCGAGATTACTACGGCAACAACGTCCCCCTCGACTTGGTAGGGGAACAGGAGAGCCGGCAGTTTCTTCATACTCAAACTCGAATCCAGAGTCCAGACGCACAGTCCAATCTTAGCCCAGTATGTTATTCATCTCAACAACTACGACACTCCCACTGGGAAAGTCTAGGAGGCTGATAGAGGATAGTCTTCTAATCAGGATACTCACAATCCTTCTCCCGCTCCAAGCACCACCCAACACACCACCTACGAACAAGACCAAACGCAGTGGCGAGACCCCGCCAGCCCCGAATATGGATCGCACAGCGCGGAGGGAGAAAAAGGGCTGGGATCAACTATCGTCGGCGGCGCGGGGGTATAATTTCCAATCTCCCCTGGACCGCGCTCGTATTTCCAAAATACATCTAACTCATTCAATCCAGGGCGCGTTCGTCGGTCACGAAGTCGGCAAGAAGTCAGAGCATGGTATACTTGGCACGATGGGAGGTGCGATTGCTGGAGCGATTGCTGCGAATATAGCTAGTCATGCGGTCAAAGATCATGGACAGGATCATGGACAAAATCAAGGGTACGGTCAAGGGTACGATCATGGCTACGATCATGGGTGCGGTCATAGGCTTAGAGCTAAACATGGGTGTGGGCTGGGAGGGAGACTTAGAGAGCGGAGAATTGAGAGGTTAGAGAGGAGGTTAGACAGATTGCAATGATTCTGTATAGATCAAGGGAGCCAGGATGCAGCGTGTCGAGTATATTTGTGGGTTCTCTTACCTGTGTTTAGTTATTGAGACTTTAATGAAATCGCGGTCATTATCATCCATCCACTCGAGTATCCGTTCATCTTGACTTCAACCGAGGGAGCTAAGGATACCTGAATCATTATTTATGTGGAGTGAAATCTTTGTGGTCGTGAGCTTTCACCGAGAGTTGTTTGGCTGTCAACTCGGGGCATGCTATGCAGACATGGATTGGCAAGTCAACTACATGACGAGACGAATAATAATACAATACCATGACATCGAATTTACTCTGTAGGATTAGACGCTATTTGAACGAACCGAAGCCCGTGAGCCACTACCCACTGCATGTTATTCTTATCGTGGTTAATACCATGCGCATACCTTGTGGCAATCCCCCCCCCCCCCAAGGATAGGCATCATAGACAGGCTAGAATAGTGAAGCTCGGCTGGGTCATTCACACGCGTCGAGGGAAAGGCTGTAGGTAATAATTATCGGCCCTGCCTGCTCGGTTTGTCTCCCGCAGATGTCCGACATTGGCTTTGCGTACAGATGAAGCCGGATAACCTTTTTGTCTAGGCTATCACATCGTCCGTCTGCACATGGCGAAGTCGAGGGGATTGAAGGCGCCAAAAGGTCTGACGCAGAAGGTCCGCTTCCTACATATGATAGTTACAAATTATGTGACGTGGTAGAGGCGGAACTTCATTGGGAACCAAATCGGCCCCAGCACAACAGACTTCAGCATTTGATTTCCACCAGTGGCGGTGATGAGACCGTGATTGAAAGGTGAGCGTGTGCTTTGATGTTCAAATGAATAGTACTCCAGACATGAGTGAGGAATAGTCCCTCGCTGACAAGAGTATTCATAGCTCGGCCTTTAACATTCACTCTGAATTCAAATAAGCAATCAGACTGGAAGATTACATAATGTACACCATCGCTATTGCTCAACTATCCCCTTGCCAGTTGTGCTTGAGCCAAACACACTGTGTGATTATGTTCATCGCTCTTTCCTAGAATGAAGTACTAGCATAACATCTGCTCATCTTTCTGGAAAACCCTTCTCACATTACCCTCACCATCCATTGTACCCAAGATGTGATCCAATTACGAGTCTCGGATAGGGCCATAGACCTTTGAAAGGTCGTATATCCATAGCATACAGCAACATGACTATGGAAGATGTGGAAAGGTATTTCAGAATACCGAAGACATCGCCATCCGGGAAATCCCAATTCCCCCAGCGCTAGGTAAGCTATTCTGTCTGGGATGATATGAAGGACATATTGATTGACCATCCGAGTAGCCGAGGGCCTTAAGCATCCAGACACAGTGACCAATGGGAGCCTCGAGAATGAAGCGCTTGCAAGGGTGCGGATTAACCTCATCCTACAAACCCTATAAGTCGTTCTAAGAGAACGGACGTCTCCCCACTCCTCCATCAAGCCCTAACTATGCACCTAGGGTTCGAGACCTCAATGGCTTTTACCCAAACGCAAGACCGCACTTTAAATGGAGAGTCGGGTTACACAATTTGGTATTCCAAGCACAAGGACACGGAAAATCAAGTAATAATCGTGGAGGCGAAGAAGGCGAGGAATGTTACTTGTGGATTTCCACAATTATTGGGATACATGGGTAAGCATTTCCAGCTGTTAATATATGTATATATCATGAAGCTGCTACTATTCTAACATTAGGTAGGTGCTGTGCACCACTCGCAGCGAAACGCGAACAAGTCCAATATCTCCGTTTTGGGCGTCCTCACAGACGCATTTCAGTGGGACTTTGTTCGTCTACATCATGACAGCAGAGTAAGGAATTACCTACTTGATGGGTGATTATCAATTGTTTACTGATACACTACAGTATTCTTTAATCACGCTTCGATCGATTCAGGCCAATCCCAGCAAATCTAGGATATTTTGAACTGGATGGTGGTTTATGCAGAGGTTCAGTCGCCCCGGGGTTCAGATTATTCATGAACAATGGCCTCAGTACAATTACGTTCATAGGAACAAGTTTTTGGAGTGATTCCTATAGCTTCAACGTGAGCTGCAGAATAGCAAAGCCGTTAGGAGAAAGGTCAATTGGGCCACAGCTCCCGACAATGGTTCTGTCCGATATTTCCCCTCCACATCTGACGCCACCGGGGTCGCCTCAAACAGCACCAAGCACAGTGCTGAATTCCAGTGGTCACTTATCTGATCCTCATGAATCGATACTAGATACACCTCCAACTACGCGGTCACAAATCAACGCCACCATGCCGATCGGGCACGGTTCGCTATCAAGTGTACAAGCGCAAGAGGATGCGACTGCTCTTGCACATTCTGAAGGCGACCACAGAGTAGAACCGACACCAATTGCGGAGAAACACTCTTATGCATTCCAGCAAAAGCCCCCAGCGCCTAGAGGTCGCAAGTCGCGATTTGCTACGCTCTCAGGTGAGGTCGAGGCATCACTCTTGCTCATATACCGGGAGCTTGAGTCGGCTACCTCGCTCAAACGGCAACTGGAACAATTGTAGAAGGAGAATTCGGGATATCTGCAAATGATCAAGACCTGCGATCAGGATGTGATGGCTCTGCGCAGAGACATTGGCAATCCGCACATCTCGTATGAGGAGCTGGAGAGCGTGAAAGCCAAGACTGATGAACATCACACGATATTGCAAGGGTTGAACGACGTTCGAGCTGAGAATGTAACTCTCGCAGAGGATCTAAATGCCGCAATGGAGGAGGCGGCAAAGACTAATACAACTTCAGACGAATGGATGGGAAAGATGGTAAGGCTCATTCAAGACTAACATATCTCTAAGCCAACGGAGTCTCTATGCGCTGTACCTAATAGAGGCCCCTATGAATGATGTAGAACTCTATTGGCCACCAAGCTTCTCGTTGCACAGCTGCTGCGCGCAAATGACAGGAAATGCTATTCCGTAGTTCAGTCCCAACTATATGATTATGACGAGACTCGGGTTTTCCATGTTTCCCATGCCTTTCGACGAGCGAGACAATCTAGTTCTAAACTGAGAAGCGATAGGTCCGATACGTTATATGATATTTAGACGTTGATAAAACCTGGGCGTCACGTCAGAGAACTAGCAATTTAGGAAGGCAATGTAGGAAACAGAATGTCCAAGCTAGTTTGGCTCTCCCCAAAGCAAGCTCACGTCACTTTCCTCGCACCACTCAGGGAACCCGGCTTGCTTTCTTGGATTGGGATCATCAGGATCAGGTTTAATTACGGGGCAACAGTGGTAGTCGGTGTTGATTGTGAGATCAAACTGGGCCAGATATTTGGCTAGAACGGTATCTTTTGCCAGTCTCGTGCGGCTCCTGACTTTGCTCATGAGCAACGGGTCTACCCAACATAAGAAAGGTAGAAGGCCAGGTGAAAAGGCCCCAATGTCTACCCAATATTGCACATTGTCCATGCGGATATAATCTCGGTTGGGCATCCACTTAGCGTGGGTATCGATCATTCCATGATGATGACTATAGGGCCTATCGGGGTTTTCAGGGTTCCAGAAACGCACAATCGAATTTGGAGGCTGCTGAAGAAGTATACGCCGCCAGCTCACCTCGGGCCGCAGGTATGCCTCTTCTGTCTTTTCTGATGATATATAGGGAATTTCACGGAGTCCTCCGCATAGCCAACCACCCACTCTTGGACGTGAGTAGAGTTGTGTGCGAATAAACTCAACCCATATTTTTTCAACCACGAGTGGATTTTTGACTCTTGGCTGCCCTGGCGCTACCGTATCCGAAGGAATATAGAACAGTGCCCGTTGTATCTTGCGGGGGCTTTTGATCAGGCTATTCCATGTGCAACAGACTCGAGCTGAAATAAGCAATGTGTGCATGTCTAAACTCAGTAGGATGGCTTCCAGGATCTCAGGGGTGAAAAATATTCTGGATGCATCGGACAGGCGTTGGGCCATGTGTTCAGGAAGCATGGAGCGCCTGCTTCTCTCCAACGAAAACATCACCGCTGGATCCAACATGGTGGCTCAGACTGGGGAGCTCGGATGCGTTTGGGAAATGAGTTCTTGTTCACGGACTTTAGGAAATTGGAAATTCTGGACAAGCTCGGTGAAAGATGAGTTACCCAAGTATCGTGTCAACATAACATCATCACCTTGGGAGCTCAGTTGCGTCACCGCCGCCCGTTAAGAATGAGAGCTGGAGGTGATCATGAGTGAACGGTGTGCATACGCATCCTTCGTTTGTGAATCGACATTGAGGAAGTCCAGAATCATCTAGCCGATAGTCGCCTACTACCTCGGATCCGGTGCCTGCGTTGGAGCGTGAATGTTCTATAAAAGCTGCCAACCAACCAGCTACTTACAGACCCATACATAATCAGTCCGTCATAGGGTTGCATCGATTTACCATTTTGGAGCCGTCCTCACCGACTCTCAGTGTGGCCTGAATTACCATCGCACACTGCAGTAATAGCAGTTGATGCCATGGCGGGTTAAGAGCGCGGTTTCCCAGGTTTCCCGATGGATCTTGATCAGATGTCAGAAATCTCATACAAGTATGGCTAGTATACACATGATTCTATCTGCAATCCAGCTCCAGTTTTGGACACGGTTGCCACCTCAACAAGGTGCGCCCCAATCCGCTTTTCCGGCAGAGCTCAGGAGCTGCCAATATATGCCAATTTCACCCGGACTTCATAGGCGTCATATGGTCTCAACACAATGACCTACTCTACTTGAGTGGCATTTATGCATCCCTATTATGCTTAGAGTTCCCTGATCGGCCCAGTATAGATATGTCTGGCACGTGCAAAGTAGTATCCGACGGCAAGAAAGCTGCTTCCCCCTGTACCGAGCACGCTCCAGTTCATACTCCTGACGCTCGGGTGCATCTCAGAGGGCCAAACACTGAAAAGACGACAATCATAATGTACACGATTGCAAACGCGTTAATCGCGATACCCCAGACACCCGGGCATTGGAATGGTCCCCAGGCAAGTTTCGCACCGGGCGCATTGACAACGTCGTCACCACTATGGTTATATAGGGAGATATCACCCCTGATACACCGGTAGAGAAGGAGAATTAAAACCATAAGATAGAAGAGATACAAGGCAGATACTGCCATTGACACAATAGCATCTAGGGCAACAGAGGAACCAATATTAATGAGAGCTAACATCGCACTGACAACGACTGTAAGAATAATAGACTGGACTGGTAGCTCCTGGAACGAGGAAATCTTGAAGAAGTGACATTAGCTGACCGAGCAGTGCAGCAAAGGAATTCCTCTTACCTGACTCCACCAACGCCAACCCGGAACTCCCCTGTCTCGGGAGAAGGACCAAAGCTGACGAGATACCGCCGCGAGCAGACCCATAAGCGAGCAGCAGTATATGATGATTAGAATAGAGCACATAAATAGTGAGCCAGGCAGTGAGCTCGTAGCCTTATAGATTATCTCCATAAAAGGGGACCCAGTAGTAGAGCTCAACACACCCTTAAGGTTACCAGCACAAAAGAGAATGGCAATCAGCATACCGAAGCCGAGACAACCATTCAGTAGAACACTAAATATTAAAGCATGCGGGATAATGCGTGATACATTTGCAACTTCTTCAGACATCTATTGGAAGAACTTAATACACATCACATCATCCTATAGCAAGCCAACAACTTACATGGACAGCGGCATCACCTCCAACGAAGCCAAACGCACAGCTAGTCATACCAACGAACCAAGATAATGCCTGTGTGCTAAATCCCCCGCTATTGAAAAATTGTAAGAATACTTCTTCCTTTGGCTTATGGTCCGAGAGGCAGATTAATAGGATCATAATGCTGAAAAATCCAAGGATATATACAACCAAAAGGACAGACCCAATGCGAGGCAGGAGTTTCCCACCCACCAGGTTCACTAGCAATGCGCATATTAGTGTCGCCCAAACAACCAGAGTACCTTGCCAAGATAATAATTTATAGAGACTGTTTCCCAGGATCACGGCGTCCTGGATCATTGTTCCGGTCATAAAGACACACACTGCAAGGGCAGTCTGCCAACCAAGAACAGCCCACCAACCTAATATTATCGGGTCTCAGCAAAGGTCAATAATAGTAAGGACATAGAGAGTACCTGTGATATAGCTGAGGAACTTCTGGTATCTGATTAGGGCAAGCATAGCAGCCCAGTGATATTGCCCTCCGGCAGTGGGTGCCCTCTTTTATGATTAGCTTCAGGATCCAATCCAGTTGGGACGAACGACATGCATCGATATCAATTCCGACAAAACCACAAAAATCGCTGTAGTGCCCACCCATGCAAAAACGAAGGCATAGACAGTCCCACCAGGCCCGCCACTGATATGTTAGCATTCTCTTTGCAGAACACTAGGCTCCAGCACGGGAGTACAAACTTCTCTAGAGGCCTAATAAAGGTGCTAGATAAACTTTTAGTGCTAGAGGACTTTGCAAATTGAATCCCACTGCAAGCTCACCCAAGCAGACCTTCCCAAGTACCGAGAAGAGTACAGCTGGAACCAAAGATTGAGACAATGCCGAAGTTTTCGCTAAGAAAGTGCGGTATAAGTCCTCTGGAGCTGTGCTATTGGTGAGTCTATGATTACTGTTGCTTACCTTAAGAAGTGATTTCTTTCCCATTTGTTGAAGACGCCGATTATCCTGTTCTTGGAGGGGCGTACTACCCGCACTGGTGATAGAAGCATGGTTCTTTGGCTCATATGTCGCCATAATGTTAATATTAATCATAATAACAAGAATAATAAATACAATAAAAGAAAATGAACAGGGGAGATAGAGCGAAGGAGTGATTTAGACGTCGTTGAGTGAATGAAGAGAGTTCGAAAAGGAAGGGTTGTAATGGGGTAGAACGTCGTTGGAAGGAACCCCTTGCTGAGATCGACATTTACCTCCCCTTACATGGTGTGCACCTCAAATGACAAGGGCTGGGAAAAGAGTGGGATCGTATATTTCCTTCTAGGAGGAGATTACATCTGTCCTCTATATCGTCTACGCCATAAGTTTGTCCAGTGGTCTTGATCTATCCAGACAATGTAAGATTTTTTAATCGTGTCCCGTCATAATATCATGTAATCCAGTCAAAACAAAATATTACATTTCTCAAAGTGTATTAGAAGAAGATAGATTAAAACTCCCCAGGCAGTCAAAGCAGAAGCGCGTGCATCAACTATTTCCTGCCAACACCAAGGACCGCGACGCCTTTGCATACATTGCCATTCTCCTGGAGGATCTTCACATACTCTTCACGAACATGACCTTGCTCTTCAGCGGTCAGGTCACTTAAGACCATCTTGCTACCGGGGTTGGAACTTGTGCACATCATCTCGGCAAACTTGTTATGGTCTTCAACAGCCCAATCGAACTCGACGTACTCGGTATGCACGTCGTGGAAACCAGCAGCTTCTAGCTCTCCCTTTACTCCCACAACGTCTTTCCAATGCGCGGGGATTATATTGCTCCCTCTGGGTTGGGTTGACTTTCAACAGCTTGTCAGATAACTGGTGCAACAAGAAGCAAATGATATGTGACATCTTACGTTATTATCCTTCCCGACGGGTCGCACCTTGTCGGCCGCTTGCACCAGGAGTTCCATCCATTCAACCTTTGCCCAACTTGTACATGCAAAGACGCATCCGGATTGCAGTGCCCGATGAGCCTCTCTCAGTCCCTTCCTTGGGTCCGGGAGCATGAAGTAGACAAGGCTCCCCATGATATGGGAAACGCTATTCGCGGGAAATTCAGACAGATCCTGTGCATCCATTACGAACGTCTCGAGTCGGCCCCAGCAATATGCAGCGTCGCCTCCGGCTATTATCTTCGAGTCTTTCTTAGCTCTGGTCGCTGCCACCATGCCTGCGGAGTAGTCCGTCGCGACCAGTCGAGTTTCTGGTGGAATATTGTTGCCGTAGTTATCGATCAGCAAACTAATCGCAGTGCCGGGACCACACCCAATGTCCAAGATTGTTGTGGCTGATGCAAAGCTGAGGGTGTTCTGCAAGGCATCAATCATGCGCTTACAGGGAATCAACAGTGGCCCTTCGAGGGGGACTTTGGAATATTCGGACGCAGTGCAGTCCCAATCAGACGACTTGATATCACCAATCTGCATTGTGCAAGGGGAGAATGAATTCAATACCTAGTATGGGAAAGACGAAAACAGTAGGATATAAGTGCAGCTTGTTTGTAACCTTTGAATAGATTGATACAACAAAACAGAGTTCTGCTTAACGACGAAGGTGTCTTGGTGCTCGTATTTATATCCAGAAGTACTATAAGCCACCAAGTTACCCACTCGGAGCCTTTCGCGGAGACTTTTCCAAAAAGGATCGCTTTCCCTGTCCTAGATTCCTAAAATACGTTCGCCACAAAATTAGTCCGTATCTTGTTCGGATGTGGAGCCAAGAGAGGATAACTGTCGTTACTTAACCTGACTGGATACACTGATGACTATACATCTGCCCTCGAAGATGGTCGCCGCAGAATCCTATGTTCCTTCGTGTAGCCACTCCGGTTTCCTCTCCATGTCCAGGAATCTATTCAAAACAACGGATTATATATTCCGCCTTGCTACACTGACCCTCTAAGTAGGATTGTAGGTTTGCAAATTATGCAATCCTCTCTTAGCAGAGAGACGGGAAGGAGTGGATAGTTTCAGGTCGACCATGGCCAAACAAACCAGATACACATAATTTAACTCGGGCAGAGGGTCAGAGATTTAGTCGGGAAGTTGCAGGATTAGCAGAGGGTGTCTGGTGGTGTTGAAGAGAAGTAGATAGTAAGTATACAACTTATGTTCAGCAACCATATTACACATCACACGAGACGATTCTCATCTCCTTTTTTCTCTTTTTTTTCCACTACTAGACGAACCAGGCGTTCGTGCGCTGGAGACCCTATGGTAGCTCTGACTATAAACGGCTCACCTGAAACGAAATGGCCTAATTTCTCGTCATCAAGCTCGCCGGCTGGGGACTAATTGAAGCAGTACGGTAATCGTGACAATGCCACGAAGAATTCCTTCTTGGGCAATTTATAGTATGACCTCCTCCCTCCGTTGAAGACAAAAAGCTGCCAGAGACCCTGCTCAATACCACTTCCACCCACGTTAGCTTTCATTGCGGAGAGCGGCTTGCTACGTTGTATACCCCCACCATTATGTAAAGCGTACGATAGTTTATTACTCACTAAGGGGCTAAGTATATTACTTTATCCACAATTTATGCAATCAGGCAACATAGAATCTTGAAAGCCGGACACTCTTGAATGCTGCCCATCAAGTAAACATGGTAACACTTCGATGCGCAAATTAGGACCCGTCCTGCTGACGATCCTGCTAGATATTACGCAAATCATCATACATGGATCATGCAACAGCAACGTGGGATATTTGCTTGCGGAGATATGTCTCCTGGATAGGACAGCCGTGGTGGTCGGCCACCTCCCAATCCCCAATACCGCGCTCTTTGGGCGCGATTTTCACACCTCTACCCCCGCCACCAATAATCAAATTTCCGGGTCGATACTCGGGGTTGAACCGCAGACGGTTGATTGCCGACACGTGGATCTTTGCATCGCTAGGGATATCACGCACTTCACCGCGAGGAAGGGGCCAGCGAATGGGCTTCCAGGAACCATCCTCTTGTAAGTCCATGCGCCGGAAGGGTATATACTCCATTACTTTCCAAGACAAGACCGAGGTCCATGGAAGCCCTTTCCGGAATTGAAGGCAATCATGAATCTTTCCGTCCGTGCTCGATCTGCGAAGGGCGTGTTCAAAATGAGAAATGCCAGCCTTTTCATCTGTGCTACCCGGTGCAATCACAATCGGTTGAGGATTGCTCATGTGGTTCTCTGGGGACGCCGTGTCCTGCTCTCGGCCCTGGGCCAGACAGCCTGGATCATGCCAGCAGTTAAAGGCCTTCCGCTTCTTGACGCTGAACTTTACACCTGCCTCCTGCGCCTTTTCTACCATCCAGACGAGTGGGGCGTGACTTAAAGCATATCCTTCGCCATCCTCCAATTCCCACCCTCCTCCGATGTCCGCGTGGCATCCGGGGAACCACACCTCTTCAATGTCCTGCTCTTCATCCTCCTCGGATTCCAATGACAGGGAAGAATGGCTCGCCGCAGCGCTCGGTAAAGACCGCGCTGAGTGATCGTCTCGAAGATGACGTGCCGGCGGCCGATACGCCTTATGGGTCCTGGTCTTCGCCGGGGTTCCAGCGGCACCCTTGAGCTGCTCTTTCTCGTGGTGATGGCGGTGGTGAGCAGGATCGTGTGGGAGATACAAGTGATGCCGTGCAAGATGATCTCGCACCTGTTGTCGTCGGGAGGTCGGGCCTGTTGGTGTGGACGGTTTCACTTCTCCGATCAGGTCCTGCCGGAACTTCGCCCGGCGCTCGTCAATACTGACAGCATGCCGAATTACCCTGGCTCTGGTGCGAGCAGTATAAGGGAACCTGCTGCGCTGCATCCACGCATTCTCAAATCGTGGCACGCTATTGACCGTATCAAAGAGACCTAGGAAGCGAATCTGAGACACAGGCCGGCTAAACGTTTCTCGAAACGCCTCCATGTATTTGGCTAATCTTGCCTTTTCTTCCGTATTGCCTCGGCGTTGCTGCCATTTGGCGAATGTCTTCCAAGCAAACCGGAGGAGCTCTTCATTACCTGCCTCGAGAAGGCCGATCTCATCCAGCATTTCCGCGAGAAATCGTGCGACATATGCCCCCCGACTAAACCCAAAAAAGTAGATATCGTCTCCCGGCGTGTAGTATCGCATCAGGAACTTGTAGCCTCCCATGACATGTTCCGCCAGGGTTGAGCCTATCGCAGCGTCTTTTGCTTTGAGATAGGCCGACCGGATTCTGTGGATGCGACCGGAACTGGACAGCGAGGTCGAAGTCACATATGTCCCAATTCCAGGCTGATAATAATGGAACTGATCCCCACCACTACGATCAAGCATCTAGTCCCGGTCAATCCAGTCCGGCCATCGGGCGCACGCAACTTACTCTGAAAATTTTGAGCACGTTGCTATCAGATTCATTACCGGAGAACTTGTTGCCCGTGCCGTCAAAGCACAACACAAACTGCCTTGGTGCTCGATTAGTCTGCATGATCTCGAGATGATGAATGAACTACTGGATTACGATGCAGAGTGAAGAGTATACCCTCGAGCTACGACGGAATCTAACCTTGAAAGTTATGCAATGGGCCTTTTAGCTTCCACAGCACTGTCCCGCAAGTCGATCCTTTCGGTAAGTATGGAACCGCGCATTGCTTGATGCGGTCAACAAACTATGCTCAGTCTGGTCCACGAAACAGTTCCGTTAAAATAGTCATATAAGCTCTGAATCGTGATACACAATCGGGTTGTTCAATTGGAGGCCCGAGAAGTCTAATGTCATACTTCCGCACGTTTCCCATGTCGTGATGTCATTGCCATTGAAGCTGAACTGCGTCGCGTGGGCTCGAGCCCGGCATCCCATCTTGCTCGATAGCAGTTTCCTTCACGCTCCTCAACCCATGGCCGTACATAGTGGCATATACTGTGCTATAGCCTATTATCCTTAGACGGTACTCGTTGGCGATCAAAGTAATAGTGATCAAAAAGTGAGCCGTACCAGTCTTTAGCTTCCAGAATTTTGGGCTCAGATGATGTCATCGACTAGCATATCTAAAGCTCTATTGAAGGTTAGCAATTATCCTGTGGCGTCGAGTCATCTTACTCGCATCTATCCAAGCCCTCTAACTTAGACGGCCTTGCGGGACAACCTTCACACGCTGCTTACTATGGTAGACTGTGCTTAGCGGGTGCATAGTGACCGTACCTTAAGATCTCCATGTGAAGGTAACTTCGCAGATAAATTCCCCAACACGTTACTAATCACCCATTGTAGACACCGTCTGCTAGCAGTGCGGTGGATAATGATGCTATTCCTATTTGTAATGATGTGTAGCAGACTGAGGTTAGCTCATATGCAACGCTTCGTCGAGCATCTCATTTCATCACGACCTCAGGGAGCCAACCATATGATATTAGGTCGAGTAAAATCAATTTTCAAGGGGAATATACGGTCCATGAGAGGAACATGTAATATAAATACACTGATTTGCACTAGATTATCCTATCTTCCCCCTCTCAATGCTGGTCATCAGGTTCGTGGCTATCTTTCTCGTCGTTCGATCCGACGCCGTAACGGTGGTGATCCATTCGAACCGTTTCTTCCAGAATGCCCATCGCTCCTTTGACCAACCTTCGGGTCCGGTCCATTTATCCCAAGCTAGAATCTTCTGGCCCAAGGAACCGGCTTTTCATATACTCAATCCACACCGCCGCAGCGGGCACAACCCCATTCAGCGTCCTGATATGGATCACCTCCAGCTCCTCATCGCGCAGCTTTTTGCACCACCAGGCTTCCTTAACGTCTTCGATATAGGCTTGAATGCGCGGATGATGGAAGTTCTCCCATGGAGTCGACTCTAGGGTCTCTCTCAACATCTGCGACCCAAAGCCAATGAAAATACCAAACTTATTCGGCCGACAAATCTGCAGGTAGAGCTTGGCCGTGAACAGGTTCGCATTGACGAAGCCGCGCCACTCCTGGTCGCGCGTCATTTCGTTGAAGGAGTGATCGGCGTCTGTTGCTATTTAGGGTCTGTTTGGGGATTTTAGTGGCATTATTGAATAAATCACCCACGGTTGAAAGTAATCTCAGTCAAGTGCATAGCAAGCCCGTCCAATTCGTGCATCTCCCCATCATAATTGGGCAGTTGGTGTACTGCAACGGTGGGGTCCACGAGTCGTTCGTTTTGTTCTGGAAATCGCTCGACTGCCGCCATGAGGACAGACCAGAGGTCGCCATACTCTGGGATGGAGTTCGCTTCCGTGATCGCGCAGCAGAGGGCTATCCTGGCTACTTCCACAGGTGACACGGAGGAGTCGGTCAAGAGCAATCGAAAAGCAGTGAGCGTGTCTTCGCGGGGCGGTTATTTATGTGCTGCCTGCTCGGTGGAGAACGCTTCGTAGTGGGGATTGATCAGCATGGTGGTGACAGCCGTGTCTACAGGTGTACTCGGTTTATACTGCTCACTGCTGGAGCGACATTCCAGGGCTTCTTCGTGTGTGAGTCAGTGAAGTCGGCATTGTTTATCCTTGCAAGAATTTGTTCTAGCTTATTAATAGGGGCTGGTTTTGGCTTTTTGCGCGGTTCTCCTATGCCGTAAGCGTGGTGTTTTGAAGTTATTTGGCTACATCAGGACATATCCCTGATTTACGCAGTTCTCGGTTAATTGTTTCCAAAGGCTAAAGTCCTTTCCAAAGATTGGTCCTCTCGTTGAATAAAGCTAGCCGATTCTTATCTATTACTGGCTTGTGAGAAAGAAACAAGATCGCTCCTCCTGTATCATATATGAATGGCCCTCGATACCAACCTGCACCATCTATTGTTGCTAACCTGTAGATGCAGTTCTATGAACATCAAATACTATTCTATGCAATGAGACAGCCCCTTGTCACGATTTGAACTGAAAAGCCTGACCATCTATCCGCCTTGAAGCTCGCATCTGGAGTTTCGCGCGCCCCAATTGCCTCTCGCGAGGTACCAGGCTGAGCTGATCAAGCTTGACGCTTCTGCTTACCACACTTTTTCAAACACTCCTCCACCTTGATGGCCATGGTCGTCGGAATCGCATTCCTCACGGTCTCGATATCTTCACCGGCAATGCTCTGTCCAAAAGTGGCAGCAATCACATCATCGCTTAGTGAAAACGTCTCTGCGGCGACCAGGCCCACAGCAAACTCATCGGACGTGAATGTTGCCGCAAAATTAGCAGGCTCACAGTCCGGGTTCACCTGCGTGTGAAACGAACCGGCCGGATAGATGGTCACCATGCCAGGGCCGAGTTCCACGCGGATGACTCGTTGCTTGCCCTCAGAGTCCAGGACACCCGCCTCTGGTACCATTTCGGACAGCACATGCCCTGACGTAAGGGCAAAGAGCTCGGTGGCACGAGGGTGGAGGTGGAGGAAGCTCATGCTGCATGCTGTAGACGGGGATTAGTGCAATCTCAGAACCAGAGCAAGTATCCCGGAAAATACCTGGCAATTCCCCGATACTAAAGGCGGCACCAGTGCCAACAAGGGCAGGAAAATTCTGGCTAGTGGCAACCGGGACCTCACTGGCCGTGAAATTGAAAACAAAGTCTTCATCTTTTGGGAGGAGCTGGTAACGTTCAATGGCACTAAACAATCAGGTCATCTGGTTTGCGTCACGGGGTGTATGTGTAGAAACTTACGTGTCAGCAAGTCGCAATTGAGCGGTCAAGCTGAGTTCAGACGTTGAGCGCTTGCTGATAGGATGAGGTGCTGCGCTCGCCGGAAGGGCAAGGGCGAGCATCACCGCGACAACGGAGCGCAGAGCGGACGTAGCAAGCATGATGACTGTTGGAGTCGAATAGGAAGATTTGGCGTGCTTTGGACGTAGTAGGATATACTGAAAGTGTTGCTCAACTGATGTGTTTGTGTACTGAACGATCAAGAGCGGAGGGCAGCTGGGGCCTTATATATCGATCGATATATGGATCTTTCTGTGTTGGTCCATCATCACAGAACTCAACAGCCAGCACGTATTCCAAATACCGTTCTTCAGCCCAATTCATCTCTTGCGTACTAATGGGTGCCAAGTGAGAGTTCTATACATGGGAATTCCATATACGCACAGCACAGCCATCGTCAGCCTTACTCACGCCCCCCGGCGTATATGACGTTCTCCTATTGGTTGTGATTGTAATGGGCACCGCAGCTCGAGCGTATTAATAATACGACCCAATTCTCAGTCCCATAAGTGAGTGGATCCACACCTTCCCGAGCGTATCTCCACAATCCCGTATGTAGTTGTAGCATCATCCAAGGCAGTGTAACTCCTACAACACATGGATCTGAACTATTCGGTAACACGTTGTAGCTTCAATACTGGTCTCGCTCAGCGCAGCCACGGCCAAGCATGACGTGAGCTGCTAGTGCTTCAATATCTTGGAAAAGCACCCAGCTTAGTCCAACGGGCACGAATATATATTTACCAAGGATGGGCGAGACAGGACAGCTTTCCCCTGCCATAAGCAGTCTCATAAACCTCCCAAGAGCTGATTAGAATAATTGACAGCCAAGATCAAGATCAATATGGTCAGCTATCTCCAACACTTTGTGCTCCTGGTCTTCGGAGCTCAGCTGGCCACCGGGCAAGCTGTGTCAACTGCTGCGGCACATTCGACAGGATGGAATTCCAGTTTTGAGCTCAGCCCCGAGCAGCTCAAGCTGGCCAACCTGACAAGTGATATGGGCGCCATCATCAACACTATTACCAACTTTGACCGGTCCCTACCTGCAAACGGTGGAGCACATGAGGATGACTTTTACAATGTCCAGAGCCTGCCCAAGGACCAGTGGCCCAAAGAGCCGGGGAAGACGGTCAAGCTCCAAGAGCTCACGGACCCGTCTCCATTCTCCATTCCTGCAAAGACAGCCATGTCCCGCATCATCTATAGCACGACCAATGCGAACGGTACTCTGGTCCCTGCCTCCGCCTATATCCTCTGGCCGTATCGACCGAAAATACCTCGAGGCATAAACCACACCTCTGCGTCTACCGCGCCCGTTGTGCTGTGGACCCATGGAACCTCAGGTTTCTATGCCAATGGAGCTCCCTCGACACACCGTGGCCTTTTCTACGCGGACATCGTGCCATTCGCATTGGCTGAGGCTGGGTACGCGGTTGTTGCCCCGGACTATGCGGGGCTTGGTGTGGACGACTCCTGGGATGGGAGTCACATCCCACACCAGTACTTTGTTCGCGAAGCTGGTGCTCGCGATGCCCTTAACGCTTTGAGAGCGGCTCGGGAGTCTTTGCCCACGCGACTTTCAAGCGACTACGTGGTCATGGGTCACAGCCAGGGCGGTGCGGTTGCTTGGGGCCTATCTGAAATCCTTGGTCGGAAAGATCCCAAGTTCGAGGATGTGACGAAGGGTTATCGCGGTGCTGTTCTTGCTGCGCCACCAACTGACGCATTGTCATTGACCTCCCCAGGCTTTCTAGCGTGGATTGCCAAGGACCTTGACCACATCTACCCATCCTTCAACCTCAGTGACTGGTTCACTCCGCTTGGTACGAGCAGAATACAGCTTCTGAACCAGGTCGAGGGATCCCAAATGGTCACATTTGCCATGTTCCACCCCGAAGAGTTGATTCTGCAGCCTGATTGGCACGAGACGTGGTATACTCAAGCTTTCGAACAACTCGCCAACCCCGGGAAGCGACCTTTCCAAGGACCGCTTCTTCTCATCCAAGGCACAGCAGACCTAACAGTGCCGTACAACACGACCAAGGCCACCGTGCAGGAGACATGTGAGATCTACCCTGGGGATCTGGAGCTTTTGGCTGTTCCGCAAGGGAGTCATTTCTCCGCCATCAACGCCGCAAAGCAGACCTGGCTGCGGTGGATTGAAGATCGATTCGAGCAGCGACCTGTGGCCAGGCGGGGTTACGTCGAGTCCCAGTTAGACAGCTTCTTGCCTCTGGAGCATTATCAAGCGCTTCCAAACTCTTTCCCGCTGTGGGCTGGGGATTCCCAATGGTCTTATGAGCTACCGACAGCATTGTAATATTCAACTGTAAGGGAGAGAACAGCGGCACCTGGATGGGATTTATTAGGCGTGGAAATCCTTTAGCTTAGCCCCTTGAATGTGTGTATTGTTACCATATTCACCCATGCCAGCAAACTAGTCTTCAACGAACTACACACAATACAATAGATATAACCCCCTTTACTGTGCGCAGATATGAGGTTGACAGATATTATTCATATAACATACATGCACACAACCCTTGTCTAGAATCTAACTGGAATAATTCCTGTATAGATGGCATTGGCTCTATTGCTGATTGGAGATTGGTAAACGTCTCACATGGGTATAGAATTATTGGCTTAAGTGGTCTGGGATGGAACCGTGATTTAATAAATGATCACTGCTGGACATTGGACGTGAGCTCCCGCTTAACCAAGTACATACTCTCAGGCCACCACGTTTCTCCAGTATCTACCGACCAGCCCAGCAGATTCTGAGTCTTCATCCAGGACATAATCTGACTTAGCTCCCACTGTCCAATATCACCAATCCACCACACCCCATCCAACAACATGACAAGAACCAGCCAATGAGCAAAGATATCCATAGCGAGTAAGTGCGTCGCACTGAGCGACGGTACCTCAGCTCCGGGCGAATCCTGTATCATCCAACGCTGAGCGCTTGCCTCCACGGAGGGAGAGTCGAGCACCAACCGGACGAGATTCAGAAAATCAGCTGGTGCTTTATTCAAAAACGACATGATGATCCGTCGCAGTACCCGTGGCGATTCCATTGAGGTCACACTGATCATGTATCTGGCTACCCACGGTGAGACTCTAGAGAATCCAGCAGATGATAGCGCCTGATTGCTGGGCACCTCGACGCCTTCCTTGCCTTCTCTTGTCGATAGAGCCAGGAATGCACATTGTTCCAGCACCGACACGGTTTCCAACGATACGTCGAGTTGTAGATCATTGCAAGCAGAAGGCTCTGATCGCTTTAAATGGGCCGCTGTAGATTCCGCTCTCCGGCGTAGGCCCTCAAAAGCTCGAGTATATGTAGATGCAACTAGAGGGAGAAATAGACGTTTCGTAGTGTGTGATGGGCCATCCTGCGGTGATAAGACAGCGGTGCTACCGAAGACCGGGGTCGGTACATTTGGTGCAGTATCTATAGCCGGGCTGGAAACGGCACTCTGAACTTTGTCCACAGGACCGGCAATGTCGTTCAGAACAGCAGTGGACGCCGTATGAGCGGCGCGAGTAAAGGAGATCCACTGTGAGTGTTGCGGAAGCAACTCATCGGGTAGCCGCTGCCCACACTGTTTTGCGGTGGCCGCCAGATGTACACGGATGGAGTGACTGGCCGAGGCATACAATACCATTAATGCCGCATTTGCGAGGACAAAATCGTACGAGTCTGAATTGCGCATGGCCGCTTGGATGTGGCGAAGGGAGGCCCTATGGTGGCGCTCCGCCAGCGCAAGGAGCTCTCCGATCTCCATGAGGCTCTGGTGGTCCAGAAGCGTCTGGGCTCGCTTAGCGATATCGTGTGACTTGCATGCTGCTGCCAAGGCGAGCAGGGATGACAGGACCGCCTTCGAATGGAAGGCCAGATTTGGCACGCCTACCGACAGAGCGTAAAGGTCGAGATCGTCGCAAGGTATCGTTTGGCTCGTGTGCGTGATATAATGGGCTAAGAGACCGAGCTCGGTCGCGTCGAGAGTCCCGGGGAACTCTGGATCCACCTCTACTCTTTCTTCATCTGTACTCAGTCTGGCAGACGTCGTAGGTTGTCCACTAGACGGAGGACTGGGAACCGAAAGGCGATCACTCGAACGTGCGGACGGTGATCCCAGGCCGGGAACAATCGTGCTCACGCTTTTAGGGGGCGCATGCGAATCAGGAACTGGCGAGTGGGTCGATTCTTGCTCCGACACATTGTTGTCATGACTGGGATATCGACATCTATACATGCGCTTGGTACATCGGGAGCATCTCGGTCTCAACTCATCGCACTAGGCGATGCCATCAGAACAATGTGCGTCGAGCCACTACCGTCGAGCCATGGCCTTACCTTCTTCCGCTGTTGCTTACATCGGACACAACCATTCCGGGATTTCTCATGGGTTCTCCGGAGTCGAAATCCAGCAGCAACCTGCAATCTCGGGAGCGTCGTGTCGCTCATCTTGCCGACGGTCGGCGCAAACCAGGGAAGCAAGGTTGTGGAAGGGTGGAGCGTATTAGCTAACGTGCACTATATTTGAGGAGAAACCCCTTGGGGGGATCCTGGAAAGTTAGATTTAAGCGATTGCTTCAGCCTCACCAGCGTATCCACGGAATCAGCACTAAATCATGATGATGTCCGGCTCAGCCTCATTGTGGCTCCTTTATTTATACTGACTAATCACATTGAAGGTCTACCAACCAATGATGAACCACAGTGTAGATCTATTTCTCAAATTATTAATTAATTCTAATATAACTAACTCGCTCTAGATTGTTTCCTTCATAGATATCACGATGGAACAGTCATTCAGCAGCCCAAAGCGGCTTAGGTAGCTTCGAGAACGACTGTTGAACAAGCGTTTTGCTCGTAGAAGAATCCATGACAAAGCTGAACGGATATTAGCAACATACACGTATCCAGACTCAGTAGACTAGCTTCCAGTCCCAGGAAGGTAGACTATCCTGCAAGCCTATGTCAAGCCTGGGCCCTTTCGTCCGAGGAGGCATCACTGACATACTAAACTTGACTACTGGGACGATGGAGATGAGAAGCGTGTGAAATTCGGGTCTTGAATAGAATCAAAGTACGGATACGCTTTCTCCACAGAGTCCATCGGTTGATTGGCATACACATGAAATACGAGACGACGGATCACCGAACTGCCTTCTGTTGCTGCCGTTGTCTGATCTCCTGAAGCAGGGCATCCAGTGCTCGGCCATCGCCTATTTCCGTCTCGGCAGATCGATTCACATACCGTTGGTCAGGGTAACCCCACGCACTATCGCCAAAGTCTAGCAATCCCGATTTCTCATCCGCATCATGCCAGAAGTCATCGAATGTAATATATCTCTGCTTTGTGAGGCGGACCGGGAACTCCGCTGGACGCACGGGGAAGCCCGGGTCATAATCGTAATGATAACAGAAGTCGGTCAGCCGAGGGAGGCGAGTGCGAATGTGGTCAAAGATGGTCTCCCATGTCCCCGAGAAGCCGTAAATGACATAAGGGCCGTCAATCCCAAAGGAGCCCTGAGGATACTCGTGCCAGTCGTGGGTCTGGACGTGCCAGTCCCTGGGATTGTCTCGGTGTGTGGTGATATGTGATACAATAGAACATCGGTCGAGACGAAGGGACCTCAGCGAGGACTGAGCCAAAACCCAGTCCAACTGATGATGGTGCCCGATGACAAAGTTGCCCAGGTTCAGCGTCTGAAGCCTGGGGAAGTGGAGGCCGCTCCCGTCAAAATACCCCGGGATGGTTCCCCAACCGACCTGGAAGGACAATGTCAGGCAGACCAGGTGGTCGGATAAAGGAGCCAGCCACTGGTGGCGTAGGTATGGTTGAAACACCTGGCGCTCAATTCGATAGGTGTCCCAGTCGGGTCCGGCTTCGTCATACTCCTCAGCCACCATGAGATGCAGAGCGTCGATGTCCTTGGTGACGCTCCGGAAGAGCTCCGATGCGGTAAACTCTGGCAGTGGGGCATTTTGCAGGTTCTCAACGGCCAGGGAGCGGAGGGTACGTGTGCCGACTGTGTTTCTAGAACGCCTCTGGATCGCCTTGAAGACGGCTTCGAGGATCTCTTGGCGTCTCGGGATATCTTCGACCACTTCATCGCGCGGATCATCGGTTTCCACGCCGGCACAGTGTCGGGAAAACCGTAGATGGAGCGCCGTGATGCAGTCCAGCTCGGCGATGCGGCCGATAGCGCTAACGAGGCCATTGTAACCGCATTCGGTATACGAGTCCCAGATGCCTTGCGGGTCATCATCGGCGGGGGCAGAGCGGATGTAAGCACGTCTGATGGCCTGTCGCACGACTTCGCGGTCCAGCATGCCATTCCACGATTGGTATTCTCCTTCGGGGTCATACACCAGCCGCACATTGTCGAAGACATACGCTCTCGCCAACGTATCCCATAACCGGCACACCAGGCGAGCGTTACAGATAGACTGTAAATTGTCGCGCTGATCTAAGGAAGGGTCCCCTCTTTCAACCAATAGACTTATGACGAGACTCAAAATCTCGCGCGGCAGGTTTTGGAACCGCATCATAGCCGGTCACTGTGTGAATGAATGAAGTCGAAAAGTGAAGTCGCAAGAAAACGCGCGTGGTGGAGGGTTGACGTGGGGGCGGGAGAGAAGATCAACATCAACCACCACACGGGCCAAGACATATCGGAGAGAATTCCAGGTATCTTTTCTTTCAGTAGCTAGTAGGAATGCTGCACGTCGACAAGGGATAGACAGGTTAGGTAGGATAAAAAAAATTAAAAAAACATACAACAGGAGGGATTCGCTGGTGGTCACCCACCCAACTACTAACCTCCCGGCGTGTGGCTTAAACGCGGCCAGAAGTCGGGTGGCTGTTGCTGGGGTGAGCTAGCGGGTGAGCCGCTTTAACGTCGCGCGACTTTGGGTGAGCTTGGGTGAGTGCACAATAGATGGGGTGAGCAGCTGGCCGACGCTCACCCGAGAACGCGCGATCTCGCGAAAACTTACCCAAGAGCGAACCTTATTACCCACTTTGCTTCCCTTCTACCCTGTCTATTGGATAACACCTTTGCGCTTTAAAAAGCAGGTGTTCCTGGCCGCCTTGCATAGCCACAATGGCATTTACGCCCAAATTTTGGACTTCATCAGAGTAAACAGGTGGCAAACAGACGACCAGTAGGGCTTCTACTTCCCTTTTACAGTACTAGGAATAAGGCGGCCTAGATATATATTAATTTATATTTTGAATACATCGTTATCCACGAACAACAATTCAGGAAATTAGAAATATTCATGCTCAGGAAATTGATAGTTATGTTGACTGGTTATTTACTCGTAAAGCACGTGACAATAAATTTTAGCCTCAGGCAACGTATCCTGACGATAAGAATGGAGACAGAACAGCTTTCGTTCCCTCTTCCACTGTTGACTCAATTGGGCACATCTGTGCCGCATGGCTATCTTTCCAGTAAAGCTATAGCACCCTTAATCCTGCCTATTGTTTTAGACACCACTAATCGGAAGCCCCTACTGAATATCACGGAATGGCCCGCACTGAGAGACCTGATGTCCGCAAGGCAGCATCCATTGCTGGCAAACTGGACGTATTTCGAGATGGCTTCAGAACAATTTGCCAGGAATCAGGTTTACCTCCAACTTTAGATTCCCTCAGTCAGTTCGATAATGAAGGTGCAGATCCTGTCTCTTAGACTGCTATGCTACTTTCTAATCACTTCCATCACTTCCAGACCTCCAGAACCTAGCGTTGGACCTAGTTTCAGCGTTGCGATCATTCCAGATATGCGAAAGCTTCCTTCTGCCAATAGTCGAAAAAATATATTAAGTGATCTTTTAAGACTTACCGCCGTGATTAGTTCCGACGATTTCGATATCGATAATCTTATGCCACTACTGAGAGCAGTCTTGAACCAAGAACCCGAAGATGTCATCTGGGATAGAATATATTCTACTGTTATTGAATCAACGCCACCTCCGAAGCTGCTGCCTTTTTTCAACCAAACTCCATATTTACATACTACGAGCAGTTTCGTTAATTCTTCCGGACATCGAAAACACGTGGATGCCGTGTTGAAGGAGGAATTGGGTCCAATATATATCGGTATACCTCAATTTTACGAAAGTTTCTTTAGGAATATCGACGGCCTTGAAGCGGCAGGCAATGCGGTTTTTCAGGAACTCAGGGAGGGAGATACTCCTCTTTACTGTGATGGAAGTGGCTGGCAAGACTGGCCCAAGAGTACACAAGAGAAGGAAGTCCTAGAGTGGCTCAACCAGAAATTCAACCTGCTTCAGAATCTTGCTGGGGAGAAAAGTCCATCCGTAGCAGCGCAGCGAAAGATTTTAACTCGACCCTCACAGCCCTTGCAAGGGTCTAGTACGAAACGGAAATTGGATGTTGCCATTGTCAAGGACATAGATCAACAAATAGAAGAAGGCGGACCGTTCGATTGGTCGCGTGTCCTTGTTCCAGGAGAATTAAAAAGCAGCCCAGACCTTGATACTGCCTCGAACACGTGGCGGGATCTAGGTAGATATGCGAGGGAAGTATTCAGTTCTCAAGAGACGCGCCGGTTTGTTCTAGGCTTCACTCTCTGCGGCCCAATTATGCGACTGTGGGAGTTTGATCGCCTAGGAGCCATAGCATCTTCCCCCTTCGATGTCAACAAAGATGGATTGCGGTTTGTTTTAGCTATATTAGGTTACTTTTGGATGAATGACGAACAACTTGGGTTTGATCCCAGCATCATGACCTCTGCTGATGGTCGAAGGTTCATTGAAATTTCGCGTAATGGACGGAAAGAACGCTTGGTTTTTGACGAGCTTGTTAAACCGTCGTCTTGTGTGGCCGGTCGAGCTACGACATGCTGGAAGGCTCACATGGAGGACGGATCAAATACCCCAGTTGTTATTAAAGATTCATGGCAATACCCAGAGCGCGAAGAGGAGGGGAAATTACTACAGGAAGTTACTGAAAAGGGTATTATTAACGTGGCAAGGTATTTTTACCATGAAACGGTGTGTGTGAATGGTAAAATTGATGATGTACGGGAAAATGTTCGCAAAGGTATCGATGTGACAAAGGCGTCAAACTACAAACCAGCATCTAACAGACAGGAGGAGGCAAAAGATACTGCTCGCCTAGGCCGCTCTAATAATAGGAGCAGAACCGGGCATAAGAGGTCTTCTAGCTGTGCTGAAGTCCCACTACCTCCTAGCAAAAGGATTTGCTCGAGCTCCTCAAATAGGAAACAAGACCTGACACCTCAAAATCGCATACATCGTCGTGTCTGTATCCGCGACTATGGAAAGTCGATTTGCAGAGCAACCTCCCGAGTTGCTTTGCTCAATGCTCTACAAAGCTGCTTAGAAGGTAAGGCCTCGTATCAATGTGACTCTTAAACTCCGAGATTTTGACTTTATAAAGGCTATGAGTCTCTACATGCTCATACGGGGATTCTCCAAGGCGATATATCTACTGGTAATCTAATGATAAACGAGGATAAGAAGAACGGCTCGTGGCCAGCCTTTTTGATTGATCTCGATCTTGCTGTCAAGGAGCAGCGAGAGCAGCCGTCCGGAGCCAGAGGAAAGACAGGTACAAGGGCCTTTATGGCTATTGGACTTCTGTTAGGAGAGAAGCATTGTTTCCACCACGACTTGGAGTCCTTTTTTTTGGGTGCTATTTTGGATATGTATTCACTATGATGACCCGGGCAAGGATGTTGGACCAACAGATTTTGACTGCTGGAATTATGACGATGACCAGAAACTAGCAAACTCAAAGAAAGGCGTCGTTGATGACGAGGCGGATTTTGAACAGACAGCGGAAAAGTATTTTACATCATACTACAAGGTATTAGTACCCTGGGTCAACGAGTTACGTCGAGTTGTATTTCCCGGGGGTACGCGGAGAAAGAAACCTGACAAAGGCCTCTATATCCAGATGAAAAATGTTTTGGAGAAGGCAGCTGAGGATCTAAAGATGCTGGGCATATAGCTTTGGCCAAAATATTACATTCCTGATGAAGAGCTGTATACTACATGATGACATAGTAAAAGTAGAGCAGTTTCCCCTAGAAGATCATAAACAAGGTGTTCCGTACATTATTTTTTCTCGTTCCGAAGAGCTAGTGAGAGTAAGGATCGAACCAGAACAGTTAAAAAGGTCACTATACAGATAGTCTAACAAACCCGGCAGGAAATAGCCATTCCAATTTCTTCCTAGTGAGCAGGCCGAGTAAATGTATTGTTGGATTTTTCTTTTTTCCTTTTGATCGAAGTCTATGTCCGTAGTATCTATCTATCGTCAGATCTTCTGGCATCGACGGCCGGATTTGCCCCTCTTTACCCCACGGAGGCCGCTGACAAAAAGGAAGGCGGTCTGTGCTGTTGAACTACTACTTTTTCACTTTGCTCGAGGCAAAAAGACGCCTGACAGACAGAAGAAATCTGTCAACTACTGGTACGGTCGAGAGATTTTCCTGGTACGGCCGTCGGTTCTTCAAGTTCACTATACCATTGCGCACAAGACACCACGACTGATCTTACTCCATGAGACGCTTAGGCATTCCCTGGCGGAGTTATACTACACGTAAATAAGTTTAGCATCACTTCTCCTTACCCTTCCATAGAATGGAGATGCTGATTTACAATGGAGTTCAGGTCCATTGTATATGACACTTATTGTTTACAATGTCCGAGCAAAAAGCAAATTCCAGTGCCGTTGAATCATTGGCCATTTCAGAAGAATGCAAGATAGATGTTCGGAAACTGGTGTTGTCTAACATATCCAAAGAATTATTCACAAAAAAAAACCCCGGTATGCTGCAGTACTCGATATTTTGAATAGGGTAGCTTGCAAGGAGGTTAGGCCATGCGAATGACACGTATATCTAAGAAAGTGTAATCGTACATAAGCTTGGAATCTGTCAACACCGCCCAACTACCCCCTATGCTAAACCTGTTCGATTGCTCATTAATTAGCGTCGTATAGCATTTATATGACGATGGTGCGGCAAATATCATGTGTTCTGTCCCACTACATTGTTTCCATATTGCGTATCTTCCACAGAGCAGGATTTTGTTATCTGTCGTAGAAAGGTAATCCATAGAATCCGTCATGAATAATGGTAGTAATAACCCCACGCATGAACGAGCTGTCCAAGATTCACATCTTTTGCCTAAAGCCTAATCAGCGGGTTAGGGCAAGAGGCCAGGTTCCTTACCAGAAGGTCTAGTAGCTCAGAGGTCATTAACGTATCATCTTCCATCCAGCTGCGTTGTCTATTGGTAATAGAGCCGTCAGAAACAGTTTGAGCGCGATCAAAATCTATCCAGAGCACTCTGCCTGTCTCTGGCTGAACCACCATATTCCGAGGATATGGGTCGCCATGGCAAACTCCAGCGTCATGGATTTTGTGAAGAATTTCCAAGAGAGCAGCAGCGCGGTCTTCTGTGTATGTAGCAAGATCTATTTGCTTTATATTTGGAATAAATTCCAACAAGATAGCGTTTGGACGAAGTTTGTCCTTCAGGAAACGATTTAAATGAGGTCGCCATTGAATGGGGTCTATTTGCTCGATCACCCCGTAGAAATCCGGGACAACCCCTTCCTGGCACAACCCTCGCTCTTTCAAACGAGCATATGCGGCGCTCTCACAGAGGAATGGGTCAATTTCTCTGTAATTAGGATGCCACGGCTGCTTCTCTATGGTATGATACTGAATTTGTTAAGGACAGGTTCCATAAGTATTGTGGTGAGGTTTCGGAGTATACATACAACCTTCATGAGACATAGTCGTCCTTGCAGGGATATTTGAAAAACGCTAGATGTTTCGGATTCCTTTTCACAACTGATGAAAGCAAAATCGTTTGAATCCAGCCTCATTGTTGATGATGATGATGATAGCGTTCGTCGAGTTCGAGGAGGCGGAACCACTGGAGTAGGAAGAGTTCTGGCGCCCAGTAGTGGTTGTGTTCGTGGTTGGGAAGCATAATCCGGCTCGGATTATGTAAGGAAGCTTGGCCCATCAGGACGATAACAAATGTGCGCTTTCTCGACCGTCACAATTACCAAGCCTAGTTAGGACATGGCAGTTTGCCGCCAACCTTGAGTGGGAAATCATTCCTTTTTTTGTCAATAATACAACAATTTTCAGTGCGGGGAAACAAAATGGAAGCTGTACATTGCCCACAAGTGGTCATAGGAGATGCAGATAATGCACCGAGACAACCTTCTTATTTCGTAGGATTCAAAATCATGGCGGCCTCACCTAATCACGCTCTGCCACGAGCCCTCTTTACAAAAAACATTCGTTTCTCTGAATTTGACTTGTCAGGCCAAGTGGGGATGACGTCAGTGAGACTCGGGCCTAATGCATGTAGCGACACCGTATCACGCAAAGAATGTAGCTATGCTATGCGGTATCACGCAAGATGGCCCTGATTGTTATTTCTTTGGATGAATCACTGGTGTGGACCGCGCCACGACCAACCGCTACTTCTGCAATGTTTGACTGGGAACAAATCATATGAATGGACCGTGTTCCCCGCGATGGCCGTAAAAGAATGTGACCCAGTGTCTACTTTTCAACCCATCCCTCTTTCCAATATCTTGATTTCCTGTTCTTGACGAAATATACCTCTATTACTTCTCCCATTTTGACCTTCATCATACGGGAATCATAGCCATGGCCAATACCATAAGCCTGCTGGAATATTTGCAGTGGGCACCTCCTGCGCTTCCAATTGGGGCTATTGGGACCTCCCGGGAGAACACAACAAACACAAACTATAGTCCTGCAGATATCAACGAAGTTGGTCGTTGGACCGACTTCAATTTGAACAACATCATGGCTGAATTTCGACCATTTTTGATCGAGGCGATGATAGACCGTGAAGTAATGCCAACTCCACCTCGTGAAGTGCGCAACGAGGAACAGGTCAGGACACAATTTAAGTGTTATCTGGATGGAAGAGTTAGACGTGCGCTTCGCGTTTCTTTTCCAGAATTGATAAAGCGAAATCAACTTGGAAACCGGGTTATTATATCGTTTGATGAAGGTACCCGGGCCAAAATCCCAGATCAATTCATACCCGATACCGCGTACTTTGAACCTCGTCTCCCAGAGCCAACTCGATCAAATCGCGCACCTGGTGATATCAAAACGTCCTGGAAATGGAGACACACCCTCGGCTCAAGTTCTAATCGTAAGGACCGGACTGAGTTTAAGAAGGTCCTAGCGCAAGTCAATTACTACATGAGACAGCATAAAACTCGCTACGGATTCATACTCACTAATGTTGAGCTCGTCGCCATTCGCAGACGCGATAGCAATGGAAACCTGGAACTCTCCGAGCCTATACCTTGGACCACTCGCGGTGATACCACCCAGCCGCAGTTAACCGTTTTGCTTGGGTTGTGGTATCTCGGAATGCTCGCTTCTGATAATATGGGCTGGGAGCTGGCCTAGGTAGAATTTGGAACTACCACCCTACTTAATAGTGTTTTATTAACGTGTGAGTGGGAGCTGTTAGTCGTCTATGCAAGGCACATTTCTTAAGGTTTCAACACATAGTGCGTTGATGCTCAGTCCGCCCCTTTGAGATATATGTAAAAAGCATGACTCTGCTTCAACAGCAGTAAAATAGTTCACAATCCCATATGATGTGCTCTTGCCTATCTTAAAAGCGAATGGTACTAAACTTCAGTGTGTGCCTCGATCAGATAGAGGGGAATGAATGATGCCCAGCTATCTGAGAGTTTAGATATTGTCTTAAATGACAACGCGCAGAGCAAAGGAAAAACAAGCATCTAGGTGTATTGACTTTGTATTAGTTATTGCTAGGGATGGCCAATCTACCTAGTTAGTTCATAGGCTAGCTTAGCTAACGTAGTCTGTAAGCGATTTGCGATGTGAGTGGATTGCGTAGCTCTGTACGCTGCACAAATTGGATTGCAATGTCCTAATCGAGTTCCGAACTATATTTCATATAAAAATACAATTGTTTTATTGATAAAGGCCTTGGTATTTTGCCCGGGGCAGCAACCGGTCGTGTGGATCACTCGCCCGTGGAATACGTTAGGGACATTATAACTGACAAAAGCACCTAGACCTCGCCAGAACGCGGGTTGGGTTGGGTTTTCGTTTTCTGAGCCCGCCCATGGGTTCTTGGCGGGTACCCACGGGCTACCCAAGCTACCCAAAGTTTGTATAATTTCAGCATAATTGTGATTAGTCATTTAATGTATTTTTGGTACTAAAACTCTGTCACAGTTTACCACCTCTATGATCTTCGTAGAATACCCCGTCCAATTATATATATTCGAGCCGCACTCTTTCAAGAGTGTATAGTATACCAGATGCGCGCCCCAATTCCCCGACAGATGGGGTGTTTAGACGGACCAATACTGTCCCAATGGTTCTTCTATTTCTATACACCTTACTTCGCACTGAAAAAACGGCCATCCAACTACTATTTCCTTTGATATTCGTATATGGGTTTCATGGGTTCTTTGGGTCTGAATGGGTTTTGGGTACCCATTCGTACGGCGACGCGGTCTAACGCGCCCTCAATGGATATGTCTAAAATCCACAAAGAGGAAAAAGAAAAAAAAAAAAAAAATCTAGAAACACAGAACGGGTACTCTTACCATCCTCAGAAAATGGACACCTTTTTGCTATTCACAATTAAAGAATCAAACAGCATATCCGTCAGACATACGCCATGGTCTCATCCAGTTCTACCTCAGTAAGGTTAATGTCCTATCCATTTAGCCCTCTGCCGTCAATTGAGCTGCCATCAGATTCTATACCGTCATCCGATCCCCCCTCATCAGTATGTCATGATTGTATTATTTGAATCTATCGAGGCCTTTAAGAACTTGGATATGGACTGACCTAGGCTGAAGCCCTTCCGTAGTCCAAGACCGAGCCATATCTTCTCTTCGGGTGATCCTCCAACGAGCCTCAAGCGTGTCGGCCCTGATCGAAAAAAGAAATGGATTCTATACGACACAGACTATGAGACCGATTTTCTCTCGTGGTGGTTACCAACTGAGTACGGGAGGCAGTTGAACGGGAATGGCAGATCTAAGATTAAATGGTCGATCGAGACACGCTCCGCTGATGTTTGGAATTACTTTGATCAGGTAGCGGAGATACATACAGGTCACCCGAAGGTAATCTGCAAGTCCTGTCTGACGCTATTGGATCATCCGCATCACAAGTCCCACGGCACAAGCGCTATGGGAAGACACCAGAGGTCTAGCAGCTGTCGGAAAGGGAAGAGGCGGGTAGCCCAGCAGACGTTTATCGAAGACTCGATTCAACAGTCTGCAGCAAGTACAGTCAATGGGGTTCAATTTACAAAGGATCAACTTGAAAAGCAGTTTCTAAAGACCATTACAGGGCTCCGGCTTCCTTTCCAGGTGGTAGAAGACGGTGGATTTCAACAACTGTTAAATCTGATCCACTCTGGAACTCATCGATTAGAGCTCCCGTCTGCAAAAACACTTCGTCGACGCTTGCGTGATGCTGTGGTTGAGCAACATACCTCTCAACTAAATGACTTACCTGAGGGCGCTAAGGTATCACTTGCTTTAGATTGTTAGACCAGCCCATTCCAGCAAGCATTTATGGCAATCACGGCCTACTTTATTGACAGTGATTGGAACTATCGAGAACTCCTTCTTGGCTTTGAGCCATTGCACGGTCCCCATTCAGGGAGCAACCTGAGTGACGTATTACTTGACCTGTTACGAGAGCGCCAACTCGTGGATCGAATCTTTACGGTGACCACAGATAATGCAACCAACAATGATACTTTGATTCGGGGCTTACAGGATGTATTACTTGCCACAGGTGCAATCAACTCCCGCGACTCTATTATCCGTGTCCCTTGCATGGCTCATGTTATCCAACTATGCCTTAAGCAACTCTTGGGGCATTTCAAAACAGCGCCCAAGAACGAGAAAGTTAGTACCTTATGGTCAGATTCCCAAGCAAGCCTTCTAAAGGATTCGGCGGATTGTGGGGATGTTGCCCACACACTTGCGAAGGTTTGTCTCTGCCTAGAGATCGAACGAACTACGCTAAAACCTCTATCCAGGTCCGGTCACTTGCAGTCTTTATTAATGCCAGCCCGCAGCGACGGGACGCGTTTACCTCCCTGCAGCCTGTCCATGACCAGCTTTTCCCACTGCAAGACGTGCAAACGCGCTGGAATTCAACATTTCTAATGCTTCAACGAGCGCGGAAACTGCGCAACTGTTTTAATCGGTATTGTACAGACCATGATTACGCGCAATTCAAGATTAGCGACATTGAATGGCGGCAAATCGATTACATTCTCCAACTGACAAAGCCCTTCTTCCAATTCACGATGGCCCTTATGAAAACAAGGGATGTGACTATCCATAGTGTTTTTCTAGTCTACAGAAAGCTCCTGGAACATATCGAAAAGTCCCCATGGGGTCTAAGCAGGAAGATAACTCCGTGGAAAAGGGCTATGCACGATGCCTTGCTCGCAGCTAAACAGAAATTAAGGGAATACTATGACAAGACTTACCGGGACCATGGATTCCTGTACGCCACGGGGACGATGCTTGCCCCGCAGTATAAGCTCTCGGCTTTTGGTGACACGGAGTACTCTCAATGCCATGGTGAAACATCGAGGTACTATCGGGGTTACCTGAGGAGGGGCTTTCACCAATATCAACAGCAGATCCCAGTTCTATCCTTCTGTACCACAAGACATCAGTCTCAGCAGCAGACATCGGAGTTAGACCAGCTGCTTGTGCCGCGTACCTCTTTGCCTAGTAATAGGGCCCAACTGGACGAGGTTGATCGGTACCTTCAGGAAGGTGAGAACTTCACCCGTCTCTATTCTACTTTCGACTGACAATTAACCTGTCCAGGAGTTGTGTCGCTTCCGCCGAGGGCGTACTGGAAGGAACATGAGCGCGACTTTCCTGTTCTCTCACGCCTGGCACGCGATCTTCTCGCTGTACCAGCCACTGGCGCAGGTGTCGAACGCCTCTTCAACAGCGCTAGAGACATCTGCCACTATCGCCGAGGTTCTCTTAACGAAAAGACTATCCAGGACCTGATGATGTACATGTGTGCCCAGAAGTTCACCTTGGACAGTCAGCAATTCAACCATCTCGAAAAAATGATGCCAGAGGTGGATATTCAAGTAGCGCACGAAGAGGAACTTGCGCTTAAAGTAACTGAAGATGAGTTTGACCTTATAAGTGACTGCGAAGAAGAGGAACTGGAAAGTATAGGAGCCAGGGACCAGGCTATACAATTAGAGAAGTCAGACAGCGAGCTAGAAGTGTCAAGAATAGGGGGTTCATCTAGGAATGTCTCTGAGGAGCGAGATAGAGAAGATCAGGGAACATCGCTCCCACCACCCCTTGTCCAGCTTCGCGAGAGATCACAGAAGCGATCATCTGGAAGGGTTACCGTGCCATCGAGCAGATTGCAAGGGTATGAACTGTACCAGGGCTGGAATAGAAATAGTAGCCAGCTTATCATAGTGTCGTGTTATTCAAATAGAGTTGGTTTCGGAGCCCTCAGTCGCCTTCCCAATCTATAGGACTAAACCAAGTGATACAAAATTTTCTTGAAAATTACTGCACAACTTAATACTTAAGAGTCACATGACAGTTATTTGCTTCTGTGGGTTACTTGGCAACCCATATGGGTTTCTGGGTTGGGTTATGAAAATCCAAAACCCACCCATGGGCTTGCTGACTAAGACCCAAACCCGCCCATGGGCTGGATACTTGGCGGGTACCCATGGGCTTGGGCGGGTTTTGGCGAGGCCTAAAAGCACCTATGCAACAAAAGTTATAACACGTGATACATTAATCACGTGAAGCTTCGATCACAATCAACAAGCGCCATCAGAATACCCCACGCAAACCGATGTCTTGACTGACTTCACTGCCATATTTCGTAACATAAAAGACCTCTCCATCATCCACGCTATATTTCATAGTATGTGCAGTCGTTCTGAAGCAAATCTCTGAAACAGATACCACTCCTCCAACAGGCAACTTCATAGCTAGTATGGCTGTGACAGCAGATCTCTGCTCCGCACTTACCATCATAAGCGCTGCAGCAGACGCAGATTTTCAGCCTTATCGTTATCAAACCCAACATGCATTCCTTAGGCTTGGAAGACTTCTCGGCATAAATGTGGATTTAAATGGACCCGGAAGTCTATCACACCAAGTCTTCCCTCTGGAACACAATACGGAGCAACCAAATGCGGCTGATGATGGCCTACTCTTGCAGTACTATGGCGGAGGCTATTGCGATGGTATGATCGGAAACTCTGGGACGAGGCCTGCAGCTAACAATACCTCCAACTTCCTGGCCGACGAACATCCTGATTCCAGAAGCCAAAAATCCGACTTAGTTCGTGCCCACAGCGATTCCTGTGACAAGAACGCTGTGAAAATCCTTGATATTCTGAAGGATAGGATTTCTTCTATCAAGAAATGTCTTCGGCTCCCTACGAATCAACTGCTGGTCACCCCTGAAGTTGAAAATGAAGACCCTAGGGTCGTTGACATACAGCTAGGCGAGGGCATTTCCAACAAAACCCCAACTACTAGGTTTCGCATTTCGTTGGCTATTCGGTCCTTGACATTAGAATACGTACACTTCCAGTATCAAACTCTTGGGTATTCTAGAGTTGACGAGCAGGCCAACACTCTTTCAAGCGTTGCAGATAACCAGCATGGTTCTATAGAAGAATTCCTCAAGGCATGCCCATATATTCTCGATCGCGGCACAGCTAAGAAAATGATAATTACTGGCACTAAGATGCTTGTTTTGGAGCGTTTATATGGGCACGCTGGGATATCTGCGCTTCTGGCCTTTGTTCCAAGCTGGACGAGGCTTAGGTATCCCGAACTTACAATCTTTATTGAGCTGTTTCTTTTTCGCCACGCTGACATTGCTACAATGGCAGAAGATGTCTCCAATAAGTACTGGAAGTGTCAGCATTTATATAACCGCCAGGTTCGTTCGAGGGACAGGCGGAGTAGGAAAATTCAACACAATGGCAAGCAAAGCTGGGCATCAGCCCCACATAACGAATCGATGGCAGTGATGCCAATATCCGATTCGGTGACCAGTTGGGATGCAGAAAAGGGCTTTCATGGTATGCTGGAGACGCCTAAATCGGCATTATTATCTAGTAACAGGCATGATTCAGATGAACCTTCCCGACCGAATGTCCCTGAGCCACAGTCACCTGGCTTATCTGCCTGCTCCGATTACATGGCTCAAGTACGTGTCGGAAATATGCCGACCGCTTTCGACCCTACACACCTTATGCAAAGGTCCACTCAAACCGTGACTAATGGACAAGACGACACTGGGGTCATACCCTTGGATTGTACACCGTGGGTCCGTCTCGGACTGGAATCTACTTCCTTTGATCCTCCCCACGATGCTTTCTATACAGGACAAACGGACCCTGAGTACATGCAGAGTTTCTCTACTCCTTTCGACGCAACAAACATGGCACATATGGGTACTATGCCTGAGGTATTTACACCAAATTATTCGATACAGAAAGAGACGGCCCCTAGAATTCCAAGCAGTCTCATCAGCAACGTACATCAGAGCGCTGCGGTGATAGGCGGGATGGAGACACAGCACTTACCCCCAGCTCCTTTTTTCCGTGCTGATGACACCCTCATTTCACCCACAAATGATGGTAGAACGTTACCAACATTCTACCAGACACAGGGTTTGGTGAATAGTCATTGCAGCATGGTTAACGTGGAAAATCGCCTATCAAATGATGCATTGCATACGCCTATACCGGTGCCGTAACACCAATAATCATCCCACTATGTGATTGTACACTCAAATAACAACAGTACTAATAAAAGAAATACATAGCTATTATCTTGGTGCCCTTTAATTAGTATGTATGATGACATCGTTGGACTTCGGCAAGGCTATGATAGCGACGAACTCTGGGCTGATGTCAAGACTCTCCGATAAGCTTTCCGGCTTACCTGGGTGCAATTCACTGCCAGGGAAGCGTCGGGGCTCAGCCGAGATAATATGTAAAGGAATAAGGTAGCCGCCGTCTTTCTTAGCAAGGGGAGTAGGCACTTTGAACCAGAGAACTGTATATGGAAGATGCTGTCCCTGGTCAGCTGCTTGGAAAGAAAGACATGCGATACAACTTACTGCCAGTCTTAATTCACCAAGTAGGGGCATTATATAAGCATCCAGTATTTTTGGATTTTCCACACATGTCTTATTTCCTCGATCGTCTGTTTCGAATTTCCAATTACTATAACCCAGTTGTATCGTCTTAAGGTAAAACGCCGCTCTTCCCGACAGATCTGATTGTGTCATCTCGGCAGAAAAAAAAGCTGTTGTGGGAGTGCCCAACGGCTATAAGATCAATGACATTCACCATCAGTTAAGAACATACAAATGGCTTCATAATGCCTGAGTATACCTCGATGTGAAATGAGTACTTACTTAAACAAGAATATCTGTATGTGCCTCTCTCTGAAGGTGGACGATGGTGGGGTTTTGTAGTGGGGGGCTTTAGGAACAACATATGTCCGATAGCTTCGAAATGCCCAAGCCTGCCCAAGGACAGAATGTAAAGGAAAAGATAGTTGTAGGGACAAGTACCAAGAGCAACAGAACGGTGTCGATGATGCTACACCCTGATCTTGACAGATTTAAGATTATATCATGGCTGGCCAATCAATATTCCTTCACATTTACCAACTCCATGAAATACTTCCCAGGTGCGTTTCTGGCCTTGGCATCGTCACCTGACTATGATCTAATCGAATTGAGGAAAGGGGCTCAAGTTCAGCTACTGGACGTATAAGTAGTGGGATTAGCGATTCTACTCTCCGAACCTAAGCTGCATCGACAGTTCTTTTTATCGCTAAATCTATCGTCACCCCATTGAATGATGTATTACTACTTGGAAGGTGTATATTCTGCGCTTACAAAGTTTTTCTCTTCTGGCCTTACTTGGACAGAAACCCCTCAACCACGGACGGTAAGGGCGTGCGCCTCCATACGAGAAGGTCTTGAGTGTCTGAATATTTTATCTACAGAATGACGTAGACGCTGTCCAATATTTTACGGCAAGCTTCGTTGCCGAACGACCACATGATCATAACCTGTTAAGTATAGGAATTTTTGCGAAAGTACATCTTTTAGATGGGAAGGTCGTGAGAAAGATACCTCGCAGTGGAAGCCCCGAAGACAAACTACCGATATCTCGCGAGTCGCACATATATAAGTTGCTCGGTGATCATCCTCGTATCGCACAATGCCTCTTCGGCTCCGATGATTTGGTTGATATTCAATATTATCCCAACGGGAATCTCATGGACTACATACGGGAACACCACAACTCTGTTTCATTACCTGTTCGATTAAATTGGTTCCGACAGATAATAGAAGCCGTGGTCAAAATCCATGCACATGGTGTGATCCATTCGGACTTAGCTCTCCGGCAATTTTTCCTCGATGACAATATGGACGTGCGGTTGGGTGATTTCAATTCATCACAATGGCCTGGGGAGATGGCATTGGGCTACGAAAAAGCATCGCACTGCTTGCCTAGGGATTATGAGCAACCTAATACTGTTGCATCTGATCTGTTCGCTCTTGGATCTACCCTTTACGAGCTCATGACCGGTACTGTACCACACTGTGACCTACTTCCGGTTGAGTCGGAAGATATCTTGAAATCAAACGATCTGTCCGTTATACAAGGCCGGATTCTACGCGAGGAAAAGGCGGATTTAGCAATTGAAGAGTTATTCGTGAAACAGGTGTTTCCAGATGTTTCCAACCTGCCTGGAGGTGACATTATCCTGAAATGTTGGAGATGTCAGTTCAGTACTGCGCAAGATGTTCTTGAGCAGTACCAACAGCTACAGATAATATTCGACAGTCAAGCGTGACAAATATTTATTCGTTCCGCATTTGGTAATCGCGATTTAATAGTAGTACTTGCCGTTAAGCTGTTGCAATATAGCTACGTTTTCATCGAATTGCTGGTGCAACAAAAGTGGTAAAACCATTAAATTTCTGATATGGAAACACTATATCCCGTAGCTGGCTTGGCGTGCGGGGATACTAATTGGAGCCATTCAGTTCCGGAGCCTTTAGATAGTAGAGCACCTAGAGGGCTATAGAACGATATAGCTAGGAATGCAATAGGCTCAGTTGATTGAGATACATTGATTTCTGGTGTTCCCACCGATGACATCTAACTCCTATTAGGCGCCCGATCAGCCTGTAGCCGATACGATAGCTCCCTGCGCCCCATTCCCACTGAAAATTCACCAAGTCCTTCATAGTACTTTCTGATACCGAGGCATACAAGAATGGTTTAGCTGTCGGTCAAACTCCAGACGCCTTTGCTATATTGGAATTTCCACCACCTCCATTTCCACCTTGTTCACTGGATGCCCACGACGGCAAGCCCTTCTTTTTACGGCTGGACCCGGCTGGTTTGAACTTATAATGCGGGCAGTCTTCGGGACATTTATCGGCAGGTCTTTCGTTGCATTCGACCGGGATTTTTTCTTTGGTAGTCTGTCCATTGATAGTGGTAGTCGTTTCGTAAACAATACACATATTGGAAACTCATCACTGTCAGCTTATCGCCGTTCTCCTTGGTTTTCAAACTCACTCCGTGCGCTCCGTACTTTTTGGTTGGATGTTTTGTGATGAAGCCTCGAGAGAGAACACTTTGAAAATAGTCCAAATTGACATGGATATGAGAGCCTAGGGAAAGTATATATGTTGTGTTAACACCGCACCGGATTCATGGGTGCTGTTGCTTGCATGTATGTAGTCATCGAGTGGGGCGTTTCGGATGTCATCTACACCTGGCCAAAGGATTCTTGGCTGCATTTAATCCCTGCTAGTTGATTGCATGCAATCAACGAGCAGGAGATACCCACTCGCATTGCTCAACTTTGCAACAGCCATTTATAGGGAAAGATTCGCTCAAACAGGTCCACCTAGTCACCCTGGTGGCAACCCGTTCTGCTTCGTAAAGTCTTTAGTTGCCGTCTTGTTCTGGCCTCCCACGTACAGAGAATGGAATGTAGACTACTCTTGCTAGCTCACTTTGCGGGATTCTTTTGTATTACTTGAATCTGTTTTATTGGGACACTATAATTCTCATCCCCGACGTCAATGGGAAGTGCTACATTATAGACAATATCAATCACCGGCTATATCACTAGCCCAAGCTGTATGTTGCATGATGGCGTATTTAATTGCACTGTGCTGCCTCGCCAGTGAACAGTTTCACTTTCTATGCGTCCCAGCCTGCATCAACACTTTTATTACCATCTATAGCTATGCACCCCCTTCTTGCCTCTATCTTGCCTTATTTTGATTGCCTCGGCTGGCAACGGAAAGCCACCAATTCATCTTCCCAAGGTTTGTGCGTGAATGGCTTTTAGGGAGATAACCTCCTCACCTGTTGATAGATCCGTTGTTTTTTATTTTACAGGACGGGAAATCTCGAATAAACGGATGCCCCGGGTTTCGAAGGCACTACATAGAACAACAAGTTGGTGACAGCTATGAAATTGTGCGCCAAGTGAGCATGTGCGATTTCAAGGAAGGAGGGCAACCATTCACTACCTTTTGGACTGAGAAGTTCAATATAGAAGAAAGAAAGCTACGCAAGTCCAAGCGTGGCCTAGAGTTACTGAACGACTACGATATTTGCAAGCGACCCACAGAATAAACAGCTTGGTTTCCTTTTTTCTTTTTGCCCTTTCCTATCCTGTGAGAGTTCTATGGTCACACTTATTCGGCGGTAGATGTATATATTCCGAGCATTGATCACCCTGTGCTACTTCCATCAGCTCTCAATTGTTATTTCCTGTCTCATCGCAACATGTGCTTTATACAAATTGACATTCACAAGCCATGTGGCAAGAAGTACGAAGGCTTGATTCCCTGTGGCCCGGTTTTCTGTACACCTGCCAAATATAAAGCAACACGAACCCAACATCTAGCTTCCCCATGTAGGGAGTGCGATCTTTGCATCGATAAAGAGGAATTTCATTACAAATGAGGTTGGTTTTCCGACCCATAAAATAAATACACACACGATTCTAATGTACAAAGGTGAACAGGGAAATGCAGTTGTTCGTACGCAAGACATAGGCGAGGGGTTGAGGAATAAAAGAGATTTAAGAGCTTGAGTAGTAGAAGGTAGTAAGCAGATCAGGGGTTTGTTTTTCTATGGCAGTTGCGTGGCGTCCAAATGTATTTTCTGTAGTTAGGGTGCACTGGAACATACCGATGGGTGTGTGGTCGAAGCCGTGACAGAGCTCACGGATTTACTTATAAAATCCGGCTATTGGGCAATGAGCACAGCAGTGATAATTTTGACTACTTAAGCGCTATAGCCTCTTGCATCTATTTTGTTATTTATCTCTGCCCTGCTTTTTGCCTTACACTTTTGGAGCAACAGTGATGATGGATGTACGAAGACTTGAATGTGTTAATCTTGATACCGAACTCTCTTCTTTCTCCATCACAAGGGACCCCGGATACAAGTTCTTCCTCGAGGGACTCATCTGTTCCTTGCGGGTCAACGTCATTATCCTCGACAAATATGCGCCAGCCTGTTCCATACTTCTTCTCCAACGTTCTGCTCGCGACAGCAACTCCGGGTGCTGGGAACCGCCTGGCGGCAAGGTCCACTACGACGACAAAACTTTACGTGAAGCTGCTCAACGCAAGGTTGAGAAGAAAACTGGCATAACTGGATTCAAGTTCTTTGATACTGTGCCAATCAAGATGTGGGACACTTCGAAGGCTGAGGGAGTACGTTGCTGGATTAATTTCACGTTTCTTGCGAGTGTCGATGGGCAGTCTGGGTGGCAGGAAAGCATACGTTCGGCGGAAGAGGAGCATCGAGTTTTGAAGTGGGTCACAAAGGGTGATATATTGGGAATGGAGGAGACTGCATTCAATGGAAACCATCTGGAGACTATCCTCGAGGTATTTGATTTTGTGGAAAATGCAATTGGCGCAAGCTAGCGTGTGTCATCTACTGCCGCCCACCACGAGCTTGAACAGATGAATAGAACGTCGACCTACACAGAGAAAGATTACGGGCATAGGGAGGATTGGTATTGGTAGTGCACTATGGCCTAGATTAGCTTTTCTGAGCGGGAATCCACTCACCCGTTGAACATCGTCCTGTTCCCCTTGGATAATAAACAAGGGGGCTAAATATAGTTGTATGACAACTGCAGATCCACTTTTTTCCCTTTCCATTATTTTGATTAGCTTTGAAGCGAACCATTCTCAAAGCCTCGGAATACAGTTTAGCTTAAGTTTTATTAGGTATTATACCTGATAATTCATAAGAGGTCGGACTCATCACTGCTTTGATGCCCGTCTGATTCTTCATTTCCTTTCAATCCTACAATGGCCTACCAAAATTCATCCACGTTCTCGCAGCTCCAAGGTGTAACCTCTTCGCTTGATAGTCATGGGGGCTCCCAACACCACCAGGAATGGAGCCATGTGGAGCCGGGCATTGTTCCTGTTCCTCGTCAACCCCCCCATCAACCCCGTGTTTTGCCGACACACGAAAGGTACCTTACAACTATACAATTCGCACATACATTGATCAAAGTCAATGACATCCAGGGTGCAGCTGCAGTTTTACAAGGAATAGATAAGACTGGACTTGTGGACATACAGAACGAATTGCTTCCAGAAACAGGACTCTCTAATCATGCTGTTGTAATAGCAGGTGATTATAGTACTGTAATTGACTTTTGGAAGCAATTTAACCTCTGCTGGTTGGCACTTGGTCAGCGCATCCTGGATAACCTTAACAACCACATTCCTCCTCCAGCCTTTACAGACAGGTTATTGGAGCGCTTAGGAGAGCACATCATACAAATGTGCAATTATCTGGAAAAGTTTGGCTTGGTTGATTACGAAATGGGTGTCTGGGAAGAGGAAATTTTAGACGGTATGATCTCAACATACAGGGTTGTATGATTCTAGCTAAAAAAAAACAACATAGTCTTTGGTCGCGGCTTAGATGAATTAGCGAAAAGAAAAAAGAATCACGCGACGATGGTGTACAGAAGAGTTATCGAGTATCTTTTCCACATACACTCCACGACCAGACTGAACGGGAAGAAATAATTCAACGATTGAGAAGACTGGGGAATAAGTGGGCTGGGGTATCTGACGGCGCACACAGTTTAGGATTTGGTAAGATGGGAGAATAGTGCACATGTAGCTAAATGAACATTTTGAATTATGAGAGGCTACTGTTCATATACTCATTTTTTATGTATTTTCCTTACGCAGCAACATGAGCCATTTTGGTCATTTTTGCCACTCTCAGACATGGAAACCAAGGTAAGGACGTTACTGAAATCCGTAGGGAATACCGGCAAATGTACATGGTTGAATATGGAAGGATTAGTGAGACCAAGGCAAGCAAGACAAGACAACAGTAAATTGCTGATCTAATCCATTTATCATCATCCTTTACGATCCAGCTTAGTCTGAATAATCAATCGCTGCGTCTTTAGCTAATTAACCGACCATAAAAAACCCGGCTAGACAGGATGCCCCCACTCCTAGCAACATTTCACGAGGCTGACCACTCAGAATAACTAATAGAGCTTTCTACGACTGATTGCCTAATTCCGTAGAAGACGATGTGGAACCTAGCCTATCATGGCTGTGAGGTCTAGACCACTGCGAGCGTACTATATGCCGGCCCCCTTTGCACAGTCTTTAATGTGTTATTTGAACCTTGAGCGAAATATTGGCTAAAAAGCGGCCCTGACTGACCGATGTAACCATATTGAGAGGTACATATAGAGCATTTGCCTTACCTGCCGGGTAAGTGGAAAACATAACATTCACCGGTACACAACTACATCTTATTACACATTTTTCTGCCATATTCCTGCAATGCCCGAGCAGCAAAACCTTCCTCCAGGTGTGGTGAGTGATCGACAGACTTACGTTTTTCTAGAATGAAGAACTAATAACTTTCTCCGTATGTCTAGAATAGTGACGCTCGCCACAGCGCTGTGGTTGTGGCCTCAAACGACACCTCAAACGACACCATGAATGACAGCGGGGACAATAAAAGCGATGACGTTACTTTGGTACATCACAAACATGGAGCTGAAGAGGGTGAGAAGCATAAACGAAAGAGTTGCATCATCAATGGCAATGTCGGGGTTCAGAAAAGCTCCATACATATCATGAGTGGTGGCCGTGTGGAAGGTGGATCAGTCATTGTCAACGGAGATCTGTCCAGGGAAGCGTTCATGGAGTTGTTCAAACCCAAATGAACTTCTCTTCATATTAGTCTTTTTATATCACTGTTGGGGATAAAGAGGGAATCCAAAGAAGAACAGCTTTCTGTGGGGGTTGACATAGTCTGTAGCGGTACCACTCTATTGCCTTTGAATCTATTTCCACTAATTAAGAGGCTATTGTATGTCCCTATGACCTCGTAAGAGGACTCATGAAGCGATAATATTTTACTACATCATAGCATGAGCCAATTCAGGCAAGGGCTTATATTCCTATGTTTATTACTCTCATCCGCAAGTCAGAAAGTGCTCTGCCCTTCGTATCGTTGGTGGCTATGAAAATGCACGTCAAAAGGCTCGATACGGTCTCAGGATTTGTATGCCAATTACCTTCCCTTTAGAATCCCAAAGAAGACTCCTATTCTATAGTGCCTGTACAATATGTTGGACACAGAGTGAGATATATAAACACCGGCGAACGTAGGCTTTCTCCATACTTTCAATTCTCTCGTTGAGTACTCAAGTTGTCACGTGCGTCACAATATTATCGATTCCCCGCATTCACGATGGAGCCACTCCTCGGTGACTTACTCGGGCGAACCGACGACGCCGACTACCTCGTAACCCTGCACAAGATGGAATTGCCTGGGTATACTTTCTTTGAAGGCGTTTCCATGCCATCAAAAAGGGACATGAATATCCTCAAAGCGGCGCGCCAACGAGAGAAACCGAAGACTCACGGGAACTTTACCATATGGCGGAACCCCGACTCTCGCTTCTCCACTTTGGCTCGCGGATACATGAATTCAGGGGCGGCAGTGGGTATCACGATAGAATCTTGCTTGGGGCAATAGCTGACTGCGCTAGTCATTACTTGTCTACATCGCAAAAACCCCAAACCGGGATTTTTTGGAACCGAGGATTGTGCGGTACGAAGCCAAGGACAAGCCCACCAACGAGCCCACCAAGGAGCAGTCGGAAGTCTTTGTGATTGGAGCACCAAGTGATAAGGAATGTGGCCTGGTCATGATGTTTCGACCACTAGATACACCACTTCGTAGCGACGACGGCTTCTTTGAGATCTACCCTGGCTCGCATGAGTGGAGCCTGCCCAAGATTGATGAGTGGTTTAGGCAATACCATAGCGAGGCACCGGGTGAATCGAAGTGGGATCCGGTTACAGTGGATTTCAATCAGGTCTTACTGGTTCACGCTGGGACGCTTGTCCGATTTGGCAGGAGCTCAACTCCGTGCGATTTCGTATGCATGGGCTACTCGGATGACCAGGCTGACTTTGGCCGGCGCGATATTAAGTTTGAGCAGTATGTAGTGCCATTCTTACGACGGGTGCCTGACGCATTGAGGGAAAGGATCCTCTCACGCCCGCCGAGAGGAGAGTGAACCGTAACATAGTATCAAGAATACCATTGAAATTTAATCGGCAAAGACCAGACTCTCCAGATTTCTCACGCATACTTCCCATCTCTTACGAAAGGATCGGCCAGCTTGAAGCCAATCAGTGCTATCGCGACGCAGCCGTAGACCGAGTTCTCTGGCCCCATGATAGGAGAGCTCGTCGAGCATGTGGACAACTGAGAGGAGTAATAGTGCCACGGCCGGCTCACCCGACGCGCTCTGTATTGCCTTGATCTTCCCACCCCTGACAAGTAGATTTCTTGTCCGATGAATCGGATAGCGATGCCTCTCAGCAAATTCCTTCATCTTTCCGTGTCGTCGACATCCCGGATTGGAGACATTTCCCCAGAATCCCCAATTCTCCTTCCTAGTGTTGCATTCCGGATGTTCCTCGAAGAATTTCTCTGTCTGGATATAGACACTGATTAAGTAACCAATGCGTTCACATCTCCCTGCACCGCGGCTGAGACGTGGAAGCGCGCATTGTTCGGAGGGGTAATCAGAAAATAGGTCCTCAAGCCGATCCCCACTTAGGAAGGTGAGCAGCGAGTGTTTTTCTCGCGCAAGCTGTTCTAGGATCTGGGCAAGCAAAAGCGCCTCGCTCGGATGTAGCGCGAAATTTGCATCCATTTGGAGCCAGGCACTTCGCTCGGGGCTAGGATCGGTTTCAACGGACGTAATTCCAAATCCCTGAGTCTCTGGTAGTGCCCTGGATTGGTCTGGACTGAGATTACTGCAAGGGATTCAAGCAACACGTAACTAATGACCGCCGAGGGGTTTTTGCTTGGTTGGAAGATGGCTTGGGTGGGGGAGTTATTTAGCTTGGTCACTTGTGGGTACGCTTTGAGGTTTTGGACCCACTCGTAAGGTTAGAGGGGTGAGTGATTGGCCAAAAATCCAAGGTATGGTACTCTATACAATGATTTGTGTGATATTATGTTTGCTTATATTCCTAGGCCTTCGCATGAGACCCCACATACCTTGTTCAACTGTTAAGGGGTTTCTGCCTCATCACGAAAACATTGCCCTCTTGCAGCTGCCACACCAGTTGAATGATTGCCAAAATGGAGAGCACCCAGGAGTCCTATATCGCTCATCCATCCCTACAAGTGTACTACAGTGTTCCTCAAGAGTCTTCTACTCAGGTTCCCAGCTCGCAGGTTGTCGGACCCTACGTCGATACCAACATTCCCTGTGGTTCTTTGGGTTATATCCAAAATGTTCCTCCTCAGCCTCCATCCATTTACATCTGCCGGGGCTGCTTGTTGGTTATTTGCGAGGCAGTGTTTGGTAGTAACAAGTGCTTTGAACTGATAAGAGAGGAAAACGTATGTTTCTGCTGCGAAGAATCCCGCAACCCGGGATACCTGGTATGTATGAACCAGTCATACTAATTGTTCTGTATGCTGACCCTACAGATCTCTGTGTCATATGGAGAGCAGGTTTTAAAGGCTCGTGATATAACCAAAAGGCTGTACTGGATGGAATTGCGTGACGGCAATGAACGCGAGGCTTCCATACTGTCCATGTTAGATGTAATGATGACTATTGCTGACTTGCTCTTTTGTCATAGTTCAACGAAGCCTTGATGATTCAAGATGAATGACTATGAGACGGAATTTTGCTTGTGTCGTATCGTTGGAAAGAACTACGAGTATCAGACGGTCTCATAAGGTGTATGTGGAGTTTCCTTGCCGATCTTGATTATCGGCAACAGCTTGCCTGACACTATGGGCTGCTTCCTAACTTAGTACTATTATCCAGCTAGAACAAGCTCTAACTCGTTCCTCTGGCATTCACACTAGTTTGTAGACAAATGAAGAAGTCTCGGTCGTTATCGATTGTTGGTCAATAGTGTATAAAAAAAAACAGGCAAGTATTTGAGCTGTTCCCCTCACAATTATAACAGAGCGCTCCTCAAAAGGGAGAGGATGGAGATGTGACCAAATCCTAGATAAATCATACCGTTTTATAAATAAAACTCTGCTTGCAATTAAGCACTCATCTTGTCCGATTAAGCCCGTGAATCCCCCTAATATGTGACAAGACAACAGTACCATGTCACACCCCAAAGACCAATGAAACATACTTGAAAGTACTAGCTATGCTCGGTGTAGGGGCTGGGGTGTAGTATTTTTCATCGTGAAAAGATACTCGGGCCGTCGGAAGATTCCCAACCTTTAGCGTTGGCGCTATTTCATTTAGTTACACAGGCACAAACAGGGTATGTGTGAATTTTCCGACTAGTCAACCAAGGTCGTACTTTTGCCGGTTAACCTTCTTTAAATGTATTACGTTCTAGATATTAATAAGTTAATCCTGCCTTGCGTTATCTATTTAGATCACTTTCATTCACAGAATTTGTTTGCACTTCACCTCCAAAGCTGACAGGCATCACACAGGCAGTAATGGATTTATCCCATATACAACACCTAGCCTTGCCTGGCTCCCCTAGACTTAGAGTTGACCTGCAACGCAAGAATACATATTTAGCACCAGCTCGTAAGTTGAAGAGGCCATGATTATGGTGGCTATTGACACGTTCCAGTAATCTGCGACGCTCCTTTCGACGAGAGAAAGAATTCGCAACCTACATCACACAACATCCAGCTTGCTCAGAATACCAACCAAATCGCACCATGCTTAAACGACCACGAGAGCCTTCGACGATACCTGAGGGAGATCATCCATCTGCTTTCAATCCCAACTCGAAAGAATTTCGCAGCTTGGGCAATCCACGTCCTTGAGCCATTGAAACGACAAACGTTTCCTTACTCTGGTCGTAGCAAGAGGACGCCGACTTGGTGGCCTAGCATGCTCCCTCACGTTCCGCCATATCGCCTCGATGCGGGAGGTAAATCTAGTCATTCCCCTAGATTTGTCCTATACTCCAATACTGCAAATATTAGTATAAAGTACTAATTTTTGAATAGCTGTATCCACGCTTCTGGTTCATATCTTCTCTGATGTGCATCGATGTACATTGATACAGAAGCATTCAAAAACATGGGGGCACATTCCAGATAGTTATGCTCAAACAGTGGAAGATATATGCAGAGCTGTAAGGGCATATCATAGTGCACAGGATGGTAGGGAACTATTACATCACCACTAGGCTTCTTGCTAACAGATGTGAGTAGGTTCTGATCCTTTCTCTATCCGTAGCGATGAGCCCGTTTCTATAGCAGCTCAAAGGTACAGAGACCAGGCTGCCGCGCCAGAAACCTCAGAGCGGTCTCATACAACGGGTGAAAAAAAGGAATCAAATTTGAATATATATACCCCACCGTATACGGATTCCAACAAAATCGAAAAAGAAAGACGAAAACACCTCATGTACTATGCATGCGATGACGGTAGATTTAGACTCTATCTAACGAGAACACTAAATCATCTCCAAAGCTGCACTTGTCTAGCATTAACAAAGGGGGTACTTACCTACCTCCAGGCTCCTATGCAGGGCTTTCGGCTTAATGAGAGACGGCCAAATTGGTGGCCTGCTGAAATTCCATTCAGAAACCCATATCATCTGAAAAAAAGCTGTAAGTTAATTATCACCGATACCCGTACTTATTCTGATGAATTGCACTAACATTAGGCAGTTCAAATAAGAATTCTGGTACACGTATTCATGAGACGGTGCTTATGGTCAAGGAGCAAAATTCGGGATATGTTTATGCAGTTGAAGCAGGCTGACAAGCTAAATGAGTGCCCAGAAGCACTTGATGACCTGTGGGTGATCAGTACTCTGTATCATGAGCCTCCAGCCGGTAAGTACTATGTGAGCAATTCCGTCTTATTCATGTTATATTCATCAGAATATAGGAAAATCTATTCAGCCGTTGTCTCATTCGTCCCCTACCAGGACATTTGTTTCGGAGGAAAATAGCCCCAGAGAGATATCAGACGCGATAATCAAGTACCATGAGAACGCAAGCGGTGTGTACAGTCATAAGAGTTTAAATGATGTGACAACTGATGAATAAAGACTATATAACATATACATTGAATCGCTTATGCAAGGAGGGCTGTTACATTCTTGGAAATGAGCTAATTAAGCACATAGAACCACAAGAGCAGATGTGGCTCCCATATAGACGTAGGGGGGCAGTAAAACCCGACTGGTGGCCCAGCAAAATCTCCTATATTCAGCCTCATAACTTATCAAAAGAAGGTAAAAGGCACTACATGACGGGCTATTATATTGAAGAGAGATATACTGACGTTCGATAGACCTGGTTGGCCTCCTTGTAGGCATCTTCGTGCAACAGAGACTTTGGCCGACTATATCGGATCGACTGGAGAGCGTGATGTCAATCATCAAAAGAAGGCTCTCTGAGAAGAACAAAGTGGAAATCCTTGACGAAATTCAAGGTTTTGTTAGGCAATATCATCGAGCCACAGCTGGTGAATGGAACCTAGGACTTCTTGAGATGACCTGATGATCTAACCTATAACAGTTATCTCCATACCTTCATACCCAGGCCAGGCTTGCGTTGGTATTTCTGAAACTGTGTATCCGGTTCATAATGCCCACGATCTCCCATCATCCGCCTGGAACACCGAGTCATACAGGGATAGTGGAGGACCTTGTGACAATTGTATTCTAATAAATCCAGAAACTCAAGGTCAGCCAATCAGCTTATTCGAGCGCTTTTCAATTGAGTACAGACAATATGACCTCCGTGGCAGCGAAATGTAGGATGCCCCGCCTGTGGGACAGATCACAGCGTTACTGACCCAAAGATCAGATGCACAGGCTTTATTCCGGCCTTGCGTATTGAGAATAACCGGCTGCGAGTCGAGTTTGGACCATCACACCCAATATTAGAGGAACCATGTCTCATTCACCAAATACATCGAGACCCAGTGGTTGACCATGTACAGTTACTCACATTGCCATCATGCTATTTGTAAGTCTTACGAACATGCGAACTACTCTAAACCGAGAAATACTTAAAATTATAGGGCATTTTCGTTGAGATCTCCCGAACCTAGAGACACTTTGTCGCTTTACTGGGAACGTGCTCAAGGCCTGATTGAATGCGTCGGAAGCCAGCTCTTGCCACAAGAAAATAACGAAAGATTCATTTATACAATGGAAGCTAACCAGCAAGCCATAAATCCCTCTGGTCTTCATCCCGAGCTGGTGCACGACACGGAACAGGCCAATATCGGAGGCCTTGCTGATGTCGGGATTGTCAGGGCAAACCATTCTGTGGCGCTCAGTGAAAAGTTTTAGTAAAAATAGTGATGCGCCCTATATGTTCCCAATTCAGCTAATGGTGCAAGAGAGGGAGAATGCTACTCTATTTCTTATTATTAACTAAAACGGCCTGAGGCCACTAACTAGTCTCAGGCTAGCAATGTCCATCACATGATTTATAAAACAACATATATTATAATCTAGCTCTCTAAGACTCGGCTAAAGTTTCGGGGTGACCGGAATCGTTAGAGAGATATTATATAAGAAAAATATGTGTTTCCAATAGCATGACGAGTACAAAGACCCCACCCACCTGGCCCAAGGATTCTGATAAACTGTTCCACGTTTAAGGGTTCCTCGGTATGTCCTTCGTCCCTCTTGGCGAGGTCCCATGTTTCCCTGGGAGGACACAATGATTTATAGGGTTCCACCACGAGGACAACATTGGCCCTTCAGCGGAGAGCTAACCCCTGAATGCGAACGTCGGACCTATGTATAAATAGAGAGTTCGATCATGTTCTCTCGTGTTCACCCAGCAATCTCAGAAAGCGATCTAACACTTCTCTCGCTCCGAAAATGAAAAACACTGCCGATCAATCGCCCAAGGGCGACAAAGAAGCACATATAAAACAGTGGCTGGAACTGGCAGGGCTAAGTGAACTTGATGCACGGCAAAAAAACCCCTTGACGCTGACAATAAACATTCATTAACAAATACGTTCCAAATATAGGGCCAGAAATTATCTAGCGCCCAGTCCCAGGAGTTCGCTATTCTTCTTTACAACCTGTGCACCTTGAACCAAGTGGTGATTGATGCCGCTCCTCAAATGGCCCATATGCTCCGACAATTAGATTTCAGTCCAGCCGTGGCTGATTGGATAGAGAGTGGGCCCCGAGGCGAACTTATACCGCAGGACAAAATACCTATGCCTCTACATGCGATCCCCAACAATCAACGTACGCCTTTGTCGACGGCTCAAATGCAGATGCTCAACCGCTTTCTTGATCTATTCGTCGTGGACCGAGTTTCCAGTGGGAATGTTCCCTGTGCGGGGGTGGCGGGTGCGGAGAAACAGAAAATACAAGAGACACAAGAATAAAGCCCATGCGGTGGAGAGTCGTTTGTATGCATTGAGAGGACACTGGTTTCTGACCATAGATACAAGTTCTCCATACAAAATCTATGTAATTAATATAGAAACTGAAAGTGATCAATTATTGCCATGATAGTTTCAAAATGTCCTATCCGCCGTCTGCAAGGAAGGAATCGTTGGTAATGGGAATACTATTATTGAGGGAAATAGACTGCCTGCGATGAAATCTCCATCTCAGCTTACCCAAAGAGAAATCAGTTAGTGGCTTGCCTAGCAGATCTGACAGAAAGTCCGCCGCAAACCTCAATCCTTAAGTTGGATGCACTGTAACCACTGTCGTTATGGTAGTAGTGGGCCGGTCATATTGAGCCTCGGTGAACGAGATGTAAGCATAACCAGTATGAATTATGCTGGAATATTGTGCCTGCCAGCTTCCTGGGTTCAAGGCGAAGTGGCTTGGAGGGAAACAGTTAAACCAATTTTCATACTTATAGCCTAGGAACCACATAGGCTCTGTAGAATTGACAGTGTATAGGATATTAGTGTGAGCTCCACCTCCAAATATTGTACTAGGTTCGCAGATCGCTTCAAGTGTGGTATTGCATAGAAAAAAAGAGCCATTAGTAGAGAAAAATAATATCGAATCACCGACGGAAGCGTTCATCGACGGCGGATGAAAGTCTGTAACCTCATCTGGGGTCACTGTGACTGTCCAGGTACTACCAGCCGTTGGTGAACGGGTTGTTGTAGAGCCGTGGAGAAAAGAGCTTTTCATTTGTGTACCATACCACAACGGTGATGTATATGATGAGATATCTCTCCTAGAACTCGGGTTTGTTGTCTTAATTGGAGACTGCCTGCCCCTCTCCGACGTAGTCGGGGTCGGCTGGTTATGCCAAGGTGTAGTCCAAGTCGCGGGTAGCTGAGGTCTGGGAGTGACCTGGCGGGCAGTTGATAACCGACTAGGAGTAGGATTCCGTGAATTAGAACTATGTGGATCAATTCTAGAAGTCCTGTTCCAGCAATTACTGGAACAGTGTAAAGACAACGTGGAAGCTGGCAGTGAGGTGCTTCTCTGTGTCTCTAGTGGAGGAGGAACTGAATACGGTATAATAGCAGTTGAAGTGTGTTTTCCCGGCATAATGCCTGGCATTTGGAAGGGGGAAGAATTAGAAGACACCGTCAAGCTTATGCACGGTCTTGAACTAACGGCCTCCTGGGGGCTAATAATTTCAATATCCATGCAGGAAGTAGAGACCTTCTCCCGATTAGCCCTGCTTATCACTCAAGGGCATATAGTACTGACCAGCCATCGCTGATTCACTGGTTCTGTTGTATTCCACAACCAGTATATTGTATATAGACTGCCGACCTGCAAGCTATCAGGTAGTTTGAACATAGGAGGAAAGCTGATACCATAGTATCCACAGTGAGGGTAGGAAACTAGGACTGCGTCTTGTTAGCAATGGTATCGATGAATGATAGTCTGCATGCCCTACAGTCACCTCCATTTCCGCCCTGGAAACCTAAAATCTCTAGGAACGTCCTTGTATCTGGATATTTTGGTTCTCGTGTACCGTACCAACTCATGACCCCTTTGTCCGTATCTTTGCACTGTGTTGGATTGCCTCTCGAATACCGTGGCTTGATTATCGACCCTGGAAAAGCTCTCAGGCGCGGCCATCCTTGTGCTTGAGATGGGTACAGCTGATTAATGGGGCAAAACGTTGTTGAAAGAGAGGGATCCACAGGCCAAGCTCCGCTTAATCTGTAGTAGTCTGTACCTGTCGGGGTATTAGAAGGCACTATATGTCCCAACGGCATTTTCGGAACTTACTAAAGTTGCGCACATAGCCTTGATGGAACTCATTGTAATTCGCGCCAATAGCCTCGACCCCCTCGATCTATGTACCACCATTAGAATCTCTAACCTCAATACTGTAGGCATATTGACTTCAGCACCCATACCAATGCCCAACCAAGGCGGACACAACAACTCAAGAGGTAGAAGATGCTGTAGAAAAAGACTCGCATCACGGAAGTAGGCGAAAAATTACCTGGACAGCAGTTAGCAATGAAAACACAAAATTATATATGATTTGCTTCGTAAGTCAGGCCACCCAGAATATTTTGTGACCTGTTCCAGCCCCCTTTACACCAGCCCGCGACCCCGTTTGGTTCCGCGATTTTGTGCAGAGCACGTTTATATAGTAAAAAACAGATTTCTCTGTTTTGAGAGATGCTGGCACGGTGTTAATGAACATTAATGAACGCTCTAATGGTCACAACAACGGACGCCAACGCCCCCGTTCGATTGCTATGGAAGTCCAACGAACTCTACCAAAAGCTTTGTCCAAAAAGGTTCTTTGGCCTCCTCGAAAGATTCATGAAAATTAGTGAAGTGGAGATATGTATTATCGAGGGCCATGGGAATAGCAATCCAGATGAAATAACGATGTTTGTCACGAGCTGGGGAAGAGATAAAGAACGGATTTAGGTGTGAGTCTGGCTCGAATACCAGGTTGGTAACTACTAAGGAAATATATATCTCAAGGTATCAAGATATCCACAAGGATGTACTGACCTACTTTTGATTTGGTTGCGAGCCCATAGCCACTTCAACCAGGGCAACCTTGATGCTCAAGTTGAGTTTATAGATATATATAGAGCTACCATCACTACATAGGAGAAACCGACAGTGAAATAGGGGTTCTATCATTGTCAAGTACGCGCGTTTAAACAGGCTTAAATCATACCCCCATCATTGCCACCATGGGCCTCAAACCCCAGAACTTCAAAGTAACGCTGCTCAGAATCGCGAAGCCTTGCGGTGACCTGAACCAGCATGTCCTCAATCTTGTGGAAGATACGGAACATGTCCTCATGGAATTGCAGTAGAGCTTGTTTGGATTCCTTCTGCCACTGGAGTTCGGCTCTCAGGTAACTGGCATCATATACGAGATCCTCTAGCTGTTGACGAATGTCTGTAGATGCTCTCTTCGATCGTCGCAAGCGAGAAGGGAGTCTTTCGATGCTGGACGAGGTGCCACCATGACGGAGTATTTCATGGTCCACTGGGGTGATCTCTTCAGTAATAGGATCAAGGGAGCGCCGGGGAAATTGTTGCATTCTTTCCAGGGTCAGAAATAGTGGGGGAGGTAAAGAGATGGGAACTTGCGACAGTAAAATTCTGATTCAGACAATTGTAAAAGCAGGCCTGTTGGAAGATAGGGTGACTTTTAAAGGACCAAAGGTCTGGGTCACAAACTCAAGTGCATGCTTCCATTGCGAGCCCGGAAGGGGTCGCGGGTCCGAGACATGTAGACACAATAGAAATGACCAGGACCCCAAAACTAGTCTAAGCAGTGTTTCTTGATAAAAGAGCCGCAGTTAAATGTGGGTTTAAAATGTCCTGACCTGGTTCTATTATGAGAAATATATAGTTTGCCGTATAAAGGATTATTGCATTCCAAAACAGGGCGAGCTGTGAACTGAAAACCTCGTAATTGGCTCTCGGGTACAAGATATCTTTGCCAGGGCTTTGTTGACTGATTTCCCGATGTACTCTCTTTGCCCAATTATTGTCCGTCTATAGTAGTTCGTGGTCACACATATCGCACCATTGCCCCTTTGTATGTAGTAAACCATCAAACATAATACTGCTATTTTTCTAAGCAGCAAAATCAAGTGTCATTCTCCTTCACTAATCCCGTAGTTGATGTATACAAGCAGCATGATAAGAACATTAACCACAGCTGCATGTGCTATTTGAGATTTGAAGCTTATCCCATCTAAGTTCGGCTAATAAGTGTATTCAATTCGCATGATCTAAATGTCGAACCAAGCAATGTATAACACTCTATTTTTCCACTAGGTGAAAATGTCAAAGAAGGTCTAGTATACCTACTATGGCATCTCAGAAACACACAAACTCCCCGCACTTCTCAGTACCAATGATGACTGGATCCTGCATTCTACCGTGGTGTGTTTGAACAGTTGTTGCTGTTAGGGATGAGCTGTATGGTTGGAGGTGAGGTTGGCTCGCTTGGGCGGCTTTCAGTATCACAAGCCCAGCAGCACTCGGGACCAGTGTCCTGCGAATCCCCCCTTAGAGCCATCTGTAGGTAGCGTACTGTTTCTTCACGTGCGTTCAACGCGGATCGAAGAGTGGAGATCAGCTCACGTTGCCACTCATTCTGAAGGAGAACATGCTGAATATTCAAAGAGCTGGTGTCACTGTGTCCAATCTGAGCTATGGCCCGTAACAAAGCCTCGTTAACTAAGTGCTGTTTCTGCAGACGAATTTCCAAGTCATCCGCCCTTTTTCTCTCCTTTATAAGGTCTTGACTTAAAAGCCATTGGTGTTCTGTGACCTGGTCAAGGGCGGACTCTTGCTGCAGTCTTGTTCTTTCCAAGTCTGCAATAATGGCTCCCATATATGCGCAATGGTCGCGTGTTTGGTTGTACACAACCTGGCCCTCCTTTAGCTTGCGCTCTAATTCTTCGACCCGATCCCTCGATATCTCTTCCCATTCGAGGCGCTTGTCTGTCAAACTGCAGATAGCTCGAAGCTCGTTCTCAACGTGGGTGCCCTTCAATCATTAGCTTTGGTAAACATGCTTGAAAATGACTGACTTTACCGGAACTTGGGACATTGTACTGGAAGGAAAATGTTTTAGATATATTTGGCCTCCAATCAGATCTATCAATTTAACAGAAGTCCGGCGCCAAAAACGAAGGAGCGGATATTCCTTCGACTTAAACCTTTAGTATGAATATTCACGAAAGCCTATACAACTTAAGCCCAGTGACCTAAAATCTGAATTGTAGGGGGATTTAGCCGCTATAGGACCGCGCGTTTTGAGTGTAGATGTCGACATATGCGACACCGAATGGGCTCGCAGGGGTATTCTTTACCGCACCAAACGGTGACGGCACCGTCATGCTTTAGGTGGTTCCGTGGCCGAGTGTAGAAATATCGATTTCCACTAGGGATCCATATTGCGCCTCCATTTCGGGTAGGACGTATAACTGCTTGTAAGGAACACCTACTTGTATGGAATATTACCCACTGCCCCGTGCGTGGTCGAAAATCTTGCCCCGGTAACGTTTCAGATCTAGTGACTTCTCGGCATGCAGCCTACCCAGAGTTTAACAGGCGACATTAAATATATATTTATATTTACATGCGTCCTATATCTTTGGGAGTACTCCTACTATATTCTTATATAAATACAACCTCTACCCAAACACAGTATAAACAACTACAGCTACGTGGAGCTCTACCGCTGATTATATATTTCTTTTTACGTCATACTGCGAAATGCTTTATGCCATTCCCTCTCATCTCTAAAGCACATCTCACATTTGGGGCTGACAGTTCTGGGTTTAGACAATCAAAAGAACTCGGTGCGCTCGTGTCAAGTGAAGCCGCAACGTTAGGATAACTACCACATAGCATATCGAGCTGTTTCTTCAAATTTTGTATAAGGTAATCGTATCGCTCGATAGCTACAGAAATCTTCATTAGCATCTTCGCCATAAGACTAGAATCCTGGGAAGTTCATCCTGTCTACCTCTTGAGGCATACCCATGGCACTCAGCCAGCTGTACCATTGCGAAGGAGACTGTATTCACCTCATCCAATTTTGCTAGGATCCGCCTCACGAACGACATCAGCCCATTTAGTAAAGCTACTGTGCTCAATATTCCCTTCTTTGACCACGCGCGGGCTCGTGAGCTTAGCAGATTATCAATTCTTTGCTCCACTAGGTTACCAGAGAGAGGCTCTTTCAAGTACTGTGTAATACTCTTTCCTCCTACCGAGAACGTTTAGATAAGCTATAACCTGTATAACTAAGACTAGATACCAGAGCCCTCGGGGATTTGAAGCGTTCCAATTGGACATCTCCCGGGAACTAGGAGACTAAGTCCTCGGCTCTTTTTAAAATACGTCCTGCAGAGGTATCTATACCGACACAGAACAGGTGTAAAAATAAGGAACTGAAGCTCACCTGAACCACTTAGTATGGGTGAGCCTCGGATGTTAAGAGGCTCTCCTGATAATCGCACGTGGTGTGGAGAAGATCACCCCGGCCCCTTTTCCTTTTCCGTAACCGTTTAAGCTTTTTCTTATTTGTAATTGTGAGTACGTGGCAACGGTCATGTGGATCAAGTACGTCTCAAAGACAACGACCTAAAATATGCGCCTCGGTTACCACGGCCCACATGTAGGTTTCGTTATGTCTCGTATTTCTGGTCTTAACCTGGGGACCACTATTCTTAGCCTTTTTGTTCTGTTTTCTAGAAGCCTGGCCTAAGTAGGTAGTACCATTTACGCAAAAGGATGCAACGGTAAAACGATCGTGATGTGACTTCAAATCCTGACTTTGCCAGAAGACGGGTTATCTCAACTTTGATCGGAAGCGGCCCTCTAGATGTGGAGCCTAAACTGTACTAATTTTTTTTTTGCGCAGCTTAGGCGGCACGTAATTTCCAACCAAAGGCCCTTTCCTTAAACTGTAAACATGGCATATGAAATGATTAACAGTGTATCACATTGGCTGGAAACCTTTCATATCCCCACTACTCCAACTGAGAATAAATATTTTATCTCTTTTTGGGGCAGGTGGGGCTGGAGCGGTGGGTGTTTTCTAGTAGGGGAAAAGGGCAGGCGATCAAGATAGTAAGAACTTTTCTGCCCTGGCAGGACGGACCCACTAATTATGTTCTCTCTTCATGGAGGATATGTTGATTCCTGTAATTAAAACTGTATATGAATTCTGCCTGGCTTCGGAAGAGGAAGCCAGAATTAAAATGATTGCAAAAATAGGGAGATGTATAATTACTTACATGGATGTGAAAAAATAAATATAAAAATAAAACAGAATGAAAAAGTGCAATTACGATTGGACCCTGCATGGGTATGACTTGTATTAGTTAATTTGTGGTTGAGGAACGGCGTCAATAAAAAATCTAAAGAAATGTAGCCCCTCTTACTGAATTCGGTAAGAGCCTGTCACAACTGAATTTCTTACGGCTATACTTCGGAGATTCAGGCCGAAGATAGATGATAAAATAGGATACTATTATTGCCCTTGACTTAACCTGGTCGTACATAACTAGAGCTGTGAGCCTTATAAGGATGCCGGTGATTCGCTAGGATCCGCTATGGCTAATTATTTTATGTCAGATGATGTTCCCGACCAACGAACGCAATGAGTCCAGAAGGGTAAGGGGAAGCTTCCGCGATAAATGGCTTTTGCCGCTAAGTCGGGTCCAAGCTGCCAATTTCCGGACCCGCCAATGACGAGGGGCAAGGGCCGACAGCGCTCTGTTATCCTTTGGTTCTCTTAGTCGGCCCTCGGTTTCAAAAAGCCACGGCTAGTTCGACCATAATGAGAAGCCCTAAGACACTTGGATAGGGTACCTACTTCAGCCTTTAAGAAAAAAAAGGTTAAAGAAAAGAAAGAAAGAAAGAAAGAAAGAAAGAGAATAATAGCACCTGGTAAGATTAACAACTATATGAGCCGAATCTCTTGGGAAATCTATGAACTTTTAGGACTTCGTGTAATGCGGGTCGTTAATGTCCCATGAACTATCATATATTCAGATTTATCTACATAGAGAGCAAGACAAAAGTAGTTATTATCAGATTAGCAGAGATGAATGCAATTTATATTGTATTATGCCTAAGCACGAGTCTTGCATTTGGAACCCTTTAGCTAATTATACTTAGTATGCCACAAAAACCACAACAATCATTCTCCGTGAGACACTCTTTGGTATTGATACGGGCGTGGTGTGCTTGAACCATGGCGGCTCTCATTGGTGAGAATGTCGTCTCTTGGGGAAGGAAACTCTAGCTCACTCTGAAGGATATTACCATTATTGGTCCCGCAGCCGTCAGGTGATATGTCTTGTAAAGCCATCCGCAAACACTGTATGGTGATGTCCTTCACATCTAACGCAGATCGCAGGGTAGAGATTGATTCGCGCTGCCTCTCGTTCTCGAGGAGAACATGTTGAATGTCCCAGGAGCTGCGATTGCTTTCAACTTGTGTGACTGCACGCAGAAGAGACTCGTTTACCAGGTACTGGTCCGCAAGACGAGACTCCAAACCCCCTACCTTCTGTCTTTCCAGGGTCAAGTCTCGGTCTAACAACCATTGACACTCCACGAGGCTGCTAACGGTAAACTCCTGATGTAATATCTTATCTTCCAATCTTGCGATGACTGTTCTCAGATCGGCGCAATGGTCGCATGCTTGTTTGTGCGAGAACTGGTCCTCTATCCGGAACTTAAGCTCCTCTAGCTCTTGCCTTAATCCGTCTTCCCGCTCGAGGAGCTTCTCCATTAAGCAGCAGATTGTCTGAATTTCGCTTGCGACGGATGGATCCTTCTATCGTCAGTTTAATAAACCGTTGTCTGGGGAAGCAGGCCTCACCGAAACGTGAGGCATTGTGTTGGAGAGAGACTATTAGTACATCTGGCCTGTTGGTAAATGTCCGTCAGATTTTGGACCGAGAGATCAGTGACCTGGAAGCAGAACAAAGCGCTGGATAAACGAGCTACTCTAGATATAACTGCTATCGAGGAACAGCTGAAATGGCACCATGAGCTTATTTGCGGGACCAAAACGGTATCTATTCGGAACGAGACGTCTTTATTATCCGCGTAGACCAAACCAGTATACGCGGAACTAAAACGCGTCGCACTATTGAACCTCAGACACCAAATTGTGACATCCAAGCTAGTCCGAGGCCCATTTGCGTGCTAGGCGCTTTCTTGGAGAGCTGAGAAAACGACTGATTTATCCCTTTACTATGTAATTTTCAACCCGCTCAAGGTGAAAGTCAGAAGCCCCTCCTTGAATTTTCTCGACTAGGGCATCCGGCCCCCAAGAAAGTTAAGTTCGTCGCTCCGGCACGCCGGTGGGCCTGCTGAGGTGTCCATGCTGGAATGAAAACAGATATACGCGATGAAGAGAACGAAACTCATATGAAAGACTATGACCTTCGGCTATTAGGCATTGCCCCTCGCTGCCGATATGGGTAGGGAACTCTCTGGGGGAAGAATATAAATTAATAAACTGAGATCAGGTACGATAAACCAAGCCAAAACATTGCAAATCGGATATGAGCTTCAGCTCAAAAGGCCCACTTAAAGCTCCGGTACACCTCCCACTCAACGCAAGACACATATCCACAGCGGATAATGCGGAACGCTTCCCGCCTCCCTTTCCCCCTTCCTACTCTGGTTTCTTTTGATCTCGCGTTTTTCTTCCCTTTTCGGCTAACTTGAGAAAAGTAGCTCTTGGCAATAAGAGATTCGGCACATCTAATAAACTAGCTACATCAGCCGCGTACCTTACTTCACGATCAAAATAGCATACTAAGCTTATGATAATAGATACGCAAGAATTCGCGATTGTTCCTGAATGAGATCATCCATTTATTCATTCCATATCCTATCCAGACATTCGAATATGATCAACCCAAGATCGAAGAATTAACAAGACATTTTTTGGCTATGAATAACTAGGATTAAGTTACAACTTGGTAGAAAATTGTTTCGTGGACCTGACCTAGAACCATGGAACATAAAATGAGGACCCATAAAAGATTCCATGCCCCAAGCCGCCCATTCCTTAGCAAACGTAGGGAACTGTTTTGTCATTCTTAGGAATAAGAAGAAAAATAGAAAAACGTACTATGAAATGTCGATCAAACACGGGGAAAGCGCGGGAGATCGCACTTGTGAACTTAATGCATGTCCATGCTCCACAGCGCTGATCAAGATTTAGAGTTGCATGGGACTTTTTTTAAATTGGTTGACCGGTCCGATCCGCTAGCCGTCTCTTAGGTCAGCAGACCCACCCGCCATTCGGCGTGTTGGTCTGCCTCACCTCAACGATAATTCCCATCTCAACGATAAAATTGAAGCTATTCAGAGCTTTTATTTACCACCACCATGCCTAATTCTTATTCTGATATAGAGATGCGAATCTCTCAGGCCTGTGAAGCCGCTCAAGGCCAAAAAAAAACAAATATCTCTGCGTTAGCACGTCAATTTGATGTTCCTTATCAACGACTCAGAGCGCGTATTCAGGGCCGAGCTACTCGAAGCTCACGTCCTATCTCAACCAAAACCCTTGATGATTCACAAGAAAAGGCACTGATTCGTTGGATTTGTCAGCTTGATAATCTATATTGTCCACCTACAGCTGGACAGATTGAGCAGAGTGCCAATCAAATACTGCAGCGGAATACAATTGACGGGTTATCTCGTACAGTTGACAAGAACTGGGTCTATCGCTTTATTAAACGCCTCCCAAGCGAGTTTAAACTTATTCAACAGAAGCCTAAAGATAGGAATCGTCTCGATGCAGAGGATATAGGTGTTCTTCAACACTGGTTTGACTGCTTAGAGCCCTTTATCAAGCAGATTCCTCCCAAAAATATATATAATTTCGATGAAACCGGCTTCCAACTGGGGCAGGGAAAGTCTCAAAAAGTTGTGACTACTATGCCTGTACGAGCTGCAAGGGGGAATCCATCTAAAGAAATGGGGGAACTGGTCTCTGCAATAGAGTGTATTGCAGCAGATGGTTTTGTTCTTCCTCCATACTTTATATTCAAAGGCGTACATCATCTAGAGAGATGGTACAATGCAGATATTCCTAGTGAGTATCGAATAGCTCTATCTCCTAAAGGCTATACTTCAGATAAGATTAGTCTTGACTGGATTCAACATTTCCACCGTCATACAAAGTGCCGTATCTCTAAAAAGGAGGTTCGATTACTACTTTTTGATGGCCACGAATCCCATCTTACCTACGAATTTCTTCAGTTCTGTGGACAACACTATATTATACCTTATTGTTTTCCTCCTCATACAACACATCTTGTACAGCCTCTTGATGGACAGCCTTTTCAAGTCTATAAGCACTTCTATCGCAAGCAAAACAATGAGCTTGCTCAGAAAGGTGCTGAGATGGATGATAAGAGTGATTTCTTAAAACAGATTCATTCTATTCGTACAAAGACTTTCAAACAACGTACAATCCGGGATGCCTTTGAGAAACGAGGTGTATATCCCTTGAATTCAGAGCCGATAATAAAGCCTCTACGTGAGGCTTTAGAAGCTACTCCAGAACTTGAGATAATTACAACACCATCACCACCACCATCAAGCTCATCACCGCCATCTACAATACGGGGTCTACGTCGAAGTATTAGTAAAGCACAGAGCTTTATTAATAATAGTCCGGAGCTTGATCAGAGTTTTGTACGACGCCTTGACCGAGTATTCCAGAGCTCGCTGGAAGCCACTGAACTAGCCGCTCAGCTGAAAGATGATCTACAACAACACTATCAATATCGGAAGCCTCAAAATAGACGGAAATCGCAGAGAAGAGTCCGGTATAATGGACCACTGACTGTATATGATGCAAAACGCCATATTGCTGATCGTACAGAGGAAGAAAGACTACAGGGTCTCAGGCAGATCAGGAAAACGGGAACTTTAGAACACGATAAACCACCACAACAGGGAAATATAGGGAATCTGCCTAGTACAGAGGCTAGTCAGATGGATAATAAAGATCCTAATCTACCTTATTGGATAGATACTCAAGGTGATGTTGTATAGGAGCTTGAATGGCTTCAATTTTATCGTTGAGATGGGAATTATCGTTGAGGTGAGGCAGACCAACACGCCGAATGGCGGGTGGGTCTGCTGACCTAAGAGACGGCTAAAGGTTTCTCAAAAATGGAAGGCAGAGATGGACTCAGAAGTCATAATTAGCAGTCAAGCTAAATGATATAACAGAGTATTGTCTTTTTTTTCTTTTCTTTTTCCTTAATAGAAAGGAAAGAAATAATAAACGAGGTGGGTACAAGGAAGACGATGTTGTGCTTGTGGAAGATGAAGGCACACTAGACACTAAATAGCTAGAATATTGATTAGTGTATGAAATGGTGAATAAATTTACTTTTTGCCACCAACTTTCTGTTGGAGATCAGGAAGGGAAAAAGAATTGAAAAATAATTTAACTGAATAATTCTTCAATCCTTCCCTTCCTCGGCTTATGATTAATTTATAGTAGCTCTCGCAAATTGCGCCTCTAGCTGGTATGCCTACTTTTTCAACATGTATAGATTGCTAAAACGCCTTTTGCAAAGCTTATACTGGCAGAGGTTATAATAATTGTCTAGTACTCTAGACAATATCACACAAGGAGATGGTAAAGGCCAATAATAAAAGGAAAATATCCTGCTCCATCAACCCATAATCTACTATATTTGATCCAGCGGGCTTCGACGTCGCAGATCAACGGCGGCCTTACTCTGTGATTGGAATGACACAGGATGCTCCATGCGCTTAGTTAAATGCCCAAACTTTTCCATCGCAAGCCGCTCGCATTTGACGACTTTCTCCACCATCTCCGCCAATTTGTCAACTCTGCCAGAGATATTGTCCATCTTGTCATGAAGACTACTCGCCAATATGTCAACCCTGTTGGACATAACCTCGATCTTTTCATGAAGGCTGTCCTCTAGTCCTTCGACTCTGCTGGATATAGTGCTGGTTTTCATATCCAGTACACTGAAAACATCGGGGATGTTTTGGAATTTCAGTGCAAAAGCATCAATGACACTTGAATGTCGCTCAACTGTTTCCGAAATTGACCCGGCTTCTGTCGTTAGGTTCTGTATTGCAGTGCTAAAGTTATCAATCGAAGAATGTAGAGCTGCAACTGTCGATGTATCACCACTAGTGGTCACGGAAAAGTTGTCAATGTTGAATATCCCGTCGGCATTTCTTTCGGAAGGCTCAGAGAACGTCTTCTGGCAGTTAAATTCACTTTCATTTTCTGGTTAGCATAAGCAATATGGGCAAGTCATTGACTTCCTTCTTACCTAGGCAATTCAGTGGGCGGGACACTCTCCTGACTACGGTACATCGTTAGTGATTTCTCGGCCAACCGTAGCGAAAACACAAACCTTTCCCCCCAATTGTTAAGGCTTCTTTCCTTTAGACGCAAGCCTACGTTTTCATCCCCAACCAGAGTAGTAGAAGTGGAAGCATTGAACTGTGAGTGGTCCACAATGCAGTTGCTACTGGCAAAGTTATTGAGGAAGGCGTTTCCAGGTTGGGCAAAAGTATGGTTCACCCCGTTGTACGGATTGAACAGATCATTGTACGGCCACAACTCGCTATTCGAATAAGGGTTCGGTTCGAAGTCCTCACGTCGTTGGTTAAATAAGGACATATTAAAGTTTCTTTTTTTTTAGGCGGAGAGAGATGAGAGAGGAGGAATGATGAAGTATTGTCCACGCAGGTGGGATATCAGCATCGAGATGAGACCACCAAGTGGGCTTTATATATCCTTAGAGCGTACAATGATTGCAAACGGGTTGCCTTTACTAACCGTGTGCAGGGATTAATTATGGTTTACGACGGATACTATCATCACTGGCCTAAGTTGCCTATCCCACGTACCGTTGACAGCGAAGGACCTAGCTGTCGGATTGTGGGTCATCATTGATCGTTCCCCATACTGGCCAGGTGTCTGGCCTACATACAGGAGGCTAACAACAATTCTCATTTCCATATTGACACTAGCTCCCAACCTAGGATGTTGATCACAGGGCCCGCCAATGATTCACTCCAGCAGCCCCACCAGGCTACTTTAATTGTTTCTCAGTGGACAGCCGAGCAGATCATAGAACCATGGTTCGTTTGACTGTTAGCTCAGGCTAAGGGCGTCAAGACAAAGAATGCGATACCGTAATGGGGTCGCGGTTGTTGATAAAAGGAAAAGAGATGGTGAGCCGCCATTCGCCTTGTAATCTGCCTATTGACGAATGAAAGCCAGTTACGGGTCGCTGCTCACCCGGGCGACGGTATACTTCTATGTTGAAACACTAGAGTGACATTCGGGACCATGAAGCACGCATAAAAAATGAGACAAGAATAGTAACGAAGAGCCTTGCTCTCCGTTTCAGCGGCGGAATGGGCTTCGCCTTAGTTAGACTATCTCAGAGATTTCGGAGTGAGCTGGATAGAAAAACCCATAAAGGCCCGGGCAAAAGCGGATTGTAGAAGACATTCAGCACTCTCTCAAGATGCAGCGGATAGACGACATTAGCTGGCTCGGTTTGGGCCTCAGCGAAAGTAAGAAGTTTACTCTTTTGGATTATGGCCGCTTAGATCGTGTGATTACCGAAATGGGCGATCCCGCGAATCAGTATCCAACATTATGCGTATACATGGGCGGCAGATCCAAAGATGCTTGTCTTCGGCGGCTGTATCCAAATAACAACATAAAACGGCATGCCTCAACCGCTGAGATTAAACTACGCTATGATATTGATTCCTTAAATACCACGCGGCCGGTGCTGTTCACGGACGGAGACCTGAAATGCATGCCATCCGCCTACCCCTCTACGAATGGCCGACCTAAGTTGGAACGCTCGATCTCATGGGATACATCATCTGCAGAGAAAGCCCTGTATATTATCTGGGCCCGCTTGGTTTTTCTTTTCGCTGATGTAATCTGTGTGTTTGCTAACGACTTTGGTGATCTTCTTGATGTGGCTGGCTTTTTGCTAGAATGTCTTAGCCTGCAAGCACCATCATCATTACCATCCGCCGTTCGGCCGCGGGTAATCATAGTGCTGGAGGCCCGCTTGGATGGGGAACAAGAGGATATACAGAATGTGGAGCATTTTTACTGCAAGTTACACAAGGAAGGTCCCAACCTGAGAGAGTACTTTTCGGCGGTCCATCTGATCCGTCTGGAAAGCAGTCATCTGTCGGAGAATGCTCGGTATGAGCGGCTGAGGGCATTAATTATGGGCCAGTTGGATGACATGTGCACTGTTCGTGAAGACCACAGAGCTTTATTCAGTGCAACCCACCTCGGAGCGCTCTTCCGTTTGGCGTTTCAGCACACAGCAGAAGGTATCTGCCGACCCTTTGATTTTGTGAAGGCAACTAGAGCACAGGATGAGGTCCCCTCAACGCTGAGCAGGAGCCTGGCACACTACCTAGAGATAGGAGCGAAGGCGGGGCTCCGGTACGAGGAGCTCGCCACCTCCATCTCATCGGCTCTCTTGATGGACCATTACATCCCAGGGATGCTAGGTATGACCTACCCTCCATGGAACTTGATCCGTGTACTGACGTAATACTATAGCGCTAGAGCCTCGGGCTGTCTTCCAGACGCTGTATCGTCCTGCTGTCCGAGACGCGCTCCACATTCTCGGGTGGTATCAACCAGGTAAAACTATCGAGGAGCTGGTAGGTGTTGTTGAGTGCCGGTTGGTGGACCAATTTGAACTGCTTGACCGTACGGGTCAATCATCCTTAGAGTTTCGGCGCGAGCAGCTAAGGGCCTCCAGTGGACGGATCTGTCAGATAAGATCTAATAAGATTTGTCTTGTGTGCCTTTTCCGGGTTGCGCAGCATCGCCTGGATTGTGGTCACACACTCTGCGATCTTTGTGCTCAATTATTTGGTACTCCCGCACCAGATATTGAGTATAATTTCACAATCGACGCCTGCCTTTGTTGCCTTTACCAAAGACCGCTTGTAATAGATGTCTTACCCCCAACAATGAATCCTACAGTTCTTGCTATTGACGGTGGTGGAGTCCGAGGGGTTATTCCCTTGGAGTTTCTGATCCTTGTCCAGGAGAGTCTCGGTTGTTGCCCTCTGCAAGACCTTATTGACCTCGCGGTTGGAACAAGTTCGGGTATGTGCAGGAGTAAACTGGAATACCCTCTCTTTGTTTCTGTTTTTTCAGTTCGCTTTTTAGCATCTCAATATTTTGTTTAGTTATTGCATCCACCTTTGACCGCGAACGTGCCAATTCATCACTAATGCAATATAGGAGGCCTCAGCATACTAGGCCTATTCAATATGCAGTGGGGTGTCAAGAAGTGTGCAGATGTCTTTGACCGTATGGCACGTCGTATATTTCATGAAAGACGCAGTTCGACACTAGCCCGTGCATCGCAAGCTATGTTTGGCAGTCATTCTTTTCTCGGAACTGTTCACAAATGGCTCTTATGGCTTCTTTATGATTCCTGTTACGATGGACGTGTTTTTGATCTGGCTCTAAAGGAAGTCTATACGATTAATAATCGTATATTCGACAGTCTTCTCCTGGAAGCTTCCAGTACAAGGTACTCCAAGACTAAAGTGGGTGTCGTTGCAACTAGCATTGCTAGAGAGACCAGGTCTTTCGTGTTCGGGAACTTCAACGGCACAGAAACCGCCGCTGAAGATTGTGGTAAGTGTCGGGCTTCAAAGCTGGTTGAGTTAGTGTTTCCTTCGGACATTGATCGAGACGTAAGGATACGAGATCGTCCGGCCAGTCGAGACGGGCTCGGAGCCGTTTGTATGGGAAGCGTAAGTATGTTGATAGTAATTTTAGGTTGGCACTAACATGGAATTTGTCAGAGCGAGGGCTACCGCGGCTGCCCCCTTGTGAGATTCACCCTTCCACGGTTTATGTAAGTGGTCTAGACTGACAGCCAGAAGCTTCTTCCCCCCAGCCGATATTCGCGGAATTGGTTCGTTCCAGGACGGAGGACTCCGTGACAATCTCGCCGCGGACATTGCACGCCGATTATGCCGTCAAATTTGGCCCTCTCGGAAGCATCCAGCAAGGCTTCTATCGATGGGCACAGGCGTGACGGCTAGAGGTTCCGACCGACCACCGCATTTCCGGCATGTCTTTCAGGACGGTTTTCTACGACGAGGGTTTGATGCTTGGATGTCCTCCATGGATACTGAAAG